GTTCTTCGCAGTCAGCGGGGAGAACCACCGGGACAGCCTGAGAGGCTCTGCGCCCCTGTTGAGGCCTGGGAGGCCTGCGGAAGCGGAGTGGGATGCCCTCGCACACCTGTATCATGTCCGAAGCCTGGTCCTGATGCGGGGCCCTGCTCTGCGAGACGGCGAGGGCCGTTCCGGGGCATGTGCTGAAACGGGCAGCGCGAAACTTCGCCGTCACTGCGTGCCAGTGCCGCTGCGCCTCGCGCGGGCGCGCATGCCTCCGCCGGGCTGCCACGTCGCAGGGGGTCGTGCGGCAGGCCACAGCGAGGGTGCGCGGGGCCAAACATGCTGTGTGACGCAGTGCCTTGTTGCAAACTTTCATGTCTCGTTGGTCACTGCATCCTCCGCGACATGCTCGCGAGCATGCGTTGAGACGCTTGCGCATGCGTCGGGCTAGGCCGTGCAAGGCGACTCGCACACGGCGTGCCCCAATTGGTGGCTCCAGAGGGCGGCAAAGATGTGCATGTGCCGAGGCAGCGGGCCCCCCAGGCCCACATCACGATTCAGAGATGCGGGGGCGTCCACGGGCCGCTCCTGTACATACGATTCCTGAGAGACGCTGTTTTCGCGCAGAGGCGCACGACAAGGCACAGCGGTCGTCGCGCAGGCTCGCATGAAATCAATGGCTCTTCAGACATGCGTCGTCCTCTTCACTTGAGGCAGAAGAGCGGCCAACAATCTGACGTGTCCCTCGTCTCGATCACGCATGCGGATGCCGCGGACTCACTTCTGCATGAGACCCAGTTCTCGCCCTCCAGGAGCCAAGACCTTCATGTACGGACATCCGTGGCGCCCCGCTCGCCACATGTAGACATTGTTCTCGGGATGTCTGCTACTCGCTGCTTTGGATGGTCGGTATCGTGCTATTGGCAGCTTTGTGGCCACGCTTCGCCGTCACATCCCTGTGCGCCGGAGCACAGTGCTCGCACAAAGCATCGGCCGCTCACGGGCTCAGAGCACGTCGCTCTCCATGAATCGACCCAGCGCCCCCACACACATGTACACTCTAACAGGCGGGTTGCATGTTTGGTGGCTTCCGTGGCGAGAAAACATGTGCTTGAGAGCAAGGGTGAAATATGTGACTCTGAGCCGGCGTGCAGTATGGAATCGCGGCCGTTTCTCATGATGGTCGTGCGTCTCGCTTCCATAGATGGGGAACTCTCCCCGGTTGCTTGCCATTGGCGTGTCTTGTCCTCAACTGTACGCCAGAGGCGCAGGAGCTCCAGAAAGGGGGGTACGCTCAGTTAGAGGCGCATTTCGTCCACATGCGCGAGATACAGCAAAATGGACAGTACGCTTGGCAACGGTGACGCTCGGTAACGCCTCATGGTGCTGTGGAACGCGGCGGGAATATATCCCACGGACTGCACCGCGGCGTGCAAGATTTTTGGTAGGCGATCGCTACCTAATTGAAGCGGCTGCGCTGACCTGCTCACGTCACGAAACGATACGAACTTCCGCGAATCGACAGAGGAGGTGCAAGAGATTCGTCACACGTGTTTGATTTGCGCGCTCGTGCGATGCGAAGAGCGCTGGAGGGGCCTGAAGTCGCCTACTTCAGGGGGGTGCCAACCTGAGGACCCCAAGCCAGGTTCGGCCCTCACTCGAGTGTCAGGGTCTCGCCGCCGGCGGCCGGGACCGGAATTCCGGAAGGTCGACTTCTTCGAAATCGGACCGGGCCCGACTTCACCGGGGACGGCCGTCGACTCGAGCATCCTGCGCCACCGGGCGGCCGGTCACCGCCTAGAGGCCTTGTAGTGCTGCGACGTTGCCCTGCCGACCCCAGAGGCCTGCCGAGCATGGACCGTTGACAGCCTTTGCGACCCGCTGCCTCGTGCGGTCACGGCTCGCGGGCCTGACCGCCTCTATTCCGCACTTCACAGCAGTCTCGAGTCGACTATGACGCAACAACTTTGAGAGCGCTGGCCTGTTCTGAGGAAGAGTGCTCAACGTCCATCATGCTTGGAACGTCGTCTTCCGCGCACGGCGCCACGCGGTCGTTCAAGCTCGCTAAAGGCTTTCTCGCGTTCGTGCCAGTGCTGGCTGCTTACCTCCTCTGTGGTGCGTACTCGAGTAGCCACCCTGAATGCCATCTGTCCACTTGACCGGCGCGCCCCATATCCTATGCTGCCCAGCGCAATCCTCATGATGTCGCTTACGGCGAGTCCACCCTGCAGCCGTGGCGTCTGGTGGGGTGCTTGGTTCTGGCGGGTTTCAATCACTACTCCAGTTCCTCGAAGGGCAAGCGGCCACCCCCCTCGACGTCGGCCATCGTTCGGGGAGCAAAGCGCCGGTGCACAGCGCGGGCACGAGTGTTCGGCCATGTTCTTCGTCAATTGCGGCTGTTCCGGACCCCAAGGGATGGGCCGCATCTTTTAGTCTGTCGCATGACGAAACCAAGGATGTCCCGCGAACACATGCGATGCTGCGCAGCGGCGAGTGGCCGCAGTTGCCGCCGCGAAGGCTCCCGGACATGGCCGTGTGCGTTTATGGCAGCCTCGGTGCGTTTGTGTATCGCGGTCTGTTCAGGGATCTGACACAAAACATCGTTCGTCCGAACGATGCTGATGTTTTCATCAGCGTCGAGTTGGATCCCGCAGCTGAACGAGGACTGCGCGAGCAGCGCCAGGTGAGGCACGACTCGAGCTCACGCGAGCAGCCTAGGTCGAGCGTGGGCATCACTGGTTGGGTCCAGTGGTCCTATGGACGCGCTCGTGCGTTCGGCCAAGCTTCCGTGCTTTCACACAGCGGCGTGAGTGTCTCGTCGCAAGTCCTGGCACTGGGACCTCAATAGTTCGGACTGTTCTACGTGTGCCATGCAGGACTTGCATCTCTTTCTAGAAGGTCTGCCGCGGCCGCCGCGCAACACGTACATTCATGCTGGTGGTCCAGAATTTGCCCTGTCAGACTGCTCATTTCGGGGATACACCAGCCGAGACGGCGCACCCCCGCACAACTGTGTTGTCTCACGAGTTGAAGATGGCAAACCCACACAACGTCTCGGCCGCGCGTTCGACACAGCTCTCGAGGTGCTGGCCCGTCACCAGGCTCGATGTGGGCGGAAAATGCGCGCACGCGCTAACGCAGGTGCAACCCGCGAACCTCTCACCCTCCCTGCAGATGCAAAAAATGGTGGCCTGTTTCGCGGACATCGAAGCAGAGGAACACAAGCGCTTTTATCCATTAGGATCAAAGTACTCTTTGGTCGTCGTTGTGCACACCACGTACCGCATCAAAGCGTTCCCCACGGCCGATGAACTCCTCTCGAGGCTCAAGCACGTGGACGACAACCTCGCCGCCTGCCTCGCCATGGCCGTCGACGTTAGGACCGGCGCCGTTGCGGGGCGAGTGGCTGCGTGCGGTCGCGGCGGCGCGCAGGCTTTCATGTCGCTGAAGGCCCCGATGGATGGCGAGGACTGGATCGACATGGGGTGCATGGGCGGGGACCACCCAGGTGACCCGTTCTCGGAGGACTGCGTGCGTGGGACGTGGCTTCGCGCGCGGGGTGTGGCTGTCGGGTCCTTCGATGGCTCGGTCGGGGTGGATGCGGCAGGCAAACAGGCAGCACTGACAACGTTCCGTGCAAGCAAGGTAGAGCCGTGTGGGGAAGCCAGTGGGATGAACTGGGCGCCGGGAGAGAGGCCAAGGGATTGCCCGCACGAGACGAGGAAATACGCGGAAGATGTCGCAGCGAAGCACGGGGTGTTGCTTACTACCCTGTTGCCAACACTCGAGAGCTAGGGCACTCTTTCGTTACAAAGCGGCGGTTTCTCGTCTCGGGCGTCGTCGACCGCGTCTGTATCGCGGTCGCCGCACACGACGTCCCGGCGGCCAATTTGACCGTTTGAGCCCCGTCAACCCCTTACGTTCGTCGCCCCGGTATCGTGGGGGCTTCTCAGTGATCTCGGCGCCGCGTGATGCGCTCCTCCGCCCCTTCTTCTACTGCGCCCTCCCATTCCTCCCCGCCGCGCCCCACGTGTGCCTGCTGCAGCTGCCCCCCCACCTGCAGGGCGCGGGCCGTGCACCGCGTCCTTTCCGGCGCTCTTGCCGCCCCGCGACCCCGTTTCCGCGCCCTTCGCACCCAGCATCACCTCGGACGCCGCCGCGCGCGTCCCGCTTCCACAGGGGCCTGTCCTTCCTCTGTGGCCTCTCAGCATGCACTCTTGATGTCCTTCACTCCCAGACCACGCAACATTGAACCGCTTCCGCTCGCATCGTTCTTGGTTAATGTGACCTCCAGGTGAGGTGTTACATTCTTCGCGTCGGCAGCCGTAAGGCATTGGGACCTGAACAGATCATTGGTGACACGTTTGTTACTGCATGTTTAACACACTGCATGTTCATGCATCGTTGTGCGCATGTCGCGCTGTGCTGCTGTGACGGCTGCGCGAGCAGGTCCGCCCAGCAAGAGTGCGTTCGCAGCCGCTCACGTTATCGCGCCCTGCCCTCCATGCATCGACGCATGTCGTTGACCAGCAACGCTTGCTCGCACTTGCTCTGGTAGCCTGGCATGCACGTGTCGCAAATGACGACAGGGTGACCAACAACGAGAACACATGCTGCGCAGTTGTCCGTGTCCGACGCCGCGAAAGCGCCCGAACCCGGCAGCGCGGCGGCCATGCACTGCAGGAGCGGGAATTGCGCCATGGCGCACATGTCTCACTCCTCGCAGCCCCGGGGCCGGCCCGCAAGGCCGGATGTCTCGGCGTCTCAACGAACTGTCCAGCACGGTGCTGCTTTGCTTGTCGCGAAGGTCTGAAAACAGAAACTTTAGGTCGTACCCGGTCGGACCCCCCACGTGACGTATTTTTCGCGCGTGCGGCCATGAACGCACGCAGTTGGCGTCCTGTCCGACAATACCGGGCCGGCGTTGTGATCACCGCGGCGACGGCGTGATCATCGGCGGACAGGCCCTGACGGCCTCAGGCCTGGCACAGAGTGCACTCTTGCACTGCAGGCGAGGGATGAAGAGGGAACGCGTGCCAGCCTGTGGTGAGCCGAGCCTCGAGTCGAGATGCGTAATCCTGGCAGGACACGACGATGCTGGCGCAACGCTGTAGCTGGCGCAACCATTGCGTTTGGGGCACAATGAGCTGCAGGGGCCAACTTCAAGCGACGGCGGGATGTCACGGGGACGAGTGGTGCGCGCTCCGATGACGATAGGGCAGCAAGTGAGGAAACAAAACGTTTCGACGACAAGGATGCGGAGTCGGGGCCTTTCCTCTCCCTCCTGGGCGCGTTGTCTTCGGAGAGCAAGCGAGCAGCGGTCGCCCCGAGGCTTGATGAGGAGAGCAGGCACAAGGCCGACCATGTGCATCAGCGAACAACTGGCGAAGATGCGGCTGGCGGCAACGGGGATGTGCTGAGATCCTCGCGAGCGGTCGGCACTCAAGCACCGCTACCGGCAGCGACGTTTTGCGTTGGCGAGCCATTGCGCAGCGACCCGCGTGACGCGCATCTCTGTCGCGAGCTGCTTGACGAGGATGTCGCCGCGCTCTCGTCGACGTCAAGTGGAAACGGGAAGGTGCACTACGAAAAAGTCAACTGGGAGGTAGCTCGTGCAGTCAACGGCATCGAAATTCGCAGAGCGGCGCCGGCGTGCGGCGACCCGGTCGAGGCACAGCGGCCGCCGCCACTCGCACCAACGCTGGTCAGTGGCACGTTTGCGGCGCTCGCACGCCTGACGGGACGGTGTCCAAGCGGATGTTGCATGTCGCAACCTGTGTGCACCCCCTTGCGCTTCACAGGAACAATACGCCGTGCGGCCGCGCCTTGCACAGCGATGGCGAGAAGTGCGGCAGGCTAGCAGCGGCGATGTGGAAGCAAAGACGTCCACCACGCCTGACTTTGAGGTGAAGGAACAACAAGCACTCTTCGCCATGCTCAACAGCTACCACGATGTCCTGCACTCCGCTTACCCATACGAGGCGAGTACGGCAGAACGAAGCCCACAGAGGGACGCATATATCCTGCACATCGGTGAGAAAATGCGGTCCATGACACAAGCCCTTGCACGAAGTGATTTTGGATACCGTCACCACACACGTACGGTGGATCCGATTCCTTCTTCCGCAGCAAGTCACATCGCTCGTGCCGCGGACGCCGTGCGTCGGAACAATCATGCGATCAAGGCAGCAGAACGTGGAGGCAAGGCACTGCAGGCGTTGCCAAGGGACCTGGGATTTGTGCGGCCTCGCGTGCTCCTGCTCGTACCTTTTCGCAGTATCGCTCTTCGGGTAGTCCTCCGCCTCGCGAGCGTTCTGCAGCGCGAAACAAGGGCCGACTCAATTCAGGGTCGAGAGAAACTCATCCGAGAGTTCGCTCTCCAGAGCGGCGACGCAGCGGAGCCGTCGCGCCGCGACGAAGGTCGGAAGGGCCGGAAGCCTGCCGATTTCACTGCGCTCTTCGATGGGAACTGCGACGACCACTTCCGGCTAGGCATCCGCGTCACGCAAGGCTCAGTGAAGCTCTACGCCGACTTCCTGGACGCCGATATCATCGTCGCATCGCCGCTGGCGATCGCGACGAAAGTCGATGAGACGTTGCGCGCGCGTGGATCGGGCGAGTGCGACTTTCTGTCGAGTATCGAGGTTGTGGTAGTAGAGCGGTGCGATATTATGCAGATGCAAAATTGGCGCCATGTGGAGACAACATTCGATAACCTGAACAACATGCCAGAGAAACAGGTGCGCGCCGGACTTTGTACAGCGTCCGCGACAGCGACATGAATGCCTGTTGGCCAGCCGTTCGCCCGGGGTTGGTCGCGCACCCTGTCGCGAGCGCCGGAGTTCTCATCTGCCGCTGCAGAGTGATGTCGATGTCACGCGCGTGCGAGAGTGGCTTCTAGCGGGCCGCGGCAAGCATTATCGACAGACGATTCTCCTTACGTCGTTTTTGTCAACCGATGTCATGTCGCTCTTCCATCGTCGCTGCGCTCCGCACGCTGGTCGCTTGCGTTTGAAAGCGTCATGCTCGAGTGGCGTGATGACAGCTCGTGTCAGGCAGCTGTTTCAGCGTTTTGCCTGCCACACTCCTGGTCAGGATCCAGACGCCAGGTTTCGTCATTTCACGTAAGTACTGCCGCTCTGCATGATACATTGCGATCATCGATGAAGATGACTGCAAGCACAGCTGCGATGCACGGGTGTCACTCTTCGGCGTCTGATTTCATCACGCATGCAGGGCAAAGGAGTGGCCGCGGATCCGAGACGGTAGCGCGACTGGACAAGCCGTCTTCATTCCTTCCTACTTCGACTTCGTCCGCGTCAGAGACTTCCTCAAGGAGCAGGGACAAGGCGCCAACGTCGCAGCACTGTCGGAGTACACGAAGGACTCCGACATGACCCGCGGACGCGCGCTCTTTGTCCAGGGTCGCCGCAAGCTGCTTCTGTACACTGAACGTGCCCACTTTTACAGGCGCCTGAGGTATGTTGGTGTCCACGTTGCTATGGGTTCGCGTTTGCACTGTGCTGGGTCGCCTGTGCCGCGTCCCTCCGAGCAGCCCCAGCCTACGTCACCGAGGCCTTGCTGCCTCGACGGGCGTGCGCTGCAGGATCCAAGGAATCAAGGACCTGCTGTTCTACGCTCTCCCTGAACACGAACAGTTCTACCGCGAACTTGTAGATCTTCTCGAAGTGCGGTCGCGCGGTCCAGGCGGCACGCACGCGCCCGTGGTGGCCATGTTCTGCAAGTGGGATGTTTTGCGCCTGGAGCGCATCGTGGGGGCAGAACGAGTGAAGAAGATGATCAGCGGGGAGGGCAACAGCTACTTGTTCGCCTGATGGCTCGCTGGCCCTGCTGCCCGGCTCGGCCGGAACCCCCGACACGGACGTCCGCGATCATCACGGGTCGCGACCTGGAAGTTGTATCCGTAGCGTCAGAAGATCATGCGCAGAGTCTTGTCATGGTGGTGAGGTGAGGTGTCATAGGCTTTGGGACCTGAAAAGATCATTCGACTAGGTGGCGAGTCATGCTAACCCCCCACCGTTATGGTAGCAACAGGTTCGGCAGCTGTGACAGAGTCAGCCTGGAGCAGATCCTCGATGCCACGAGCAAAGATCGCCATGCCTCGCTGATTCGGCAGGTTCAGAAGATAACGCACTGCAGCGTTGGCAGCGGCTTCCGAGTCGAGTGTTGCAGCGCCGTACAGGTCCTCGAGGTGCTGGCGTAGCCGGCGGTTGAGGGCGAAGCGGCGGCGCTGTCCAACAGTTGCCGTGGAAGACAGGGGCGCATCGGCAGCTGGCGGAAGTGGCAGCGTGAGCTGCCCAGACGAGTCCATGGCCAGGCCCGCTCGTTCCCGGAGAGAGCGTACCGCCGGTGCGCAGCAGTCCAGCAGCAGGTGGCGGAGGTCCTCCGGGGCGGGCGATGCCGCCACGTCCACGCAGAAGCGGCAGACTTTCGATGGGTGCGACAGCGGTGTGTGTTGCCACTGCTGTTCCTGGTCCGCCATGGCCATCGTGGAGGTGCGCAGCCTCGTAGCTCCCACACGCAGGCGGGACAGGGCACGGCGGTCCGCGTGGTAGATCGCGGTGTCGAGCAGATGTGGAGGGATGGTGCGCGGTGGTGGCTGGCACCACCAGGCGTACCTGGCCCGTGTGCGGCCAAGCCCGTGCTGAGTGACCTCGGTCCGGGGGTCCGGGGTTGCCGCGGGCTCGTGGTCCGGCAGCACGACCTGAGCGATCTTTCGTACCCTGCCCACAGCAGGTGCCGGGTGTGGCTGCTGCGGGGTCCCTGGCGTGCCGCCTATCTGAATGATGGCCGCCGCGATGTGCGCTGCCCACGGTAGCTCGCGTTTGCGGAGGCGGTGGGCTGCGGGTTCGGCGCGCCTTGTGCTCGTACGAGTTGTCGACGTCGTGCGTAGTCCCCGTCGGCCAGCGCCGCCCCTGCCTCCCCCGCGCCGCCCGCGACCCCGTGACCGTCCGCCTCGCCCCCGTCCCCGGGTGCTCCGTGGCTGCGACCGCTGGCCCGGCTCATCCGAGTCCGTCAGGGACGTCGTTGAAGACGCAGTAGCGTCGTGCGACCCCTCGTATTCTGATTCGCTGTCGTCGCCAGTGGCAGCCGAGGAGTCCTCGCAGTAGTTCGGCCTCGGTGTAGCGCGGGATCCCCCTCGCGTGGTCCGGTCCAGCGTGCGAGCGGTCACGCGGTTCGATTCAGTGCTGCGGGACGCCGGTGGTGGCGAGGGCAGCGATCGAGATGGTGTGCGGCCGCCCCGTGCCGCGCGTCCCCTGCCTCGGGTGGCCCGAGCTCCGTGGTCTCGGCGGGCGGCGGCCCGTGCTCCTGCGTCGCGCCGGCCCGGCTGCATGTGCGGGGGGAGTTGAAGTTGTCGTAGTCGCCGCTGCTGGTCCGGCGGTGCAGCTCCGTCGTCGTCGTCCGCGTCGTCCGACGGGTCAGGCTCGGCCGCACAAGGGCGGCCCATCCGTGCGGCGCTCGACGATGTCGCGTCGCCCTCCGCCGCCTTGTCATGTGTGACTGCGGAACTGCCGAAGTGACGCAGATAAATGAACGGTCATGCTGGCGACCCATCTCAGCAGCTGACCAGATGCACGGCGCCGCGCGCCGCGGCCCGCGGCGGGTCAGCGGCCGAAGGGTCAGTCGGACCTGAGCAAGGTGGGACATTTGCCAAAATTGGCGGGCAATGAGCGGCTGCGAACCCTGCGCGCTGCGGGCTCCGCTCGTACTCGCGGTCGAGGGCGTATTGCCTGGAGTACTCCCGAAGGCAGTTTTTCGTGGAAGGAAGCAGAAGAGATCGCGGGACATTCGTGCGCGGCCTGCAGTTGAGCACTTGTTCACATCGCGCTGTGTAGTTGGCCACCGCACGGCAGGGCGTGCACTCGCTGGTACCGCCTCGTATTGACACGCATCCCCCAGCGGTGCTCGCGCGAGCCGTTGGACTCCCAACGGAGCGGGCCACCCAACGGCAGGGACATGACCGGCACATGAGTGCAGCGTGAAACTCCGCTTCAACCATCCCACCGGGACTGAGGCTTCGGCGTCAGTAGTGATCATTGCACGATGGTCTGGCCGGACACAATACGGGCGTCGGTTCAGGCCGCAGTTGAGGGCCAAGAGATCGCTTTGCTGGAGCGAGCATTTCAGTGCCTCAAAGAAGCTCTACAGGTAAGCCCACGCCCTTTTGCCAGCAATCGGCGGCAGCGTCCTGACGATTGGGCTCGGGATGCGTGCGGCCACAAATGGTTGGTGCAACCTGAGGACATGACCGTGCACGCGGCATGCATGCCTGCACCGCGGTTCCGAGACGGCCCGTCCCGGGGTCCCGACCGATTGACCAGCACCTGGTTGTCCGGGTCGAGACCATTGGTGTCAGAGGTGTCGGGTGCGCCAGAGAGCGTGGACCTCCTGTCGAGCGGGTGGCGCAGTTCTCCCTGGCACTTGCCATGGTTCACGCGTCATCCGGAGGGGTGTCGGCCGCGCAAGCGTTGCACATTGAGACGAGAACGTGCCATGGGCACTGCGGCGCGTGCTGGAGTAGTAGGACTAGCGAATGGCCGCGAGAAATCGGCAACAACCCGACCACCAAAACAGCAGTCCCACGGGACACAGTTCCTCTGCATCGCTCTGCAATCTCGCCGAGGTCGAAGTTGCGTGATCCAGCTGCTGACGCTGACATGGATCTGCGAGATCCCGTTGCCTGCAGGGCCGAGTGGGAACGGAACGGCCCCAGCGCGACCTGATAATCCATTGCGCCGAAGCGGCCATCGGGCTCGAGGCGCAAGAGATTGCCTCGGAAGCTTTGCACGTATTTGACGCAGAGTCGAGCCATGTTGAAGATGAGGTGAGGGCTCGCGCATGCAACCTGCGACACTAGAAGTGTTGCAGCTCTGCTGCCTTTGATTTCCTGCCTCCGAGACGCTGGCTGCACGAAGGTCATGGGCAAAGTCGATCTGCTGCCCCGTCGCGCAACCACTGCAGGATGGAAAGGCACTGCTCATGCAGTGCAAAGACCAGTTCTGGGTGCGGAGCATGTACGCCCGCGGACTTCTCAAGGCCCTTTCGACGCGTCGTGCCAAGGGCCAGGAGCTCGTCGACAGCACGCTTCAGGCCGCGAACCTGATCATGGCCGGCATGCGCCAAGCAGGCACTAACCCCCGTTACAAATTCCTGGTCTACAACGGGTCCGTGCACTTTTGGCACTGTTCGTGGCCCCTGCATCGAGCAGGCCTGCGCCATCATGTCCTCGCTATGACGAAGGAGTGCTGCGCGCTGCTGCAGTCGGTGGCAGGGACCAGCGAGTGGCGTGCAAAGCTGCTCCTGGCACTCGCGCGGTGCCTTGCCGAGGCGGAACAGGCGGAAGAAGCCGTCAAGGTGTTGGAAGAAGCACGTGTGCTACTCGCAGGGGTCCTGCCGCCTCCTCCGCCGAAACTGGAAGACATTGCCAAGGAGATGAAGAAGAAAGGCGGCGACAAGGACAAAGGGGCCACGAACGCAGCAGTGGAAAGGGCGGCGATGCTCGCTGCCGCAGAGGCTGCGGCAGCAGCGGCAGCCGACCCCGCGGTCGCACGTGCGAAGCACTTGATGCACGAGGTGGTGGCAACCAAGGCGCACCTGATGATCCGCATGGGCAAGGCGAAAGACGCAGTGCCGGTGGACGACAAAACCGAGGATGTCATCAAAGCGGTGGCCTGTCTGCAGTCGGTCCGCAGCTCTCCGGAGATGAGTGTGGAGGAAGTGGAGCAACAGCTGCAACGAGCGTGGGGCTACGTGGACGCCGAGGTGGACCAGCCTCCGCAGCTGGCGAATCTCGCCGTGATTGCTGCTGTGTCCTGGGTGGCAGCGATGCGTGGCGCGCTGCTCCTCGCCGAAGAGACGTCGCGACGCGCACAGAGTTCGCAGGAGGTGCTAGTCAGGTGCCGTGCAGAGCTTTCCGGCGTGCTGGTGCGCCTGCGAAAGCTGGAGAGCGCCAAGGGCGACAAGCTGACTGAAGAAAATATCAAGGGGCGTTGCGCCGTGCTCGCTGCGACAGACCAGCTGTGCTCGCAGTTTTTGCGCATGGGGGACCCAACGGGGGTGCAGGACTGCGCGATCCTCGTGTGGAACGCCTCCCTGCCGCTGCTCCAGCACAACCTCCATCATCACGTGCGCAAGCCGTTTCTCGCGGCGTCACGAGCGCTCGCGGCCATCCAGTCGCCACTCAATCGCCTGCGCGCACAGCTACACTTGGAAGTGGCCAAGTTGGACATGGAGGACGACGCGCCGATCAAAGCGTTGGAACAAGCAAATGCTGGCCTCGCGCTCGACTACCAGGCGGATGATGGCGAAAAGGCCCGCACCGGTCTTGAGCGCCCCCTGGATCGCTTCTTGGAACCCATCAGGCGTAGTTTGTACTTGAAAACCACCATCCAAGAGGAGGGCGGTACGCTGGAGGAACTCGTCATCGTGCTCGTCGAGCGCGCGAAGGACGTCAAGGTGTGCCTTGTGGATGCACAGAGCTCGCCTTTGCGGCCACCTCGGCTGCAGAGTGGAGCAGCAAGCACGTGGAGTTTTCACTCATGCTCGATGCACCCTCGTTCTGCGTGCCGCAGGGACTTTCTGCGAAGCAGGACCTCTTAGAGCGCGCAATCAATCTGTACCGGGACCTCGATGTGCCTGTGGTTCAGTACAAGGAGGGTCAGCGGGCTACCGACGCCCTCCTGGAAGCCAGGCAGCAGTGCGGCGTGTGGCTGTCGATTCTGCATGTGGCGTGGGCGGCCCGCCTTCATCGCCCTGTTCTCCTCGCGGCACCGTACGTGCTCGCCTTCCGATGGGACCCGGAGCGGGACTGGGAGCTCGCAGCACAACAGGCTGAGGCGTGCTACATCGAGGCCGAAGCTGGTGTCCTGGCGCTGCGTGCTGAGGGACTTTCTTTGAAGACCCCTGTTCAGGCTGCCGCTGCTGCCGCGGAAAGCGCCGGCCGCATGGCGCGCCTCGAGACGATGAGGGGCATCGGACAGGGGCGCGGTGCCCAAGTTCGGCCCGCGGCCTTGACGCGCGACGCCATCTGGGCGCGCATTCCGGAATCCATCGCACAGGGGATGGACCTGGCGGCCGGGGCGAACCAGCCGTGGCTGGTCATCAACGGCGGCATCTACACGTGGCAGCTGTACAAGGACGCAATCCAGGAGCGAAGGTACAACGAGCTCGAGCCCGTGGTCGGGCCGGTTTTCGAGCGGCTGATGCGAGCGTCGGACTCGTCTCCGGGAGCCCTGAATCTGCGTCTCGCGTGCCTGCTCGGAGCGGTGTACTGCTCGGCGCTGGAGCACACGTTCCTCGTGAAGAAGTACAAGGAAAGCGGAGAGAGGGAGCAGAAGCGCCCACCATCTCGTCTTCCCAACGCGAAGGCCGGCGATGGCGGCGACAGCGGAGCTACAGCAGCCGCCGTCCTGCCCTCCCGACGCGCTGAAGCTCCAAGCCACCAGCAGCTGCTGGCCATGGCAGCACAACACGGATGGCTCGCGGAGAACGACCCGGGCATCGAGGCTGCCATCATTGCGTGCGAGAAGGTCATGTCGTGTCTGGGCAAGGCGGCCCCCGAGCGTGTGTTTGTCGAAGCGTATTGTCGCGTGCGCTCTCTCGCCGGACGTCCTATGAAGATGGACGGAGTCGGGGAGACGGCCGCGGAGAAGAGTAAGGGCGCCAAGCAGGCAAAGGGCGCCCCCGCCGCCGAGGACGACGCTGATGACGGGAGCGTGAAGATGATGGCGGCACGGGTGGTAACCGCAATTGGAATTTTGGAGAGCAACGAGTTCAACAGGGTTGAGAAGGGATCTGCCTTGACGCGCGGAGCGGGAGCTCTGGTCGAAATGGAGCGGCAACAAGGCCACTCCGACGTCGAGATGTGGGCGAAGCTCGCTAGGGCGGCACAGGGGGCGAACATGCACTCAGAAGCCGTGCAGTGCGCGAAGCACGTCACTGCAGCACTTCTTGGCAAGAAGGATCCACAGGAGATCGACCTCATCGAAGACGCCCCCGAGATCAAGTCTGGGCACACGTGGTACTGGCTGTCGGTTTGTCAGAACGTGCTCAGCTCATCCGTCCTCGGCTTGATTGAGCCCACACAAGACAGCATCATGCAGGCTCGGCTGAAGAGGATGGCCATCAATCACGCTGTTGCCAGCGCAAAATTTGCATCATTCTGTGGACGCAAGGACCTGGCCAACGCAGCGGCGCGGCTGCTGTGGAACGCGTCCGTGGACTTTATGAACATGAACGTCACGCGGCGAACACTTGCCATCCCCTTTTCAGAGGTGTCGTCGGTGCTAGCATCCATGGGGATCGTCGATCCGGACTTCGGCGTGAAGTTCTACCTGGCACTCTCTGATTTCATGAACGAGAACCAGCGATTCGCGGACGGCCTCATGTACTGCGAGGAAGCGCTGCGGATTCTTCCAACGGACCATCACTGGCAGCTGCTGGAATGGAAGGTTCTGTTTGCATCCAAGCTGGGGAGGGACGTCGAGGGAGAGATCCTCCGCATCGCAAGCTACCCACCGGAGACACAGGCGCGAGTCTGGTACACGCTGGCTGTCGAGAGCCGGAGCGCAGAGGACCAGACGCGCGGGCGCAAGAAGGCAGCGGAGGTGCTGAAGGAAAAACCGTGGATGCAGGCGGAGTACATCATGGAGCTGGCCGAGTTCGTCTTGTACCAGGAGAATAACCTAGACGAGGCCAGGCAACTCCTAAACAAGGCCGTGCGCATGGTGGTCCGCTCCGACGACAGCGGGCAGCTTAAGCGCATGCAGCTCCTTCAGCGGCCAGCACAGCTAGCGCAGCCCACGGGAGGAGCGATCGGCGTGCATGGTGAGCTGCGGCGGACACTTGCAGCAATGACCAGCGCGGTGGCCACGGGTGCACAGCCACATGCGATCCTCGACCAGCAGCTGGTGGCATCTGTTGGTGGTCCCGTGCTCGATGGGCGTCCGGGGGCATCGATTGAGCCCTCGAATCTCGAGAGTCTGGAGAGTGCAGAGAGCGACCTCAAGCTCTCGGAGGCGATGCTGGCAGGGCTGCGTAGTCGCGACAACATGTCGAACGCCGCATTGCCGCCCTCCACGTACGCACCGACCGAGCTCGGGGCGGCGAGTCAGGCTGCAGCTCGCAGTGCTGCAGGAGGCGCAGCCACCACGGCGGGACGATTCGCGCCGGGTGGGGCGATGAGCATGATTGCTGGCGCCGCGGCGGGCCGTGTCGCGATGACTGTTGCGCCCTCACTGGGGCAGCGCGCCGCCACGGCCACGCTTGCGGGCGGGTCAGACCGTGGGTCAGATGACTTGTCGCGATTGGTGGTGCGGCGTGAGCCAAAGACGGCACTGCTGACGGTGCACACCTTGGAAACTCTTCTCCGCTCACAGACGTTGCTTCTGGCAGCCGCGGCGACGTTTCCAGAACGGGCTCTCCTCGCACAAGCGGCGCAGAATGTCGCAACTCTCCTTTTGCGGAAGATGTTGGACGGCATCAATGAAGGCACTGCGCAGATGCACGAGCTGCAGCACGAGCACGTGCCCCTAGACCAGACCCCCGACCCCCCTTATGTGCCGTTCTGGGACGACAATCTGAGCTGGGCGAACTTCACGGGCCTGCCCCCGTACGTGGTGGATGTCGTACGCGCCGACAGCCGCGAGAAGCCCGAGGCGGCCCGGGCGGTGGAGCTCGCGCGCCCGCAGCTGGTCCTGACCTTTGTTTCGTACCTCATCGACCAGCTCATCGACTTGGCCCTGCCGCAGCATGGCCTCCCGCTGTGTGCACTGCATCACCTCGCGGGCATTCAAGGCCATCCGAGCCACGCCGTGCACCGTTCGGCCTTTCTGCGCATGCACATTCTGCTCGACTCCCTCGGAATGGGCAGTGCCGCGGAGGAGGCGCTGACGCGCGCGGGCGACCTGTCCATCACGCAGGAAGAGAAGGCTGCCTGTCAAGACGATCTTCAGCACCAGGCCATGTCTGGCGCCCTCGACGCAGCGCAGGGATCGTCAAAGGCCGCCGCCAGTCTGGGCTTCCGCCCTCGCTCACCACCGCTTTCGAAGTCAGGCAGCAGCGGGTCGCTCTCCACGCTGGCTGAGCGGGCATCGAGCAGCGGGTCGGCCTCCGGCGCGGGCCTCGTACGGCAGTCGAGCCTGCGCTCCATGGAGCTGCAGAAGCTCGAAGCAGACATGCGTGCCATCGAGCGGGCGCAGGGCGTCGGCGACGTGGTGCGAGTGCTCGAACCGATGACGGTGCACGACGTGTGGCTGCTGCGCGTGCGACACCTCGTTCAACGCGCGCAGTATGGCCCGGCCATTGAGATCCTGCGCGAAGCCCTGGCTCACGCGGAGGCGTTTGGCGCCCATTATGGCGTGGCTTGGTGCCACGTGCATGCTGCACGCATGGAGGTCCTGGCCAACAACAAGAACTCGGCATTAGAGCATCTTCGGAGCGCGATCCACATAGGAGGGGGGCTGCTCTTGTGGCACGAGCTCAGCGTGACAGCTGGAGAGGCGCTCCTGATGGACGCTACGGCACCTGGACAGAATCCTGCGCAAGAGGCTTCCGAGTTCCTTGAAAGCGTGATCGGAATTTTCTCGCGCCTTCGCAAAGAGCGTCCGGAGTGCGACTGGCATGTCGCGCGCATTCTGGGCGACCTGCTGCTCGTCAAGGCATCAGTGTCTGAAAAGCGTATAGAGGAAGGCCGGCGATCCCTGGTGCCCATCGACTGTTCGCTGCATTTCAACACGGGTCTGCAAAGCCTTCAGACGGCCGTCCACGTGTACAAGCCCAGCGGGGCGTCTCCGCAGCTGGTGTCGACACTGCTCAAGTTTGCCCGGTACCTGATGGACGGTGGCACGGTGCCGGGGCGATCGCTTGACGAGGACCCACGGCCGCGGCTCCGACAAGCGCTGATGGCGATCCGCGAGGCAGAGCAAGCGGCACGCGTCCTCCATGTAGCCTTCTCCCCGACGTTGCAGTGCTCCACATTGTCACCGCTCGCATGCTCACCGGTGACGCGCCAGCTCGCCGAGGTCCGGTCGCTGGAAGCGCTTGTCGAGGTCGAGGTTGGGACGCTGACAAGGCTGCACGCGGAGGGCGACCGCCGCACAGCGCGCGCAAAGTTCCCTCGAAGCGCAGCTTCAGGAGCCGATGATGCTGCAATCGAGGAGTGGCTGGACACGAACAGCTCGCATCGCCGCGACGCGGGCCTGCCAAACTTCCAAAAGGCACTGAGCATGGCTTCGAGTGCAGTGCACCTGGCCGGCCACTCGCACCCCCGTGCGCATGCCGAGGCCTTATTTGCGCAAGGCATGGCACTTTACGTGCTCTACCAGCGCCAGGACGCCATGATCATGCAGGCCGAGCTTGGTGAAGCGCGGGAACGAAAGCGCGAAGGAACCTCACGGGTCGCGGCGCAGATGGCAGCCTCCGGCACGGGTGTCGTGCCTCCCGGCGTTTCACAACGCATGGCCGAGGCAGACGCAGCCAGACAACAGGCGATGGGGTACCTTGCCAAATCGCGGCGGAACCTCGAAGCGTCGATCAGCGAGGCCGTTGAATGCCGGCATCTCGAGCTGGGCCGACGCGGTTGCGAGGCATTGGTCGACCTGCACAAATCGCAGGGGGAAAACGTCGAAGCCTTTTCTTGGCTTCTTCAGGCGCAGTCGTTCCGCGCAGTCCAGGAGCTGGAAGGCTTGTACAGGTCCGCGTCTTCGCCACAAGCTCTTGAGAACTTGAAGTTGCGGCAGCGCGATGCCCTGGAGAAAAACGTGGTGTGTCTGAAGCAATCGCGATACTACAACAAGACGCTCTCGGACCTCCGCGGTCTCTCGCCGATGGCGGGCCTGCTCGATGTGTCGCAACCCGTCAGCACGGCGCTGGCGGCGGCGCCAGAGGACCACGCCATCCTGTGCATGTATCTCTCTGTGGATGGCCGGCACATGTACCTCGGTCTCCGGCTGCCCGGACCAGAGTACACGTGCTGCATTTGTCATGCGCGGGTCGATCCGTCGTCTCTTCAGGACATGGTGGCGAACTTCAAGCACTTCCAGCGGTTCGCAAACGACACGTTCGTCCAGGCCCGTAATTTGCGGCAGCCTCCTGCCGTCCCTATGGAGCTCGTCATCGACCATTTCCTGCGCCCTGAGTGGGACAAGGTCATGTCTGGCCTCAATGCAGTCCTGACACCGTTCATAGCAATGCTGCTATCTGACTTGCCCGAAGAGGTCATTGACCGTGTTCGAGAGCCACAAAGCGAAGATGAGGACCAGAGCCCTCTCGAGCACGTGTCTGCGGGAGTGAAGACCGCGGAGGCTGCTGTGAAAAGCGCACGCAGTGGAGCGGATGCTCTGGCGCAGGGCAAAGGCGGCAGGAGCAGGTCGTCGCAGGAGCAGATGCAGACGGCAGAGGCGCAAGCGAAACAGGCCGACGCGGAGCTGCATGCTGCGCAAGAGCGATTGGAAGAGGCCGAGGGCAGGAAGAAGCCAGTGCAGTGGGAGAAGATCCTTGCAGACCAGCCACTGCTGCTTCTGCTTGATCCGCAGATTGGCAGTCTTCCGATCGAGCAGCTCTCGCTCGTGGCTGGTGCGGCGTCTGTCGGCCGGGACTTCTCGATGCACTTCCTGTGCAATCGGCTTGCTCTTGCGGCAAGACAGGCTGGAGGGTCGCCTGCGCCTCAAGAGACGAAGGGCGCGAAAAGTGCACCGGCCCCGCCGGCTGCGGGGGGTGGGACGGAGATTGATCTGGGCAAGGCGGCGACCTTCGCACTTTCTGCGCTGACCTACATCGTGGACTTGCGCGCTGAGGACGATCCAGGTGCGTTCGAGGGCCGCGCTTCGAAGGATCTCATCGCAGAGTTCTCGGAGGCGTACCTCCCGAACGTCGGAAAGTCCTGGGAGGGCGTCATGGGCGGAGGATCGAAGGTTGCCGGCGAGGACGAATGTCTTGCACTCATGGAGTCGGCCAAGGCGCTGCTGTATCTGGGCATGGGCCGCTTCGCTGCCTTCGTGTCTCCGCGCGCGTACTCCAGCATCGACATGAAAGGCTGTCGCCTGGCGATCATGGTCGGGGGAGTGGTCAACGAAGAGCTCGATCGTCGGCAGGGCGCCCTGGATGTGCGCAAGTTGCCGTGGGAGTTGGCATCGGAGTCACCGTACGAGACGGCAGCCATCCTGTCGCTCCGTGGCGTGACGACGGTGGTAACCAACATGTGCACAGCACACCCCGACGTCAACGTGCACGTGCTGAAAGTCCTGCACGACATGCAGGACCGTGGGGCCGGGGACGTGGGGCGCGCACTGCGGGCGCGTCTGCACACCTGTCCACCAGGTGCACCGCATTCAAACAGCAACTTCGCCATCTACGGCTGTCCCTTCCTGAAGCCTGATGCTTAGGGTGGAGTGCGGGCCAGACGAAGCTGTTCGCCACGTGGTCTTATTCTTGTGGCCAACATGATGCGCCGTGTGGCGGTGCATCGAGGACGCGCAGATCCGCGATTTCGTCTCAGCGCTTGATGCTCAGAGCGGCCGTGCGTGGCGTTGTAATCCCCCGGGGTACAGTCACACCGAGCATCCAGCAGCAGCTGGCCCCCACAGTCCGGTCACGCTGTGAATTCAAGTCGCTGGCTTTCGGCATTTTGAGCGCCGTCGATGCGAATCTCTCGTATTGTTATACCAGGAGCGGCCCGAGTAGCGGGTGACGTGAGAGACTGTCACCTGACGTGCGTGATGTCTTGCGTGTCTCACCGGGCAGGGTCGCCAGCCGACGACATCGGGACGCGTGGTGGGGCTTGCCGACGACCATCCGCACGTCCGCGGGGCATGTCACGCATCGAAGACTTCACTCAAGCCGCGTGCGCAGGTGCTGGGACCCCGACATCTGTTGCTGCAGCTTGCTCATCCTGCGTGCGGGTACTCCACCGCGTCGTTGCTTTCGGCCACCCCTTTCCTTGGTCAGTGTGACCTCCGGTGTGACACGTTTGCCAGACTGCTTGTCCATTACACGGTGGTGCACAGTGCTATCAATTCATTTCCTCAAGTGTTGTCGACACACGTCGACACTTCGATTGGGGGGAATCAGACTCACGCGCAGCCTACGTCCGCCCTCCCGTCAAGCGCTGCAAGTTGTCGAGCGAGGTGCTGCGCACTGGTGCTGGGCGGCCTGCAGAGAAGGCAGAGCACTTTCCGCCGGTGTGTCTTCTAGAGAGAGGCAACAAAACGAATGCAAGAATTGCGATCCGAGACCACACCTGCGGCGGCCATGCCTGCTGGATCGTCGTCGTCCTGAAAGTCGATCATCATACTCATGAACGGTCCAGGCACCTCCGCATTGCTCAGGCGGCTCGGGCCTGGCTGCCTTTCAGGTTCGGGATCCCCTGCATGGGCGCAATCAGTGGAAGCGTATGCGCACTTGATGGAGCTCGCCAGGTGCCCCGGCGCTTGCACGGGTGCACTTGAACGCACCCCGGGGCACGTCGAAGAAATGCACAGGTGCTGAGCACGAAAAGACGTCCCCCTGCTGAAAGCCAACTGCCGTCAAACTCAAGGGGGCGGCGCTGTGTGCCTGTAGCGCTTCATTCGACGGCATCACGTGGACGACCTGTGAAGCGCCCAAAGCTACATCGCCGTTGTCTTTCGATGTTGGCCGAGACGAAAGCCCGTGACGGGTGAAAGCTTCGTTGACGATGGGCGAGGGCTGCGTGAGATGCATCGGCGTGCGGGTTGCCGTCCGCCTGCCAGTTGCTCTGCTGCCTCTCTCCTGCTCGCGCTCGCGCTCGGTCTGCAACGCTGCTTGGTCTGCCGGCGAAAGGAACGCCGCATACTCTGCAAGTGGGTGGATTGCAGAATGCGCGTTTGTTGTCAGCGCCTCCCCCCCTGCACGCGATGTGGGTGCAAAAATTATGGGTGCGAACACACCCATAATGTCGAAGTTCGTGACCGACTGCAAGCCTTTCTGTCGCACAGCCTCCTGGTCGTACGCGATCGCTGCGCTCAGTGAGAATTTTTGTCGCGTTTTGCCAGCGTGCGTGAAAGGGTCGCCATCTGTATTCGGAAGCAAGGAGCGGGCTGCACCAGTTTCTGCCGTCAAAAGCACTGCATCGTCCTGCAAGGCAATTGTGTCGGAAACGCTACGCACGCGAGGCAGGCACGCAATGGGGGTGCGAACCTGCTTCTACCTCCGTCTCAAAGAGCCCAAGGTATTTGTACTTTTTCCCCACCATGCTGCCGATGCGAGCTTCCCATTTGCCCTTCTGATGTTTCGTGACGCCGCGGAACCGGCTGCTGCCCCTTGCGAACCCCTTACTTTGTCTGCGGAGGCTCACGATGAGCTCCTCTTTGGTCAGGCTGTCCAGATTCGCGAGCTCCTGCTCATAGTTGCGGATGTCGAAGTTTGTGATGGCATCTCTCGACCGAAACTTGATCGCAGCGAGATCGTACGCCAGGGCTGCTGCTTCCTCACTCTCGAAACCGCCCAGGTAGACCTGCAAATGCAAATGAGTACCTTCGAGTGAGCCATTTTACGTTTACGGCATGCCCGCACGCTCGCGATCGAGCACACCAGCGCGAAACCGTCTCGAGGGCCGTCTCACCTGCTTGCCCTCGTGCCACACGTGCGCCTCGAATCGCCCCGTGCGGCAGTGCAGCGTCACACCGCGGTACTGTGACGTGCTGCGCACGGACTGTCGTGGCTGAGCAGCGCCACGGCCACCTCCACCAGAAGACGGTCGCTTGCCGCGGGAACGAGCGCGCGGAGAGGGCGTCGGAGGAGGTTGACTTCGCGGCCGTGCAGAAACCTGCTCAAAACCCATTGATGAGAGGGAGAAGAAGGCGCGGTGAGCGACCGCTTTGGACCATGGCGGAATTCGTTGTGTAGATTCCGACCGAGCTCGCTCACCTGTCGCGTATCTGGCTCGTCCACGGAAATATCGCCGACATCTGGCTCGGCGAACGCACCGGGACCAAGAGAATGAGATCGAGGCCTCAGCTGGTAATTGCCCCGCATCTCACGCACTCCCTCGCTCGGTGCCCTGCGTGGACAGCATGCCTCGTGACGATCTCACGGCACGCAGCTGCCAAATACTGAACGTTTGCTACGAAATATTTGGCGCTTCCGAGGCGCATCGGACGCCCAAGCAGGCCAGCCGAGGCAGGCGCGCTCGCTTCGAGGTGCTTACCTGTGGCGCGCATGCAGACGCGGAAGCTTGGCCGAGGTGCGGACCTCTTGCAACGCGCCGTCATTGCCGGGATCACTCAAGAATCGCTGTCGCGGCCCTGGTGACGGCGGCACACCGGCGACGCGTGCGAGAGACCCCGCCGAGGTGTCGAAAAACGAGCCGATCTCCAGGTCGCCGTAGACGTTGTTCGTGTCTGGGTACGGCGGAGGGCGGCGTGCGAGGTGATGCCCAGCCTCTGATGAATGAGCTCGATCGTCCGCGAGCAAGCACGCCGCTGCTCCAACGGCGGCGTCGAAGGTATTTGACCAGGCGTTTGGCTCGTCGTCACCTGCAGGCGCGTCACGAGCACGCATTCAAGCAGGTGAGCGCTCATGAGCCTTTTCCCCCAACTATGCGACCTCGATCTTCATTGGGCCCCACGTTCCCGACCTGCTTGTGCACGCAGAGGTGTGTCCTGCATCTCGAGGCCCCCGCGGAGATGCAAAACAGACGCGTGGAGCGGCTGGTCCAGATCGTGCGAAGTTGGGTGGTTGCCCCAAATCCCTGTGTCGCGGATGAGGTCCTTCAGTTCGCTGTCATAGAGGCCTTCGAAGTGTAGATCGGCGAAAGGATCGTCATCACCGCGTGTCTGGCCACCAATTTCGTCGCCTTGTGCCTGCCTCGGCCTGTTGGAAGCAGCCTTGTTGTTGGAATCCATACCTCACGAGGCGCAGTGGGCAGCACTAGACAAGGCTGCTGTGAGGATTGCTGGGCCCGGAATATCGTCTGCGTGGCTGGGGCACCAGCGAACAAAGCACTCAGGGGGGAACGGAAACCGTTTCGAACGCTGGCGCTTCCTTGACCAGGTCGGCGTTCGCTCGCACGCAGGGGGGGGGCGTCTCACAAAAACAGCCCACAGATGTTCCCATGCACGCTGATGTGCATTCATGAACGGTCTGCCGAGCCCGTGGTCCGCCCTGGGCTCTTGAAAGGGCCGTCGCCCCCCCGTTTGCACTCGACGAGGCAGAGTTCGATGTCACCTAGGCACGCCGCAGCTCCTCCGTCTGGTGTGGTTTGCCGCTCCTTCGATGAGCGCACTAGCGAAGATGGAGCGATAAGTGTCCTGGCCGCGTCCGATCTCGCCACGCAGTTTTGTCCTCATCCTTCGATTCGAGCATCAGATGCCCACAGGCGACATCTACATCTGTGTGCTTCAGCCGTTTCCGACGCGTTACCTGCGGCCCCGTTCGTCCAGCGCGTCACTGTGAGGAGCTTGTGCCGACCCTTTCTAGCCTCTGTAGCGCGCGCCCCGCGAACTCGGGGTTTCGAGGTGTGTCCACCGTGATGCGCCCTGCTCAGGTGCGATGCTGCTCCTGCTTGGCAGCGTCGTCGCCGCCCGCCGTGTCATCATGATGGTCGCTGCCTTCGCCGATATCTAGCCCGCGAGATTCCGCGCCGAGAATGCCCCCGTGTCAACCTCCCGCGTGTCCTACACGTCTCCAGCGCTGACACACTGGCGCTTGTGCGGCACGTGCCATGTACTGGCCCAGCGCCCCGGACCTAATCACGCACCAAACTTTCGGGTCCAGTGGCGTCCCGAAGCCCGCCACGTGCGGTGGTGCCCTGAGGCGAGGGGCACTCCTGATGTTCTGTCCGACTTTGGTCCGCCGGGGCGTTCTCGCGGGAGCGCGGTTGTCGCGCCCTCTCGACCGCCGCGCCGGTGCCACCGGCGCCATTTTAGCGGGGCGAAGCGTGGAGTGACCGAGTCAGACTTACTGGGTGACCCAGGGTCAGTGGCGCCGGCTCATGGTTGGGAGGCCGGCTCGGCCGTTCGATGCAAGATGCGGCACTGACGACCGAGTGAATCGGTCCTGGTCCGGCCAGGTCGTGCCAGACTGTTGTGACGCGGAGCGCCTGACGGCAGCAAACGATCAACGCTGCCGTGGGCGCGACATGCGGGCCACAGAGCCGCAATGAAAGATTTGCATCCGCCTTGTGCTGTGCCATGGGTGGTTGAGCAAGAAGTCGACGTACTGGTAGATCCACAAGCGCGGGAATGTCGTGGGTGCGTCCAACCGAGCTCTGACCAGTGCTCACAGCGCCAGCGCCCCCTTTTCGATCGTCCCGACATCTCAATGGGCTCATCGCAGGGTTACCAAGCTGCTGATCCATGATCCAGGGCCCGCGTTTGCGCGGGTCGGGTTGTTTGCTCGCGGCATTGAAGTCCTCAGCGTGGATGTCGATGGGCGTCGCGTGCAGCACACCATTGGTCCTGCAGATGACTCTTTCGGAGAGCTCCAGCAACTCATCGAGTACGAAGAGCCCGAAGAGACTGCCGTGCCGCTGTCAGAAGACGAGCTGCGAGGGTTCGCGCAGTCCGCCCACCGTTGCCTGCACCGGTACGAACGCACGTGCCAGCTGTGCTAGACAGCGCCCCCTCTTGTCCGGTGCTCACGCCTCCGTCGACCATTTCGAGCACATCCTCGCCGGCGCACTGCATCGATCGTAGAGAAAAGCTCGAGCGACCAGTGCTCAGTTTGAAACGCCCGTGATGTTCGACGGCGCAGCGCGCGTGTGCGCGAAGATGATGTGGTAGACGTCAAGACCGAGCGCAAGCGCAAGGGCGATGCGATGCCCTTGCTGAAGTGGGCGAGAGAGCCCGACCTGTCGATACCAATCTGTCCATCACCATCCTCCGTCGAGGGCGAAGCCGGCCGACATCTGTCCAAAGCGCTTGAAGTCACGATTATGTACATCGTCAACGGCGGGGGCTTCCGATTCCACAACGGTTGGGCCGTCAGCGCGCACGAGCCACGGTGCGCGCGAGCATGGGTTCCGTGCGTCGACTTGGTGTCGTCACTGACGCGGTGGCGCCTCATGGTGACGGCACCGCTTGGCATGGCCGCTGTTGCGACTGGGGACCCGGTTCCGTCCCGAACCGCGTGGCTGTCGCCATCAGGAGCGCGTGTCGAGAGCCCTGCTGTTCCAGAAGCAGCCTTCTGCCGTCGCGAGTTCAGCGTTGCGCTTGAAACATCGGCGCGCATGCTTGCGATCGTCGTCGGGCCATTCACGACGAGATCGGAGGTAGTGCCTTTGCCGACCGCCATCGCGGTGGACAAGGAGTACGAAAGGTGGCCACACCGCAACACGTCGTTGCTGGTGTCTTCTGAACCAGGATTCGGGGAGCTGGCGCGGTCTGTAGCATGCGTCATGGCCAGCCAAATCATTCCGCGGATCTCTGGCACTGTCGCGGCGCCCTATCCCGTCGGGGCGTGCTTGAACATCGTTGTTGTTCCTGCCCAGGTGAGCCAGAAACCCCATCCCGGAAACGATGTGGATGCACAACATCAGCATGGTCTGCGCGTGTCGAAGCAGGGGCGCCGTTCGGTGCTGCGCAGGCGATGACCGGCTCGTTCTGTGCACTGCATGGGGTGTTGCTTTTGGCCGATGCAACCCTGGCAAAGCTTAGTGAACCCCAAGCAACTGTGTCCTTAATCCGGTCACTGGGACTGGGTTACGCGACGCAGTACTTCGGCGTACTTGTCACGCCATGCGAGCCGTCGGACTGCTGGACCACAGCAGCATGCGCAGCACATCTGTGCGCCTTCGTCGAGAGAGCCGTGCTCGGCAAGAACGAGACGGCGTTTCGAAAGCTTCAACAGCGCCGCGCAGTGCTTGAAAGGGAAGTCATGGATGCGGGCTCACACCCGCCGCCGCCCTTGAAGGCCTTGTCAGACGCGCAGCTCGCGGAGGTGCAGTTCGCCGACGAGCAGGAAGCCGCGCGCGAAGCTGGGCGAGAATCGTTTGGGGGAGCACATGACGCCGATGAGGCCTCGGAGGTGATGTGCGGAGGTGCTGGTGGGGATTTGCTGCATGCATGGAAAGCGGAGTGCGTGATGGACATTCTGGAGCGCATGGCAGGGCACGAGGAAATTGCAAAACGCCTGAATATCATGGTCAGGGACGCGCTCCGAGCAGCGAGGCGAAGCTTGGCATCAGGCACCTCGTCCCTAGAACACACCGCACCAGCAACGCGGCCAGCGCATCCTGCGCGCATGGGCGTCACGGCGTCGCGAACATTTGTCCGGGTTCGACCCCCCCCTGCTTTGTCGAGCTTCTGGTCACACATCACGTTTAGGAGTTCATGAGCTCTCTCATGGACTGAGAAGCGACTCACAGCCGTTGCCGCAGCGTACCTGCATGCTGCCGTGCTCGACGATCTCGGTCAGGCGTGATTCATCTTCCCCTTCGCATGTTTTTGCCGTGCGCAGAGCATGCTGTACAAGGCCGGCCGTCGGGCGGAGCATCATGCCTTCCTGCGACGGTGGGTCCTCGGGCGTGGCGCCGAGACGCTTCTCTGCTCTTGGATATATCGCCGGGCAAACTCCCTTTCTGTCGCCGTCCTTCACTGCGGGTCCAGGGAGGCGAAGCTCACTGCCCGGGGGGCGTCACAGATGGCGATCAAGCACGGAGTCGGCGTCGGCATGCTGCGCGTTCAGATAAAGGAAGAGGGCATCGACCCGTACGAGGAGCAGATCCCCTTGGGCCATCAGGGATCGGCGTACAGGGACTTCGTGTGTCGCACCAAGCCCTCGAAACCACGCGGGTCGAAGGCGCGGCCGGGGGACGCCGCGCCCGACGACGCTGCAAAGACGGAGGAAAAGCACCCGGTAGAGTGGGTTCGGATCGATCCCGCAGCGGAGTGGCTAGTGAACGTCGTGATGCACAAGCCAACAATGAAGCTGTGGGATGCGGAGATGGGGCGTTCGAAATCCATCGCAGCACAGCTTCGAGCCATCGACGCATACTTGTGGATTGCGGATAGGCACCCGGAGGGCATCCCCGCGGTGCTGAGGGCACTGCACAGTGCTTCCGAGGACGACGCATCGCACTGCCGCGTACGTGCCCAGGCTCTCGTTGCGCTAGCATCCGTCGTTTCCGCTGCTCAGAAGCTTTCAGCATCGAAGCTGGAGGGCGCGCAGGCGCAGGCAATCGCGGGTGCGCTGGATGACCTGATGAACGGGTTGCTTCACAGCGTGAGCGCTGCGTGCCCTGGGATGGATATGCGGCACGCTACGGTGGACCTCTCCGCGTACACGGTGATGAGGTGCATGCCGGCAGTTCTGGTTGCATTTCGGGATGCTGCGGGGTACACGCGTCAGGATGGCCTGGAGCTCTTGTTGGACATCCTCCTTCATTCGTCCAGTGCGGGGAGCGCCCGGGATGACACTGGCTTACGCGTCGCGATCATCGAGGCGCTTGGACAGTCGGCTCCGAGTGACCGGGAAACGCTCAGACGAATTCTATCCGAGATCGATCGTCACCTGGCTCGCGACAGGGTAAGAGCTCATGCCAACCCCCTTTTGACACGCACGAATACGCTCTCTCGAGACGTCCGCACTCAGTCTAACGAAGTCGCGGATTGTGCGCAATTCGAGGTCGTTTCGAGCGCCGACAACAAGAACTACTCTCCATCTCTTGCTTGCCTGCAGGTGGTGCCCAGTCAAAAATTGGCCATCTCATGCGCCTGTCTCACATCGATCACGTCCCTTGCCATCTCCCATCGGACCAGGGAAGTCATGTCGGCGGCGAAATCGCTGTTGGCGTCCTTCGTGGAGCCCACGCTGCCGGTGTCTCTGTGTACATGTGCACACTGGTGCATGACCGGTGTGTTTGCGTGCGAGACGGGCACCGAATCCGCGCTTCGGTACGTCGGTCGCGTCGTCAACGACGCGAGTGTACCATCCGCGGTGAAAGTGGGTGTGCTCAACCACACCGCAAGCTGGGCTTTTGAGCTTCGCCACGGGACGGACCTCGTAGCAATGTCGCGTGCCGCTTCCAGCCGGCAACTGGGCGTTCCGGAGTCTGCCACAAGACTGGAGATCTCTCGCGGAGCGCTGGGACCACTCGTGCGCGCAATGACAGACTCTTCGGATCGTGCTGTGCAATACGCTGCATTTCGTGCTGTGCAGCGCGCGGCAGGACATGGACCATACCTCTACCGGCCTTCGTTTGCACGCGAGCGTGAAATCGTCTGTCCGATGGACAACGGGATGACGCAGGAGGACGTGCGCAAGGCTGAGGCAGCTATGAACTACCAGGTGGACACGACGGATCGACTCAAGAGCAGAGCGACCGCTCGCCAAGCTGTAGCACCTACTCCCAAGAAAGCGAAGAGGCGGCCGCAGAAGAAGGCGGCGCCTGTCAAGCAGCCGCGCTCTGTGCCAACAACAGACCCCGTGATGCAGACAGCTCCGGCTGCGGTACTCCAGGCCGCCCTGCCTACCAGGATCAAGCTGCGAACCCCGGCCGTAATTTCTGCTGCTGTTGCCGAGCCCGCCTCGCGAGCAGCTTCGCAGCTGCCGCAGTTGGCAGCCAAAGGTCATCAGGTAGATGTCGGAGCTTCAAGGAAAACTCGCCGCGCTGCTCCCAAGCCGGGAACATACGCGTGGGGCGACTTCGCGGAAGAAGACTCTGGCAACGACGAGTCGGACGAGGACTCCCGATTCAGCGAAGACTCGGACGGCTCGGACTATCATGCTAGCAAGAGAGCTCAGACACGGAGAGCGAAAAGGACGCGAGCGGGGAAGCCTAGGCGCGGTGCACACGTGTCAGATGACGACTCGGAGATGGCTCAGGCGACTTATAACACTCGACGTGAAGGTCGTGGACACCCGGACTACAGGGCCATGGCAGGTGGGTCTGGGGACGATGGCAACGACAGTGACAGCGCGTAAGTATCGGGTGCTGCTGCCTCAAAGAGCGCCAAGCACCTGGGCCAGTGCCGTTCAGTCCAATCACATTCAAGGCAACCCAGCACGGACTTGGCGGCACACGGGCCACGTACGCCTGGTGGTGTCATTTACAGTGAACCACCGCCGCGCGCCATCCCGCCGCACCTGCTCGACACCGTGATCTACCATGTGGACCGCCGTGCCCTGTCCCGCCTGCGCGTGGGAGCCACGAGGCTGCGCACCTACACAATGGCCATGGCGGATCAGGAACAGCAACACACACCGCTGTCGCACCCATCGAAAGTCTGCCGCTTCTGCGCGGACGTGGCGGCATCGCCCGCCCCGGAGGACCTCCGCCACCTGCTGCTGGACTGCTGCGCCCCGGCGGTACGCTCTCTCCGGGAACGCGCGGGTCTGGCCTTGGACTCCTCCTCTGTGCTGCTCACGCTACCACCTCCGCCCGCTGCCGACGCGCCCCTGTCGTCCACGGCAACTGTTGGACAGCGCCGCCGCTTCGCTCTCAACCGCCGGCTGCGCCTGCACTTCGAGGACCTGCACGGTGCTGCAGTACTTGACTCGGAAGCCGCTGCCAACGCTGCCGTGCTGAACCTGCCGAATCAGCAAGGCATGGCGATCTGCGCTCGTGGCATTGAAGACATGCTCCAAGTTGACTCTGTCACAGCTGCCGGACCTGTCCGACCTGTTATGGTAGCGCCGCTACGGTAGCGGAGTTAGCATGACTCGCCACCTAGTCGAATGATCTTTTCAGGTCCCAAAGCCTTATGGCTGACGACGCGAAGAATGTAACACCTCACCTCTCTGTGAGGCCGGTCCACCGCTGTGGACCCATTTCAGCAATGGGTCCCTCAAGCGTCCACATTGTCTACCCTGTCTGCTGTGTGAGTCTCGCCTGCCGTACCATTTCGGTCGCTCCGGCATCCTCGCGGTGAGGGTGCTCGTAGGTCAGCGAAGAACTGTCCTCGCGGCGAGGGTGCTTGTAGGTCAGCAAAGTACTGTCCCCCCCTTCCGTTCCGAAGTTCGGAACGGAAGGGGGGGACAGTACTTCCGTTCGGCGAACGGAAACGGTTCGGAACCGTTCGGGAACTTCGGAAGGCATCGTGATATGGGGTTTGACCTCGCTTGAGCAAGCGTGACTGCGTCACGCCGCCGGTGGCTGCCGGGAGCATGTCGCATGTGCACACTCGTCGCCTGCAGTCCAATATGTGTGTCCGGGCCGCACGCCAGGCGCTTTCCTTGCGCTCACTGGCAAGGGCGACTGTGAGATTGGAGCGCCGGCAGAGTGTCAAGGCACCGATAGCACGGGAAGCAAGCCCTCGTGACGCGCACTCAGCGACGGGCGGGCTGCATATCGCAGGCCTGGCCGAGGCTCAGCGAGAGCAGGCAGGCCTTTTTATTGACATGTTGCTCGACAGGAATAAGCACATGAATCTAACAGCCGTGAGGTGCGCTGTGCCGACGACCGATGAGACACGGGTCGCATGAGACACAGGGCGGAGACTCTAGGCGCCTTGCGCTTCCGCACGGCGTCACCCCGAAGCACGCCCATTGTTTCCCTGCGCGAAGGACTAAGGACGAAGCGATGCAGCGGCACGTCGAAGATTCGCTTGCTCTCGGGCACGGGATCAACCGGCTGTGGAACCAGCACACACAAAACGCAGGGCACCAGGGCCTACCAAGCGCTGGCTGCGAGCCTGCGCTGCGCCTCGTGGATATCGGCGCTGGCGCAGGTCTTCCCGCGATCGTGCTTGCGATTCTACGGCCAGACTGGGAGGTAGTGGCGCTCGACACGCTTCAGAAGCGTTGCAAATTTATGGAGGAAGTAGTTTCAGAGCTCTCCCTGCCGAACGTCCGCGTGATCTGGAGCAGAGCTGAGGATGCCGGGCGCGATGCCGATCTGCGAGAGAGCTTCGACGTCGTGACTGCCAGGTGCTCTTTCGTGAATGCACTCTCACTTGCCAATGGCTGGTGGCTGCTTGCCACCATCTGTTACATGTTCACGGCTCCCCATCCAGCGGTGCGCAGGGCGGTAGCAGAGGCACGCGTCCTCGCTGAGTTGTCTTTGCCACTGGTGCGCGTCGGCGGGCTGTGGGTGGCCGCCAAAGCGACCGACGTCGCAGAGGAGATGGGCGCTGCTGGGAGGGCCGGCAGCGAGTGCGGAGGGGGATCGATTCGACAGGGCAAGTGATCGCTGCCGGAAATCGTGCTCGCACGCACGGCGGCGGAAAGTTCCGAATTATGTCCAGTACGGACTGCTCAGCAGCTCTGCTCAGCAGTGCTGGGGTTCAGGAGGTTCGCGAGGGGTAACCGTTTACCCCTGCACTGTCACAGTGCAGGGGCTTTGCTCAGCAATGCTGTGCGGTGCCTGTGGCGGAAATGCTCTCGTCAGGGGCTTGGTGCCACCTGCTGCTGAGCCAGTGGCACAGAAGAAGCAACTGACCATCCGCACAAGAAACGTTGGTATGGCGTCGGGCCATCACGCCCAGATGGTGCAGCGGTGGCATGAGCACGCGGATCACAGCCAGAAGCCCTCACAGCAAAGCTTCAACTTCCACACAGGGTGAGGTGGATCGCCAGCGATCCACTTCGCGCGTTCCCGACGCGGATCTCGCGTCCTTGTTCGATGGTTCGCGGCGTCGGCAACACCCCCGTCCTGTCGACGATGTTTCGTCGTTCTCGCATCGGCTTGCCTTGATGCACAGAACTGTTCGTATCAGCTCTGCAGCTCTACGTGGCTGGTCTCCGCGGCGTGCATGGCCAGCTCCGCGTGCTGCATCTTCCACGACGCCGGCGAGATCTTCAGCTCGTTCACGCGCAGCGTCGCCAGCTTCGCCCCGGAGTACTTCTCGACGATGTGGTCCAGCGCGGCCTTCTGGGCGTCCGACACAGGGTTGGCGAACCGCGCGAGCGTCATGTGCATGATATCGACCTTGTACGGCTCGAACAGCGGCAGCCCCGCGCGCGCCATCTCCTTGCGCACCGTGTTGCGCACGTGGTTTACGTCCGCGGTCGGATACCCGGTCAGCAGCAGGTTGCCAGGTGTGCAGATGAGGCGATCGAAGCGGACCTCGAACGACGGCAGGCTGGCGATCAGCATGGCCTCAACTGCTTCGCGGTACTTCTCGTCCGTCGGGCACCCAGCGTACATGCTGAACGTCACCAGCTGCATCAAGGTGAAATGTAGACGCCCCGACATCGCGCTTGGACGCTCCTCTACCGTGTAGACGACCTGATTGGAGCCGAGCGCGCATGTGAGGTCCGTCATCAGTTCCCCGAACTTGGCACCTCCGAAAAAGTTGTCCTTTGAAGCCAGCGTGTACACGGCCAGACACCTGCGGGCGTCCTCGGAGCACAGCTTCTCGTCCGACCGGAAACCCTTCACCGCAATGGTCCTCTTGTTCCGCTCGTACATCTCGTCGTACACACTGTCAAGCTGCTTGGTCGCAACCAGCGTGATGACCTCTTTGGCGAAAGCCTGCACCTGCGAGAGGCTGCGAACGTGCCAGCAGCGCTGCACCCCGACGATGCCGATCTGCTGGCCTCTCTCAATCGCCTCGTTGTACACCGGCGCGAGGAAAAACCCTCCGCTGACACGCGCATTCTTGGCTATCATGCTCTCGGCCGACGCCACGAAGTCCGCACCATGCTTCCAGAAATACGTCCCGGTGCAGGCAAGGTTGCTGATGGGGGCCTTCTCTCGGATGGAATCCACAGCGACCCCATCGGGGGCAAGCTGGATATAGCTCCATCGCGGGTCGCTTCCCTCGCAGATCGTCACTGCGCCGTCGCCAGTGCTGTCGAGAATGTCGCTGACGTCCTTCTTCCAGCGCAGCACGTGCCCGCCATCGCAGATCAGCAGCGGCCGGTCGTTGTCGACCAGGTGCTTCGCGCGCAGGACCGTCTTCGCGGCCCCGAGCGTCGGCGCGCTGAGCGTCAGCACCGTGGTGGGCGCGAAGTTCGTCGCGCGCGACAGCAGGCTGGGCAGGCTGAACGCCTCGGCCTCGACCGCGGGCACGATGAACGTGAAGTGCACCTTCCGCCCCGAGTTGTTGACGCTCTCGACGACCCACTCGATCAGCGGCTTCCCGCCCACGTCGGCCAGGTACACCGGCACGCCCTCGGGCAGCCGCTCGGGGCCCTTGAGCCAGTACTGGACGTGGGAGCCCGCAAGCGGGAAGACCACGTTGACGTGCGTGTCGAACTGCTTCTCGACCTCGAAGATCCGCGGCAGGAGCTTGCTTGCGCGGACGTCGTGGGGGCCATCGACGCGCAGCAGGTTGCACCCGGCGCGGACGACCGACTCGAAGCCCTTGACCGAGTCCTCGACGACGGCGACGGAGCTCGGCGGGACCGAGAACGACTTGGCCGCCTTAAGGTAGATGTCCGGCGCGGGCTTCGCGGACGGCACGTCCTCGTTGGAGAAGAAGGCGTCCACGAGGTGCAGCACGCCGATGGCCTCGAGGAGGCTGGAGACTGAGCTGCGGATGCAGTTTGAGGCGACGGCGACGGGGAACCCGCACTGCTTCAGCGCGATGATGGTGTCCTGAATGTCTGTGTCGGTGCGGATCTGCTGCCGGAAGAGCTCCTGGGTGCGCTCCTGCTTGTACTGCCACACCTCGTTGTGGAGGTCCACGGGGAGGCCCTTCTGCGCGGTCAGGATGCGCAGCTTCTGGTTCGTGGAGAGGCCGTCGTACACCGACTCGTGTTCCGCGCGCCCGATCACGAAGTCGGGCCCCGCCACGTGGGCCAGCGCGTCGTTCAGCGCGTCGTAGTGCAGGTCCTTCGACTCGACGAGGACGCCGTCGAGGTCGAACACGACGAGCTTCACGCGCTTGTCCACGGGCGGCAGGCTCGGCAGCGGCGCGGACGGGCGCCCCGCGGGGTTGAGCAGCGTGTTGATGCGCGCCTCGGCCTGCGCGTGGAGCTCGCCAACGTTGTCCGCGCAGATGCCGAGGAGGGGTTGGCCGAGGAGCTTCGAGGGCTCGGAGAACATGACGGCGATGGAGTTGGGCCCCAGGAGCGGCTTGTCCGGGTAGATCCACACGTGGCCCTTGGAGGTGAGGGTGAACTCGTCGACGTCGTGGAAGAAGCACGTGACGCGCGGGTCGCCCGCGAGCACCCTGCGGAGATGCACGTACCGCGCGTGTGTGCATTGGGAGGCTTTGGAACATCTGCAAAGAGATCCATGATGACGTGAAGGACAGGGCAGTGCAGAGAGAGATGCCCCGGAGAGGGAACCAGTGCCAGTTCGGCGAGCCGGTGGCGGTGTCGCTCGTACCTGAGGGCCTCGGCGTTCTTGCAGTGCAGCCAGAACCGCTTGTTGAGCAAGAAGTCGAACGGGACCTCGTACTCGGGCTCGTCGTGGCCCAGCATCCACTTCTTCTGCGCGGGGTCGTACCACACGTCGACCTCGACGTCGAACCCGGCGTTCAGCGCCTTCATGATGTACGCCGGGTCGTTCTCGCTCGGCACGTCCTTGCCGTTCACGTTGCCGCGGTGCGCGATGTAGCGCAGGCGCCGCAGGTTGTCGAGCTCGGACGCGGCGTCCGCCGTGACCTTGCCGACGTCGCTGCGCGCGGTCAGGAGCGACGCGTCCTTGCTGCGGCGCGGCCGCAGGTACTCGGAGAGGAACACGGACAGGTCGTTGGGCACGCCCAGGCCCCACATCCGCTCGCAGTCGGAAATCGTGAACTTCATGCCGCGCTCGACGCCGATGTTGTACACCGGGGCGACGTAGAACTCCCCGTTCACGCGGATGTCGCGCCGGATCATCTCCTCCGCGCAGGCCACGTAGTCCGCGCCGCGGCGCCAGTAGTAGGCGCCCACCGTGGCGTGCGTGCTGATGACCTTCTTCTCCTGGACGTCCACGACGTGGTTGTCGGCGTCGAGCTTCGCGTAGCTCCACTTGACGTCGTTCTTCTCCATCGGGATCTCGAAGCACAGGATGTTGCCCTGCTTGGAGTCCTGCTCCTGCATGACCTGCCTCCAGAAGGCGTCCACGTCCCACTCTATGAACTGGTCCGAGTTGATGATGAACAGGGGGTCGCTGTTGTCGATCTCCGACTTGGCCAGCAGCGTCGTGCAGGCCGCGCCCTCGGTGAGCTCCTCGGCAAAGCACACCCTGATGTCCGGGCGGATGGCCAGCAGCTTCTCCTTGATGCCGTACAGCTCGTCGTGCGCGCGACGAATGATCACGATGAACGTCGGCTCAAGGTCGATGCTCGAGCCCGGGATCACGTTGCCCAGCACCCAGTCGATCATGGGCCGGCCTCCGACGTCGATGACCGGCTTCGGCTGCAGGAAGCCCTCCTTCCGGAACCTGGAGCCCTCCCCTGCCATCGGGATCAGGATGTTGACCTTGAAGCCCATGGCGCGCGACTCCGTGTCTCGCTGTGCGCAGGAGGAGCCAGCTTGCTGGCGCCGGCTGCAGTGGGACGTGCCCTCACCCTCGCTGCGCGAAAATTGTGACAAGGTTGTCGCTCGATGGAAGCCCTTGACGCAGGACCGCGCAGTGCGGCCTGACAGGTGGAATGCGGTAAAAACGTGCACACAGGTACAAACCGAGTCCCGCTGCAATGCAGTGCATACAGTATCATACTGTATGCCATACACGGTGGGGCCCACTGGGCTACCGAGTAACTCAGAGTTGATTTCCCCACCTGAGGCTCGGAGACTCCGAGCTCCCCACATCAATGATAATCATTGATTATCATTGCCGGCGCCCTCCGCATTGGGCCTCCCTTCCTTTCGCGAACTTCGGAAGAACTTGTTTTCTGGGCTCGTCGCTTGAGCAAGCGTGACTGCGTCACGCCGCCGGTGGCTGCCGGGAGCATGTCGCATGTGCACACTCGTCGCCTGCAGTCCAATATGTGTGTCCGGGCCGCACGCCAGGCGCTTTCCTTGCGCTCACTGGCAAGGGCGACTGTGAGATTGGAGCGCCGGAAGCGCGTCACGGCACCGATAGCACGGGAAGCAAGCCCTCGTGACGCGCACTCAGCGACGGGCGGGCTGCATATCGCAGGCCTGGCCGAGGCGCAGCGAGAGCAGGCAGGCCTTTTTATTGACATGTTGCTCGACAGGAATAAGCACATGAATCTAACAGCCGTGAGGTGCGCTGTGCCGACGACCGATGAGACACGGGTCGCATGAGACACAGGGCGGAGACTCTAGGCGCCTTGCGCTTCCGCACGGCGTCACCCCGAAGCACGCCCATTGTTTCCCTGCGCGAAGGACTAAGGACGAAGCGATGCAGCGGCACGTCGAAGATTCGCTTGCTCTCGGGCACGGGATCAACCGGCTGTGGAACCAGCACACACAAAACGCAGGGCACCAGGGCCTACCAAGCGCTGGCTGCGAGCCTGCGCTGCGCCTCGTGGATATCGGCGCTGGCGCAGGTCTTCCCGCGATCGTGCTTGCGATTCTACGGCCAGACTGGGAGGTAGTGGCGCTCGACACGCTTCAGAAGCGTTGCAAATTTATGGAGGAAGTAGTTTCAGAGCTCTCCCTGCCGAACGTCCGCGTGATCTGGAGCAGAGCTGAGGATGCCGGGCGCGATGCCGATCTGCGAGAGAGCTTCGACGTCGTGACTGCCAGGTGAATGCTCTTTCGTGAATGCACTCTCACTTGCCAATGGCTGGTGGCTGCTTGCCACCATCTGTTACATGTTCACGGCTCCCCATCCAGCGGTGCGCAGGGCGGTAGCAGAGGCACGCGTCCTCGCTGAGTTGTCTTTGCCACTGGTGCGCGTCGGCGGGCTGTGGGTGGCCGCCAAAGCGACCGACGTCGCAGAGGAGATGGGCGCTGCTGGGAGGGCCGTCAGCGAGTGCGGAGGGGGAAATCCTAGGCTGGTGCGTTGGATGGTCTCCGGCGTGGAGAGGGCGGCGATCGTGGTACCGAAAGAGCGGTCAACCCCTGATAGGTATCCACGTCGAGCAGGCCTGCCCAGCAAACGCCCTCTGTAATGAGCTTCGGTGACGCAGAGAGACTCTGAGAGCGCAGCTTCACGCACCGAGCAGCGGCACAACCGCCCCAGGCCTGGTCGATGCAGTAAGAGCTCATGCTGGATATGTTTGCAAAGGAAGAACGCAGTGCGGCACTTTGCCGAGCAGGGAACGCTGCAGCTCCCGCGATTGCATTGATCGGCTTCGTCTTGCTGTTCCAGTGGACCTCAGGGACTACACAAAGTAGTAATTGATCCACGTTGATCAGACCGGTTCCCTGTACTGATTGCTTTGACGGCAGTGAAACCCCTCCCAAAATGCCAATCACACAGTCGACATCGTGACCGCTCGCCCTTGAAACGCGCGCATGGCACTCCCTTGCGACCTCCTCTCATGGCTGCTGTGCTTCTTGCCAGAACGGCTTAATCGAAATCGCTGTCTTCATCCTCCACGTCCTGCGCCCTTTCCGCCGCGACGCGACGCACCATATCCGTCAGGAGCTCTCGCTGCTGGTCCTCGCTGTCGGTCCCCAGCACCGGCCCCACACTGCGACGAGATGGGTGACACGCATGTCAGAGATGTGCTCGAACAGGATGCCGAAACCGTCGGGCCAGCCATGCACAACAATTCGGGCGGCGGGAAATCGCCCGCGTGAGTATTGTCGAGGTGCTGCCGCTGGCCGAGAAAGGTCATTGGCACGAAGGGCTGGTAGCGCGAGTGCTGCCCTGCATGCATCCTCGCACGGCTTCCGCACGAACGCCGCCCTGCAAAACTGCAGTGCCGTGCCACTCCGCACGTATTTCTGCGCGTATCCGCAACGCGTATGAGCACTCCTCTCCCCGCGCACCTGTTGATCTTCATCGCCACCTCTTCTGGATTGCTGATACGGCCTCCAAAAATCTCCATCCCCACGAAGTCCTTCACCTTGTTGCCATCCTTGTATAAAAGCAGCGTAGGAAGGGCAGTATCCGGGTATCCTGGGCTGGCCTCCGTCGAAACGATACGTACGAACTTGGTGTTTGGGAATTTACGGGCTAGCTCGTCGATGCACTGCTGCAGTACCACGCAGGTAGACACATGCTCTTTCCAGAGATGAACCACGACCCAGGTGCCGTTCGCCGCGCCCGTAACCTCTTGCCGCCAATCGCTGCGGCGAATGAAGCCACACTCCCCGAAGCGTGGAGCTTGACGCGCTTCTAGGAGCTCTTGGATGCGTCTCTGCCGGTAGTTCTCGAGGAAGCGATCATCGTCGATCTCCCCGTGCTTTTCTAGAGTCTCGAGGTCCGCAGTCTGCATGCAGCGAGACGGACGGAGGCAATGGGCATGTGATTTGAGGACGCACCGTGCCGTGCCCGCCGTTCACCCCACGCCCGGACGGATGCCAGCGGAGGTAGCTCACCCACGATACGGCACACGAGGCGCGTTCGCTTGTGCAACTGACCAGAGCACCGGTGAGCCGCAGTTGCATCTGCAGAGCTCAAAAGAAGTGCACAGAACAGATGGCTCGGGCGGGCTGCCTGCCTTCATCCATCCCTCCGACCCCCGCTCCACGCGCTCCTCTGGATGCCATTTTTCAGGCTTCTCGACTTTCGACTTCGCCGGTAGGTTGCCCAGCCGAGCATGGACGTCCTCCCACTCTGTAGTCTCGCCTTCTGGGCCCACATACGTCGTGTGGTAATCAGCCATGGCCCACCTGAGTGGGAGGATGCAACGCTGTTTGAAACGGGGACCAGCTTGTGTGAACACGTTCCGCACGGCGCTTTGCCAGTACAGCTCTGTGTGCTCCCTGCACAGATCCGCGGCATGCACGGTAATGCAGTCCTCGTGGATCGGCCAGCTCGCCGGGCGCCGCAGGCGACACAAGTGACCCGGGAGCGACCGCACGCGCAAGGTTGACGCACGGGGGCAGCTGGAGGGGAAGTACCCTAGGGGGCGCGGCCTGGCCACTGTCAGCTTCCGAGAGGCTCCGAGCCTCTCAGAGGGCCGAGCACACCGCTTACATGCCTGCCTTGCGGATCTGGGCTCCTATCCCACATCCGCAATCACCACAACAGCTAGCTGCTGCTGTCTCGCCGCTCGTCAAACCAGAAAATAAACTCTCCCCCTCCCATCTTGCGGAGCTGCATGAGCTCGACATCGACGACATCCTTGCGGCTATACAGGCCCTGAAGCCATCCAGTGCCCCAGGAAACAACCGCCTCACCCATGGCCTATTCCGCATGTTTGCGGACGCCCTTGCCCTCCCGGTTCTCAAACTCTACCGAGCAACTGTGCAACTGGGACAGCCGCACCCCACCCTGCACCACTCCCTTGTCCAAAACCTCCACAAAAAGGGTAACCGCACGAACATTGCTAATTACAGGCCCATCCAACTGTGCGACACCGAATACAAGATCATTGCCACAGCCCTCAACGCCCAGATCAAACCGATCCTCAATGACATCGTCCCGCTCGCACAAGTGGGCTTTGTACCGGGCAGGCACCTGCACCGGAATGTTGCCATACTCAAATTCCTCAAAAACAAAATCGAACGTGAAAACGGCTCCGCCTGGGCTCTCCTTGCTGACATGGCAGGGGCATACGACAAACTAGACCGTGCATACCTCATGAAAACATTCCAGTTAATGGGCTTCCCACAGTGGCTGTGCGACCAACTACTCTTCCTCCACTCGGACACCAAACTGCAACACAGGATTGATGGCGTAATTGGGGACCCGGTCCCAACAGCGACCGGGGTGCGACAGGGCTGCCCCTTGGCGCCAACGCTCTTTGCCCTCGCCACCGTGCCTCTCATCAACCTCCTGCAAGACCACCTCGACGGCCTTGCTGTCTCCCAGGGAACGCCACCCCTCCGGATAACATGCCTCCTGTACGCAGACGATCTCGTCGTCCTGTTCCAGAGCCTAACTGCCCTGCCGCATATCCGTAGCCTGCTCCAACAGTTCGCAGACATGTCCAATCTGCACCTCGCGCCCCATAAATCCACACTGCTCCCCATAGGCCAGGATGCGCACCATATGATGCTGCACTCCATGGACTTCCTCCTACCTGAAGGATACAACCTAATTGATCAATGGAGCACCGGGGGCGTCCATCTGACCTTTGATGGAAGCCTGCTCACACACGCCGACGACATCCCAGTCGCCCTGTCCATTCATACCAACAACCCAGCCACTGCTCGGATCACGGGACACTTTCTTTCCTCCCTGCCGGAAGAAAATGGAGCCACCCTAGATGGCCACCTTGCCAAACTGTGGGACAAACTCCAACGCACCATCCGATGCCTCAACCACACCAAAGGAGAGGCTACCACCAGAAACCAACTCGCCCAGGCGTACGTCAGCAGCACCCTATACCACACTCTGACCCTGCATGACCCTCCCCAAGCGTGGCTGGCTAAATGCCAAAAAGCGGTGGACAATTACGTGCGCCAAGGCAAAGACCCTGACCAAAGCGCGAACTTCGCGAGATGCCGGCCCCGGCAACTCTACCAGAGCAAACTTGCTGGCGGCCTGCACACGCGAAACATACGAGCACAATCGCTTGCCCTCAGAGGCCCCCTCATCAAGGAGGTCTTTGATGCGGCGTCCGATCCGACCAACCCACGACACCTCATGGGCGTCCTCTCCCTATGGCACCTCAACCATGCATCCACAAGCCCTCTCTTCCCCACGCGGAACCCGCTAGGACACAGGCTCCTTTATCTCAACGACAAAGAGCTCGCCAGCCTGCGCTCGACCCTGCAGCTGCCCGCAGACCACACCACGGCGGCCGCGAATCTGCTCCTTAACGCAACAACCCCGGCCCCACCTACCCCTGACCGCAACCTACACACCGACCCCACTGCCCTCCTCGCCGAGCCCCTCTTCTTCAACAAGCTCCTCCTCTCCTGCAATGTGGGAGATCACCAACCACCCGCACGAGCCCGCGCTCGTAAAATCATGCAAATAGGCATCACGTGCATCGCCGACCTGTGGAACGCGACCGAGAACCGCCTCATGACTGATCATGAAATACACACCAACTTCCACCACCTCCGACACAATCTGAGAACCCATCTTTGCACCGCACGTGCGTCCATACCCCCAGATATAGTACACCGCATCGCCAGCGGCACCTACACGCTTGACATCTCGCCCCTCCAGACACCATGCACTTTGGTATCCGACAACCCCGTCCCCTTCGACTTCAACCCTGCGCCAAATGACCACGCAGTGACACCCAGGCCGCTACCGCCGAACATCCCAGCGACACACAGCTTCCACAGATACTCCATACATATGCCCGGGGATCAAACCGCTGCGCAACTAATGCAAGAACCAGTACTCACCCTCCTTAAGCCCGTCTCGAACCCCTTCGTAACCGGCCAGGTCCACAGTGCCCTCACGGCAATACCAGGCCTGATCGCTCATACGTGGGTGCCCCTGTCAGCACACCTGACAAACCATGCTGCCCACACGACACACGAACACTTCACCCGCTTCCTCGCGCAGCAACTTGCCGCACGCCGCGCATACGTCACAACGATACAGACCATTGGCCACACCGCCCCGACAGGCCTCCCACCGCCAGGCCTCGCGCGCAGTGATCACCCGACCCTGCCGCTCCTGCTTTCCGGTCCAGTACCGGCCTACCAAGCCCCCCAACCTATGCTGAGAGTGCCCGTTGATGTGGACTGGACCGATTACCAACCCGAAGACATGCCGACCATGACAGCCCTCAAACCACTCCGAGACACAACGACCAAGGAGCGATACGCCGCCCTCATGATGACGCGACATGCATTCATGACTCCGCTCCCCCACATCCAGCAATCTCTACAAGAGGCCGGCATCCCACCTGAACACAGAGCTGCATTCCTGGACATGAGACTCCGGGGCCCAGCATCAGGCCAAGCTAAAAGCAAGGCATACCTCCTACTCACAGACCAACTGCATACTCCTGACTACATGCACAGCAGATGGCCGCAAGCCGATACCCCCAACTGTCCGCACTGCCCTGACGTCCCGCACCCAGACGAACAACACATCTGCTTCACATGCCCCGTAGCCCAACGGCTGTGGGACATCCTGCGACAACAGCTTGTACAGAAACACATTGTCCCTGACACGTTCCAGCTGGACTGGATACACGTGAAAACGGGCTTCCATCCCGACCTTGCGGCCCGCCCCCTGATTAGAGGCTGGCAGTTCCTCCACGCTGAAACCGTGACCTCCTTGTACACCTACTTCTACTCAGTGGCCCTCGATACCCCGGGTGCAGCGATCCTCGAGACCGCGCGACCAGGCACGACTGAACAGAGAGCCCAGGGCCTTGTGCGCTGGGTGCACAGTCGCTTGATGGTGGGGGCTACGTGGGCGGCTGGCCGCCTACCAAACTCCGCCTCAAAAGCGTCCATCAAACGTTTCGCAGCGAACTATAGCCTGAAGGGCTTCATTTTCACCTCCACAGACTCACAGCCCATGCACTGGACATGGCCCCAGCACCTGTCCAGCCACGTCACGTCCCTCGGTGCCCTGCACCGGTCCCTGCCCCGATGGGCGGTGAACTAAACCCCTGCAGACCTACTTGCCACATCACCTATCCGGCCTTGGCCTTCTTCCGCATCGCCCTACGGGGCCACCTTTTTTCCTTAGTGCTTTCAGCGCGCGCACGACTCGCGTCGGGTGCGAGTGGGGGTCTGGACTGGTGGCATGTGTGCCTCCCTGTCTCGACAGACTCAGCAATGGAGGACCCGTCTGGGCTGGTGCAGGTTGCCTGACATCAGGCCCGCTGGGGTCTTGCCGTGTGGCTGAGGGGTCTGGGCTCTTTGCTACTCCCCGTGTGAAGACGATACCACATGCCTGCCTTGCCCCCTTCCCTGATGAGTCCTGCCCTGACACCGACACAGATCTGATGATTGAGGAACACCTCAGCGTGCACATTGAGCTAGAGACCCATCGTGCACGGCTCGTGCTGCCCTGAGCTTGCGTCCAGCTGCGAGATTCATCGCCGCCAATGGCAGATATTCTCTAGTGATTTCGGCGCGACGCGACTTCCGGCGTCCTGTCCTGACTGTACTTCCGCAAGCATCCGAAGTGTGGGCCTGGAGGCTCGGTGCGTGCCCTTGCCACGTCACGCGCAGCATCCCCCTGTACCTCTCTACGCCTGCGCACCAATGGACATCTGGTCAACAGATCGACCGCTCTATCCCACGTTCGCAGCTCGTGCTGCGGGACGCGTGCAGGGCCCCTGTACCCGGGCTTGTTCCGCGCGCTGGCAGGGCACTCACCGCCGCCTTTTGAAACGCGTATTCGTGCAGGGAGGAGGCGAGCGAGCGCTCAATCTGCACGTCGCCGACAGTCTTCCGGCGAGCGCCGTCCGCGACTCGCAGAGCCAAGACGCTATTTCCCGGAGTTGCTCAGCACGGGACGCTTCCTGACAAGGTCAGACGGCGGGCCGGCTTTCGACGGTCTCGTCCATCATGAGGGACGGCGGGGCGTGGAGGCTGAAGCTCGCATGCCTGCTGCTCGCCGCTGCTGTGCTTGCCAGCTTGAGCACCCTGGGACGCGCGGCGCAACAATGCGAATCGGTGATAAGTCGTAGTCGCGACTACGTGCGCGATCCTGGCCGCGTTTACAGCACTACGAACGTTAGATGGACGCATCTGGAGCGCGTGGCCGTGCTGGTGCCGATGTGGCCCTCCCAGGTGGAGCGCTACACGACGCTGATGAAGCGGCTCGAGGTTCTGTCGCCATGCGAGTCCAGACTCGCGCACGTGGACCTTGTGGTTGCGCTGAGCGGCAAGGGCGCGGAGAGCATGGACCACGCGGCGCTGCTGGGCCACCCTGTGGTCGAGCGCTGCTTCGGCAAGGCCTTGGTGCACGTGGTGGACATCCCGCCGAAGTACGACGAACGGACGATCGCTTCCACGTACGTCTTCTGGGTGCTCTTCGGGGTCCTGAAGGACCTCGGTTACGGCCACTTCCTCCAGGTCGAGCCGGACGTGACGCCAGTCAGGCCAGGTTGGCTGCACGAGCTCAGCGACGTGACGACGAACAATGCCTGCTGCGAGCACTTCTGGCAGCGCGGAAGTGTTCCGGTGTGCTCTCCGACGTACGGCGACATCGCAGCTCGGCGGGATTTCCACATCAATGGCAATGCACTGTACTGCACGGACGACCCCGCATACGCCGAGTACAGAGACCGCGTGCGCCTGTACTACAATTCGGACAGAATCGGCAAGGCGGTGCCCGGTGCGGCGACGGGAGCTGAATTCGAGGACGGTTTCGACCATGCGATGTACCGCTACCGTATGCACCCTGACAACTTTGAGTACGCGTCGCACATCATGCACAAGTTTCAGGTCAGCGATTTGTTGCTGAACAAGTGCGAAGACAAGTTTCGGCCAAAGGACATCCGGGCACAGTTCCCCGACGCCTACCTCGTCCATTCGAAGTTCTACTTCCTGCCACCAGCCGAGCAGCTCGTGCGCAGTGTCTTCGAGACGACCTTCGGGGTGTCGGCGCGGTACTGGGAGTTGGCGAAGATGGTTGAGTTGGTGCAAGCCACGTGGGATCAGGGACTGCCTTTCCCAAAGTCGAAGCTGGGCGACTCGGTGTGCAGCTCAGACGACATCGTCACGGCTGAGCGCCGCAACCAACTCTGCCCTTGGGAGAGGCGCTACCCCGACAGACTGTACATGTTGAGCGTCGATCTACACGCTGGGCCCATCGCGTGCAACATGGACCTGTTCTACGACATTGGCGTCGAGGTGCACCCAGAGATCGACTTCAACAACTGCATCTTCTTCAACACGTGCAAGGACCGCCTCAAGGTGCTAGATTTCGACGACTGGCGCGGGTTCTCGCTTGATCCAACGCCCGAAGACCTCCGCCGCGACTTCTTCGAGGCGTATCGCAACGATCCCGAGATGCAGCGGGTGGACATGGTCATCTGCAGCCACCCCGCGGCGAACTGCGAGCTCTTCCTGCCGCTCAACAAGCCGATGATTGTGTACCTGACGACGCGCCTCGAGTTCGGGCGCAACGACGAGGTCGTCGCGTGGCGCAAGCCTTACATCTCCGAGAACAGCCCACACCGCTGGAAGCAATGGGTCGCCAACATACAGACCATGGCTGAGGACCCGAAGCACATCTTTGCGGCGAACAACCTCTTCGACGCTGCCTACCTTCAGTACCACACGGGCGTCAAGGCGCTGACTCTGCCGTCGTGGTGCGGGTCGCACATCAAGGCCAAGTGGGACCCGGACATGAGCCTTCCCATCCTGATTGGGCCGTACCGCGACAATCTGGACTTCCCGAAGTTCAGGAAGAAGGAAACGTGGGCGCATCCCATCATGGCGGGGCTGCGGCGGGCCATCAACGCCCACGCCTTCCGCAAGAACGGATCCCCTCGCGTCATCGAGCGCATCCGCGACCTGTACGAGACGTTCCACTGGGAGAGCATCGCCAAGCACCCGTGCATGATCTGGATCCCCTACCAGCTGTCCGTGATGAGCTTCTTCGAGGCGTACCGGACGGGCATTCCCATCTTCGCCCCGTCGCAGAGCTTGCTGAAAGAGTGGCATGCCAAGCACAACGTCACTTGGGAACGCGTGTACGGGCACCCGGAGCGCCTGGACGAATCATGGGATATACCGTTTTCCCCAAACTCGGAGGACGACGAGTCGTTCTCGTTCTGGCTCGAGTACGCGGACTTTTACCAGATGCCGCATGTGCAGCTTTTCGAGTCCTGGGACCACCTCATGGAGCTGCTGGACACCGTGGACCTCCTAGAGATTCACAATGACATGAATCGCTACAGCAAGCGTCTCTACGTAGGCCTCAAGGCGGCGTGGAAGGCCCGCATCAACGAGGCGATGGCGCACGCGCATGACCGGCACATCATTCCGCAGCTTTACCAGCGCTTCGAGGACAATCCTGCGCACATACAGCTCATGCGCCATTTCGACACAGGGCGGAAGTCGCGTTTCGCCTGCCGCACGGGCGACGGGCGCCAGTGTAGCGAACTGCGTGACCCCAAATACTTCGACGAAAACGATTGGCTGCCGCAACCTGCCCATCACGAGACAGGCCACCATAGTACTTCGATGGTCCCGACGGGAGGACGCAGCGCCGACGCCCTGTACCGGGCCATGGTCACGCCAACGATGCAGGTCGCGATCCTGCTTGTGTGCATGATGCTTGCGATCGTGCTGTGCCGAATCCGGCGCTCGAAGCTGCCGAACGTGATGCGCAAGATGAAAGCGTCCACGTTCGCGCTTGTGCGGCGGAAAGACGACAGTGACAAGCTCTGAGCCCCGCGGGGCTCTGACACGATTCTCGGGCTGCTCGGTAGTGACGCACTTGTGCGTGTACGTGGCCTTCCCTCCTTCGTTCTGAGCCGAAGGATTACCCACGCGGCAGGGCCTGCGGTGCTCCCCTCGTGCAACTCGAATCCCTGGGATTCTACTGCCCCGCCTGCTGGGTCTGTGACTTGGGTTTCAGAGTGACTCGCATGGAACATGTCCTGCAAGTCGTGCCTCGCAGATGGCGCCTGGGTCAGCAAGCTGCTGCTCAGTCACCCGGTCTACTGATCACTGTGGCCCTGGTGAACGTCTTTATATATTTGCTTCTTCACTGCTGTACTTCATCACCGGGCCTGACAACTTTGCTTGCTTGCGCGAATCGCCAGTGGGAAGACGCAGCAGTACGAAGTGGATGAGCCCAAGGGGCGCCGCGCAGCCGATTTCTTCGTCGCAATCTGCAGAGCAGAAAAAGTCCTTCAGTGTCGAGACACACGCGGGGGCTCGTGCCTGACCACCGACGTCCTCAAGATGCTTGCACAGGTGTGATGGATTCTCGACGTTTGCAAGTCACTTTCCCTTTGTCATGCGCGGGCACTCCACCGCTGTCGCTGCTCCCGGCCGCCCTATCGTGGTCTCTGCGGGTACGTTTGCTTTGCTGAATGTTGATCAAACTCCCTCATCTTCCCGTCTTACACCGGCAGTCCTGCAAAATTTGACGCCAGGTCAGTCTTTTGCCGGCGGGTTCAAGTGACTCCGGCGCCGTCACGCACTTTCACAAGAGCGTACGTCACGAAACTTTTGGCTTAGATTCCGTGCTCCATGCACTCAAGTGCATTGTATAACGTGAAAATACCTCACCGCAGTTGTTCACTCCATCTTTGAGAAACAGGAAAGATTCCGCCCTGATCTCAGATCCCACAGCTCACAGACATTCATGTGACCAGGCGCGCTGGCACGGAACCCGCAGGGTTCGCCTGCGGCGCCGGCACAGTGAAAGGCCAAGTAGTGAAGGGGCCCAATGGACATTCGATGGTAGAATTGACATTAAGCTCGCGCGGTCGCAACGGGGACGGTGAAGACCGTCGCAGGGGAGAACGTGGGAAACCCGCATCGCGGAACGGCGGACGAGAAAAGCAGGGCTGTGTTGTGGAGATTTGTTTGTTGCCAGTCGGGGGTCACGCCACCGCGTGACGTGCATGAGGCTCAGGAGGCAGGGGCAGTGGTGTATGCTGGCGCTGCGAGTGCACCTCGCACCAAGTTCCTTGCTACTGCGATCCACAAGCGAACGACGGCGCAAGGGCAGGGCTTCGATCAAGTTCAGTAGGACGAAGCGGCGAGTCTCAGCCTCACCTCAGCGCGACTGGGCTCAGCGGCTGAGCAGTGGGAGCCCACCTAGTAGCGGACCGAACAACGTTGCCGCCACCTTTAGCTACTTGCATGTGCCGAACATGCAAATCGTTTTGGTAGCAGCAGTTTCGCCCGAGCAAGCCCCATAGGTGCTGCACGTGCAGCGCGAGACGCGGGGAGCAGCAGACTCGAGCCGCGGAGCCCCAAGGTGCCACGTCCTCGGCCCGAACTTCAGAGAACGCCGCTGAGAACGGCGATGATGCGGGGAGGAGTCCAGTCAAGTCCTGCGCCGAGCTGCTCGTGCGTGACGCAGCGTCGCAGTGCAACGTGTCCAGGCAGGCAGTGCGCACTTGCGGAATCCATGCTGCCATGATGCGTGCCGGAACGCAACAGCGACCGTGCAGTGGCTCTGGCAGCGCCCATCCCTGAGCCTGGCACTCGAGCTGCGGCAAGCCGGGGGTTGCTGGGCGTGTTCGCGCCATGGAGGGCGGTTTCGCGTATTTTGTCGGGGGCGGCAGACGATACGCCAGCTTGACGAACCCGCGAAGCCCGAAAAACGGCATCTTGCTCCTAGTTCTCGCTCTCCTAGTGTTTGCTGGCGCGTTTAGCCTCCGGTGGCAGACCGCGGATGTCATGGGAGGTGTGCAGGTGCCGTATGAGATCGGGACCGAGCCGCCCGTCCACACGGCTGCGCCACCACCTCCGGGCGGCCGCAGGGCCTACTGTCTACTCGGGGCAGCGCGCCCGGCAGCGATGATGACCGGCACGATCAAGTCCATCAGACGCATTCTTGCATGTCAAGAGGGCGCTCCCTACCTCTTCTTCGGCATGAAGTTCAACGTCGGCCAACCGGAGCAGTGCACGTTTGACGCATACGAGCAGGCAATAGCAAGCGCCTTCGACACGGAGAGCGTGGTCGCAGTGAAGGCGGAGATTGATGACATGCCGCACATGGCCGACTTCACGACATGCCATGGAACGTTCGACGTCAACGAGCCGTACGCATACGTTAATAGCGCCCAAGCGTACAGCTGGAAGTGGTGCTACCATGAAATAGAAAGATACGAGAAGGAGCACGGCTTCCGTTTCGACTACGCGGTCAAGATCCGCACCGATGCGACTTGGCCCGACGCTGGCAGCTGTCCGCAGCTCGTTGAGCCAGAACGCACCATATGGTCGGCCGATCTCAACCCCACGTGCGGGTACGGCGCGATGGACATGGTGTTTGGGTGTCATCGGGAAGGGTGCCACGTGCCTTTCCTCGCCTTCGATCGAGGCTGCTCCGATCCGGAGCTCGGCCCCGCCGTCGCGAACAACGAGCGGTGTCAGCCTTCCCCACAGTGCCTGGGCTTCGAGTGCACGCTCGGCACCTACATGGACATGATCGGGTTCGACTACGGGCACCTTCCGTACGAGCAGTCGCCTTACCCGCCGCACTGGGATCCGAACTTCCCGAAGGACTGGGAGAGCAACCCCGAGGTGGACCTGTCCTGGGTACAGGAGTTCACGGGAGGCGCACCCTAACCAACAGCGGCGTGCGGGAGCAACGCAGGTGCCGTCGCGATGCGCGTCGCGCCTTGCATCGCCGGCGATGCGCGTCAGGGTGGTCACTCGCCGTACTCGTACTGCACGGGGGGCATCGATTGGATGTGAGTTCACGCTGGATGTGTTCAATCTGTGCACGAAGTTTACTCAGCAACACTACGCGGGTGGGCGGGCCCGTTAACCGCGCCCAGCAACCGCGGCTGCCGTACCGCCCCGAAGCGGGCAAAAGGCCTTGCAACACTGCAGGGACCTCGATATATGCCACCACAGCTTGCCCATCATGTGTGCGGGTACTCCAACACGTCATTGCTCGCGGCCACACCTTTCCATGGTCAACGCGACCTCCAGGTAACCTTCACTACATTGTCCCCACTTTTGCGCATGAAGACCACTGGACAACGACGACGACGAGGGCCGAGCGGCGATCGGCACCCGGTGGACTGGGCCCTTGCACTGCACTACTCTAACACAGCGTGACGAGTCTGACTTGTCACGCCTGGCGTGACAATGACATGTCAGACATGTCGTCCGCAGCGGCGACACTACTACGCAGCGTACATGCCACTTGGCTCAGTTTTGGGGGGGCGCGCAGATTGCACTGTTGCCGCACACGGCGGCGGAGGGATGCAGAAGAGTCGTGCGCTTATAGCTTATAGCTTGGAACCCCTGGAGTACTCGCATCGTCGATGATCGATACTCAGTAGCCACTGCTGCTCATTGAGGCACTTCAGGAGTGTGTCGTATCTGACCTCTTCGCGGAAGTATCTTGGAGCGGAGGTGGGTCGCAGGCGACGACGGGCTGAGCGAGGCTACCTGCGCCAAGCTTGCGCCACCTTAGGCTACCTCGGTGCCGAAAGGATGGTGCCGGAAAAGTACGAAGGGCAGTGCGCACTCCGTGAGTGTTTGGATGCGCACTTCTGGGGCACAGATACGTCGACCACGTCCTCGATCCACGGTTCGCAAGCCGCATTACCAGGAAGCCCCGCCCCTCCTGCGCAGCTCCGGCCCTCAGGTGTGAACGGGGGCGTGCCCATTGTTCCGTTCGTATGGAACAGAGCTTTCATGCCCGCCCAGCCGATGATCCTGACTGTGTGCTCACCGGGAAGGGTCACACACTGCAGCACGAACATCGCCTCGCGCACATCGTCACACTCCGCAGGCATCTCACACAGCCAGCAGATGCTCCTGTTGCACCGTCTCGTGGACGCCCCGTGCTACCCGGCTCACGCAGCGCGCGACGGAGGCGCGGTAGTCGACCGAGTCCTCCTTAGCACCAGAGCTCCACGCGGATGGGCGACTCTGCTGGGACGGTTTCGCGCGCAGCGCGCCTGGCAGGAACTCCGGCGCCGCGAGAACGCCGAGTCGAGCGTAAGTCGCCTCGAGTGCGATCCAACACGTGTTTTGGATCGCATCAACCTCAGTGAACGAACTTGCCACCTTCGGTTGGCAACCAATGTGCTATGCGCTCAATGCATCACTGGGTCGCACCCGGCGTCGAAGTCCGACCTCATGTATCATGGGTCCTTGTCGTCGCAGGTAATCGGGAACCCCGACAACTACTCCTTGAGTGCTCGGTACCAAGCACGGCTTCCTGCCGTTGACGGGAACGTCACTGCAGCGCTCGACGTCGGAGTGGCGTCTGACGTCCCAAAACTTCTGTCATCCGTGCTGCCACGCAAGGTTCGTCAGAACTGCAGGAGCTGCTCACCAGCCAACTGAATGGGAGAAATCACGAGCGCTGGGATCACACAGGTGATTCGCGAACTTCGTTGTTGCAGGCCGGCTCGGGTGCTCCGGTGCGACAGAGTCTGTCGGCCACGTCAGGGCACGTCAAGCTCACCGGCGTTGCCAAAGGTCACCGGGTTCAGATCAGGTCATCCTTCGGAGAACGCCTGGTGGCGTCCCGTTGGCAAGACGACGTGTCGGTGCCGCGGATCACCACGGTTGACGTGCGGTCCGTCGCGCGTAGCCCCCTGACGTGTCGAGCAGGACTGCTGCAGGTTATCGGACCCGGTGCGGGCGCACGCCCGCGATCCTGCGCTCAAGCCGGTGCAGCCGTACACTTGGTACGACGCGTTCGCTTCTCTCGACAGAAATCGCGGCGAGGGGAGGGCGAGGATACCTCACACACCGCGCGTCCATTTGAAGGGCCAGAAGACGGAGGGCCACAGACACCTGTTGCGAACTCCGAGGGCGCGAGCGGCAAGACGAGGAGCAAGCACCCAGCTCGCCTGCCACACAGCTTGTTTGCGCCGCGGCCCGGTCTCGTCGGCGGTGTAGCGCTGGGGTTGTTGACTCGCATGCCCTTGCAGTTCGGGGACGACGCGCCGGCAGCTTCGGAACAGGCGCCGCGTGCCAGCGCGGGACTGTTCAAGCGCGCTGCTGCGCTTGTCACGTCCGTGCACGGTGCGCGCACCCACGCTGTCCGCAGCTTGGAGTCGGCCTCAGGGATGGTGTTTGCCTCGGCCCTGCTTGGGGCGCAGTTCGGATCGTTCTCGCGCCCCTTCCTCGACTCAACAGCGCTTTCAGCACGTCTCGACGTTGACGTGGCGGCGGGTACGCTTCTGGGAAATTCGACGAATGCCACCGGCCCGAACGGCACATTCGCCCCTGTCGAGGTGCGATGTGGGCAGGCGTACCGCGCCCGAATGCGCAACAAACGTGTCTTTTGTCGCACGCGCGATGCGGTGCGCGGGTTGCCGGGATCGTCTCTTCGTGATGCTTCTGCCCCAATTCGAGGCCAAATTGCCCAAATGCGGCGCAGGCCATGCTGGCACCGCTCGCGGGGACACCACGCGGCGTCTTATCTCTATCGGCAGCGCAGCAGCTGGTCGGTCCCCTCAGAGCGCGCATGGACGCGTCTTGGACGCTGGAAAGTGCACCAGTTGGCAGTTCCCCGTCAGCCATGCCGACGCAGCAAAGCACGCCTTGTCGATCCAAGGTGCCGTTCTTCGAGAATGCGACCCTTCGGGATTGCGTCGTCGGCCTCGATTTCCCCGTACCGGGCACGCGCGGTGCTGCGCGGCTGTCGACATGGTTCAACATGCGACGCTGCGAGGGCATGGCGGAGGTGCGGATCATGTGAGATCGCGGCACGAACAGCCTCGCCCCGTGTCATGAGCCTGAAGCCGCCGGATGTGCACCAGCGCCCATAAGGTGCCAGCAGACGTTCTCGGTGTTGTGCACCCACCTGCGTGTAGAGGCGCGGTGCCACCATCACGCGGACACGCTCTGCGCACCCATGAAGCTTCATCGTCGGCTGATCGATCCATCACCGGGCCAATCTTTGTCTGAGGCTGTCAGCTGCTGAGCAAACCCCCCTGGGCCGGGGGGGCCTGAACAGTTTTCCCGGCGGCGGGTGTCACTTGTCGCTCTTTTGTGCGCCTCCACGACTGGCGCCTGCTGTAAGCGATCAGCTGCTTGGCGTCGTCGATCAGAAGTTACTGCGCAGAGCCGCCGGCTGCAGAGTGAGGGGGCTGTCGCCCTGCCTGCCCGGACATTCGCCAAGACGTTTACCCACTGGCCCAAACGAGCCGTGTTCGCGCTCTCAGCCCCCGACGCGCGCTTGGCGTGGGGGATCGGTCGTTTCCCGGCTCGCTCTGCTTCGTCCCCTGTCGTTGCGAGGGACGCGGAGAGGCCCACTGGGCCGCGCTTCGTGGCCCCGGACTTTGGCGCAATGCTGAGCCGTGCCAGGGTGTTTGCCGACGTCAATGTCAAACGACCGGCCGAGTACTGGAATTACGAGGCGCTGAATATCACCTGGGGGTGCGTCGCCCGCGCCCAGCGAACTACGCAGCGCGTTTTGGCAATCCGCGCTGCCGTCTCGTGCACCTCCGAACCCCGCCCGGCTCTGCTGCTACGCTCCGGCATTCGCTTCGGTCTCATCACGCGCGTCCGGCCGCTGAGTGCCTCGATGTGTACCTGACGACTGCCTTGGCCTCCCAGCGGGGACGTGAGCAGGCAGAGCGCTCGCGACCCCGCCGTCTCACCACTAGCTTCGCCTTCGCTTGTTTTACGCGGCACGTGACAAGCGCGCGCATTGCCACTCTGATAGGCATGCGGCACTGGGTGCACCACCAACGGAGGTGGTTGCCGTGGAGACACGAGTGCATGTCCTGTCCAATCTGCGGGAGGCCGGCTCAGCGCTCCGGGGCTAGAGTATCGAGCCGCCGGCGGACAGTGCTCACGCCGCTTTTTCTTGTTCACGCTGTTTCTGCGGGAGGCTTTTACACGGAGTTGCTGTTCCCGGCCTGCCTTGGCTGGTGCGGCTGTCACCTGACGTTGCAGCGCTGCATCCGGCACCTGGCCCGGACGGATACTGATCCTGCCGATCAGTCAGAGCGCCGGCGGCGGCAAGGCGTGGCAGGCGCCGAGCAGCAACTGCTGATCGCACACCGAGGGACGGTGTTGACGCAGGTCTCAGGACGATTATGAGGTCATCCGAAAAGTTGGGCGAGGCAAGTACTCCGAGGTTTTCGAGGGCGCACACGTGGTGAGTGGGCAGCGATGCATCATCAAGATCCTGAAGCCGGTGAAGAAGAAGAAAATCAAGCGCGAAATCAAGATCCTGCAGAATCTCGCGGGGGGGCCCAACGTCATCAAGCTGTTGGACGTCGTGCGGGATCCCCAAAGCAAAACGCCGTCCTTGGTCTTCGAGCACATAGACAACACAGGTGCGTGTGGTACAACGAAGCGCAGCGCTCGCCGGCCGTCGTGGGACATCGGCTTTTCCGGCCCTCGAGGCACTGTGTCGATGCGCCGTGCACGTCGCCGCAAATGTCAACGGCTGCCACCAGACACGCTCACGTCGATGTTCCATCCAACTGCAGACTTCAAAGCGCTGTACCCAACTCTGACGGACCACGACATACGGTACTACCTGTACGAGTTGCTCAAGGCATTGAGGTTCTGCCACTCCCAGGGCATCATGCACCGCGACGTCAAGCCGCACAACGTGATGATCGACCACAAGAAGCGCGAGCTTCGCCTCATCGACTGGGGCCTCGCGGAGTTCTACCACCCGGGGAAGGAGTACAACGTGCGGGTCGCGAGCCGCTACTTCAAGGGCCCAGAGCTCCTGGTCGACCTGCAGGACTACGACTACTCGCTCGACATCTGGTCGCTCGGGTGCATGTTTGCTGGCATGATTTTCCGCAAGGAACCCTTCTTTTACGGCCACGACAACTACGATCAGCTCGTCAAGATCGCACGCGTCCTTGGCACCGACGAGCTGGACGCCTACCTCGCGCGATACGGCATCGAACTGGACCCTCATCTCGAGGTAATCATCACCGCCTCCTGCGTGGCGGCGGACCCGCCGCCTGGTCATGCCAGTCGACACAACTCATGTGCTCCGCCGCAGCCGGCGATCCCGCACACCGTCCTGCCGCAGTGCGTGCCGCCTCGCAGGCACTGGTCGGGCGCCACTCCCGCAAACCATGGTCGCGCTTCGTCACCCAGGAGAACCAGCACTTGGTTTCACCCGAGGCGATCGATCTCCTTGACCGCATGCTCCGCTACGATCACCAAGAGCGGGTGACGTGCGACGAGGCGATGGCGCATCCCTACTTTGATGTTGTACGGGTGCCACCGGGCCCCGCGGGCCAGCAGACGAAGGACGGGTCGATCGGAAACGCCACGGACAATCAATGACTACTGGCGAGTGCGGCGCAGGGAGGGCTGGGGGCGCGGCGAGGAACAGCTGCCGCGGACGGTGCAGTTCTAGGTCTGTGGGTGATGGTGGTGCTCCTCGTGGTCGCTGTGGCGGTGCTGTCGCGTCGACTTGCGCGGCGGGCGTGTGCTGTGCGAGAGGTAACATTCCCGTCAAGGCGGTCGAGCTCACGGACGGGGCACAGCGGGAGCGGGGCGTCGCACTCGGAGAGGGATGTTGATTTGGGTGAGAGTCTGGTGGAGGTTCGCGAGGAGAGGCAAGTGGTGGGAGCTGACGCCGTAGCGGACGACCACGTGGGTTCGCCGCTGCGGAGACGAGCTCGCGCGCAGGCTGCGACGACGTGAGGCATGTGATGCTGCGCGCAGCCGGTGGCAGAGCGGGCGCAAGGGACCCGCACACTCCAGCGCTCACGTTGACACGTTGCGTCATACTGACAGCTCATCACGGTGCGTTGCGGGGCGAGTGACGGCTGTAGGCGAAGGCCACTCTATCTTGGTCGTTCCCCGCGGCCCTGAGTGAGCTCGTTTGCACGCCGACGGACCGGTCGTTGTTCTCGGCCACCCCTTTCCTTGGTTAACGTGACCTCCGGTGTGAGTTTGTCACACTGCATGTTCAGTACACTCGGAGCGAAGCAGGAGGGGGGGGGGGAAACCTGGACATTGTGCAAGGAACGAATCATGCTGCGCCGGAACTTCGGATTAAAAACGCACTCCTGCGGGGACGACGTGGCAGCATGTCGACATGATGTAGGTGCAAAAGGCCACTGCACGATGTAGTTCAGCTCCCGGACTGGATGAGCGGGAACTCGTAGCCGGCCGTCAGCCTCGCAACATGCCCCTGGCTGCAAAGTCGACTTTCTTCTCTCCCGGACGACTGAGACGCGCTCGTTGCCGACGACTGCTCGCGTAGCTGTATCCCAGGCATGCTCCGGATACTGCTCGAACCGGCCACGTCGGGTGTTGGGCGCAAGGCACCTGCCACGACAGATAATTGTGACCGCTTTACGCGCGCCCGACATGACTGCTCCGTTCACCAGGAGGGCCATCTTTGAAGCTGACGCGCGAAGGACGCCTCCGGTCCTGCAGCGCCGCAGTGCCTTTCTGCGCCACATCCGTCATCGATGGATGCACCGCGCACACACCGCCCGCGAAGCGTGCCTCGACGGCCGCTTTCGTCTCCCATTGTATCGACATGACGGAAGTGTTCTCCGCGTTACGGTGCGGGAATAGACCGTTCGCGCTGCGCCCCGACAAGTTCGAGGTCTTCCCATGCGCACTGATGGCGTCCCATGCCTTGCGCAGGCGCTCGGAGATCGCCCCGCGCGTGAGGTTGTGTGCGCCATCCCGTGGGTGAATCGCTTCGCGCGTCCGGCCTCCGAAGCACGCAAATATCCGTGCAATGCAGCCGGGAGCGTTTTGTCTGTTGTCGACCCGAACTTGTTGACGGCTCGTGACGACTGCGAGCCGGCTGCGCCCGGATGCACCACTTGCACCGCTGTGGCCCGACCCAGCCGACGATGCCGCGTCGGTAAAGCTGCGCCCTGGGTAACGCGACGCGCGCTGTGCGACGGAGAGAATCCTGACCGTCTTCGTGCTCGAACGCGAGGCCGACGAGAGAAGAGGCGTGCTGGGCTGCACTGTCCCGATTTGAGACGCAGTGCCATGGAAGCTGTCGCTGGCGCGAGTAAAAAAAAAGCGAGTGAAAAGATCTGCCGAGTTTGGTCGCGCCTGCGCGTCCGGTTGGAGGCACGCACGGAGCAGCGCCTGCACGTGCCGCGGAAGGTCCGGTGACATCTTCTCCTGTATGAGCAGTGTTGCGTCGTTGGAGACGGCGTGCAAGATTTCCTGTCGAGTTTGCAAGTGGCCAAATGGCGTGATGCCGTGAAGCAGCTCGAAGATCGTAACGCCGTATGACCACACGTCGCACGCGAAGCCGTATGGTGTGCGCAGGTCACGCGGCAAGACATTGCCTGTTGTTGGGTGCACGCCGGACGTGACCACCTCGGGCGCCATGAATTCGACGGTGCCGAGTCGCGTGACTGGCCGCTGCTGGTCGGACGGGACGATCGCGTATCCGAAATCTGCATCAACCGTTGCAACCATACGGCGTTTCGGCCCTGGACTGCTAGGAGATCGCGAACAGATCGAGCGGTCCTGCTCTAAGCACCTAATGTACGCACCGCACAGCTTGAGGTATCCGTCACCCCCGATCAAAATGTTTTCCGGCTTCAAGTCGCGGTGGATCACGTTCCTCGTCGCGAGGTACTCGAGGGCCTCGGCGAGCGGGCCTGCGACGGTCGTCATGACCCACGTCACCTCGCGCGCATCCATCTCGAGCCGCACTGCTCCGCCCTGGTCTACCTGCTTGGCGCGTGCCATGGCGCGTCTGGCTTGCACGGTGCGCAGGTCCTTCCGGGCGAGCTCTAAGATCATGACGTAGTGGCTAGCAGTGCGCAACGCACCGTACAGCGCCAAAATTCCCGTGTGCGACAGGGAGGACTGCATCGGGGGCGAGTAGGAGTGAAGGGCCAGTCGTGCAGCCGCATCCCCTGCGTGCTTGTTTGCAGGCCGCGCGATGCCATCGCCGTGCGCGGATATACGAGCAAGCTTCGCTTTACTTGCCTGTATGAGAACCTCCCGGCGAAGTTGCTTGCGCTCCTGAGCACTAAGTTTTGCGACCGGGACGACCTTGAGCGCAACATCGACTTCCGATATAGGGTCTTGCGCGGAGAACAAGCGCGACTTGGGCCCTTGGCCAAGTGAGTCTTTGATGGCGAACCTCTCGATGTCCGATTCACCCCTGCGCAGTGCCGCTGGGGCTTGAGCTGTGTAGCCGATCGGCAGTGCTTCCTCATCTCTCTCCAGCTCCGGTGTGCCGAACTGCAGAGAGCAGGTTCCAAGTCAGCAGTCACTGGTGATAGTCGATCCTCAGGCGAAGGACAGCCGGGCACATTTGACTGCACCTGGCGTGGAATACTGTGCGCGAGACATGTACGATTCGATGCTGGCTAAATACAAAAGAACGCGGCGGGGGAAGCTCGAGTCAAACTTGAGCAGCCATGCCCGGCCACCGAGCTGCCTGGCGGACGCCGGCACGTCAAACTCCATCAGCACACGGGCTTGCTTCGCTCCACGCTGGGAATTTGCATCAAAGAGCGGATTCTGCCGCATCTATCCCGTCCGGACGGCAAGCAGGGGGGCATGGCTGGTATGTTGCTTTGCGGGCCAGCGCTTGCCTTCTCGACGCGAAACCCACCAGATACCTCTACAGATGGCGCGATTCGGGGCATGTCTGACGAGTTTGGCGACGCCGAGCCGCCGCAGGAAAAATTTGTCGCACGAGGTCAGCTGCAACCGGTGCCACACGCAGTGCTCGACGGAGCTTGTGGAGTCCGAGTAGTCGAGGATACCGGCATCTCTGACGAGGATGCTTTCGAGTGCATGCGGCGAGGCAGGCTGCACGACGCGCAGAAAGATACCGGCGATGAATTGCAGTTGGGCCCACGTTCCCCCTGAGGCAGAAGCACGCCTGACTTCCACTTTGTGCCAGCAAACAAAACGGGAATGTATGGTCCAGACTGAATGTGAAGTGGTGGCCGAGAGCAACGACGCGGTGGAGTACCCGCACGCAGGATGATCAAGCTGCAGCAGCAGATGTCGGGGTCCCAGCACCTGCGCACGCAGCTTGAGTGAAGTCTTCGATCAGTGACGTGCCCCGCGGGCGTGCGGATACTCGTCGGCGAGCCCCACCACGCGTCCCGATGTCGTCGGCCGGCGACCCTGCCCTGTGCGACATGCGCAAGACAACACGAACGTCAGGTGAGGCGGTGACAGCCCCTCACGTCAGGGGAGCTAGCCAGAACTTGTCAGCGGCCCACACGCACATGCAGAAGCAGCTTGAGGTCGTTGGCCAACGACGAGCCCTGCAGGCGTGTGGTTACTCGTCGTCAATGCAGGGCAACGCCAGGAGTGGTTTGCAGTTGATCGTCTACGACCAGCCTACATGCATGAGATGCGTTGGAGGCTGACATCACCAAGACCCCACGTGTCGTGTCCCCACACGGCGGAATCAAGACCAGATTCTGCTTCAGATTCGAAGAGGTACAGTCTGTGCAGGGCAGGCTCAGTGTAAGGCCTCAATCTTTCGATCTGCAATCGAAGCAAACGACATATTCCACCACATATCTGTACCGAGATCTACTCCTCAGCATTCCCCTCTGGGTGTCTCTGCAGCTGCACTCCAAACGACGCAGCGGTGTCCACGATGAATTCGTTCGTCAGATCGCACTCCTCATCCCAATACGTGTCGCCACAAGGCCTCGTCCATCCCTCCAGGTGATCCATCTCGGTGAGAATCTCGAACGCAGTGTCGTACTTCTTCTTCAAGTAGTGTGTGTACAGGTACTCGGGGCTGCAGCGCAACGCCACGGAAGCCGTCGATGAGCGCCGCGCATCTTCTCCAAGGGCTCAATCAAGCGCGAAAAAGGTGCCGCGCTGAGATGCAACCGCGAATAGGCAGTGCTTGTGCGCGCAAGCGCCTTCCAAGGCGGTGTACTGCCGAGCAGGGTAATGCAACTGTCGTGCAGGAATGCACGGACGGCAACCTCAGCGTCTGCCAGCGAGCGAGCGGCATCCTGCGGCGGCCTCGAGATACCCTGCACGCACGTCCAGTCATCGATGTCCCCGAGGCGCTCGCTGAAGACCTTGTCCGACATGATGTAGCTGCTGAACTCAAACAGGCCCTCCGCGGCTCCCCGCGAACAGAACCCGAAGTGGTCCCCGGCGCCGAACTCGATAGACATGCCGCGCGTCGGGGCCAGGCACGCCTCAGCATGCCCTTTGCGCCGCAGCTGTTCCACGCGGTCGTAGAGCGAAGGGGGGTCGAACGCGTTGACCTTGATGTCGGTGCGCAAACGAAAAACGTACGAGTACATGACATCCCCGCGCGCCTCGCGTTCGTGCTCACGAATCATTGTGCCGCAGTCATGGATGTGCAAGAACTGAATTGATTGATAGTGGTGGCGCCCCAGGCTGACGTACTGGGAGCGCTCGTTTTCCCGGTAAGAGAGCTTGCAGAAGCAGTGCCAGCCAAGATCCGGCCATGGCTCGGGCGGCGGGCCGCAGTCCTCGATCTTGTACTGGTCCTGCACGCCGATCCACGCCCGCACCGGCTCGATCTCGTCCATCGCCATTTGCAGGTCCTGTACGTCAGGGCAAAGTGGCCGGGCGGCTTCGGCGCCGTCCGGCACTCCGGGTTCGCGCACAACGGCAAGCTGCTGCGACAGGCAGATGGCGGACGATGTCGTCCAGCTGCACACGCGGTCTCGTGCGTCGCCTCGCTGCACCACGCCGGAGGCGCGGGAGCGGCACCTTGATTCGAAGTTCCAAGTCGCGCGCCTGAAGCCTGTGGTCGGGGTTTATGCGAACGAAGGTGTCCGCCTCAAACGGGTCGAGGAGGTTTTCCTTGAGATTCCGGTAGACGCCTCGCATGATGAAGGACGAGGTGAGGCCCGAGATGCACGCGGCAGTCACCGGAAGCGGCTCTATGTGTGCATCCGCGCTGCGGGGCGCGATGAACCGCGCGCTGTCGCGGAGCCGCGCCGTGCCTGACATGAGCACGAGCGTCAGAATCACGCCGACCGTGACGCCCGTGGCCACCACGGCCACCTCGCGCGATGAGCGCGGATATAAAGCGCAAGCTCTACTGGCCAGCGTTCCTTGTCGCGGCGTTCGCGCTCCCTCGCACGTCCCTCGCACCTCCCTTGCCGACCCTTTGACCAGCGAGTGATAAAATCCTGCCGCCCTCCTCATATCCGTTCAAAGATTCGTGCCGCTCGGCATACCAGCCCCCGTCCGTGAGCTCTGAGGGTCGCGAGGCGGGGGCGACGGTACGCGCCGTAGCGGCAAGGGGGGCGCACCACCAGCAAGAGGGCCGCAAGTGGGAGCCGGCCTGACGATCGTGCCACCGGACGCGAGGGCCAACGCGCTCCAGGGGCGGGCGGGGGGGGCGCACTGCTACGTACTCGGCGAAGACGCTGCGAGGTAGCGTGCAACGATCTCGGTGGGCGTTATCGACTTCCGTTGCAATGTGCACCGTACTGCACACGGAGGGGCACCATGTCCGACCCGCCCAGGGCGGCCCTGTGGACTCTCACAGCTGTGAACTGAGTTCCCCGGCGACCGTCAGGCCCTGACCCGATGATCGGGGATCTGATCGGATCAGGCTGACGGGTCTGGGCTCTTAGTGTCCCTCCGTGTGAGGCACGATGCACGGTAGCTCGGCCGCGAGTCCGACGGGGATCTGCTACAATCATGCCCGGGAAGTCCATTCTGGTCACCGGCGGAGCTGGTTTCATCGGGTCCCACGTGGTGATTCGTCTGGCGTCGCGGTATGATTACAAGGCGAGTGTGCGTTTTGTGTCGCGCCGCGGATGCCTGCAGTAAGGGTAGCTCTCTATCAAGGGGTGGCCCCGAGCGCTCGATACCCGTGTGAGCAGATCGTGGTTCTGGACAAGCTGGACTACTGTGCGAGCCTGAAGAACCTGGCTGCTGTCGAGGGCAACGAGAGGGTGCGATTCGTGCGAGGCGACGTCCGGTCGTTGGACATGGTGAGCCATCTGTTGACTTCGGAGCAGATTGACGTGGTGATGCACTTCGCGGCCCAGTCGCACGTCGACAATTCGTTCGGGAACAGCCTGACGTTCACGACGAACAACATCGTCGGCACGCACAACCTCCTCGAGTCGGCAAGAACGTACGGCAAACTGTCCCTCTTCCTGTTCGTCTCCACGGACGAAGGTGAGGTTGCATCTCCGTGCATGCTCCTCCGTCGAGTGTATGGAGCAACGCGTGCGTGGAAGTGCCTCGAATCGTCAGAGGTGCCTTGCATTCCCAAAGGTGTGTGTTGCACACAGGGGTGTCGACGCATCTGCCTGCATCCCCTGTCGCGCAGTTTACGGCGAATCTTCGCTCGATGCCGATACGGGCGTGACAGAGACGTCCACGTTGGACCCGACAAATCCGTACTCGGCGTCAAAGGCAGCTGCCGAGATGTTGGTGAAAGCCTACATGAAGTCTTACAAGCTGCCATGTATCATTTCGCGCGGGAACAACGTGTATGGACCGCATCAGTATCCCGAGAAGGCTGTCGGCAAGTTCATTCTCTTGGCAATCAGGTGGGTGACTGCAAAAAGTCCGGTGAGGTGTGTCTCGAGATCCTCTGCGAGTTCGCGCGAATCGTGTCGTTCGCATAACATCTGACGATGTAATGCGGCGATGTCACGCCAATGTGCAGGGGTGAGCCACTTTGCTTGCACGGCGATGGAAGTGCAAGGCGCTCCTATTGTTTCGTCGAGGACGTTGCAGAGGCGTTTGACTTGCTGTTGCACAAGGGAAAAGTGGGTGAAGTGTACAACATCGGCACGCGTGAAGAAAGGAGTATGAAAAGCGTCGCCGAGGATGTCCGACGAATGTGCAGGTCGAAATCCAAGGTCAAGTACGTTGAAGACAGGGCGTTCAACGACCGAAGGTGCGGAGCGTTGACAGACATCCTGCCCCCGCGTTGTGCGCAAATTGTCTCTTGGCAACACCTGGATGTGCACCCCTTGTGGATGAAGCAGGTATTTCATCTCAGACGAGAAGCTCATGTCTCTCGGATGGAGCGTTCGCACTTCTTGGGAACAGGGCCTGCATAGAACATGGGAGTGGTACAGGGAAAAGGGCTTTGCCTACTGGGATCGCCTCAAGCTCGAAGTAGCGCTGCAGCCACATCCAACTTTGCCTTGAATCGAAGCAGACCAACACAGCAATCTTCGGCTACTCCCGCACGGCAAGCGGCTACGAGCGCTGCTGTGACTATAGGGTCCGCGTGAATGGCCGTCTCCTTCGCGAGGGAGAGCCTTGAAGAGCTGAGACTGTGATTTGATGCGCACTTTTGCATGTCGCGATCGCGTGCCGCTTGCGCGGGTTCTGCTTGTTCGCTCCGCGCTGCAATCATCGCTGGAGGCGGGAACTTGCCACAAGCTTGTGTTGCGTGAGCGCACGAGGTCCCAAATAGGGGGGGACTCGGACCGAGTCGGTTGAACCCGATTCAGCTTGTTGTTTGCTCGCGTTTCGTTGCTGCGTGCGCACTGCTTCACTTAGCCTGGGCGCATCTTCTCTAGAAATCCGACTTTGAGACTTAGTCGCTGTCTTGTTGCCGCGGTTTGTCGCGTGCATGATGATGTCATGGCCCATGAGACTCCCGTCGCGCGTGATGCATTAAAGGGACGTGATGGATGGCTCGCGCTGACCAATACGACGAATCATAACAGACGGACTCGGGGCAACGGTGGAGCCGCCCCCCGCAACAGGCGCTGTTCCGCTGTCAGCGGAGCACGCTCTGCTGGACCCGACTAGAAAAGCGTGCGCTGAGGCTCAGACTTCGGGCGTTCCGGGACCTCGGTCTCAAGTGAGGGCAACGCACGAAAGCCCCTCGGAGCGATGAGTGAACGGGCTGCCGCGGACGGCGGGCCGGAAGGGCAACCCAGCAATGCTCCGCTCGAAGCACACCTGAAGCGACGGCTCCTGGAGCTCTTCGCACAGAACGATTTCGAGGTGTGCAAGCTTGGCGTGCGCAGCATGGCGCTCGCGATGATTGGCCGGATTGCCCTCCCGTGGCCCCGCGGCTGACGCACAACCACCATCTGCACTGTGCGCCGGGCCGCAGGAAAGCGCGGACGCTTTCCTGCTTTGCCTCGTGCGCCACGCGTGCGAATCAAGTCAGATCAGTCACCCTTCGTCACATACAGGGATGTCTGGAGGTCGCTGAGAGCTGGAAGCGCGTCGCAACACACAAGGTTTTCGTGGAAGACATTCTGCACGCGCTTCGCGCCAAAATCCAGTTGTCCAGTACGTGCCTCGCACCGTTGCACGCTTGCACATGGATGCGTACGCCACAAGCGTGTGAGGCGACAGCGTCCGGCCAGCATTGCACATGTGCGCTGTTGCGGCTCGCGAGCAGTTGCAGGCTCGGGCGGCTCGGAGTCTGATGGCGGGGCGGAGGATTCCTCATCGAGCGGGAGCGACGAGAGTGACAGCAGCGCCGACACCGAGGAGGAGATGGACTTGTTGATACAGGCGCGCCGCGAGGAGGCAGCTCGGAGACGCTGGGCTGACACCGATGCGACGGCGAACGCGAGGATGTCGGGCACGCGCCACGCAGAACACAGACGGATGAGGGAGCTGCTTCGCAGGCAAATCAGCGACCTGGAGAAAGAGCGGCACAAGGTCGAGGAAGGCTAGGCGGACACCAAAATCCTGTGATTGTGCCCCCCTTTGACTCGCCGGCTTTCCAGCAACGCCGCCATGCTGTCGAAGCAGAGATCCCCCTCTGTTCCCGGAAGATGGGGGCATCTTCAGCCTTATGTCTCAGCCCGAACAGTTAGGGGGCTTTCGCCGCCCTACGTAACTGATACATGATCTCATGCGCATTGCGTAGGTTTTCACCGGGCAGGGTCGCCGGCAGATGACGTCGGGGCATGTGGCGGGGCTTCGTCGACCGAGGACTTCAAGGTGCGAGGGCAGGTGTGCTGCTGGGGCCGCGACATCTGCACGCCCTTGTCTCATGCGCGCGGATACTCCGCTTCTGTCGTTGCTTCCAGCCGCCCCTTTCTACGGCCAACATGACCCTCCGCTGACATGTTGTCGCACTGAAAGTGCATCACGGCCCTTGCACTACACTGCTAAGCGGTGGACGTCACGCCGGATTCGCGTGATCTTTCCACGTCCGCGAGCCTTGCTGCGGACGCCGCAAAGCACGTGATTGTCACTGACACCTCACCTCACCCCTCGGGGGGGGGGCTGTTTGCAACCATGACTCATCGTGATCCCCACCGACCGACGGTCAGCGGCACTGAGTGCGACTGAGTCGGACTCGCAACGAGCCGAAATCGGCACGTATGTTTGCGGTCGTATGCACGTGAGATAGGATTGATCACGGCGAATGCTGGGTTGAGAAGGACGGGCGCCTTTCTGGGAAAGGCCTGCTGGGTTCCTTCGCCGTCACACACGCCGCGCACAGCTGGCCTGCACAGCCTGGCGTCTGCTGCCTTCATTCCGCGGCAGGAACCGCCGGGGAGTGCCAGCTCGGAGGAGGGGGGTCGCGCGTGCGCAGGAGTGAGCATGGACCTTCACGGACACAAGTTGAACGACCGTCTCATGCTCCTGGGGATTTTCTTCGGGGCGCTCCTGTCCTTCATCGTGGCGGAACTCACGCAGAGCTTCTCTTCCATGACGAAGTGCTTTCTGGGCTGCACTGCCCTCGTTGCAACGGTGCGATTTCTGCCCCAGAGGGGGCAGCCCAACGTCACGCCCACCGGGCGCGCGGCGAGTTCCGGCATGGCGGAATCGCGATGAGGGCCTTGCAGCACTTACGTTGTCTCGCTCGGTCCTGCAACAGTCCTGCAGCCCCATCGCCTGCTGCTCTCACTGCACATCATATCGTGCACAAGAAACGCGCGCAGGTGACACTTCCGGACTGGCCGTTTTACAACTCCCGTCCTCTCCAATGGCTGCCGGCAATCGAGGTCCAGTCCGCGCAAGTCTCATGATCAGATTCTCACCAGCGATCAGTGATGTGGCACGAAGCTCCTCCACGTCCTCCAAGTCCAGTCCCACAGCCTCGGGATGGCCCGGAAGCGTGACTGCGCCGGAGATCTGATCGCGACCGAGCGCCGTTGCCCCGATCGGCGCTCCTAGTCCTGGATGCATGTGCCAGGTCCACTTTTGCCTGCAAGTGCTCTTTGCGGCCTGCCCGAACGTGCGCCCGTGCGCTCAGTATCCCATGCGCTCCAAGGATGAGTCGTTATCTCGCCAACCTTTTTGCTCCTTGACCGACAGTTCGAGGTACACAGGGCGCCCTAGAAACGTCTCGATGTCCAGCCGCGCTGATGCGGACAAACGTTTGATGGCAGATCCCTGGATACCGGCGGAGATGTCGGCCGGAACGTGAGAGTGCCGCCGTTTAAAATTTGCGCGACGAGTGCAACGGCAGAGCACACATGCGATGCGCAGGGTGGGCGGCCGCCTCACCTTCCTACCGACGAGGATTCCTTTGTGTCTCGCCTGCTCAACGATGACATCCGCAACAATCAAGTCCTTGCCACGAGATCGCTCCTTGAATTGCACGATGTTCACCGTGCACATGTAAGGGATCTCTTGATCGTACTGCTCGTAGATTCGCTCCCGAATTATTTCCGACACAAAGAAGCGCTCCGAAGCCGTTGACACGTCGCCCTCGGGATACATGGCTGGGCCAGGCGGCAGGGCACCATGCACCCATGCGCGCAGCTCTGCGAGGTTCTCACCTGTCAGCGCCGACACTGGCAGGACGCTCGACGCCTGCCGAAGACGGAAAGGACGGGGTAGAACAATGGGGTTCCTAGAACGGCCTAGCACGTGGGAGCTGCGGCGCAGCCGTCGACTGCACACTCGCTGAGATGACAGTGCGAAATTCAGGCAAACTGAGCATAAGGAAATTGCGCTGCTTACGTTCGAGGTGGCTTCGAACCAGTCAACCATCGGGGCCACCTCCTGAGGTGGCACCTGGTCCATCTTGTTCAGGACTACGCACACGGGCAGCCCCATCGCCACACCGGGCTCCAAGATGAAAAAATCCTCCTTGGGCGTCTTGCTGGCATCGATGATCGCCACGAGTGCATCTGCATCTCTAACGGCTTGCTGCATTGCGCTCATCATGCGTTGTTCCATGATATTCCTCATCGTGGGAATGACCCCTGGCGTGTCGATTAAGACGGCCTGCGAACGAATGATCGTGCGAGAGGTACGTGACGGGGCGAACAGTGCAGGGATCGCTGCTCCGATGCGAGGCAACGCAACAAACAAACACGTGGCCAGGGGGTTGCACGTACATCAACGCTACTGCCACAGCGAGCCACTCGCCTGATAGGACTCGGTCGACAAGATACCCGAAACGCGGTGCCGCGTCGTCTGCGCCTTGTGTGTGACGATCGAAAGGCGTTGCCCGACCAGCGCGTTCATCAGCGTGCTTTTCCCTGCATTCGGCCTGCCCACGACCGCCACGAACCCGAAGCGATGGCAGTCGCCCTCATCCACTCCAGCAGCTTGAACGACCTGCTCGACCGTCGACGCGCGAGAGCCGGCGAGCTCAGGGGGGGTGTCGCCGCATGCAAAGTGGCCACAAACGTGCACCAGATACGCTCGAACGCATCAGCACTGACCTCGGTCCTGTCATGCTTCCTTCGCGGTGCCGCAAGCTCGTGGGGTCGCCTTTCCCGTAGCCTGCCCGACACTGCGCCCTTCCCCTTCGCGTTGAGACGACGGCCGGGTTGAGCGCTGGGGCGTTGGCGTTGCCACGGGATGCCAGGAGCGCGTTCCGCGATTGCGCGACTCACATCCATCATATGCCTTGATTTGTGCGCTTCCTCGACACAGAAAGTTTGGAATGTGGCGATTGAGGATGCTCCTGCTGGGCTGTGACCAAACACAGGCTGCCCGAGAGAAAACGTTCACGTAGCCAGTCTTCCGCGAGGGATGCCCTTACGACCGGGACTCCGAGATTCTAACCATGCACGTGGGCAAGGCTGAGACTTCGCCTTTTCGGCGGAAGCGCCCTAGAATGGCCGTACACTGGTGCGCAGCTAGCTGAGGGGGCGGCCAGGCATGGATTGGATCGAGCAAAGCCAACCAGGGAAGGTGCGGCAGTGCTGATGTGATACGTGCCTGTGTGGCGACGCGTCCGCAGTGTTCCGGCCAAGGCGCCCCGGTCGCCGACCGTCACAGTCCCGGGCCCCGGGACGGGGAAGTCGGACTTAGTCCCGGACGGTCCGACCGGGTCCAGGACCGTCCCCCTACCAGCGCTCGCTTCTCACCGGCAGGCGAAGTAAGTGCGTTCCATCTCGAAGGGTGTCTCCGACCAGACAGGCATTGAAGTGCGCCTTGCAATCTCACAGGCAGCACGGCACGCCCCTGTCGCGTGACTCGCGCACCGCCTCGCCCCCGAGCGCGGCGGCCCACTGTGCGCGGCGCAGAGCCCTCGCATGAGTCGCGACACACTTCCCGCGGCGTTGCTGTCACGGACCATCCACCCACCTCAGCACTAGCGCTGAGTTCGCTGCGCCGCTGGATTCGATGCTGTCGCTCGAGAGCAGAGGTGCCGCCCCAGGCTTTGCCTCCTTCAGCTCGAAGGGACGGTCGCGCGTTGAGTCGGGCAGCTCTGACCAGGCCCAGGACAAAAGTTGCCGCACGGGTTGATCGATCAGGAAGCGCCTCTGCAGCCTGCGACCGTCCGGGAGGCGGAGAGCGACACGGCACGAGCGTTCATGCCCGGCAGGCGGTTCTTCGGCGAGGGGCTCCACAGGTGTGCTGCATGCATCAGCCGTGGCTTTCCCAGGACGAATGTCAGCCTCGTCGTCGGCCGAGGTGTCGTCAACGACGACCACGTCCCCTGCACCGCACTCACGGCCCGCGAGGTGAGGTTCGACCCTTGCGGGTTCGGGGCGAGGTGCGCACTGACATTGCTCAGCGCTTCAAGCTCCATGCGCGGTCGCACTGGATGTCGTCGACGCACGGTCGCCCGCGCGTCTGTCAGGGACGCCTCGCGCGACTGTAAGATCATGCCGGCCGCCAGCACGATGGTGACAGGGTCTGACGATGGGCGATTTCCTGCCGAAGCAACTTTGCATCGCACCTGCTGTTTGCTCCTCTGCGCATGGACGTGAGCCGGCGGCGCCAGATCCCGGTGTTTGCTCCGAGGCGGGTCGCATCGACTTCGAGAGGAAGGCGCCTGCCCCAGAGGGCGGGTTGCTCATGAAGGGTTCCATAAAGCTGATGAAAGCCTCCGGAGACACCTGCCCTACCTGCGCAGCGGCGGCCGGCAAATTGATGCTGTCACGCGTGCAAGCGTTCCAACGTGCGGGTCCGACTGTGCGCCCGTGCGCCGCAACGCTCACCACTTGTTTCATCTGCTGCCCAGTGATGGGGTCGAGTACGATGATCACTGGGTTCCTCTCCACGCTGTAGAACGTCGAGATGCGCTGCGCCTCGCTCGTCGGCACATAGTACTGGTTGAACAGGGAGGACGCAGCGAGGGCAGCCTGGACTTGTTCGTTGCTCCAAAGGTCTCGGTTGAGGGCGTGTGAGTCGAACTCTTCCACCTCCTGGACGTTCACCACTACCCACTTGTCCTCGTCCGCCGCACGATGTTGCAATTCGCTCAGGGGCAGCTGCGGGTTCGCGGGCGCACGAAACCGTTCAGGACTCGCCCAACGACATTGTCCAGGTTCAGTGCCTGGAAAAGCCTCCGAGCACGTGTGATCCTTCCATAGCGGCTGCGGTGGTCACCTGGGTGAGTATCTGGTCGGGGCACGGGAACATCATGGCCGCTGCCTGAGGCGCTTGCTCCATCCGGCGAACATGCTCGTGAAGAAATCCCCCGCCAGATACTGGATGCAAGTGTCCCTGGTGCGGCTGGCTCCCGTAGAGCCGATCGGTCATCTGCGGAATCGCCGCGCGAATCTCGTCGCCATCTTGGGCACCCGCGCGCTGCGGACCCTGTTCCGCGCCTCCGGTCGCCTCAGCTTGCAAGCGCCGCGCTAGTTTCTCGTCAGTTTCAAGGGACGACTCGCCATGCGCAGCGAAGTAAAGCTGCACGGCATCCTCCAGCCGCCATCCACATGCCTGCGGAGGGCGGGGCGCAGAGCACGGACCGCTGTAGCTTGCAAGTGGGGCACGCATGATGGCCGCTGCAGCGAGGACGCAGCTGCGACAAGGGCGAGTCCGTCAGCTGCTCGCCACAGTGCACGCAGGCGCTGCCTCACGCCCGCGTATGTGAAGCATCAGTGTCGGAGAGGCGTGTTGCGTGCCTCGAGGGTGTCCTGTGCGTCGGCACCCTCGGCGCCAGTCACTGCCACGAAATTGGAGACAAGCTCCGTTTTCGATTCGTCGAGCATGGGCGCGATGCGAGGAGCCACCCGAGCACCCAGTGCCCAGGGTAGCCTGCGGTCTGAGAGGGCAGCAGGCACACGACCGCGGTATGGGTTGGCACTTCTGCGATGTCGCGTCGGGCACGGCCAAAGGATCGAAGCGAAGTGACGGGGTACCAGCCTAGGGCCTCCGATTCTACAACCAAGCAGCCGGACCAGTTACTGGCAGTAAAACATAATACTGTATAGCAGTCCAACCGTTGGACCGGGATGGCATCCCGCGGGCGGCTCAGCTGCCTGCGGGCCCATGATGCACCTACGCGTGCCGTGCGCAAACCACCACTTTGACTGTCGAGCGAGCGCATGTGCGTGCTTTGCTGAGCCGTAATTTGTGCGCATAATTTGACGATTGACATTTGCATGTAATAGTGGCGGTGCTGTGAACGACCAGGAGCATTCAGGGGGTGACTGGCCGCAACCAGGATGCGGCACATGGCAGCTGACGGCGCAGTTCTTGACGCGGTATGAATCATGGATGTAAGTGTGCACGACCGTTGCGCCGCAACTTGGTGTTGCTCTTGCTCGCGAGATGTTCCGTGTTCGCATCTCTGACAACATCGCAGTCGCGCACTTCGAGCGCACGGGGCTCCGAGAGCGCTATGCGCTGCAAGACATAATGTTGGTGAACGATTCCGTCTCCAAAAGGATTTTCAGGGAGGCGTGTATAAAGAGTCGGGGATCGCGCGTGATCGCGGCTCCTCACGTCGCGCACGGGTGTGAGCGATGTGCCCACGCCCCTGCTGTGTTCAGGGCCATCCATGCGACGGGATGACCTCGTTCCGTCTGCAGACGTCGTCGGCCAGCTGACCCGGCTTGGACGTCGTGTAAGAACATGCCGGGCGCACGCCGCAGCCACGTCACTACGTGATGGCCCCTCAAAGAAGCACCCTTGCGGCGAGGGGGACACGACGGCAACTAGCAGGAGTCAGTCCCAACGTCGACCTGTCCGGGTGCTCCATGATGTCGCGGCAGCCCGAACACGTGCGCGCGAGTCGCGTCGCGTGCAGCGTCCGGGAAGCAGGCAAAAGTATAGCTTCGACTGACGCGAACGCAGCGCAATACAAGTTGCAATAGAAGTTGTGCAACAACAGTCACTCGCACAGCGCTTCGTGCGGTGCAAGACGTCTGCACCGTGTTCACGATCGCGCCGAAAGGCTGTCACGCTAACGTCGCCCAGAGGTGCGGCATGACTCACACGGGGAACGGAGTAGCTAGCTGCTCGCGCACCCGATTCGCGCGTGCTTCCGCCTAGTCGTTCTTCCGCCTGAAGGAGCAGCCTGCAGAGATAGCGGCCGCAAGGAATTCCCTTTGCGACACGAAGCTCGCCAACCAAGGGGGCGCTTATGTGCGGCTGCTGTTCTTGCGGCAGCAGGTCCAGGAGGCCGCGGCCACAGCGTGCAGGACGGATGGCACGACCCTGTGTCGCCTGCTCCGCAAGATTCCGCGAGATGAAGCATTGCAGCACAGCGACGTTCGCGGGCGTCGCGCAGGAGCAGAGTGACTTGCTCACCCTCCGTTAGCCTTGCACGCCCTCCGGTCGGGGTGCACAGGACTGACGAGCACGAGGAGCACATGACGACCGACTGGCTGTGCGAGAAGACCGTCGTACTGCGAGTGGGACACGGCGCGCGGAAGTGCTGTCAGAAGGCGACCGCAGGACAGGACCGCGACCCACGAGCGCGGCTCGAAGCGAAACGAACGTCTTGACAGGCACCAAAGCGTTCGCGCCAACAACTGCGGCCAGCCACGCGCGCGGGCCAAGGGGGCGGCACGCTGCCGACCGGGGCAGCCCCGAACGGCGTGCGCCCCGCCGGCGCGACGGTCGCACGCAGTATTTCAATGGCGGGGGCAATATGTCGCGCGAGATCCACTCGTCTCGGCGCGGCCAGCCGGTCCTGGCCAAGACGAAGGCCGGCAGGCGAAGTGGAGGGCAGCCGCCTGCAGGTCCAGAACGGCGGACACTTCCGCGCGCGGCTACGGCACGGCGCGCGCCCGTGGACGCGAGACGAGGGAACGCACATCTGGAAGCACCCCTGGCACTTGACGTCCATGAAGAAGGAGTTGGGGCTCTGTACAAGGCGCTTGAGCTTGTGCTTCTTGCTGTCCACCTCCTTGGGAGGGTGCAGCAGGTCGATGTCGCTGTGCAGAACCTGCAAGTGCGAGGTGCGGAGCAGAGCAGTGAGCAGGAAAATCACAGCGAGTGGCGAACCACAAGGCCAGGGGGCACAACAGTGTGTGCACACCATGATTGCCCGTCGAAGCCTGCTTGGGCCAGCAAGTGCAGACACCGGAAGAGGGCGCATGTGGGGACGCTGGGCGGCCAAGAGCCGCGGTGCCGCAGTCCCCGGCGGAGCCTCAGGCCTGACTCTGAGTCAGTCACACCATCGAGGAGCCGCAGCCGAACGTGCTAGTGCGTCATACGGCCCTGGCACGCGGTCACGTCGTACTCTTGGAAGCCGTCGCTCCGCTCGTGGGCAGGTGTCAGCAATGTCGTCCTCGCTGCTCAAGACGTCCTCGGGGCTTATCCAGGTACAGCGCAGCGCTTCCCGAAGGGAGCACCTGAGGCCCGCGCAGCCGCGAACGACACGAAACAATGTTCGACCCGACTCGTCGCGCGAAACCTCTCGTTCCCCCCCGACGCGCTCTGCAGGCTCCGAGGCTCGCGCAGAGGCGCCCGAGGGCCGTGGCGGTGAGGGCCCGAACCGACACAGCGACCGCCCCGCTCATCCGTCCTTTACACTTTGATCGATCGCGCCTTGCTCGCTGCCAAACATGACGGCTCGGCCTTGGCGAGCTGTGTGGCTGTCTGTGTGTGGCTCAGTTGCACGCCTGGCCAGGCGCTGCTGCGGAGCGTGACCTGCGCCGCTTCGTGCTCGCGTGTACTCGAGTCGTGCAATGTGGCCACATCGGGCCGACCGGAGCGCAATTCATTGCACTCGGTGCCTGAAGCCAATGAGCAGGCCAGCTGCCAGTGCTCGCCGCCACTTGGACAGGACGCACGTGCTCCATGCGTCGGCTCCGTGGACGATCATGCGACATGTACAACTCGACGCGACCATCCGCCGCCCCTAGGGCGTGCTTGCGCTCGCATGGGGGGGGGGGCTGTGCCACGCGTCCCTCAGCCTGGGCCGCCACCTCCTATGTTCGTGTACACTTTCGAGGGCGCGCACCGACGCACGGTTCGTGTGGCACACGAACCATTGCAGGCGTCTGCTGCTGCTGCCGCCCCGGACAAGATCAGGATCAAGCTCAAGTCTTTCGACACGGCCCTCATCCGTCAGGCGTGCGACGACATCGTGGGCGCTGCGGGTTCGACCGGCGCGTCGATCGCCGGACCAGTGCCGCTCCCCACGCGCCGCAAGATCTACTGCGTGCTCAGGTGTGTGGCCAGATGCCGAGGGCGTGTTTGTGCCTGGGGTTTCGACTACGGGCCCGCGCCAGAACCGCGATAGCTGCTCGCCGCCTGCAGGTCGCCGCACGTGAACAAGGACTCGCGGGAGCACTTTGAGACCCGGACACACCAGCGCCTTATCGACATCACCGACCTTTCGGCACAGACGGTGGACAAGCTCATGCAGCTCGACCTGCCTGCGGGGGTCGACGTGCAGGTCAAGCTCTAAAGGTGGTCTCCACGCGAGCGGGAAGACTACTGACCACGTCCCGCTGGGCGTCGCACGGCGCTGCCACGGCAGCCTGGCTGGAGGTGCCCTGGGCATAGACCTCGGGCCCGGGAAGAAGATGAGCTTTGTGTGTCGGTTTGTGAGGAATCAACGTACTCGGCGATAAGCGGCTGCACAGTCCGAGCCACGTCGCAAGCAGCCGCACGTTGTTCTACCAGGTCGATGTTGATTGAGGAGGCAAACAATCTTACCCGCGGAAACGCTGCGTAACCGTGGCGCGCATGGCTCCCTGCGCAGGCTGGCTGCCGGAGGCCGAAACTTGTCTCCCCAGGGACTCTCGCGATGCGCTTGACTCGTCGATCGCGAATGCCAGGTTTACCCATTACACTCCACCTTTGGGCGCGCGCGCCTCATGGCTGTGGCTCACGAAGAGACCGCTTGCTCGCCGCCAAGATCTCCGCCACAGCTTGCGAGATTACCCCGTTTGTGCCCAGCACTCGGCAGGACATCACGTCGAACGGCCCACCGAACGGGTCGAGCACATGTCCGCCCGCTTCTTCCAGGATGACGCTTGCAGCTGCCACGTCCCACGGCCCTCCAAATCCGATCTCGTAGAACGCGTCCAGGCGGCCCATTGCGACGCCACACAGGTTCATTGCGCACGAGCCCGAGCAGCGCATGGAGCGAGTGGCACGGCCCAAGTTGGCAAGCCGATCAAACACCGCTGTCTGCGTCTCCTCGTCCTGCGACACCCCTATCTCGGTCGCCACCAGCGCACGGCCGAGGTTCGCTTGGCTCGAAACTGCGAGTGATCGCACGAGCGACTGTCGGACGGGATCGCGACGACATGGGCGGGGCAACGTTGCTCGTACTGGGCTGCTGTGTGCCGCCTTACCTTTGATTGGCTTGCCGTTCAAGAACGCGCCTGCGCCACGAACCGCCGTGAACATCTCGTCCAGGATCGGGTTGTACACGACGCCCAAAACGACCACCTTGTTGATGGCAAGACCGATGCATGTGCACACGAAAGGAAAGCCGTGCACGAAGTTCGTGGTCCCGTCGAGTGGATCGATGATCCAGGTCGGTGCGTCTGTGAGCGGGGGAGTCCGCCCCAGGGCCGCAGCCTCTTCCTGCACGGATCAAAGAGACCCAATAGACTCCCCGATTTCATGTATCTGACTCAACCGGCGGTCCGCCGAATGGCTGATTCGCGCGTCGCTCACCTCGCCGATGAAGCTATGCTGTGGGAACTTTAGTCGAATCTGGTCCACAGCCAGTTTCTCGCATTGCTGATCAGTCTGAGTGACGAGGTCGGCATCATTCTTCTTGTTCAAGACGTTTTTGGGCTCACTGAATGCCGTCGCAATGACCTGCAAGAGCGCCAGGGTGATCTGGTCTCGCACGCCGCGCCCTGGCCCACCTCGCCACCTTCCGTCTGCAGCCACGTCGATCATTTCTCCCCGGAGCCCGCCACATTCCGAGCAGATCGGAGGCAGCATGCACTCCAGTGATCCCATTCGACTGTCGAGACGATGCCCATGCACGGTGCCCCGGCGTGCACGCAGGTGGCGATCTCACCTGCCCAGCAGAGCGTGCAGCGCTCTCCGCAACAGCCAGGTAGTTTCGCAATTCTGCACGGAAACGGTGGCGGCGAGGGGGATCGATCGCTGCAGCTCGCTTGGTACCACCTCGCGGTGGGCCTTCGCATCAGTGCCTCACCGTGGTCGTCGCTCATGGCCGCCTTGACTTCCGTCCTCTCTCTCGACCCGCCTTCCGCAGCAACGCTGGCTCCACGGTTCGCGTCTGCGTTCAGCGTTCGTACGCGTCGATTTGCGCCAGGGGAAAGACAAGGCCGAATCGGAACACGCGTGTGCACACGGCCAAGCATGAATGAAAGAAGACCTCCGAAGTGCTCCGCGTACGACCAGCGATGCGGCGGCGTGATCGTCACAAGGCGGGACGATCTCGCCTGTGGGCGCCGCGGGGCGTGCGCGGGGCAAAGAAATCCACAGCAGATTCCGGTCCGACGGTCGGACGGTCCGACCGTCGGACTCCGACCTGGTTTTGACCTGGAGGATGGGGACTCCGGACTCGGGCCCCGGAGGGCGATGTCTGGGATCGTTGATTTCTCCGCACCAGCCGCTTGTTCGCACCACTGGCAGGCGCATTCTGACATTTTTTCGGGATTCGCCCGCATTTTTTGCGAGCACCGAGGCCAAGAGTGCATGTACTACAATTTCACCCGCAGGCGGCGATGAATGACGAGCAAATGCACATATTCTCGATATCAGTCGTCGATGCTACCATTTTCCGCATCATCGCACGCTTGAATTGCGGCTAATCGCGCGCAATCGGCCGCTTCGCGTGTCCTTGAGAGACCGTGCTGGCATCCCGATTTCAGCCACGGATGTCACAGTTCCACCATCGCGATGGCCTATACGTATTAGGTCCCGCCCAGATTACCGAAAAACGCGGCGCGAAAGACTTTTCATGGCGCGTACGGGCAGCACGTCCCTCATCGGCCGCTCGGACTCCTTTTTAGCTCGCAATGAGCGCTTTTTGCGGCGTCCACTGCTCCCCAGCGTGATCATCCTTTCCAACTCTTGCGAGATTGATGATCGAAGTTGCCGTTTATGGGCCGTTCTGACGCAGCGAGGCGACTGTGAGCTGCATTTCACTCAGAGATGGCAAAACAGCGCCGTTTTGGCTCGGCGCACTGCAAGTTCCGGGCGCGGAGCGAAGTCAATCGCTGTGAACGGTCCCACATGATCTGAAGTTTCAGACCGCGGCGGTAATCCGTGACCGTGTGCCCGCCCAGGCGCACGAGAAGCCACGAGGCGAGATTCCAGGGATTACCAGCCTGAAAATGGCAGCTGCGGCACACACCTGCGGTCGGGAACAGGATTACCACGCGGGTTGACATGTTGAGTACAGAATCGTTCGTGTGATGTGCGCGAGGGGTCGCAAAACTGCGATCACGCGATGCGCCAGGCACTCGAGAAGGCAGGAAGCAGCACTCACTCGAGCCAGGCCCTTCTTCAGTGAACCAGCAGTCGAGCCACCCCGCCGCGCCACGCAGAGCGCTTGCCGCGACTCGTTTTTCCGCCCCGGCCCGTCTCTCGGACATGAGGACCACGGTTCACAGCGCGGATGCGTCGCCCTGTCCGTCAGCGGGACGAACGGCGGGGGGGGAAGTGTTGTTTGGCCCAGTCCGGCGTCCCCAGTCCTCCGAGGTGGGGACTCCGGACTCGGGCCCCGGAGGGCGATGTCTGGGATCGTTGATTTCTCCGCACCAGCCGCTTGTTCGCACCACTGGCAGGCGCATTCTGCCATTTTTTCGGGATTCGCCCGCATTTTTTGCGAGCACCGAGGCCAAGAGTGCATGTACTACAATTTCACCCGCAGGCGGCGATGAATGACGAGCAAATGCACATATTCTCGATATCAGTCGTCGCTGCTACCATTTTCCGCATCATCGCACGCTTGAATTGCGGCTAATCGCGCGCAATCGGCCGCTTCGCGCGTCCTTGAGAGACCGTGCTGGCATCCCGATTTCAGCCACGGATGTCACAGTTCCACCATCGCGATGGCCTATACGTATTAGGTCCCGCCCAGATTACCGAAAAACGCGGCGCGAAAGACTTTTCATGGCGCGTACGGGCAGCACGTCCCTCATCGGCCGCTCGGACTCCTTTTCAGCTCGCAATGAGCGCTTTTTGCGGCGTCCACTGCTCCCCAGCGTGATCATCCTTTCCAACTCTTGCGAGATTGATGATCGAAGTTGCCGTTTATGGGCCTTTCTGACGCAGCGAGGCGACTGTGAGCTGCATTTCACTCAGAGATGGCAAAACAGCGCCGTTTTGGCTCGGCGCACTGCAAGTTCCGGGCGCGGAGCGAAGTCAATCGCTGTGAACGGTCCCACATGATCTGAAGTTTCAGACCGCGGCGGTAATCCGTGACCGTGTGCCCGCCCAGGCGCACGAGAAGCCACGAGGCGAGATTCCAGGGATTACCAGCCTGAAAATGGCAGCTGCGGCACACACCTGCGGTCGGGAACAGGATTACCACGCGGGTTGACATGTTGAGTACAGAATCGTTCGTGTGATGTGCGCGAGGGGTCGCAAAACTGCGATCACGCGATGCGCCAGGCACTCGAGAAGGCAGGAAGCAGCACTCACTCGAGCCAGGCCCTTCTTCAGTGAACCAGCAGTCGAGCCACCCCGCCGCGCCACGCAGAGCGCTTGCCGCGACTCGTTTTTCCGCCCCGGCCCGTCTCTCGGACATGAGGACCACGGTTCACAGCGCGGATGCGTCGCCCTGTCCGTCAGCGGGACGAACGGCGGGGGGGGAAGTGTTGTTTGGCCCAGTCCGGCGTCCCCACCGAGGACCTGCGCCTGTCAGGGGTCCGACCCGGTCGCGCCACCGTGGCGGGGCGGCACTTGTGTCGCCTGACGCTGCGAGCACAGGTGCACTGCCTTTCGCCCTGAGCCCCTGACGGTCGCTGCGCGGCGCAAACATGATGATGCGTCCTTCCATCGCGTCTAGGTGAGTCACGGGCAAGGCCGCGGCGCCGGGATTCCAAGGCCCCCCGCCGTGTCTCGGCGGGTGGATTGGTTGACCGGCCACCAGAATGTCGTATCTTGCGTGGCGACTCCTCCTGGACCGCCCTGCGCGCCCTGGGCCGCGGGTGCGGCGAACCAACCGCCTGCCCCGAAGGTCCCTGCCAGGAGACACCGTGTCCCTCGCACGCGTGAACGCGCCCTCCGGACCGGATGCCCGGTCGACTCGGGCTAGGCTCAGAGCTGTTGCGAAGAGAGGCTGTGGCCAACGCCCTGGCTCGGACGTTGAACCTCCTCTTGCAGCTGGGCCGCTCTGGGCAGGCCCAGCAATGCAACTACACGATCCGATGCTGCCCGCTCATCCCGAGCTTGCTATGGGTTACGATTTTACGCGTGAACTCACGGCCCCAAACGCGTGTTCCTTGGCTGGGCAGTCGGTCCACTTGCAGGCTGGCAGCCCCCAGGCGCACCCTTGGCCGCAGTCAAGCCCCGAAGTCCGCGCCGTGCGTTCGCCAGCGCGCCCCGTGCGCCTCCGCGAGCAAGGCTCCGCCGAGCAGTGCCGCGCCGGCGATCAAGATCGACAACACGTCGGATGAGTTCGCCACCAAGCTGTCCGTCTCCTTCCACAGCACCGAGGAGGATGATTCCGCCGAAATGCTCGCCCTGACGCAGGCCTTGCAGAACATGGATCTCAACATCGTCAAGGGCAGAGTGCGCGACTCCTCGAGTGACCCGGACTTGAGGAGGTCGACGTTTTTCATCACAGGTGCGAAGGCCGCCGGAGCGCCGCGCACTCGTCGCGGCCGACGGCGCAACTCTGCAGACTGGTCGACGTGTTGCGCCGGCTCCGCGCTGCAGACAAGCACACGTCAGACAAGGTGCTGAAGAGTGAGAAGCTGGAGGACATTCGGCTGGCCGTGGAGTACACGCTTCTCGAGAAATTCCCCGAGGAGGGCGCGAAGCTGGCGGCGGCGGACCGCCGCGACGTCCACCGGCAGCCGCGAAAGGACGGCGAGAGCGTGGTCCCTACGCGAGTCACGGTGCAGCCACCCCCCCGTTGCGTCTAACGCGGCAGCGAGCGTGCGCGCAACGCCAGCATGCGACGCCGCTCGCGGGGGCTGTACACGAATCGCGAACCCCCTCCCTGCAGGTGGAGCCGCACGAGTCTGGCACCCGCTCAATCCTGCGGGTGAAGACGCGCGACTATCCGGGCATCCTCACGGAGATTGTGCGCGTCCTCAAAGACATCAACCTGAACGTCACGTACGCGGAGATCAACACCGTTGGGCGCGAGGTCGACGACACGTTCTACGTGACGTACCACGGCGCCGCCCTGGACCACAACATGGAACTGCTCGTAACCAACTGCTTGCAGTACTACATCTCGCTGTTCGAGCTCGAAAGGGACGAGTCCTACTAGGGAGCTCCAGCGGGCCCAGCCGCCGTACCCCCCACGTGGCCGTTTGAGTGCACGACCAGTGAGCCATGAGGACGGTGGCTCGACGCACCGACCCAGCAGGCAGGCTCTGTGATCCGCCCCCGTCAGTCAGACTTTGGTTCGCAGCCGGAGCGGCGGCACAGCTGCGATCCACGCTGGCATGCAGGCGCCCTCGATGCCCGTTGCAACTGCAGTGCAACGGCCCACGAGTCGCTGCGAATTGTCTGTGCGGGTTCTCCACCCCTTCCGTTGCTCTCGCACCCCTGCCATGGTCCTCTCCTACGGCCCTGAGCAAGCTCGTTGACTTTGCTGATCGCTTTTCACCTGTGGACGCAACAGCTTCCTCAGAAAGCCATACTCCAGGAAACTTCCCACGATGCCTTCGCTACCAATATGCGTGAGGCCTGATGAGGTGAAGTCCGAGGACTGCAGCAACCTCCGCGCACACTCCGAAAGGTCGACCTGATAATGTCGGCCGTCGCGTCTTCTGCGAGTCCGGCCCTCGCGAAAACGTTTAAGACGAAAAGAAAGTTCCAAGAAAGCGGCTGATGCATCTGAGTGACCTCACTCCGAAGCCTCGACTTCGAGTCCATGGTCCAGGTCGACGTGCCCGCGGCCATCCATGTCGATCACGGATGGGAATATTGAACCGAGGCAACCAGGGAGTTGACGTGTATTTCGCCATAGTGAGATGGACTGCTCCGCACCGGCGGCCACCTCTGCGAGGCGCGAGGGGCTTTCGTATAGCCGCACGATGCTGTCTGCCATGTCCTCGGCATTGTCTGCGATGACGATGCCTCTGCAGCGTGGCAAGCAAGGGAGCCCTCGTATCCCATGCGACGTTGAAACGACAGGTATGCCCTGCGACAGTGCGTGAATAACCTCTGTGCGAACGCCCGTGAGCATTTGTCGCCGAGGCACCACCTCAGCCAAGCACACGTCTGCATCGCCAAACAGCGCGCCCTGCCTCCCCTCTGCCCCCGACGTCTCCCAACTCTGGCCGATGATCCGCAGCACCATGTCCGGAATCGCTCCACGCACGGCTGGCAGGACACTGTCAAGGAACCAGTTCACTGACATCTCGTCGTTGAAGTCATCGAAGTTGCCGTGGAAGCAGAGGTTCAACGACCTCTCCTGCCTCGGCCACTGCTGCTGCACAATATCAGCACCGCGGTGCGGCACGACGCAAAAGCGTCCATGCTGCCGGCCGACGAGCTCGTGCATGAGAGACGCGTCGCTGTGGGACACAGCTATGACCTGCGCCGCGGCCATGTAGACGTCGGCTTCGCGCCTTTCGATCGCAAGGGCGCCATCTCGGCTAGCGCCCTTGGCCGGAGATTGAAGCTGTCGCAGGAAGTGAACCTCGTCGGAAATCACGACTAACTGTCCTAGGCACCCTTTGTTGTGCCATGCCACAAGGACCTCCGGAATCGAGGGCGCTCCGTCGCGAGGGAATCGTGCAGACGCGATGGTCATCAGATACCCGCCATCGCTGCACGCCATATCTTGGAAGGATCGCATGGCGGGGTCCGAGGACACGAGACGCCCATGCAGCGCGTCGATCGTTTGCGCTGTCTGCCCGTCCATCTCGCTTCGAACGGTCAGATCGACGGCGCTGCAGGTAACTTTCCCCAAGCGTTCCATGACCGTCATCACGCGGTGGTCGCTTCCGGTCAGGTGGGACAACTGGAGCTCGTCATGCGCCAGCGCCACACGAACATCCTCACAATGGGGTCCTGCGGGCAAGGAAGAGGGACAACGTCAGCCGGTGTGATGCACAAGGACCGCCATACTGCGATGAGCAGGGCCACGTGAGCCCGCTGTGGCCTCCAGCGTTCTGTAAGTGTTCGTTGCAGTACAGCGGTGTGGTTCATCACTCAAGAGGCGCTCGGCGCAGACGATCGGCCGACGCACGGCAGCCAGTCGTCAAACATTGCATGCCAGGCACGGGCAAGATCTACGAGCGGCGCGAGGCTTCACCTTCCGGGAGATGCCTGCGCACAATCTCGGAAATAAGCATTGCATTCTTCGAGCGACCCGTGCGCCTATTGTGCGACGACGGATTGACGTAGTACGCCTCGATCGGGTCGGCGATGATCGTATACAAGACGCCGGCGTTGCGGCACCGCAGCCAGAACTCGAAATCCGCTACCGGATCGTAGGACACGTCGAAGTAGCCGCAGACCCCGTGGATGGACTTGCGCCACATGGGGCTGTTGTGCGGGAAGTTCTCCGGGCGCACTTTGTTGTCGTGGAACCGAAAGAAGTTCCACGGCTGCAGCAGGGGGACGTCAGGCAAGTCCTGAAACCACACAGCTGCACCAGGGCGATTCATGCCTTCCTCCCAGTTCGTGGAAACGTCTGTCGCGACCACGGTGCTCGCGACAACGCCGAGAAGCGGGTCGGATTCGAGACTTCGCATCTTGATCTCCCAAGAGTCGTATCTACGACGGTCGTCCAAGTTGGCGTTCGTGACGAACTCGCCGCGCGCGAAGCGCGATATCATGTAGTTCCAGAGCTCATACAGCCCGGGGTCTTCCGGGAAAAGCACGAGGCCCACGTTGCGCTGCTCGAAGACGAAGCGCAAGAGGCGCTGGCGGTCCTGTGCGGGCCATTTCACCAAGGCGTCCAGCGTGCTCCCGAAGAGCACCTCGGTTTTGTTCCACGCGGTTTGGCGTCGCACGTCCGCTAGAAAGTCCTCGAGGAACGTGTGGACGCCCGGTCCGAGAAGCGACGTCAGGACTGACAACCTCGGATGGAACTGGTTGAACGCAGCGGCAGCATGCAACGTCAGTCTTCTGCACCGCAGGCATGAGCCATCGTCCGGAGCACCAAGATCCTTGAGGACGCCGCAAGGGTCGCTGAACTGGAGGTCGGCGCCTTTTGCTTTTGGTTCGAGCCCGCGGCCGGAGCGCTGGAAGACGACAGCAAGGATCAAGATCGCCAGAAGCGTTCCCACCAGCGTGCGGAAGCTAATGGACAGCCTCAGACCGCGCCACCGCTTCCCCCGCGATACATGTTTCGAGGACATCATCATCGCCGCGGGCTTTCCTCCCGCCGTGCGTCACGCACCAAGCTCAAGCCGCATCCGCAGCTGAGCAGGTGCGTCGTGCCGCACGGCCGCAGGCACGCATGCCTTGGGTTTCCGCACGCTGCAGATACGAAAGACTGCCGCTGTGAGTTCGCGGATGCCTCGGCCTCTGATGCCCGCGTCAACCGCGCAGCACCGCAGCAAAACGGGTCCTGAATAGCTGTATCGTCGCGGTTTGCAGTCTCGAACGTGCGTGTCTCATTGTAGGGGCGTGATCGCAAGCATGTACTGTGTAAGGCAAACACGTGCCTGTAAGCAATGGCTGCGAGCAACGGACCCGCCGACTCACTCCGAATGTGCAGGACGAGGTTGGACCAGACCGACTGGACGTGGGCCACGGTGCCACCGGGTGGCGTCCATCGCCGTCCGAATACATCGCGCCTCTTTCGGGCACACTCGGAGCAGTTGTCTGCGCGTCCTTCGCAGCACATTCTGAGAGAGCATGTGCGCTCGGTGAGCACTCATCGCGCGAGGGTCTCAACGACACAGTGTCCACGAGCTGTCGATGCTCGCGGCACGCGCGGCAGCGGCCCGGGCCCACGCAGGATACTGGCCCCTCGCTCGGTCGACTTCGCTGCGCGGCATCACCGGTAACTTTCAGCGCAGGAGATCGCGCGGCCTTGATCACTCGAACAGCCTCTGGGTAGCGAATTGCGCCATGGACGGCGCGCAGAACTCGTCTGCAACGACGCAAGTGCGCCAAACAATCGCCTTGACGCCGGACGAAGAGGAATTGTTCAGCCTTCTGCTGGCCGCCGCTCGGCGCCACGGTCTGAACACCACCATCCGGTGTGCTGGAGGTGCGTGCAGGGCTCCTTGGGCCTGATGCGCGACTGGATCGTTGTGTCGCCTGCAGACCTTTCCAACCGACACGCAGACTTGCAGATGCGTGTGTTCGCTGCGTCCAGGCTGGGTGAGGGACAAACTGCTGGGGGGCGAGTCCTCCGACATCGACATTGCCCTGGATGACATGCTGGGCAAGGACTTCGCCGAGAAGGTCAACGAGTACATGTGTGAGAAGGGGAAAGAGGTGGCTGGCGTGGGGGTGATCAAGAGCAACCCGTCCCAGAGCAAACACTTGGAGACTGCTACGATGAAGGTGCTGCCCGCGCATCCGGCATGGCGTGCGACGATCGAAGGTTCGCGCCGGCGAGGGGCGTCATTGCGCATGTACGCACGCACCGCGTCAACGCAGCCACACGTCGAAAATCGTGCAGGTGAATGGGATCTGGATCGACCTCGTCAACCTGCGCAGCGAGAGCTACGCGGACTCATCGCGCATTCCCGAGATGGAGTTTGGGACGCCGGCGCAGGATGCGCTTCGCCGCGACCTCACGATCAACGCACTGTTTTACAACGCGAACACAAAGCAAGTTGAAGATTTCACCGGATCGGGGCTGCAGGACTTGCGCGCTGGCATCATACGCACACCACTTGATCCACTCACGACATTCATGGACGACCCGCTCCGCGTCTTGCGCGCGGTTCGCTTCGCGGCGCGCCTGGGCTTCAAAGTCGATGATGCCTTGTGCACAGCAGCCAGGAGCGAGGAGGTGCGCAGAGCTCTGGAAGACAAAGTTTCGCGCGAACGCATCGGTGTGGAAGTGCAGGGGATGCTGCGAGGACCTCGCCCGGTCTTCGCCATGAAGCTGCTGCACTCGTTAGGGTTACATGCAACCGTCTTCTGCACACCGCCGGATCTCGCGCCGGTCGCCGAAAATCTTGCAGCGAAGAGCATCGCCACGCTTGAGGTGAGCCTTCGCCTCAAAGCGATGCAGTGGATCGCCCTGGGTGAGACATGCTTGCGAGCCCAGAACTCATCGCAGCGTGCCTCCATTGGTTCTGCATCGGTGATGCTTGACCTTCTGGATCTCTCCGCAGGCCGTGTTGGAGGTGGACGGCGCGGTAGGAACGTCCGGTGCCTTGTCGGAGGATGCTCGGAGGGTAATGATGCTGTCCGCTGTGCTCTGCTCCCTGCGGCGCATCACTGTTGGCCGTGGCAAGAAAGAGATATCTCTGCACACGTTCCTGATCAAGGAATCTCTGAAGCTGCGCGGCAAGGACGCGGAGCAAGTTGAGGCCGTGCTGCAGCAGAGCACTGAGGTGCTGCGCGTGCTGCAAAGAATCCACGAACCGTCCGGTGGGACCGACGAGCGGGTCCGCAGCGACCTCGGACTATGCATCAGGCGAGTGAACGCGCCCACGCCCAAGTCAGTGTCGCGTTGCCGCGCAACTCGTCCAGCATGTCGATTGAGCATGGACGGAGATGCCCTCGCCCCTCGAACTGCCGCAGGCGCTCCAAGGACGTGTGGCCGGTGGTGATGCGCGTCGCTCCCGTGCTGCTGTTGGACGAGGCTGAGCCCGTGCCCGGTTCCGACCAACTGGAAGACGATGCAGAGACACGTCAGCTCGTGCGAAGGCATCTGGCGGACAAGGTGGCGCCCGGTGCTTCAGTCTCGTGGAAATGGAATGCACAGCCTGGTCTGGATAGCACAGCGACGCCAGGAGACGATCTCGAGCGACTGAGCGCGGTGCGGAATCCTCACATCAATCCTGGCCTCAAACGCTGCTTGTCCCGGCGAATGAGCGCGCGGCTCGTGTGCGACGCGCTGCACTGCGTCTGATGGCACCCGGGACAATGTCTATGCGGTGCGGCCGCCACGGGGAATGCGTCGCAGGCAATGTCTCGTGCGTCTCAGGACTTGCTCAGGGCCGTGGACGACTTCGGCCTGGAGGGCTGTGCGTCTTGGAGGCCGTTACTAGACGGCGGTGCCGTGATGCGGACTCTCGGGATGAGATCGGGTGGGCCGGCTCTTGGGCAAGCAATGCATGCGGTGCTGGAGGTGCGCACCATGGAAGTTGGCTACTCCTGCCTGTCCTCGGCGACGCAGTTCGTTCACGCACGAGAAATGTCTGGGGCGCCACGCAGTATCAACTCGCGCATCCTGAAGCTACGGCACAAGACGCCGAGGAGTTCCTGAGGACGAGGTATCAACCAAGCGCGTGAAGCATCGCATGCTGACCATCGGCGCTCGTGCGGCGATGCAAAAGAGCCGCCGCTGCAGGCGATAGCGCCAAGCGAGTCGCTCACCGCGAGTCGTGCAGCGAAGGCGCACACGGCTGACGGCAACCTGTCGCAATTTGCATGCATGACTTGTACTTCGCTGGCCAACAAGACTGCTCCAGGAGGCGGCGGGGTCACACCACCATGCGACGAGGGTTGTGCGGCGTGCATGGTTGCGCACGACCTTGCCAGCGGCGGGAGCAGTGCAGTTCCATCTGGGCTCTGGCCATGTACTGCACATGAGGCGTCGACACCTGCTGGCGCGCAAGCCCTGCAGCCCCGCAACGCTGATGGGCGAAGCACCGGTGTCGGTGACGGTCTGGCAGCACGTACCCCCGGGAAAAGCCCTCGCGGGCCACCCCACACAGGCTGGCTGTATCACCTGCTATGTGCTCATCGGAAAAGAGACAAGGGTCGGCGACAGCGTCCCGCCCACGTGCATTCACATTGCACGAGCTGTGCGCAATCACTTGCAGCGTCGGGGCGCGCTGACTTGCGACACGCTGCTCCTCAACCCGGCCAAACCTCCCCTCGCTGAGTCTTTGGCACGCGCATCACTCGCGATTGCTGTTTTCCATGTAAAAGACGTAGGTCAGAATCGCCGACGAAGGCGCCATCGCAGCGATCCAAAGAGCACGCCTCTGGGTGAGTGTGAAGCGTCCGAGCCTGCGAAGCACGCGCACAGCCGCTTCTGCGTTGGAATACGGAGAGGGTTCTCAGCCCCGAAAAGCATGTCGCCGCGGGCTGCCTTGCCTGCCGTTTCCGAACATGTCCTTGCCAAAGTCGCTGGGGTTCACTTCTCGCGCCACTGGTCCGTGTTGCACTGCCGAGGAGTGCTGGTTGCGACGGTTCCCGCTGGCTGCAACCGGAAAACAACGGGATACGGTTCCTTGGAAACGCGAAGATTGCTCACGGGCGACTCACAAGCGCCGCGCAAGCGGGGGCAAGATGACGTAGAGGCCCGAGCACGTTGTTTGCGGGCTGACTGTGGCTCGGGCTCGCCATGGTCTGGGTGTGCGAAACAAGATCTTGCCGAGCAGTGCGTCCGCTCTTTGCAAGCGCCGTTCATTCTCGCGGCGACGGGGACGCGCCAGCCTGCTTCGCCAGAGCACCCAGTGTCCTCCGCCACGTCATCTTGCTTCCGCCGGACAGAGAACGCTGGCTCACTTCTATGTGTGAAGTTGCACACCAGTAGTCTGCGCGACTCTTCAACAGCGCCACTTGAGGGTGAAAACCAGTGTCTTCAAGCCACCAACTCGAGGTGTCCACGCCCTCTGCGGCGCGGTTGCGCGATCCTGACTTACTTCTGCCAGCAAGTGCTGACCAGGCCCGGCCGACGGCGCTTCTGAAACCGTTTCCAGCCGCAAACCGTTTCAGATGGTGCGGGGGTTTCATTCGAGACATAGTTCTACCTCGAACTCGCAGCATGTCGGGGAAGGTCTGTATTGTGTGTGTTGGATCCCTGAACCCATTCAGGGCATCGTGGCGACGGTCAAGCGACGCTAAACGGCGAAGCGTCGGCACGCGAGCACGCCGTGCTGGTGCTGTACCGGCGGAGGTGAATTGGGAAGGCCCGCAGGCGCGGCCGCCCGACTCCCCCGGGGGGCTCTGTTTTGTCTGAGACATATGCGTGTCGTCCGCGACAGAGCTGGAAGTAGCCGCACCCGCGCCACACCAGTGACCTGGCTGCGTAGGCTCACTGAGCTCACTGGCTAGCAGTGCACAGGTCTGTTGAAATGCACTGTCCCGATTCCCTGCAGCAGACTGCAAGCTCCGGCGCGCGAATCCCGCAAGGCTCCTGCTGAGTCTGGACCTGCACAGATCGCAGCCAGCACCTGCTGTCTGATGCACGGCACCAAAAGACCGCGATGAGTGGAGGTGGCAACCTGCTGCGGAGATCCTTCGTCCCTGTCCTGGTGTTCGTCGGCATCGTCGTCGCTGCCCTCTACATCCAAAGGAACAGCACGGTGCGGCCGTCTACCGACTTTCCGACTTGAGCGATGTGCCTTCCAGCGCTCTAGGCCTGCAGCACGTTCCTGCTTCTCCGCTGCTGAGGGATCACGTGTATTCCCTTTCGGAGGGGCTGCGCATGCAGTTTCATAGCGGGTTCGCGACGTATATGGTCCGGACGTCCAACTCAGGAGAGGGCACGGAGGACGCAGAGGATGTGCGGGCTGCCGCGACGTCGTCAAGCCCGCAACTCCCACCCAGTGTCCCGCTGTCAGCAGTCATACACACAGTGTACGATGAGGTTACTGCCGGCTGCGTAGACGTTGCCTTGGAGTCCATCGCACGCGCTTCTGTCTTTCCTGCCGAAACCATCCTGCTGGTGGACGGGATCGACCTGGAAGATCCGGAGCACGTGAAGGTTGCTCGCACCTATATGACTGAGCACAACTGGGAGGAGCGTATTCCGGGCATCCACGCAATTTTCCGCCCAGGAACCCACTCGAGGTGACCTCCACTGACGCCTTCGCGTCTCGTGGCGCAGCGCCGGTGTCACGGCGCCGTGATTCGCTGCGACACTAGCACAATCCGCCACGCGTGCTCCGTGAACACGCAAACAGTCCGGCCCCACCCTCTTCGTCACCCCTGCAGGCATGACAACATGAATTACGGATCTGCGGTAGCGTCGCAGCCGTACGTCACCCTGCTCCACGGGGACGACGTCGCCCATCCAGACCGGTGGCGGCTGCTTTACGAAGCCTTCCAGGAGCGGCCCCATGTCGGCTTGCTGCTGGCCCGACACACCGTCGCATATGGCCTCGAGGCCAACACCTTCCAGGAGCCCTTTCCGAGCGACCACGGGCCGACGTTCGTCTACGACGGCGAGTGGATCTCCGACCACTACGCGAAGTTCTTCGCCGGCGGCGGCGACTTCATGCCGTGCTGCTGGGACTTTGAAGCACCGGAGACTTTTAGTCGCGGCGAGGCGCAGAACGGTTGGATGGCGTTCAGGCAGGACGTGCGGGATGCGGTGGTATTTCGGGACACAAACGGCCCCGCAGAAGATGCGGCGTTCGTGTCGGACACCGTGCGGCATGGATTCGTAGCCAACGTGCTGGACGAGAGCTTGGGGTTGTACCGCGTGCGGGACAACGGCCAGAAAATCTGTCGGTGAGGCCACCTGTCGAGCTTCACGGCGGCGGCTGTGGCGAGGAGCCGCAGTGGGGCCGGAGACCCACGGGGGGGGGGGTCGGCGGGGCTGCGTGATAGACGTGCGTCAACGAACCGGCAGATTCTTTCGCGGATGAAACTTCTCGCGACTTGCGCACATGAGCTGAGTGCACTTTTTGCTTCTCCAATAGCTGTGATATATCTCAGATCCCAAAGCCTCATGGCTGACGACGCGAAGAATGTAACACCTCACCTCATCTTGATCAAGGACGTGATGCTCCTGGACGCGATGCTCATGTCGGGCGGCGGAGCTCGTCTGGCTGTCGGACGGGTGCCACCGCAGCTGATGTGTGTGCGACCCCCCTCCCCCTGCTCCCCCGGGTGAGTATGACTCAGTCAGACTGAGTCACGCGGCGTGTCACACCGTGACGCCGTACCGTACGGAACGAATTTGAGGGCGACGCACGTGACCTGCCCGACTTCGCGCCAGTCTTCGTTTTGCAGCGTCGGCCAGGCCCCCCGGAATGGAGCGCTGCGGAGCAGATCAGAGCGATTACACCATGAGTGCGCCGTGCTAACGACGTCATGTCGCATGTGTGCCATGCTCTCGCTAACGTGCTGTGGAAGCGCAGGAATGCCTGCGTGGTCGTCACCGACGAGGCGGAGCGCCTGTCAGGATACCAGGTGCGACCTGCGCACGATCGCTCCCGCCGTGATGCCCGCGCCTTTTCTCATGCACCGCGCGGCTGCGATCATAACATAGGGTTGCCTCCCCTGAGAGCCACATTCTCGCTGGTGAGTCGTCCTACGCAAGCCCTGACCGCCTGCAGCTGTTTGCCCGGACAGTCGCCTTGGGCGAGGCCCTCCGACAGAGTGGGCTATTACCGGGGCAACGCGTGGCGTGCCTCGCCCTCACGTCGCATCGCGTGGTGGAGCTCTGGCTGGCCTGTTGCGCCGTCGGTGCGATCTTCGTGCCTCTGAACTGGCGCTGGTCCGACTCAGAGATCACTCATGCCTTGCGCGTGGCCGCCCCCGCGGTACTTGCGTGCGACGAACATTTCATCGCAGCGGGACGGCGCGCTGCAGCAGCCTGTGCGCGCCTCAATGGCGGGCGGGAACCGCTGTACTGGTTCCTCGGGGGCCACTTGCCTGTGCAAGTTGACGCAACAAACGCTCACTCGCATGGATGCACTACGACGGAGGAGGCGATCGAGGAACACCTTGGCAGCGTCCCGGGCGCAGACGGGGCTCAGTGGTTACGCGATCTTCCCGCGGAGGAGCACAGCCGCGGCGCCCTGCCCCTGGAGCTGCAATGTGCCCCGGGGGGAGTTTCCCTGTTGTGCCTCACGTCTGGCACCACAGGCACGCCGCCTCTCTCGTCGTCGCATGTGTAGGTCGTCGATATGACTGGTCGCAGACTACGGAACATCGACCGATCGACGCTCCCGCACATCTCGTGCAGGGGCATCAAAGGCGGCAGCTCTGACGCACAAGGGCATCGTGTTCCAGAGCGCGTGCAAGCTGAATCTCGTGGGATATAGCAGTGACGACGTTTACCTTCACGCCGCGCCCCTGTTCCACATCGGCGGTCTCTCGTCGGCCCACGCCATGCTCAGTGCCGGCGGCTGCCAAGTCTTCCTCCCAAGGTTCCAAGCGAAGGACTTCCTGCACGCAATCGACGCGCACAGGTCAGGCGCCTGCATCGTGCCGTCCGTCGAGATCCCGCGCGGCACCGAGAGTGCCGTGCACGGCAAATGCAGCAGCGTTTGAAACACGCACTTGTGTCGCAAACAACGCCCGCTTGCTCCAGCGAGGGTCCAACGACGATGCCAACAACGCCACGATGGATGTGTGTGTTCATGCGATCCACGTCGGCCCCCGCCCGCGCAGGGTTTCGGCGTTCATCGCCGTGCCCACCATGCTGTCTGACCTGGTGGCCGCAGCGGGCGGGCGTCGGTACGCTCACGTCACCCGGATTCTGGTCGGCGCCGGTGGCATGACGCAAAGACAGCTCATCGCCACACGCGATCTCTTTCCGCGCGCAACGCTCTACACAGCGTACGGGATGACGGAATGTTGCTCCTCCATTACGTTTGGCATTGCGGACCCCGCAGTTGAACATTCAAGCAGGTTCGGGCCCGCTCGCGCCTCACATGACTGTGGGCGCACTCCTGAGTGTAGGTCATTTCTGTACCGGGGACAGGACGTGACTGCGCTGCAGAGACGTTGGTGTGCCGCCCGCGGGAATTGAAGTGAGGGTCTCGGCGCCGGACGGGGGTTGCACGGCGGCCTTGCCGCATGGACAAGAGGGCGAGGTCCTCGTGCGTGGCCCGACGGTCATGGCGGGATATTTCCGAGCACGGGATGCGGGTGCGAGCATTGACAACAGTGCAGTGAGCACGGACGGGTGGTTCCGGACCGGCGACGCCGGCGTGATCGACCGTGAAGGGGTGCTGAAGATAGTTGGGCGGCTGAAAGACGTGATTCGCAGCGGCGGGGAGAACGTGTTTGCCGGGGAGGTGGAGGAAGTGGTTTCGATGATGGCAGGCGTGGCCGACGTGGCGGCGCTGGGGCTGCCAGACAACCGCCTCGGGGAGCGTGTCACGGTGGTGGTGGTGCCTGCGCCGGACGCGGGGGCTCTGTGGCGCGCTGCCGGGGAGGGGTCTGGTGAAACCAAGGAAGATGCTGTTCACGCAGTAGCACAGTGGTGCCGCGAGAGGGGGCTCGCGGGGTTCAAGGCTCCACGTACGGTCATCGTGCGCGCAGAGCCCATCCCCAGAAACTCCATGGGCAAGATCGACAGAGCGCGTCTGCGCAAGGACGCGATGGCGACCCTCGCTGCCTCAAGCTTCGCCAAGGCCGCACTGTGATAGCGAAGGCGATATCTGCTTCGTCACTATGCGCGAGTGACTGCCGTATTGCGGCATGGAGGTGCGGGTGGTCCGCTCGCCCCGCGTACCACTTGCAACACTCTGTTTTGTGCTGCTGTTCGGCGGCTGACGTGCTGCGCCCGAGTGAGTCAGGAAGTCGTGATGCACCAACCGAGGATTCGCTCCGTCTGTGTGTCCAACGCTCGCTTCGCAGCGATGAGGTGAGGTGTCACATTCTTCGCGTCGTCAGCCATAAGGCTCTGGGACCTGAAAAGGTCATTCGACTAGGTGGCGAGTCATGCTAACCCCCCACCGTCACGGTAGCAACAGGTTCGGCAGCTGTGACAGAGTCAGCCTGGAGCAGATCCTCGATGCCACGAGCGAAGATCGCCATGCCTCGCTGATTCGGCAGGTTCAGAAGATAACGCACTGCAGCGTTGGCAGCGGCTTCCGAGTCGAGTGTTGCAGCGCCGTGCAGGTCCTCGAGGTGCTGGCGTAGACACGCGGTTGAGAGCGAAGCGGCGGCGCTGTCCAACAGTTGCCGTGGACGACAGGGGCGCATCGGTAGCAGGCGGAGGTGGTAGCGTGAGCTGCCCAGACGAATCCATGGCCAGGCCCGCTCGTTCCCGGAGAGAGCGTACCGCCGGGGCACAGCAGTCCAGCAGCAGGTGGCGGAGGTCCTCCGGGGCGGGCGATGCCGCCACGTCTACGCAGAAGCGGCAAACTTCGATGGGTGCGACAGCGGTGTGTGTTGCCACTGTCAGTCAGTCAGTCAGTCAGTTCACAGTCCGCAACCACTCCGCGGAGGCGCCACTCCTGCGACCACTACCCGCATCCGGATGACCAGAAGACCAGGCAGCAGCGGCAGTGCGACTGGGGGGGTTATCATCAAAAGCCCGATGCCAACGTGGGGATGAAAGCGCACGGTAGCGCCCAGGTCTCCAAGCACGCGGCCGGAGGCTCGAGGGCGCACGGGCGCCAAAGCGAGAGTCGCGCAAACGGGGCGGCGCGATGCGAGGGAGCGGGGGTGGCACGTCCCTGACCCGACCTGCTATTGGGTTTATCATCGTTATCGTCGGCGCCCGGGGCCCGGGAAGGCCCAGACGGCCCACGGGCGCGGTGCGTGCACGCGAGACAGACAGGGTTGGTCGGGCGGGGGGCGCGTCCACCGCATGGGTACAGGGCATGGACAGCATGTGGAGGGCGGGGGACGCCCTTGAGTGCCGCGTCGCTGCGAAAGACGGCGCATGTGCCGCGTGCCGCGGGCGCCTGACGGCGCCTCGGAGCTCCGTCGGACGTGGGTGGTGCCCGATAATTGCCTGCGACTGCACGCGACGGCCTTGCTAACCGTGCGGCGCCGAGACAGACACCAAAAGCACCTGCCGAGCGACAGCGATCGCCGGGCCCCCGCTACTGGGTGGCGGGCGGTGCTGCTCCAGAGGCGCGGGGGGGCGCGCGTGGTGCGGTTCTTTGTCGTCGCATGCAACGTCAGCCAACGGGGGTGCCGACGTGGGTGGGGGGGCTTGAGCCATACCCCCCCCGGGCCCTCGGCCGGGGAGCGGGTGCTTGCCGGGGCCCTGCCTGCCCGGGCGCGTAGCGCAGCCACGGGCGGCGTTGTCGTCGTGCCGTCACGGCGCTGGCGCACCTGACGGCATGGAGAGCGGGTGGCGAGGCCGCTCCGGCGTGGCGCGAGGTCCGAGACGGTGCCAGGCTCCCGCACAATGAGGGGCCGGCGCATGTAGATCCTGGGCTCCAGCGGGTGCGCCTGTGCTCCCGGATGGCCTTGCGCATGTGCCGCGGTCACGGCGGGGCGACGCGGTCCGTGGTCGTCGCGAACCTGCAAGCCTGGGGGAGGGGCACCGCGCAGAGAGCACCGGCCAGCGCGGGCGCGGGGTGGGACGTGGCGGTAGTGATGGGACCCCCGGGGGAGTGTACTACCTGTTGAGGCAAGTAGGGGGGTGCTGAACGCGCGGAAATCGTCGCGCCGGGGGGATACATGGGCCTGCGGCCCTCCGGGCGGGTGGGTGGGGAAAAAATCGCGCGGCGCGGGCGGGGGCGCGGCGATGAGAGCGGGGCGCGCGAGGCAAGGGGGGTGGGCAAAATTGACCGCCCGGTGCGGCCGTGCGCGCGAGCGGGGCCGCATTGGCCTCGCTGCGACGGGCAGCGGGCCGTAGACCGCCCCCCGCGCGAGGCGCGCGGCTGCAGCGGGGGCTGCCGGCCGGGGCGCGGCACGGCGGGAGCGCGGGCACGGTGGCGCCGGGCGCGCCACACCGTGGTGCAGCGGGTGCGCGCGGGGGCCGGGGCGCGTGTGAGATGTGCGGGGAGCACGCACTGCTGTTCCTGGTCCGCCATGGCCATCGTGGAGGTGCGCAGCCTCGTAGCTCCCACACGCAGGCGGGACAGGGCACGGCGGTCCGCGTGGTAGATCGCGGTGTCGAGCAGATGTGGAGGGATGGTGCGCGGTGGTGGCTGGCACCACCAGGCGTACCTGGCCCGTGTGCGGCCAAGCCCGTGCTGAGTGACCTCGGTCCGGGGATGCGGGGTTGCCGCGGGCTCGTGGTCCGGCAGCACGACCTGAGCGATCTTTACCCTGCGAGTGAGTCGGAGGGGCACGATTGAGGACTGGCTCGGCCGCCGCGCTGCTGCCGGATCGCGCATCTTCATCACGCCCGTGCTAGACCTCGGGCTGTGTGCCCGACCCTGTGATCAGGGAACCGGGTGTCGCTACGAGCAGGCCTGACAGCTCCAATTCGAGGTCGTGCCGCGGCCGTGCCGGCGCGTGACGAACGACGGGTTACTAAGGAAATGCGACGTCTTACGACGACCTCGCTAACCTGTGAACAACCGTGAGCCATTGATAGCCTTGCTGGAGAAAATGTAACCCGTCGTTGGACCCAGATGACCCCCGCACGCTACTCTCATGAATTAAACCAGCCAGTCCGCGCCCGCGACAGCGCCTCCCGCGCCCCCGGAGGCGCCCTGGCCGCGCCTGAAGCTTGCGCTGCCCGCCAAGTTAGAGCCCCGCACTGACCGCGACACGAAAACCAAATGGCCAGGATTCTCCGGTTTCTGGAGTATCTATGATCGGAGAGTCGAATTTCACGCGGAAACGTTGATATTGTGTCTCTTGTGGCGACGCAAGGGCGAGGAGAGCCAACCTCCACTGCGCAGCTTGCTTCAAGGAGTCCGAACGTTCCAAATCACGCAGGTTCATGCGCTTCCCGGGTACAACTGCCCCTAAAACTCTCGCATCCGGCGCGCCTGCCGCGCTCCACCGCCCGGGGCGGCGCACGTACAGCCCAGGGAGCGCCAGCTTCAGGTGCGGCCAGGGCGCCTCCGGGGGCGCGGGAGGGCGAGTTTGATGCGCAGTCTGGCTAGTTTAATTGTCAGTGAGGTCGTGGTGTGGTTGATTTCGCTCAGATCGAAGGTTGATTTGGGCCAGGCGGAGACGAGACTGTACCGGAGGTGTTCAGTCGAATGAACCCCAATGAGCCGCCCACGCAGCGCCCATCATGCGGTTGTACCCAGCGCATGAGGCCATGGGCTCTGTTCAGTCGTGCCAGGTCGCGCGGTCTGCACTGCAGTGCAGGATCGTGGCTCCCGGGTGTTGACGGCTACAGAGTAGAAGGAGTGTGATTCTGGGCTGGGACGCCATGCGTCGTCCACAGCGTCGCGATGTGCGCACGTGCGGTCGGGGGGGGACCACTGGTCGGGGCGGCTTGGCTCGGTCCGTCGCAGTGGGCGTGTTCTGGCACACTCGCGATGTTGCACCGCAACGCCTCACTGTGGGAGGGAGTGCTTCGCTCGCAAGGCCCTGGGGCCCGATCAGTTGGTGCGGAGTCGCAAGGAAGCCGGTCCGCGCTGCACCCTCAGCATTGTCAGAGCCGTCGAGGCAGGGCGTTCACGGGTCACTCGGAAAGAAGCACGCCCTCGAAGGTGCGAGACACCATATCAGCTGCACTTAAAAGGCCACGCGACGACGGCTCACGCGCGCCGGAGCACCCGTGCCCGCGTCCCCGCCTGCGCCCTGCCGCGTCCCTCAGGTGAATACGTCCGCATCAGGTGAATACGTCCGCGAGCTCCGTGCGCATGAGCTCGAAGTAGAGCTCCCGTTTCGAGGGCACCTCATGCAGCGGGATGAGCGTGAAGAGCAGCGACGCCGCCACCAGTCGCACGTCCGCCATCTTCACCGTCGGGTATCGCTCCGCAACAAATGCCCCGTACACCGCCATCAGGCGCCGCGCGCTCTCGCGGTCCTGCCCGCGCAGCGGCCAACGGTCGAGCAGGATGTAGTCGTACCCGAGCAGCGACTGCAACACCTTGGCGAGGTCGTACACCGCGTCGCCGCCAACAGCGAGCGTGTCACCAAGCTGACCGCGCATGTCAATGAAGCAAACGCGGTTCGACGAGGTGAGGAGGATGTTCGAGAACACAGGGTCGCCATGGATGACCGGCGCGAGCAGCCCGCGCCCCGCCTTGCGGAACTCCTCCAGCTTAGCGACCAGCGCGTTGCACACCGCATCGGAGCCCTCGAGCTCCGCGTAGACCTCCCGCGAGGCGGTGAAGCGCGCGCGGACCTTGGGTGCGTAGTTGTCGTACATGCGGTCCGCGAGCGCGGCGTCAGCGGGCGCGCCCCCCCGATAGGTGTGCATGGCGTGGAGCCCCTCCAGAACGCGGAGCAGGCGGCCGGGAGTGAGGCAGCCGTTGACGGCGAGGTGCGACAACGTGGCGCCGTTGACGCGCTCCATGCAGATCGACACCAGCCCGTCTTCCACTGTCACGCTGTGCAGGTGCGCAAACAGGTGTGACAGCCCCGGGGGGGTCGACTGGTAGAAGTGCGCCTCGCCCTGCGCGACACGAAGTTTGCACGGGACGATGGGGGTGTGCACCGGCGCTGAAACGGGGGCGGCTGCGTCGGGGGCGAGAGGGGGGGAGTGGTACCCGGATGGAGGGGTGTGACGAGGACTTGACGACGCGGTCGTCGAGCGCGACGACGTGGTTGTGTCCGCGCGCGGCGATCATCGACGTGCGGTCCTTCACCTCCTCCTCGGGCTTCCACCACCCGATCTCCTTACGCGTGTCCACCAGCGCGTTCACCGCCAGGTCGTCGACGTAGATGTCCGCGTGCGGCTTCCCGAAGTGCAGCTCGTCGTACGGGATCCCGAAGTCCGACAGCGTCATCATCGTCACGAGGCCCACGTCCTGCAGGATCTTCCCGATGTTGCCCTTGTGCGTGCGCATGCGCCGCGCCGTCGAAATGATGATGTAGTGCCCGCACTCCTTCAGCTGCCGCACCAGCTGCACGTTGTCCGGCTTCGGCGACACCGTCGAGTAGTCCCCCGACACCGCCGGCGCCGTCACCAGCGTGTTGTCCAGGTCGAAGCAAAACTTGAGCGTGCGCTTCACCTGCACTTTGCCCTGCCGTGCGAGCTCCAGGAACTCGTCCACCTGCGCAGCGCCGGGCGGAGGCGTGGCGCGGCAGGTGGGCACGCCGCTGCGCGGCAGGCGCCGCGGTTGCGCTGCGGCGTGGGTGTGAGGGCGGACCTGCGCTGGGGTGCCCAGGCAGTGGAAGTCCTTGACGGGCCCGATGCCGAGGAAGCACTGGCCGTCGTCGAGCATGCGCTGGATGACCGTGGAGGTGTAGTACTCGCCCGCGGCGCCCACGGCTCCGTCGAGGACTGTCTCTGCGTACCGCATGATCGTGGCTGCGTCGCGGAAGGCGTACGCGCCGGTGTTGGCGTGGCGCGACACGGGGGTCTTCTCCTTCACTTCCTGCACGCGCCCCCCGCTGTCCATCTTGATGTAGGAGAACAGCGGCCTGTCCTGCTCGTCCTTGAAGTAGAAGGTGGCATTCAACGATTGGTCCATGGCGCGGAACTTGGACAGAATATCCTCGAAGTATATCGTGTCGCAGTCGAGACAGATGGTCTTGAGCGAACGGCGCTCCGGCGGGATCCCGCTGAGCACCACGGAGAGCGTCTCGGCCGCACCCCTGGTCTGGAAGTTGAGTGGAACGCAGACCAGCTCCACGTTCGGGTACTCCTTCTTCAGGCGGTCGTACAGCTGGAAGTCGTGCTCAATGACGCAGTCGATGGCGTAGTACACCACGTCGCCATCCACGAGCGACAGGTGGTCCAGGAGCCAATACAGCATTGCCCTTCCCAGCACGTTCACGAGAGGCTTCGGGAAACGATACCCGTCCGATCGGAACCGGTTCCCGATGCCGCCCATCGGGATGATGATGTTCATGTTCGGTCCGGACGGAGCCATCTTGCCTACCGCTGCCCTCGACGCCCCGTGGACACTCACATGCAGAGTGCGCCCCCCGCGGAGCGCTCAGTCTCAGATACAACGGCCTGGCGGCGCAAGGAGCTCCTTCTGCCCACACGCATGCTCGGCGCGGACCGAAAGAGGACCGCCGCGTGGTATCGTTTTCATACGGCCCCGTGAGAGTGTGTCTGCGTGGGAAGTCGGGCTGTCATGAAGGGTTGTGGGAGGTCACACCCCCGGGGTCCTCCCCCCCATCACCCACCTCTCCTAGCCTTTTTCGGCGCCCCGCGGGGGTGCCCCCTCCCATCACCCATCTCCGGGTGCCTCTACCCACCCAGTTCAGCCTGCGCCCAGCGCTAGGCAAGCGCGGCGCCCGCAGTGCCGCATCTAGACGTTTTCCGCCCTGGCTTTGTACCTGGTGGACGTGAGAAGTGTCCGAGGATCATCAGGACACCGAGAACGCGTGCGCCACAGCGATGTCACACGATGCCAGCCTAAATTGTGTGTCACCACACTGACCCCCCGCTACAACCCAGTCCGGCGCGAAGACATCAGCTCCACTCTGGCGTTCGGCGCCACAGCCGCACCGGTGACCTCGCCTGCGCGGGCGTCTCTCCCGCGAACCACGCCGGACTTCACATGGAGGCGGGGGGTACCACATGAGCGTGGGCTTGAACGCGCTTCTTGACCGTCGCCTTGACCAGATACGGACTCTCAGCGCTTTCCAGCGGGACTGCATACCTGCCGATGCAGCTAAACAAGCCGTATGAGTGCTTTGCGCGCTTCTGCGGGGGTGGCCTGCCCCACCACCCATGCTGCGGCCGCTGGCTTATGCCCTACCCCCCATCACCCATCCGTGAAAGTGGGTAGGGTGACCCTCTGAGCGCGTCACAAGCCCCCCCTCCCACCACCCATCGGCCCGAGGTCCCCCCACCCTTCAGGACAGACCGACTTCCCACGCAGACACACTCGTGAGCTCTTTGCTACTGTGCCATATGTCAGTCAGAGCCTGGGTGTCCCCGTTCTACCACTCTCATGCGCTGGGCTCTTGGCGAGCCTCGAGATACGTGCGGCGGGAACTAGAGCTAGGCTACTAACGCGCCCGGGAGAGGTAGGGAGGGGCACAAAAGTCTCGGAAGTCAATCTTTGATGGTCCATAGCGGCGCAGTCCGCGGCCGTGTGGGCCCGGGTGCCGGGCCGGTGTGACGGCGTGCCTCCGCAGAGGGCACCCAGGCACCGTTCCCAGCTTGGATCGGAGGGCTAGTTTCCTTGAACAAAAGAGGACGATGCCTCGGGGCAAGGTCAAGGTGGGTTTGTTGCTCCTGCCGCGGGCGGTATGTCGTGTGTCGCGGACGCCCGCGGGCCCAGGCCCCAACTATCAAGCGTGGACGACTCAGAGCGCGGCTGCCGCCGGGAAAATACAATGCAGACGCGCTATCCGGACGATGATAGGGACTACCGTCCACCGACGTCGTTTCAACAGGCCCACGGGACGAGCTTCCCGGCGTTGACAATCGTGACGCGGCACGGCGACCACGGGGAAAGCGTTGCGGAGAACGCGAGCGTGGCGGGTCCGTCGCGGCCCGCCACCAGCCAGCAGGCCTCTACGGCTGGTGGTGCGCGGGTGGCGTGCGCGGACCGTCACGCGCCGGAGTGGCGACCCGTCGAGTCGCTTGCGACAGGCGAGGGTGGGTGGGACGCGAGAAATCCACTTCCTTTGGCAGGTCAGAAGAGTGGCGATCGCGCTGCGTGCCTTGCGCTCATGCCTGCCCTCTTGCGGCCTCAACCGCGCAAGACGGACTGACTTGGATCCCCCCCGGGGGCCTGATGTCAGGCTGCCTGAGGCAACCTCAGGTCACCTGAGGTGCCTGCAGGTTCAACCTGTCAGTTACCTGCAGTGCAGGTCCTGCACCAGCCCAGACGGGTCCTCCATTGCCGAGTCCGCCGAAACGTGAGGGCACGTGCCCCCAGTCCAGACTCCCACTCGTCACCCGGCGCAAGTCGTGCGCTGAGAGCATTAGGAAAAGAGATAGCCCCGTAGGGCGAGGCGGAGGTGGGCCAGGGCCGGATAAAGGCGTTGCGAGGGCGCAGAGGGTCCAGTTCACTGCCCATCGGGGCAGAGACCGGTGCAGAGCACCAAGAGACGTGGCGTGCCTGGACAGGTGTAACACCGTGTTGGGGCCATGTCCAGTGTACATCCCCGCAGGTGGAAGTTGAGAAGGGGAGGGCGTGGGCAGCAAGGGCGGCAGAAGTCGATGGGCTGTGAGTCCGTGGTGAACGGAATGAAGCCCTTCAGACTGTAGTTCGCTGCGAAGCGTTTGATCGAAGCGTTTGATGGAGGCGTTCGAGGCGGAGTTCGGCAGGCGGCCAGTGCATTGGGGTTCATTCCCTAGTAAAATCATTCCCTAGTAAAATCGGTGCTCCTCGAGGAGAGTTTCCCGACTGGTGACCTAACGAGTTGGACCTTGCTGACCCCCGCACGCTACTCTCATGAATTAAACCAGCCAGTCCGCGCCCGCAACAGCGCCTCCCGCGCCCCCGGAGGCGCCCTGGCCGCGCCTGAAGCTGGCGCTGCCCGCCAAGTTAGAGCCCCGCACTGACCGCGACACGAAAACCAAATGGCCAGGATTCTCCGGTTTCTGGAGTATCTATGATCGGAGAGTCGAATTTCACGCGGAAACGTTGATATTGTGTCTCTTGTGGCGACGCAAGGGCGAGGAGAGCCAACCTCCACTGCGCAGCTTGCTTCAAGGAGTCCGAACGTTCCAAATCACGCAGGTTCATGCGCTTCCCGGGTACAACTGCCCCTAAAACTCTCGCATCCGGCGCGCCTGCCGCGCTCCACCGCCCGGGGCGGCGCACGTACAGCCCAGGGAGCGCCAGCTTCAGGTGCGGCCAGGGCGCCTCCGGGGGCGCGGGAGGGCGAGTTTGATGCGCAGTCTGGCTAGTTTAATTGTCAGTGAGGTCGTGGTGTGGTTGGCTTCGCCCAACTCGAAGGTTGATCTCGGCCAGGCGGAGACTGTACCTGAGGTGTTCAGTCGAATGAACCCCAATGGGGGGTCCCAGTCCCCTCAGGGGCCCTGTCTTCCGTGTGATTTCCTGTCATCTCTGCGGGACAGCCTGCGGCCGCCTGCGAGCAATAACGAGCCCCGAAGTACTGCGCGAACTACCTTGTTGACTGCGACAGATCTGCGACGTGCCGGGGGGCTGCTGGGGACATACTGCACTCCTGCACATCTTCCTTACTCGGTCGCGCTTGTGCCAGGCACGCTGCGCGGCGTGAACATCGCAAGGTACCTATCGTTGGCGCATCTGCACCCTTTCCCGCCCTCCGAGCGGACACAGAGGCTGCACCGCCGCTGTGGCCCTCCCTCCGCCGAACGCTGCCTGCGATCAACCATGCGGTCCTCCTTGCGTTACGGCGGCCTCTTCAAATGCGTTGCCTGTGCGCACAGCCGTGTTTCACCATCGCGGTCGCATCACGCAGCCCGCGCCTCGGCTTGGCGCCGAAATGCTCGATGCCGCTTGAGGCCGCGTGGAATGACGTCTGACGCCAGCGCGGCGGCACGCGTCATTATGTAGTGCTGACGCTCGGCGAAATGTCGCCGCGAAAGCCGCGCGACGCTCCGCGCGCGGGGGCACGCCAGGCCTGATGGCGTGGGCCCGCGCGAACCTCAGGCGGGGCGATCGGCACTGCCCGTGGGCACAGCCACCCGTCTGAGTCTGCGATCCTTTGCGCCTCTGCTTGGCGGGCGCGGCGACAGGCGTGGCTGGTGGTGGAGCTCTGTGCGATGTCTGCGCAAGCAGGTGCTTACCGTCGCGCGGACCCGCACCTGCCCGCCGCCGCTAGCCCTGTCTCGCACGCCAACGGACGCGAGAAGCCGCATGCGGGTCGCAAGCCCGCAGCGCATCTGCCGTGCCCTGTGCACTGTTTCCCATCAGGCCCACGCCCTGTCTCACGCGCCCCAACGGCGATCGTCTGCACTCAGCAGCCCTCCAGCACTCTAATTCTCCGCATTTCGCACGCGAGACCCATCGCCGCGTTTCGCTGCTTGCTGCAGGCCCAAGGGAGCGCTGGTCATCTCTCTCCACTGCGCTGCTGGTAGGGAAGACATGGGAGTCCAGCCGATCGACGACCCCACCTTGCCCTCGGGCTGGAAGTGCCTGCATGACTCGGGGTCTGGCCTGACTTACTACTGGAACACGGCAACCAATGAGACAACATACGACCGCCCAGGCGCCAAGGGTGGGCTCCCGCCGCCGCCTCCCGGCCCCGGGGCCGCGCGCGGAGCTAGCCCGCCGCGAGAACGCGCGCCGCCGAGCGGCGGCTACGGTGGCGGCGGCGGCTACGGTGGCGGCGGCGGCTACGGTGGCGGAGGGTACGGGATGGGGGGGTACGGTGGTGGCGGCTTCGGCGGGCGGTTCGGCGGCGACGGCTTCGACGCGCCGAGCTCGCTGACCCCGCACGCAGTGTCGCAGCTTCCGTTCGATCCGAACTTCATGAACGAGTTCGGGCCTGCCGCACAAAACCTCAAATTTGGCCTACCCGAAGGGAAGGAGTACTGGCGCGAGGTGGGAATGCACATCGAGGGCGACAACGTCCCGGATCCATTCACCTCGTTCGAGGCGGTGGGGTTCCCGGCTGACATTATGGACGAGATTCGGCGCGCGGGGTTCGAGAAACCGACCGCGATCCAGGCGCAGGCGTGGCCCGTTGCGCTGCAGTCGCGCGACCTCGTGGCGATCGCCAAGACGGGTTCCGGGAAGACATGTGGTTTCCTCCTCCCGGGCCTGCTTCACATCCGTGCCACGCAGAAGAACCCGATGCAAGGCCCCACAGTGCTGGTGCTTGCGCCGACGCGCGAGCTGGCGGTGCAGATCAAACAGGAGGCGGACAAGTTCGGGCGGTCTTCGCGCGTGTACAACACGTGCGTGTACGGCGGCGCACCCCGCGGGGCGCAGCTCGGCGATCTGCGGCGCGGCGTCCACATTGTCATTGCCACACCCGGACGCCTGAACGACTTCCTGGAGTCGCGTCAGATCAACCTGACGCAGGTATCGTATCTAGTGATGGACGAGGCCGACCGAATGCTCGACATGGGTTTCGAGCCGCAGATCAACAAGATCTGCGAGCAGCTCCCCAAGAACCGCCAGACGATGTTCTTCTCCGCCACGTGGCCCAAGGAGGTCAAGGCGATCGCCTCGCGCTTCGTCATCAACAAGACGGTGCACGTCTTCCTGGGCGACGTCGACGACCACCTCGTGGCCAACAAGGACATCCAGCAAAACATCTTGTGCATCCAGAGCCCGTACGAGAAGATGCAGAAGCTCGCTGACGTCCTGCGCGGCCTTCCGAAGGGCTCCAAGGTCATCATCTTCTGCAGCACGAAGCGCGGCTGCGACGACCTGGCGTACTCCGTCGGCCGCGAGTTTGGTGCTGTGGCCATCCATGGCGACAAGAGCCAGCGCGAGCGCGACTGGGTGCTCGCGGCGTTCAAGAGCGGCTCCCGCCCCATCATGATCGCGACGGACGTGGCGGCGCGCGGGCTCGACATCCCAGACGTGTACGCGGTGATCAACTTCGACTTCCCCAACTCTGGCTGCGAGGACTACATCCACCGCATCGGGCGCACGGGGCGCGCGGGGAAGAAGGGCCTGGCGTACACCATGTTCACTCGGGACGACGCCAAGCACGCCCGGGAGCTCATTGAGATCATGCTCGAGGCGCAGCAGATCGTGCCGCCCGAGTTGGAGGACATGGCGAGGTCGGTGCGGCAGATGAAGGGATCGTCGCGGTACGGCGGGCGCGGCGGGCGAGGGGGGCGCGGCGGGTTCGGGCGCGGCGGAGGGGGCGGGTTCGGGCGCTCCGGCGGGTTCGGAGGAGGAGGGTTCGGTGGTGGCGGTTTTGGCGGCGGCGGTTTTGGCGGCGGCGGGCGCGCGCGGAGCAGGTCGCCGCCGCGGTGGTGAGCAAGAATGAAGGATGTTACGTCAGTCAGACTGGAGCGCGTGGGCGGATCAAAATGCACTGCGGAAGGCGAGCGTGGCCTTGGGGAACAATGGGACTGTGAGGTGAGGATTTGTCACGACGCCGTCTTTCATTCGATGTGAACGTGGTGCATTTTGGACGCGGGGACGAGACGCGCCGCGAGGCTATGCTCAGCCATCCGTCGGCGCTTCTGTCACGCACGGCCACCCCTCGCTCCCGCTCCGTCCGGGGAGCATTGCTATCCGACGGCCGGCGCCCCCCGCACGGCCTTACCGACGGCATGCTGCTGCCGCGGGGGGCTCTCGAGTGTCGACACGTCCTCGTGCCGCCCAAGCCGCCGCTTGAGCTCCTGGATCTGTGCATCGCGCACCTTGAGCAGCAAACCCAGCCTCTCGATGCTGCGCGGTGAGCGCAAGTTCGCACGCGCCCAAGCCACGAGACCTGCAAGACTTCCGCGGACGGGATGACGCCGAACGTGAGGAGAACTGGAGGTAGCTTTGAGATTCCAACAAACATGCATGCGCCGGCGAGGATCGACCACTCGCGCTGTCACGGCAAGGAGCGCTGCATACAGAAACGATACGGCAGCACTCTGTGTGAACGTCGTGACAGCGCACCTTCGACCGCCACCTCCACGTCTTGAATGTTTTTCGCTGCCAGCCTGACCCAGCCGCGCACGCACTCCGCATCCGCACCAGGCAGCTTTCGCACGCGCCGATCCGCTTCCTTCCGTGCCCGCCGCGTCGCAGCGCGCACATGATCCAAAGTCCGTTCACCCGCCTCGACCCCCGGCTCCCCCTCCCGGCTCCGCAAGGCTGCCAGCGCCTCCTGCACAGCTCGGTTCCACCCGGCCATGATACGCTCCCCACGACGCATATCACGGTCTGATGACCCTCCAAGCCCGCCCCTGTCGCGCATCACGTTCCCCGCAAGGCCTTGCGGCTCCGTCGCAGCCTGCGCACGCAGAACAGCGCGCTCGCCCTCGAGCCTCGCGATCTCACGCCGCAACCCCACTGCTTGCTCTCCGAGCCGCTGCATGTCCCGCCGAGCCTCGTCGCGCGCGCGCACGGCCTCCCTGCTCTGCACCAGCGTGCCCTCGAGGGCAACCACCTCCCCGCGGAGCCGCAGCAGCTCCGACTCCGCCGCATCGCATGCGTTCCGCGCTGCGCTGAGCCGCGCCGCCATACGCTCGTCCTCCGCTTTGCATTCATCGACGCGCCGCGTGCACTCATCGCGCTCGATGCGCAGCTTCAGCAAAGCTGCGTGCTCCTTGGCTATTTGCGCGCGCAGCTCCCGCATCGCGTCCACAGACGCGACGTCGGTCGGAGCCGTGCGCATGGACGCAACCTTGTCATCCTCTGCACAGCACGGCGCGGAGAAGCGATAGGTCGACAGGCATCTTCACATGCAGCATGTACGTGCAGGTTACCTGTGCCGCAACCTTGCCTGGAAAGGCCTTCCTGCAGCCCGCATCCGGGACGAGGTGCGCCGCACCTGCGTCTGCAGCGGCCTGTGCCGCGACCATGCGCCGCTCTGCCTGCCCGATCTCAGTCTGCGTCTGCGCTAGCTGCCGCGCAAGTGCCGCGATCTTCCGCCGCACATCGAGTGCTTCGGCATGTGCAGCCTGCGCGTCCGCCTTGGCCGCCCGCGCCGCCTCCGTGCTACGTTGCTGTGCGTCCGCCGCCCTCTCAGCTTCCTCGCGGCGCTGCTGCTCCTCCGCAGCGACGAGCCGTTGCAGCTCCTCCCTCCGTCGCTCTAGCCCACGGCAGATCCCCTCGAGGCGCGATGCGCGACGCGCCATTCCGTCTGCCTCAGCGCGCGCCGCTGCTGCATCTGCAAAGCTGAGCTCAGCCTCCGCGCAGCGCCTGCCCTTGTCTGCGCCCTCCAGACCTTCCAAATATACGCGCTGCAGTTCCACCTGCTGCTCCACGTGCTCTCGGGCGAGCCCAAGCTCCTCAATCCTCCACTCCAACTCCTGCACACGCTGCCGCTGCTTGTGTGCGATCGACGCCAGTCCCGCGACGTCGCGCTCTTTCTTGAGGCACTGCACGCTCAGGGCCTCAAGCCGTGCCTCCGCTGCCGCGGCCTCCGACTGCGCCCGTTGCGTTTTTGTGGCGAAGCAGGTGGGCAGCGCTTTGGCCGCCGCCTCTGCATGCCGAGCTTCGAGCCGCTTGAGATCCTCCGCGCGCCGCTCGCACGCGTCTTGGATCGCGCCGAGCCGCACCGTCGCCGCGCGCGTGTCGCGCGCCAGGCGGAGCATCTCGGGGGAGAACCTGTCCAATGGAGGCCCCGCAGGCTCCCGCGCTACGTCCGCGCCGCCGGCCGCGTCTGCACAGAAGCGAACGACTGACGAGGCGTCCTCCGCGCCGCTGATTTGCTCCTGGAGTCCCGCCAGCCTCGCCTCGGCTGCTGCGCACTGCTGCTGCAGCATCGCAAGGCGCTGCCCCGCCCCCGTCACGCCCGCCTCCAGTTCGGCCTCCCGCGCCGCGACAGCGCCGTCCTCGACGCACGATTCCGCTTCCTCGAGCCGTCGCTCGAGCCCCCTCAGGGCCGCAACGCGCCCTTGCAGCTTGCGCATCTGCTGCAAGGACCCGCTGTGCGCCGCACGCTCCGCATCCAATTCCGCACGCAGCAGCTGCGCATCTCCGCTGCCGTCCAGCGCCTCCGTTTGGCAGTCAGCATCGGCGCTGCATGGCCCCTGCGCACCACTTGCATGCGCACGTGCTCCTGCAGCCAGCTCCGATCGCCGCGCTTCGAGCGCCTCAACCTCCTCCGCTAGGGCATCCCGTCGCGCTGCCTGATCGTCCGCCGCCGCCGCGGCCTCTGCATGTCGCTGCTCTGCCGCCGCTGCTGCCTCAGCAACCTGGCTGGCCCGCTGTGCTGCGGCCTCCTCCACCGCGGCTCGCTCGCGGTCCGTTGCCGCCGTTAACGCATCTGCAGCCTCGCGTGCCACTTGCGCGTCGCTCCGTGCCGCTTCCAGCTGCCCTCGCGCGGCTGTCAGCTGCGCCTGGACATCCGCAAGCTCTTGCGCCGCTGCCGAGGCTCGCCCGCGCGCCTCCTCGCAGCGCTGCGTCTCTTTGGCGATGTCACCCTGGCGCAGCGCAAGCTGCGCCGACGCGTCTGCGAGAGCTCGTTGGACTTGACTCAGGTGTGCCCGAGTGGACTCAAGCTCCTCTCGCGCAACCGTGGCGCGCTGCGCGGCGTCCGCAGCATCGTCGCGCGCGGCCGCAAGCGCCGTGTCGACCTCTGCGTGCTGCTCCTTGACGCGGGACAGGCGCGTCTCCTCGGCGTCGAGTGCCTCTGCAACGTTGTCACGTTGCCGGCGCAGCGTGTCTAGGCCCTGCTCCGTCTCCTCGCACTGCCGCCGGCGTTCCTGCAGCTGCGACATGATAATGTGGATCGGAACGAGTGAGCGGCGGTCGGCGTTGCTGCATTCAGCTGCCAGCGCAGGCACAGGTGATGACGTTTCAACTCGGTGCGTTGCCGCCCGACAAACGACGACTTCCGAGGTGCAATAATCAGCGAAATCAGCGCGCATTGTGATCATGGTGCTTCGCGCGGGGCTTGAACAGCATGAAAAAGCATCAGGCACGCGCAATTGCATGCAAGTGCTTGGCGTCCAGCGGAGGTACCTTCTCCATCGCGTCCCTGAGGTTGTTCTCGGTGGCGCGCAGCTCCGCGTTCGCCTCGTCGAAGATCTTCTCCAGGTCCGGCCGCGCCGCGAGCGCCCCCGTGACCTCCGCCGCGCGCGCCTCCCGCATCTCCTGTTTGACGCGAGCCACCTCGCTCTCCGCCGCCTCGCGCGCCGCACGCTCCTCCGCCAGCTCCGCGCGTGCCACAGTAAGAGCCCTCCGCTCGCCGGCGAGCCGCTCCCGCGTCCGCACCGCCCTGCCCTCTTCGTCCCCGCCTGTATCCGCCGCCTCGGTCTGCACGCCCGCCTCAATCACTGCACGCGGCGCCGACGCTTCTGGTGTGGGTCCTCCTGGCGTCATCGACGGCCACGACATCTCCAGGTACCGCTTGTGATCCTCGGGCGCCATCGACGCCTCCAGCACCCAGGACAGCTCTGCATCAGCGAGGGGGGCACTTCGCGGCGTACCCCCCGTCACCTGCATACGCGAGAGCTCCTCAGACACGAGCGAGCGTTGCCGCTGCAGCGCGCCCAGCTTGCCCGCCTCCGCATGCACCTGCGCGCGCATGGCGTCCAGTTCCATGTTGAGCGCCTCGAGCTCGATCGCCGAAGCCGCAACGCGCGCCGACACCTCCGCCCACTGCGCCTGGAGATTGCCCTCGTCCGCGCGCTCATCAACGGGCGCGGAAACTGCGTTCGTCGCCGTGTCTCCGAGCGGGGTGCCGCGCCCGGGCCCCAACGCTGACGCTGGGGTGGCGACGGACCACGCGCGCAGGAAGTCGCTGCGCGCGCGTGCGGCCGCCGCGAGGCACTGTGCAGAGTCTGCGTTGCGCGCCAGGGCCGCGAGGTCCGTCTGCACGCGCTGCTGGAACGCCGACAGGACGTTGTTGGCGGAGGACAGGGACTGGATCCCGCGCTGGAGCTGCGCGGCCACCTCGCTGTCCACGCTGTCGTCGTCGTCGTCACTCGCCGACTGGCTCCGCACTGGATCACGCGTCCCGTCGGGCGCGTCGCAGCCGCAGGAGGCAGTGGCAGGCACGGCCTGCGCCGCCGCGTCGACGCGGGGCGCATCTTCCGTCTGCGTCGCGGAAGCCGTGCAGCACTGCGACCTCCGCGTCTCGCGGTCCTCGAAGTCGGCGAGCGCGGCCGCCGCGGCCTCGAGTTCCCCCTTGAGGTCGGCAATAGTCCCCTCTTGGTCGTGGACGAGACGGCGCAGCGTCACGACTTGCTGGTTGAGCGCGTCGTTCGTGTCGCTCAGTTCCTGATGCACGCGCGAGTCCTTGCTGTCGCGCACCATCTGCTTCGCCGCGCTCGCGGCGTCGTGCCACGTGCGCGCGTCAGACTCCGCCACTGAAAGAGCGCGCTGCAGGAACTTGTTCCGCGCCTCGGCCTGGCGCAGCTGCTTCGAGAGCTTCGACCGCTCCTCGTCTGCGTCCGTCTGAATCTCCGCCTCGGCGCATGCCGGCCGCGCGGGGCGAGGGATGCCCGGTGCTGCGTCGCCAGCATGCGATGGCGTGTCGCCTGCGACATAGCGAGCCGAGGTCGTGTGTGAGTGAAAGAGCGACAACGAACGAACAAATGCAGCAGGGCACGCTACAGCACAGGGTTGTCTCGGGGGGTGGCAGACCGTTGGTATCATGTGACGATTGCAGCAAGTTACCGAAGGCCTCGTACATCCCGAGGAGCTGGGCACATGCCTCTTCCATCTGTACGCGAGGTGACAGAGCATGCGCATGTGGCACGGCGGCACTTGCCCGGGGGTGGGAGGGGGGATTTGGGAGCACGTGCGCTGTGCAAGCATTTGCAGTGCCCATGCGCGCGGGCGGGCACCTCGAGCTGCGGCATGATCGCCGCAAGGACGTGTTTCTTGTCACTGACGAACCGGGCGGCAGCGTCGAGCTTCTCCCGCCCCTCGCGCTCCTCGTGCAGGAGCTCATGCAGGTCCAGAGCAGCCTGCTCGGGACCCGCGCCGTCGGTGACGTCGAGCGTCGAGCGAAGGTCTGCCAGCTGTGAGAGGGTGTTTCTGATCTCTGCCAAGCTCCGGATCCCCTGCATCAGGTTCAGGGCATGGGCCTGAAACTCTATGCTCTTGTCCTCGTCTTCGGCTGACCGCTCGCGCGCCTTCACCACGACGGTCGTCAGGAATGCCTGCTCCGCGTTGTATATGTCCATCTGAAGCGCGCGTGATTGATCGTCCTGCACCACGCGGGCACTGCCGTTCCCAGGCCGTTGGCAGGCAGGACTGGGCCGAGCCGGTGCCTGTGAAGCCTCCGCGCGAGCCAGTTGCAACTGCTCCGTGAGCAGGCGAATCTGTTCATCCCGGTCTCCCAGTTCCCTCTTGAGGGCATCGCATTCCCCCTGAAGGGTTTCGGCTCGTGCAGCTGAAGCTGCATGCCTCTGTTGTTGGGCCGCAGCGTTGCCCTTGTTCTTCCCCATCGCGAGCCCCGGACCATGCGCCACGATCGTGATGATCAAGACCTCACTGCAGCTTGCATCTCGGCTGCTCTACCGGCGCTGTCAGCATGAAGCAGCTCTGAGCAAGTTGAGTGGGAAAGTTGCCGCCACTCGTCCGCACGTGCAAAGTCCGACGACGCTCACGCCATGTGCAAGGGCGAGAGTGCGATTGCAGAAGCAAACTGCGCGTTCACATCACCATGCAGCCCTTTGTGCCGGCCAAACACGAGGTATGGCGGGCACCGGTCTCAGACCTGAGGTGGCACCCGCGGATGACGTACGCGGCTCTCGGGCCGTGTGACACGTAGACTACGGTAGTGTCCGAGCTGCCGGAGGGCTCATGAGACCAACCAGCGTTAGGCTACGGCGCATTTGCGCGAACGAAATCCGCTCGCGGCAGCACAGCTCGCTGCAACCGCCGCGTCTCCGCCCGCGTGGGCACCGGCTCAGACGAGCCGCTGCATCGGACCAAACACTTCAAGCTCGGGTGATTCTTCACCCACCGCAGCCGCGGCACCGGGCAGACCGCTTTGTCCGGAGGCCGAGAGCCTCGGACACGCTCATGGACTGGGCGGACGGCGTCACCGGAAAGCCGCGGCCAAGATGGTTCTTTCCCGCATTGATCACCGGCATGATACTGACGGGCATGATGAATACCATACTAAGTGAGTGTTCCCACGCCTCGAGGCTCCCCCTTCGCGCGAAGGTGCAGCGAGCTGCCAACGGATCACGCCCGAACGCTCTCGCTCGAGCACGATGCGGCACATCCGCGCCCAGGGCATGTCGCTCCATCCACTGTCATCGATGAACACGCGGTGCCCGACCGCGCAGTCCGCTCATCGCCCGTCACTACCGTGCACCTGCAGCAAAGTGGCAGGATGTCGTCGTCGTGAGCTCGAACCCCGACGGCACACCCCGGCACTTCAAGCACCCAGCCCTGCAGTCTGCTCTGATGTTCTGTGGCGAGCTCGCTTGCCTACTCATCTTCACTCTCAGCACAAGGACCCGACGCTCGGCCGCATCTGTCTACGGCACCCCGGCCGGACTCGGCACGCTCTCGACCAGTTCTTCCTTCCTCGACAACGCCGCTGCGCCCCTCCTGACCGCGCATTCCACCGACACCGAGCAGCAGCGCCCGCAAGTCGACCCCCGCCTCGTCGCTGACGCTGCTACAGAATCCGGACGCGCCGGCATCGCCAAGTACGGCTTCGCGCTGCCTGCGGCGTGCGACATGCTCGCGACCACCCTCCTCAACGTCGGCCTCTTCTTCACCTACGCCTCCGTCTTCCAGATGCTCCGCGGCACCCTCGTCGTCTTTGCCGGTACGGACCCGGTGTGTCATCTCGCACTCGCCACGCACGCACGCACCCAGCGGCTCAAGGCGCAAGTGCTGCGCGGGCCGCCACTCGCAGGGATGTACACAGTCGTGTTCCTCAAGCGACGCCTCTCCATGCACCACTGGCTAGCTTCTGTGCTGATTTGCACCGGCTGCGTCGTCGTTGGCCTGGCGAGCGCCTCCGCGGCAAACGCAGCGCCCCCGCCGGACCCGATCCCACCGGGACCTGACCCTTCCCCCCCAGCACCAGGGCCGGACCCTGCTCCGTCTGACAGCGCAACGAATCCGATGCTCGGGAACACGTTGATTGTGCTCGCACAGGCCGTGCAGGGCTTCCAAATCATCGTCGAAGAGCGACTGCTGGCCGAATCGGGTCTGTCGCCAGTGAAGGCGGTGGGGCTGGAGGGCGCGTGGGGACTCGCGATGTGCGCGGTCGTCATGAGCGCCGTCAAGGTGCTGAGCCTGTTCACGGGCGTGCAATTCGACGACGTCGTCGAGGGCATGCGGCAGCTCGCGAGCAACGGACAGCTCGCGATCGCGGCGATCCTCAGCGTTGCGTGCATCGCCACGTTCAACGTGTGCGGAATCCTCATCACGAAGCACGTGTCGGGTGCAGCTCGGTCGACCGTCGACGCGTCGCGTACGATCGCAGTTTGGGGCGTGTCGCTCGCGCTGGGATGGGAGCGCTTCCTGCCCATGCAGGTGCGACCCATCCTATGCAATGCTGCGGGCACCGAACACAGGCGAATCAATGCAACCGACTTCCCAATGGACCTGATCGCCGCAGGTCGTCGGGTTCGTGATGCTGTTGGTCGGCACGCTCTGGTTCAACGGCGTCATAGTGATCGTTCTCGGCCCATCGTGGTCGCCAAAGGAGGGGCCAGCGCGCCGCCACACTCCATGCGCCCCGCAGGATGTTGTACTGTCGCCAGACGACCTCGCTGCTGCGGCCGCGGGGTCTTTGACGCGCTCAGCGTCAGGAGAGGTGGTGCTGATGCCGCGACCACGCAGTCGCACTCGCATGGGGGGGCAGGCAGGGCTGGCAGAGACGGCCTGGGGGATCATCGCTGTCGACATGGACCATGCGAGGGAGCACAATGACGGGCCACCGATCCCTGCAGCGGCGCGCCGGCGTGGTCGTCCTGGATGATGGTGGCGCCGCTTGGACGGGACGCCATGTGGTTGTCCAGAGGGCTTGCCCGAGCGCCGGACAATCCCGCGCTGGTGCACCATCACCTCTGAAGTCGAACTTCAGCCGCCGTGCGGGGCAGTCTAGTGCTGCGTTCATCGCGCTCATTGTGCAGAATATATCTGATCACACGAGGGGAGTAAGAGGGAGTAAGAGATTTCTCGCATGATCGGGACGAGTCGTTGGACTTCCTTCCCTTCACGCCACAGGGGCTGCAGGACCGGTTCAGATGACAGTCCGTTCGTTAGGCGACCCGCGCCGTCCGTGCACACACATGCCGGCATGCAACGAGGCACTCTTCCCTGCGGATCATGACGAACGAAGGCGATGCACGGACGGGACTATCTGTCCGTGAGCGAATCGGATATCTCGCCATGTTACATGCGAGAGTCGGGCTTGTTTCCAGCGGTGCTCGCGCAGGAGGCGAGGAAGGCGCATAGCAACGATGAACATCGTCGTCACTCCACCACCGTGGTTGCTTTCGGCCGCCGCGTTCCGTGGTCAATACGACCCTCAGCTCGCGCGTATGTGTAAATGAAAGTGCGCCACGTCTTCGAGCCCCCTCGCGGCGAGAATGGGCTTGTCGGTAAGCGAGTGTTCCAAGCCCGCTTGATATGTACCCATATTCTCCCGCTGTCCAAGGATTGTCGGACGTTCCGCAGCGGCAATTGAGATTGCAGCACGTCCGATCATGCCCTCTGCCTGCCCGGGCGACGTCGTGGGCGGCGCTGCTGTCGACACTCGAACGCAAACCGTTCGTTGCCAGGGCCGCTCGGGGAGAGGGAGTCTGCGGTGGTGCGTGGGCTGGCGGAGCGGCGATGGAGCGGCGGGACGTGCCGGTGCCGGGCACACCCGCATTTCGCCTCTTGCGCGGGTGGTCAATCACTTCTCTTGCGCGCCTGGCTTGGCATCCACGGATTCGTACGTCCCGACTCCCCCTTGCTGCCTGGCTCGTCCTCTACGGGCCGCGACCCAGCCTCGGCTGTCGTCACCACCCTTTGGTCGTCCCAGGGATCCGCGAGCTCCTCCCCAGCGCGTCGGACACGCAGCTGCCCGTCTCTCAAAGACCCGCGCCTCGCAGCACCTGGCCACACATCCCGCCGCCCCCCCTCCACACCAAACATCATCATCGACCCCAGAAACACCAGCAGCGACGGAGCCGTGAGCAGCATCACCAGGTTCGCGGCGCCTCGCCCTCCAGACGCAAACACCCTTTTCTGGAACAAGTGCGCCATGGGACCCCGGGGGAATCCGAAGCCGCCGCGCGGATTCTCTAGATCGCGGTACAGCCGGTCGAGGAAGTCTCGCCAGTGCGACGGACCAGCGCCGTTGCCGCGCGGGTACTCCCATCGCGCTTGCCGCGTGAACATCCCGAACGGCATGCCGGCCCCCCGCGCTGCCCGCTCCCGGCGTACACGTGCGTTCTCCCAGTCCCGCACCTGCAAGAGCGCACGAGCTTCGCAGGCTGCGGGGGTGGCATCTGCCCCAGGAACCATGATGATGCAGTAGCAGTTGTGTGGCACGAGGTTCGGGCTCGGTCTGACAGGGGGGCCTGGCAGGCGAAAGTCAGCAGCTGAGCTCACCCTGGTGCGCTGTTCCCGGGCTTGGTGCGCTCGGGCGTACGCTTGCCAGAACGCGTCCCTAGGGTCCGCAGATCCAAAAGGCCCACCAGACCACTGCGAGTCCGCCGGGCGATGCGTGCGCCAGGTGCGCTGCGCTCCTTGCTGGGTCGCAGCTGCGCCCGAACGGATAGCCTTGTAGGCCTCTGAGACCTCCTTGAATGATGCTGCGGCTGCATCTTGCGCGCCTGGAGATGCGTCGTGGTGGCGGTCGGGGTGGTACTGCGGAGCGAGCGAGCTAAAAATCTCTTCAGAAAAGCGTACGAGGACTGGGTTGCTCTGCTGCGAGGGCCGACCGGCGTGGGAACGCAGGGGGAGAGCATCGGAACAGGAGCAAGGACAACATGTGGGACAGGCAATTGAATGCGCTACTGGCCTGCCGAGCGTTGCCGGACCGCCACGACACGAACCTTGAGGGCGAGCTTGCGGAAGGCAGACTTCAGCTCCGCGTCGCTGGCGCCCTGATTTACGCCAAGCACAGCGAAAGGATCGTTCCGGTGGGAGCGGTTGTCCGACATGCTGAATCACTCAAGCATGGAACGCCCAGAAGCTTTCCCGCTGCAGTGGCACTGCTCCCGTGCCTCATGACGCATCGCCCTGGGGGCGGGTGCAGATGCGCGGTAGAGATCACTTGTGACGGTCGCTGCGACGTGCTGCCTCATCAACACGTCGTCACTCGGCAGAGAATGCGTCGAATGTTGTTGTCAACACGCCTTGAAAACCGAGAAGTCTCGCCCCGCCATGGACGCAAAGCCTGTGCCACAGCCAAGACTAGGGCGCGACTGACCGTCCAGTGGCAGCTGTGCGACAGCTCTTACGAAACGGTAAGCCCCCGCGGCAAAGATGCCCGCCTGCGGCGACCTCAGATCTGAGGACTCCTCCAAGCCGGACACGGCTTGACGACCTGCATCGTGCCACTCCCCCATCTGGGCACGTCGTGCCACGACATGGCAGTGCCACGATGGGGTCCGAGGTCAGCTTCGACGCCCGTTTCGGATCAACGATGCTGGGAGTCGTCCCTCGCCGTCGGATGCGCGCACCATAGTCGTTGCAGGCCTCCTTTCTCGGCCAGGTGCACACCAGTGGTGGCCCACAGACAGGTTGGGTGGCCTCCAACTTTGGTCCGCCCCGGACTCGCGAAACGCGCTCGCCGCCGGTTTCTCCGGGAAAATAGGGGAACTTTGCGTGAGGAAGAAGTGTCGCTCAGCCGCGACGCCGCGCAACAAAGAGGGCGAGAGCTGCCGCGGCGCTGCAACTTGGAGCTCAAAGCTGGACTCGAGCGAGTCCAGCTTTGCCTTTGCAACTTTGCTCAGGGTCGTGTGCGGGCGCACGGCCAGTGTTTGCGTGGAGACGCAACTTCTCGGTAACCTGCTCGAGAAATTTGCCGCGGAAACGAGCGCCGTGCCTCGCTCGAGGCGTTTCGGGCTTTGCTGTTGCAGTCTGCCAGCACGCGTTTCGTGCCGCTATCCTACTCCGCGCTCAAGCCGACCCGAACTCGCAACGTCCGAGCAAAGTTACGAGCGCTAGCGGACGCGCCAACTCGCCCAGTTCTGTCAGACCCGGAGCGCGCGGCGAACCTGTCTGGTGTCTGCCAGTGCCTCTCTCTGGAGCGTGTTGCGCCCTCGCGTCCGGTGACACGAGCGCCAGGCGTGCCCGACTGCCGGCAACTTTCGCTTCCCGTGCCGCAACGGCGCACGCGTTCCGTTGCCCCCTCGCGACGCTCACAGCCCTGGGGGTGCGCGCTCTGTCGCTCACGGGGCTGGCATGCCGAGCGGCACGAATCCTTCAGCGGATATGAGGGAGGCTGCAGAAGGCGATCACTTGCTGGTCGAAGGGGCAGCAAGGGAGGTGCGAGGGACGTGCGAGGCAGCGCGAACGCCGCGACAAGGAGGGCTCGCCAACAGGTTTTGCGCCTGGTGTCCCCGGTCATTCCACGAGGTGGCCGTGGCGGCCACGGGCGTCACGGTCGGCGTGCTCCTCGCGCTCGCGTTCACGTCGAGCACGGCGGGGCCCCACGACAGCGCGCGGTTCATCGCGCCCCGCAGCGCGGATGCGCACATCGAGCCGCTTCCGATGACTGCCGCGTGCATCTCGGGCCTCACCTCGTCCTTCATCATGCGAGGCGTCTTCCGGAATCTCAAGGAAAACCTCCTCGACCCGTTCGAGGCGGACACCTTCGTGCGCATGAACCCCGACCACAGGCTTCAGGGGCGCGACTTGGAACTTCGAATCAAGGTGCCGCTCCCGCGCCTCCGCCGCGCCGCAGCGAGGTATTAATCGCCACCCGCGATGCGCGCAGCCGAACGAGATCTTCTATCGCGCAGCAGCTTTGCCGTTGTGTTGTGTGCGCGAACCCGAAGTGCCGGACGACGCCGAAGCCGCCCGGCCGCCTTGCTCTGACGGACAGGACCTGCAAATGGCGATGGACGAGATCGAGCCGGTGCGGGCGTGGATCGGGGTGCAAGACCAGTACAAGATCGAGGACTGCGGCCCGCCGCCCGAGCCATGGCCGGATCTTGGCTGGTTCTGCCAGCTCTCCTACCGTGAAGACGACCGCTCTTCGTACGTCAGCCTGGGTCGGCATCACAAGTTCGCGATGCAGTTCTTGAAGATCCATGACTGCGGCACCATGATTCGCGAGCACGAACGCGAGGCGCGTCAGGGCGTCATGTACTCCTACGTGTTTCGTCTGCGCACCGACGTCAAGGTTACGGCGTTCGACCCCCTCTCGTTCTACGACCGCGTGGAGCAGCTGCGGCACAAGGGGGGGCATGCTGAGGCGTGCCTGGTCCCGACGCGTGACGTGCCCTTCGAGCGGGGCGCCGCAAATCACTTCGGGTTCTGTTCGCGTGGGGCTGCGGAGGGCCTGTTTGAGTTCCACAACTACATCATGTCGGACGAGTTCCTCAGCGAATGCAGAGACGTCGACTACAGGTGCGCGGGGCGCTGCAGGGGCAGCCACGGGTTGCTCTTCTTCGCTCGCTAGCAGACGCACAGACGCGCGGTGCGCGGCACTGACGGTCGGCTTCCTTGGTGTTGCGTTGCAGCCCTGAGTACCTGTACACCTACTACTTGAAGACGAAGTTCGACACTGCCTTCGAAATGCTCCCTGAAATGGGCCATGCCACCTGGAGGGGTGGACAAGGCCTTGCGCCGATACGTACTGGCATACCGAGTGCGATCTGACGAACGATTTCATCGTCGACACTGCTGCGTCATTTGGAGTGCAGCTGCAGAGACACCCGGGGGACGGCGCTGCGAACTAGATCCCGACACAGATGCGTGCTGACTCCCATGATCTTCAATGAAGCGTTTTGTGCCCCACCAAATCGAACTTGTGAGGTCGCTTTGGAGGGTCATACGACTGGCTGGCGAGTCTTGTCAACCCCTCACCGCTGCCGTACCAACAGGTTCGGCCGCTATGACAGAGTCAGCTTGCAGCAGTTTCTCGATGCCCCGTGCATAGAGCACCATGTCTCGCCGTTCTCCACCTTCACACGCTGGACCGGACCACGCGGGGGAGGTCCCGCACTACGCCGCGACCGAACCATCGCGAGGACACCTCGGCCTCCACTGGCGACGGCAGTGAGTCAGCCTACGCGGGGCCGCTCAACACTGCTTCAACCACCACGCATACGGACGCTGACGAGCCGCGATGGCAGCCGCGGCCCCGGAGCACCCGGGGTCGGGGGCAGAGCGGACGGTCACGGGGCCGAGGGCGGCGCGGGCGAGGTAGGGCCGAAGGGGACCACGCACATTGTGCGACACTGACAGTGTAGACAGCTCGCACGGACGCAGCTCGCGTCGCACCCGCCCTCTACTGGCTCCGCCGACGCGAGCTGCCATGGTCAGCGCACATCGCAGCGGCCATCGCCCAGATAGGCGGCACGCCAGGGACTCCGCAACAGCCACAAGTGGCCCCTGCGGTGGGCAGGGTACAGAAGATCGCCCAGGTCGTGCTGCCGGACCACGAGCTCGCGGCGGTCCCGGACCCACGGACTCGGCCGCACACGGGTCAGGTACGCCTGGTGGTGCCAACCGCATACTGCATACCACTCCCCCGCACCTGCTCGACACCGCGATCTACCATGGGGACCGCCGTGCCCTGGCCCGCCTACGCGTGAGAGCTACAAGGCTGCAAGCCTGCACGATTGCTATGGCGGATCGGGATCAGCAGTGGCAACACACACCTCTGTCGCACCCATCGAAAGCCTGCCGCTTCTGCGCGAACGTGGCGGTCTCGCCCGCCCCGGTGGACCTCCGCCACCTGCTGCTTGACTGCCGTGCCCCGACGGTACGCTCTCTCCGGGAACGAGCGGGTCTGGCCGTGGACGCGTCTGGGCAGCTCACGCTACCACCTCCGCCCGCTGCCGATGCGCCTCTGTGGGCCACGGCAGCTGTTGGGCAGCGCCGCCGCTTCGCTCAGAATCGCCGGCTGTGCCAATGCCCCGAGGACCTGCACGGTGCCGCAGCCCTCGCCTCGGAAGCCGCTGCCAGCGCTGCTGTGCGTAATTTTCTGCCGAATCAGGCATGGCGCTCTTCGCTCGTGGCATCGAGGATCTGCTACGAGCTGATTCTGTCACAGCTGCCGAAACTGTCGCGACCATACGGTGGGGAGTTAGCATGACTCGCCACCTAGTCGAATGATCTTTTCACGTCCCAAAGCCTTGCGGCCGACGCGTGACACCTCACCTCACGGGCAAGTCGATGCCGTGTTCGCGCGCAGTGTTGACGATGTACTCGTTGGTGGCCTCGCACGGCTCCGCATCGTAGCTCTCGCCGCAAATCCGCGTCCATGCAAGCTCGAAATTCTGGATTTCGGCAATTGCAACGTCGGCCCGGCGAAGTCGCGCGCCCAACGCACACTCCACCGCATAGACATCCCACGGTTCCGTCGGACACGACAGCTCTAACCAATTCATACTGTCCATCAGATCGTCCCCGAGCCGCATGTACTCTTCCGCGCCCCCTCTGCGCGACAAATCCAACGTTGCAACATGGCGCACACACATATTGCATGTTTGGTGGGGCCACAGCGGCGAGCATGCGCATCGGCAGGAATCAAAGCACTCAAAAGAGGCATACCTCGTGCAGGCCCCAAACTCGTCCTTCACGGGTCCGTGTGTCTCGTCGATCCAAACAGCGAGACACCCCTCTTCTTTCCCCTGGGCCTCCATCGCGCGCTGCAGCTGGCTGCGAAAGTCCGCCGCGACGTCCGCTGGGTCCGGGAACTGTATAATGCGCACGTCCGTGCGCATGCGAATGATGTAGTCATACCTGTCCCCCACCTTCGCCTCGTAGTCCTCAATCAAGTTCAAACACGAGCCCAAACGCCAGTACTGCGAACGCCAAGAGGTGCAGGAGCGCGATGCGTCGGACTGCAAGCGCTCAGGCGCACGCAGCGCGAGCTGCCGCGGGTGCACTTCTCCGGAAGCGCCAGCGACTACGGCAAAATAGAAGCGCAGGCCGGGTGACTGGCTGCACGCATCACGGACTCGAATACCAGGGCTTCCACTCGACGTTGAACGCACCTGCGCGGCGCGGTCGTGTCCGCGGACCTCCCTGCCGTCGCGCAAGTCGGTCCATCGACAGTTGTGCGGTGCGTTGCTTGCACCCTGCGGTAGGTCCTGACCCTCGTGATTGCAGTCAGCGACGTGCCATCGGGCCTCGCGATCGACGTGCATGGCCTTTGGGGGCGCCGGTAGGGCACGCCGGACGATCTCGAGGTCCTGCGGGGCAAAGAACACTATCACACACTTTCTTATCTAATTCACGGAGTTGTGCAGAAGCTGGACGGAGGCTGTCGGCGGCAGCGCGGCCGCGGTGCACTGGCTGGCGCAGCTGCGAACCGCCTGACAAGGGCAGGCCAACGAACGCAAGGGACCAGCCCCTGGGAAGCAGATACCTTCATCTGGAGTTCAGGGTCCCGACCAAAGGCCTGCAGGTCGAGTTCCAGGTCCATGAAGACGTCGGCGTTCAGCGGCTGGATCACCGTTCTGATCAAGTCCGAGTACACGTTGCGGAAGACGAGCGTGCGCACGAGTCCGGCCATACACACAGCAGTGTCGGCGATAGCCCGTGGTTCAGGTGTGTTTGGCGCGGACGTCTCAGAAGGCGCCGTTTCGGCCGCGACCAGAGGTTCCTCGGTATCTGAATCAAGGGGGCTCATGGCTTGCTTTGACTGATGGGGGACCGCTCCGGCGTCGAGGCCTGCATCAACGAGGTCTCGTGCGCCCGTTCTTGCGTCCTGAAGCTCTACCACAGTTGCGACCACGAGACGCATGCGATGCCTCATCTCATCAGTGTTGGCGGACCAGCCGGCTGTGCGCAACGCGATCCAACTTGGGGCCGAGCGAGTCTGGCACAGGGAGCACACGTCCGTAGAACACGAATAGCGACGCCAAGGCTGCCAGCGTCAGCCAAATCTTGTTCCTTTCCCTCCTGGTGACTGACCGGGCCCCAAGACCGCCCATCGCGACGCTGGTGTAAGAGCACGCGCGACCACCCTAGGAGGCACAGGGCACGACGACGGATTTCGCCCCACTTCCTACGCAGGAAGTGGCGGACTACTCATACTGCTCCAGTCCAGCAGACAACGGCGTGCTTCAGTTCGCTGGCCCCGACTTGCGCGCAGCAAGGAATCTTGCAAGGATGTGCGCGTTGCCCCGCTGCGGGCTTTTCTGCCGCGGCGTCGAGGATGCTGCCACGGGCACGCGCTGCGTCCGCACCGACTGCCGAGGCGGGCGGCGGCGGGTGCGAGAAGTTGGCCGGCGCGGGCGGGGCCTCCACCGCGTGTCAGGCCTAGTACGACGCATGCGCAGCATGTTGAGGACGGGCCCTCGAGAGATCGTGCAGCACCGGGCGGCGGCGCATAAATTCGCCGCGCAAGGGGCACCGGCGTGCCCGTAGTGGCGACGCTGGGCGCGCTGCGGCCTCTAGGACTGCCGGCGCGCAGGGGGTGTTGTCCGCCTGGGCGTGGCGACTGCGGGCTTCACGAGTTCCCGGCGATCGCGAGCCGACAGAGTGTTATCGTCTTCACACGGGGAGTAGCAAAGAGCCCAGACCCCTCAGCCACACGGCAGGACCCCAGCGGGCCTGATGTCAGGCAACCTGCACCAGCCCAGACGGGTCCTCCATTGCCGAGTCTGTCGAGACAGGGAGGCACATGCCCCCAGCCCAGACCCCCACTCGTCACCCAACGTAAGTCGTGCGCGCGCTGAGAGCATTAGGAAAAGAGATGGCCCCGTAGGGCGACGCGGCCCGCGTCGCCCTTCTCGGAGAAGGGCCAGACAGAGGGTGTGTTGAGGACGCAGGGGATCTAGTTCACCGCCCATCGGGGCAGGGACCGGTGCAGAGCACCGAGGGACGTGGCGTGACTGGACAGGTGCTGGGGCCATGTCCAGTGTATGGGCTGTGAGTCCGTGGAGGTGAAGCCCTCGCGAGCCGACAGAGTGTTCCGGTTCTCGCCGTGCCGCCGAAATGGCGGTGTGCGCCCGACGCGTTGTCCGACAATGTCGCAGTGTGTCTGGCACCTGACACACTGCGGCATGTACTGCGGACAGGCGGTCTGACTGAGTCACGCGTGCGACGGGGCGAGCAAAAGGCGCCGACTCGTGCCGCAGCGACACGTCGAGACGTCCGCGAGCTGCGCCCACAGCGGCATGGATCGCCCTATCAGGGAATGGTGCTCTCCATCAACACAGAGTAGTAATTGACCACCCGCGCACGAAACGAAATGCGGGTGTGCTATCGTCCTGATCAAGGCGGCAGCGTGCTAGGAGTACTCGCGCGAAATGCCATGTGAGCGTGCCATCATGTGCCAAGGGAAGGCTCTGACCTGCAATCAGTTAGAGTGAGTGGCGGGCGTCGTCAGCAACAACGCGGCGAGCCGCGCGAGTACTGGACGACGCCCGCCAGCCGACGCGCCGAAGTGCTGGTCCACGTCCTAGGCTGCTTGTACCGGGGGGTGTCGGCAGCCGGCTGGGTGACAGCGGTGACTGAGTCTGCGGCATTGTCCGCGTTGTGTGGCGACGCGCCGACCGCTACTCAGCTCTCCTCGTCACCGCCGTCCCCCGCGTGGCCTATCATGCGAAAAGCTGTCATACAACACCCAGCGGGGTGCAGGCGAGCTGCGCTCAAGACCTCTGGAAGGATTTCGGGCACATCGTAGAAGAAGAGACAAAGGCGTACTTGCGGTCGCTATCCCAGCCCTACGTTGGCACGACGTGCACAAGCAGAGTGAACGCGAGCCTTCAGCGCCGGCAACCGCGGGCGCGTTGCGGCCGCACTTCTGCGGATGCAATTCGCTTGCACCGAGCTGAGCCGCCGATGCCGCACTGACGCACCAGCGAGGCGCGCGCACACATGTCTTGCAAGCCGGTGGACTCATGGTGGTCGGGCGGGTGGTTCCTGCAGGTCTGTTGCGAGAAGCTTAACATGCCAAAACCGCCCCCCACCGTCTTGTCCTTGGGCGCAGACTGCGGTGTTCGCGCACAGAGTGCTGCAGAAGGAGGTGCAAGGGCGTGCATCGCGTATCAGATGTGTCGGAGCCGTGCTTGCACGCCCCACCACAGACGATAATTGCGGGGCCGATGCCATGTCGTGCGAAAAGAGAGGATGAGGCAAGCAGAGGCGAGAAAGGAATAGGAACGTCGCTGGACACGACGAGACACCCAAGTCATCTCAGGGCGACCTCGCTGCAGCCAAGTCACTTGCCGAGCGTGCTGCTCCCCACGCCACCCGCTGCGGAAGGCCTGCGCGACCTGCCACGTGCCATGCATGCTACAAGGCAGCTCCAGCAGACCTCAAGCCTCCGACGACTGCCACCAGCCTATCCACGGACCTCTTCACGTTCATGCCCGTGTGGCCCGAGGTGCATTCGACGAGCCCGCCCCTCTCCCCAGACAGCCCCAGCGCCGACAGTACCTCCAGCGGCTGCAGTTGTTTTGGGGACGTGTTGGGGAACTCAACAAGGCCGTGCGAGCCAAGGCGGCCAGGCAGGAACGGCAGTGGCGGCAGTGGTGGAATATGTACGCACCGCGGCCGCGTGCGGGAGGTCGCCCTTGTTCGCTAAAACCATCACGGGCTTGCCGAGTAGGTGTGGGGAAGCCATGGCGCTGCTCAGCGCCTGTCTCGCTTCGGGGAACCGCGATGGATCCGCGCTATCTACTACGAATAGGACGGCATGCGCCTCCCTGCGAACACACGCGGGGCGCCCTGCCGGGTGACGAATCGGCGAGGAGAGCAGGCACGCACAACTGTGAAGCGGCATCCAGAGGTGCCGTACGCGCATCGCGCCCTTCCGCCCGATGTACAGCGGGTGAAACGTACTGGAGGTACTTGCGCCAGATTCCGCGCAGGGATGCAGCGCCGCCGAGGTCCCAAAACAGCATGTGTTTGCGCCCCAGCTCAATCCTTCCGATGTTCAGCCCAACCGTCGGGACGGTCTGCGCGAGGGCAAGAAGACGGTGCGTTCACTTTGGCGTTCGGGTCTCGCTTGCTCCGGGCGGGACCGAGCCGAAGCGGCATCGGCGTGCGCCTGGTCAAATGGCGATGTTGTTGTCTAGCAGCTTCATCGAGCACTTCATCGAGCGCGGGCCAGCAGGCGGCGTGCCAAGGACGTGGAGACGCAGCAAAGACACCGAAGATAACGCCGTGGGCGCAGTGCGGCGCGGGGCGCGCGGTCACCTGTGCGGCGGGCGTCGAGCCCAGGTACTCATGCTTGATGCGCTCGAGCAGCGTGGTCTTCCCGGCGTTGTCTATTCCCAAGATAAGTAGATGAATCTCCGTCTTCCGCAGGAGGTACTCGAGCAGGCCGTAAATGAGCGAGAACATGCTGCTCCATGCCCGCCTAGCCCCGGGGCGGTCGAGCACGACCCTTGCGATGGTGGCGCCCCGCGCGAGACACGCAGGAGTGCGCAACAAGACTCTTGGGCGTATCCCGCTGTGCGGCCTACCGGCGGATACCGGGCTTCACTGTGGGCACCGGCAGACTGCACTCCCCGGAGCAGCCCGCTGATGTGTCGCAGTACGCGACCGGAGTCCGATGCGCGGCTATGGACGGACTCACGGTCGCGTTAGGGCCGCGGTTGCAAGGAATCGGTCCCGGAACGCACGAAGCTACAAGGGGTTGCTTCCTGCACACTGCTACTGACCCTGCCAGCAATCCGCCGGGCCGCGTCCAGATGACACGCTTTCAGGATGTGGGCCACAATTTTCACGGTGCCCCCCCCTCTCCAGAGCCCGGACCCCCTGAGCTCCGGCTTAGCCGGGCTACCAGCGTTGGGACCCCCAGGCCTGACAGGCAACCTGCAACTGTCAGGGTTTCTGTGCGGCACGGCAGTGCCGAAGTCACACCACGCTGTAGCGTCGCAGCGCCTGAGTCAGGCGGCATGACCCCTGCGTTGATACGTCGTGCCACTGTCGTCTCCGATCATCCCATTCCCGAAGTCCGCCGTCCCCTGTGATCCACATTGACGACGCGGTTTGGCAGCCTACTCGCTCCACGAGCGTATCGCTCCACGCAATGGCAGCGCCGAAACTTCTGTGCATGAGCGCATGCGCGTCAAGCCATGGTTGGCCTGCACACCATAACTTTGCTGTCTTCATCGCGAAAGTAGAGCTTGCAACGTTCACGCGAGCATATCAAACGCCTCTACATCACACCCGTCCGCGGCGCGATCACCTCGCACTCCGCACGGAAGCTATCGGTCTATGGTGTGGGTGCCCCACAGACCATTGTTTGCCACTGGGTCCCCCGGGGTCCGCGGGTGCAGATTCCTGTTCGGATCGCAGTGGTACACGTACGTCCCGGTCCACTTGCACGCCACGAAGGTCCAGTGCTCCTCGGAGGTGTCCGGGGGGTGAATCCACGCATGTGTCTTCCAGTTGATGCACGGCCCGCTGTGATCGTGCACCACCTCCGACACGTCGAGGCAGCCGCTCACGAGCTGCTCCTCCGTGAGCCCCGTCAGGCCGTGGAACGCCCAGACGTTGAACCCCAGCGCGTTGTTGTTGTCGACGACGACGAACCGCTCTGCCAGCAGCTTCAGCATCCCTTCCTCGGTCTGTGGGTACTCCGCGGTGGCGCCGAGGCGCAGCACGAACATCTGCCCGTGCTCGGACTCCGAGGGCACGCACGGCCAGTCCTCCCGAGGGAGTTTGTGCGTCACCTTGTCGTGGTCGAGGTGTGGCGAGCACTTGTCGCACGGGTCGTACAAGTCCCACTGCGTGTCGTAGTACAGCATCAGGTCGTCCACGTGTCCAAACATGAACATGTCGTCGATGTGCCCCCACCCGTAGTAGTTGTCCACCTTGGTGCGCGCTGTGGTCACCAGCCTGAACTGCTGGTCGCCCTGAGAACGGCTCGAGAGCGGGTTGGACGATACCAGGTGCCGCATGATCTGCAGCCACCCCGGGACGACGAACGCCTGGTCCCCGCGGCCGTGCGCGGCCCACGTCACGCCGAACTCTTCCTTCAGGATCTTGGAGCCCAAGTGGATGGACTCGCGGATCCGGTTGCGGTTTCGGTACCCCGACTCGCACTTATCAGGCTGAATGGCGTGAGAGAAGCACGGGAACTCCCGCGCGAGCCGTTCGCAGGCATCCTGGGCGCCAGACGCAGCATCGCGCTCGCCCTCGCTTGCCCCGACGTGAGCAAAGACGATCGGGACCTCCGGGTGTAGCTTGAAGTAGTGCCTGATGATTGTCTCGGTCGTCTGACCGTACCAGGGGCCTTGGATCGTGATGCCGTAGTCCGTGCTGCACGCTGGGCCCTTGTGGGCAACGGGGAAAGGCGTTCCGTGCTGGGCCGCGCCGAGCGCGAGGCTCACGCCCTCCTCGGCAGGTGAGTGAGCTTGGCGGATGGTCTCCCTCGAGAAGGAGCCGCGCGACGCCAGCAGCCAGCCAGCCAGGAACGCTGCGGTGACGTAAATCAGGGGACGACTCAGACTGTGCCCGCTGAAGGACTGTGTTCGCATCACTCCTCGCTCCCGTGCTGCCTATCGCGAGGGCAAGTCGTGCAGCCGCATGCGCAACCCGGATTCGCGCCTGCGTAGGCAAGCGGAAGGATGGATCCCATCGAACAAGTTGGTGTTGCACCCTCGCGACGAGGGTCGTCGAGCATGCGACTGCTGAACCAGGCACGACGCGCGAGGATGAGACGCTCACCGTATTCAACCTCGCAGGATGTGCAGGGCCGTCCCACGTGACAGCGTATCCCTTGGCATCTTGGTTATGCAGCGTGGCCTAGACAGTCAAGTCATCCCGTCGAGAAACTCGTCGAACCAGCGTGACTAGGCGGCACGCGTGCGGCCGATGGCCCAAAGTCCGACGTCCTGCGCCGGCCGGTCCGACCCGGTCGGACCGGACTTTGGCCGGTCGGTCATGTTCTCCTGATGCAGCAGCTGATGTCAGGCCTTCGCTCCTGGCGCCTCAGTGGGACAAGCGAGCGGAACGCTGCGCGACACGTCGCTCAGACCAGCGATCGTTCAGCTGCGGTGGGTCGGCCGGCTTGCTGTTCACGGAGCAGCAGGGATTCGCACTGCACAGCATAGAGTTGGAGGGAGGCTCGACGCGTGATGCAGGCGCACTGTCTCGCCGGCGCCGCGCCGCCAGCGTCGAGGAGTAGCGGTCTCAAGACGCGCGTTCACAGGCGCAGTGCCCGAGTCGCGGTACGTGGCGCGGAGTGCGCGTTTACCTCGGCCTGGCTCTCGGGGGCAGGGTGCGGCCGTGCGCGGTCGCCGAGGGGCGACGTGCTGCGCTTTTCCAGGGACTCGTAAGAGTTGTTTCCGACGCGCCGCCACGCGCGCAAAAAATGGCTCACGCCGCCCGGCGTGCACGGTTCGCGCGGCTTGCCTGTGCTTTCAGCAAAGGTGCCAGGGCAGTCGCAAGTTCCCTTTCTCCCATGCACCCATCCAACCAGGCCCAGCCCCGCCGCTCCGTTGTGCCGCAGGCCAGCGATGGCGCGCCCCTGATCTTCACAGACGACAAGAAGCTGGAGATGCCGCCCAAGTACTGCGAGTCGACTTTCCAAGCACTGCGCCGGCCAACGCGCACCGTCTGGGTATGCTGCCACCATCCTCCCTGCCTCGCGCCCCGAGTGCGCCTGCGCCTTCGCGACATTGCAGATGCGATCATCCTTTTTCTCAGGGCACCGCCACGGCGGCCACGACGACGAGCCCGCGTTCGGCCGCGACACACGACGGCATGCTACGCCCATGCTCACGAACGCGCCGCCTTGACGCCCTGACCCGGCCCCCAAACGTCTCTGCCGCACTCCAGCAGTCTACACACAGCATCAGTCACGACATCGGCGCCCCATCGGGCAGGTCCTGGCGCCGGTGCCCGCCGCCAACGATCCTCTCCTTGGGGGGCACCCTCTGTTGCAGGCTGGCAAGGTGCCCATCGGATCCGAGCACCCGATCGCGAAGCAGACCATGACGACCACGGACACCCGTAACGTCGACGCGACCGTCGAGCAGGCAAGCCCCGGACGTGCACCTCGACACCAGTCTACGCACCACCATGCACACCGTCCACACCGTCCCACCCGCGAGCCTGCGGGACGCCCGGCGCTCCTGGCTCTCATTGCATTCGGTGCCAGATGCTGCGCCCGCACCAGGGCCCCAACACCGCCTCGGCGCATCACGTCACGCCGTGCTAGCCCCCTGTGCGCAGGTTATGCGCTGCGCGGACGCGGGCGCGGACCTGGTCCGCCTGACGGTCCAAGGCAAGCGCGAGGCCGAGGCGTGCTTCAAGATTCGCGACAAGCTGTTCCAGCTCGGGTACGACACGCCGCTGGTCGCGGACATCCACTTCCAGCCCACGGTGGCTATGATGGTGGCCGAGGCGTTCGAGAAGATCCGCGTGAACCCGGGCAACTTCGCGGACGGCGCGAAGAAGTTTGAGGACAGGACGTACGAGGACGAGGGCGCGTACCAGAAGGAGCTGGACTACATCGAGGAGGTCTTCACGCCCCTGGTGCTCAAGTGCAAGGAGCTGGGCCGCGCGATGCGCATCGGGACGAACCACGGCTCGCTGTCGGCGCGCACGCTGAGCTACTACGGCGACACGCCGCGCGGGATGGTGGAGTCCGCGTTCGAGTTCGCGCGCATTTGCCGCAAGAACGACTACCACAACTTCCTCTTCTCCATGAAGGCGTCCAACCCGCTCGTGATGGTCCAGGCGTACCGCCTGCTCGCCGCGGAGCAGTACAAGGAGGGCTGGGACTACCCGCTCCACCTCGGCGTGACCGAGGCCGGCGAGGGCGAGGACGGCCGGATGAAGTCGGCCATCGGCATCGGCGCGCTGCTCCTCGACGGCCTCGGCGACACCATCCGCGTGAGCCTCACGGAGGACCCGGAGCTCGAAATCGATCCCTGCGGCCGCCTCGCGGGCCTCGGGGCCGCCGCAGTGACGCAGAAGTGGGGCGTGCCGGCCTTCCCGGAGGCGACGCGCGACTTCCGCGACTTCGCGCGGCGCGAGTGCCGGCTGCCCGAGCAGCGCGAGGGCGACAAGTTCGACTGGCGCAACGTCCTGCACCGCGACGGCTCGGTCCTGATCGCGCTCCAGAACGCCGACAGCCTCCGCGGGAAGGCTGCGGAGCTGGCGTACCGCCAGCTGGGGGCCAAGCTCGTCGTGGGCATGCCTTTCCGGGACATCTCCACCGCGGACTCGCTGCTCCTGCGCGAGGCACCCGCCGTCGACGACGCCGAGGCGCGGCAGGGCCTGAAGCGCCTGCAGGACGTGGGCGTGGGCGTGCTGGCACCCCTCGCGGAGCTGCAGGCCAAGCCGCTGCCCAACTCGTGCGCGGTGGTCTCGCTCGCCGAGGCCCTGGCCGGCATGGAGCTCCCCGAGGGATCGGAGCGCTTCGCGGTCGCGCTCGACGGCACGGAGGAGCCGGACGACGTGGCGAAGCTGAAGGACTCAGCAGCGCTCATGATTCTGCTGTCGTCGCCGGAGGGCGTGAGCCGGCTGCACGCGTCACGCCGCGTGTTCGAGGCGCTCATGCGCGCCGGAATCGACCTGCCCGTGATCCACCACGCGTCTTTCCCGGAGGGCACCGTGCGCGACGAGATCGCCATCCGCACTGGCTCCGAGATCGGCGGCCTGCTCGTGGACGGCCGCGGCGACGGCGTTTGCATCGAGTGCCCGAGCGAGTCGATCGAATATGTGCGCCTGACGTCTTTCGGGCTCCTGCAGGGGTCCCGGATGCGCAACACGAAGACGGAGTACGTGTCGTGCCCGTCGTGCGGACGCACGCTGTTCGACCTCCAGGAGGTCACGGAGAGCATTCGTACTCGCACGGGTCATCTCCCGGGCGTGTCAATCGCGGTGATGGGGTGCATCGTGAACGGGCCGGGCGAGATGGCCGACGCCGACTTCGGCTACGTGGGCGGCGCTCCGGGCAAGATCGACCTGTACGTGGGCAAGGAGGTTGTGCGCAAGGGCATCGACATGGACGGCGCGACGGATGAGCTTATCGAGCTGATCAAGGAGCACGGCCGCTGGGTCGAGCCGTCGACGGAGGACGAGGGCGCCGAGCAGGAGGCGGTCGGTGCGTCGTCGGCGTGAGAGGTGTCAGCATGATGTCATGCCGCACCAGCAAAGGGGAGCACAGCACGTCAGACATCTATTGTGAGATCTGGTTCTGCCTCCGAGTAAGCCAGCTTTCTTCGCGTGCGAGTTGTAGCCCTCCCTTCACTTTGGTTCGTTTTGCCCAAATCAAAACAGGTATTTTTGTGGTTCGCTGACCTGCAAGCACCCTCACCGCGGGGACGCTTGAGCGGCCCAAATGGCACAGTACGGGTACTCCACCGCGTCGCTGCTCTCTGCCACCCCTTTCCTTGGTCAATTTGACCTCCGAGGTCCGGTTCATTACAGTAGACGAGACTCGCACATAACGGTGGGGGTTAGCATGACTCGCCACCTAGTCGAATGATCTTTTCAGGTCCCAAAGTCTTCTGGCAGACGACGCGAAGAATGTAGCACCTCACCTCAGCAGACAGGGTTAGACAATGTGAGCAGTCATGCACCTGCACGACGGTGAGACAATGCGGGGATCGTTCAGGAAGCGCACAGCGTGCTGCGTGAGTCAGTGCAAGGTTCCCCCGGGGGGGTGTTCCCACGCTGCCACCGCACCGCCGTAGGAGCATGGTTGCAGCAGGCCTCCGCAAACTTCCGTGTGTTCGAGGGGTAGAGTGCGCGTCGGCGAGAGCAAGCGCGGACCATTGCTGGCGCATTGGGGTGCGTGGCAAATGGCGCGGGTCCATATCCCGCCCACCCCACGCGAAGCCGCCGCCCACATTCCTGGCGTGCCGGTATCGCGGTCAGGCCAGTTTGTACTTCGCTGAGCCAGTTGGGCACCAGTCATGCAGGTGGTCTGTACTTCGCCGACCTGTAGGCAGAGTAGTTATTGCACCCTCGCCGGAACCAAGACATAGAGTATTAATTGACCACCCGCGCACGAAACGAAATGCGGGTGTGCTATCGTCCTGGTCAAGGCGGCAGCGTGCTAGGAGTACTCGCGCGAAATGCCGGAACCAAGACATCACAGACTTGGAGACGGCTTCTCGGCCATCGCTCCGTCGAATCGTCGTATTCACAGGAGCTTGAGCTCCGTCATTAATTGTAACCTCTGGCCGCTGCAGAGACACAAGTCTCCCGGGATCGCCAGCGGCATGGGGTGAAGAAATCTAAATTGAGAGAAGGGGTGGAGGGGTGGAGGAGCGGGGGGGCCGGGAGGGAAGGGGAGGGAAGAAGCGCCCACATCTGTGGCAGGTTGCAGCAGCGATTTGACACCGTCGAGACCCATGGCTATTCTTGACCATGTGAGCGGATTCAGAGGGCGCATTCAGCGCGGGAGCCCGGCGGTGAGGGTGCCGGCGCCACGGGGAAGCACAAAGTCCTCTCGTGCGATGTCATCAGTGAGCGGACGTATGGGAGAATGGGGCCTGCGTACCAGACTGCTGTGAGCGCTGTCGCGGACTGCAAGAAGCGCCAGTAGCGAATCAAATGTCGAATGATGACGCACGCGGGCCGTGCGTCGGCGGGCGACACGGGAATCAAATGGAGTCGAGGGCGTGGTGCGCCGACAGCAAAGTCGGGCGCTGCCTCGCATTTGTGGGATGGGAAAAATAGTCAGAACAGTGTCGTCAGGGTGCTTTTCAGCCAAGGTTGAGGATTGAGGTGGTCATGACGAGGTGTTCTGTCTTGTCTTATTCCACTGCAAAGTCTTTGAGCGTGAGCTGCACTTCCGTCGCTGCTTAGCGACGGGCGGTCCGCATCGGAGGGGCCACGGAGGCCTGCGTTGAAGCAACCTGCTTGGTGGCGGTTGACAGGGACGGGGAAACAGCGAAATCGGGAGCAGCGCTCACTGTGGCGCAAATCGACTGCCCGTGAGCACGTGGGGGTTCGTTCGTGGCAGCGACTCGTTGTGGAGCCCCGCCTGGACAGTGTCCAGAGGGCCGGTGAGCATCTTGGATGCAAAAAAAGAAACAGGCTGCATGGCTGGCGCGCCACGCCAGACCTGAGCGTGACCACGCACTGCGCTCGAACCATCTAGAGTGCGAAAGGCCAGGAATGCCGGGAAGGGAAGGAGAAGGCGAGGAAGGGAGGGGGGTCAGATTGGGAGGTGCGTCCCGTCGCAGCATGACGCGATGCCGGTCCAGTCAGGGCGGCGCCGTCATGCGCTGTCCAGCAGGGAGGCGCCGGGCGCCCGTGTGCCCCCCCGTGCCGCGCAGGGAAGCTCCTCGTGGCTGGGGTTGCCGTCCAGGATAACGCCGTGGCGCGGCTGGCGCGGCCCAGCGAGCTCGGGGATCGGGTATTCCCACTCGGCCGAGGCCCCGCGGAAGGCGCGCGGCGGCGACGGCGCACTGATCGCCTCAAACAGGATGCTCTCCAGGCTCGCCTGGGCAGGCCGTGAAGAGCGCTGCGGCGCGTGCACGGCCTCCTCGGCGACGTGCATCTCGTCAGCGAGCGTCCTCATCTTGATCGCCTCGCACGCGACGGCGTCAGCGTCGTTGAACAGCGACAGCGGCGCGTTGGTGTCAACGGTGCCCAGGAGCGCCGTGACGAGCGCGGGGTGCTGCGTGTCGCCGATCAACAACTCGCCGTGGTCCTCGCACAGCAGCGCGCGCGCGAGGGACATGCGCGTCTCCGCGCCGCCGTCCCAGGGCGACGACGTGCGATTTCCGTCCCCAGCTGTCGCTTCTTTCGCCGGCCCGGGCTGCTCGTAGACGGTGTGCAGGGCTGCGCGCTGCGATTCAGATGCCGACGCATCGGCGCAGGAATCCGAAGGGGGGCCGAATTCGCACGAGGACTTTGTGTTGCCAGGCAGGCCCACGTGGTCATATGACCGTCCGCGAAACGAGGGACGTTGGACCGCCGTGATGGAGTCGGTATTGAAATCGGTACCCCGCGCTTGCTCGGACCCTGCGAGGAGGCGTGCGGGGACGTGGTGGTGGGACGAAGGAGGGGAACTGCCAGGGGGGCGCCAAAGCGCGGCGGGAGGGCGGAGCACGGACGCTGCGGTGCGGAACGTACCAGGACGAGCTTCAGTGCGCCCCTTGCGACGCATCCTCCAGGTCTGCGGGCAGGGGAAACGAAAAGAAGCAGACCCGTTGAAGCGGCCAGTAGTGCACGCTCGTGCGCTTCCCGAGGGTATCTCCCGCCGCTACGGCGCGCATCGAATCGCTTTCGTGTGAGATGATGTGACTAGGGCACTCAGTTCCGCGATAGCGGGCTGCTCGGTGAGCGCGGCGAGTACTGGTCGTCAACAGGTCCGCGGCGGGGCGGGCACAGGGCGCCGTCCGCCGTGCTCTCGGCCTCACCTTTCCCTTCTCGGTCGTCGATGATTCGTGTGTGGTTGCGTCGAGGTTGGGCGTCGAGTGTTCGTCGTTCACCACGGTCCACTGTGCGGCGGTACTGGCCAGGGAAGGCCGCGTTGCTGTGTCGCCGTCCGGCCTTGCGCCAGAAGCCTGCGCCCACGCGCAGGGCATGCTTCCAGCGCCGCTCGCTGCCGGCCGGCCCGCAGGCTTCCGCGGCGGTGCGCACGCTTGGAAGGCTCGAGCATCCCACGACTCGCCCGTGTCCTCGCGTCGTTGCACAGACGTGCAATTACCCATCCTGCGCCATCGCAAAGCGGAACATAAATTTGCGCTCAGTGGTTCCGTCGCTGCGCACGGAGCGCGAGGTCTTCTCGCTCGGCCAGTAGTAGCAGGTCGCCCGCCGGCGCGCCTCTGCAGGGACGACCTCGTGCCCGTGCACGATGGGGCCATGGACCACCATTTCGTCAGCGATGGGCCCGCACCTTGCAGCAAGTTCAAGAGATCGGGGGGCCGCCCCTGGTTGCGCCACCTTTGCCCACTTGCAGTCTGCGGCCTGTTCCGGGACGCGGTTGATTCGAGTGCGATTCTCGTACACAAAAAGTGTGACAGTACCGACGGTGCCGAAGCGGCGCGCCAATGGGGGCGCGGAGGTGTCCCGGGAGCTCTGCGCGGCGGAGATCCCCTCAAGACAGTCTTGAGTCCCCCCCGGCGCCGCCGGGCGGCCGAGCTCGGAGCTACTACTACTGGTATGTGACGTGTTCGACCGGGAGGCTGTGCCGGCGCTGTCGTCTTTGGTAACAAAGCCCGAAACAAGGGACAGGTCGCGCTGGAAGGCCTAGGCGACCGACGCAAGCACGACCGAAGCAAGCAGCGGCGGGTCGATGCCATCTGTACATAGCCAGCGCTCTCAGTTGACCAGAGAAAAAGCAGAGCAGATGGTCCATGTGCCACGACGGGGACTGACTAGCTGCATCAATCCGAACGTCCTTGCGTTCGATTGCTGCGCTAGTCCGCATGCGCTGTTGGGAGCACCGCCGCCGAGACCCTCGCACGCCTGGACGGCATGGTCTGCAGCATCGCCCATACGTGCCCAACCTCAGCAGCCGTCGTGGGTCACAGCAACAGCAAACATCATGTAATGAACTTTCATGTAACATGCTGCTCGCCATGCGTCCGCATGATCCGTGGCCGACTCGACGCTGCGCGTCAGGGCGGCGCTGTGCAGACGAGCGCGCAGCACACAACGCAGGTCGGGTGCCGTGTGAGGCTGGCTCACACGAGTGCCAGCCCCCGCAGCCGCCTCACTCGTAGATCTGGCCGGCCAGCACCGAGTCCCAAGACTGCACGCCCTCGGGGAACCAGAGCGCGATCTCCTTCTCCGCGTTCGCGGGCTCGTCCGAGCCGTGGATGATGTTGCGCCCCACCTCGATGCAGAAGTCGCCGCGAATGGTGCCCGGGGCGCTGGCGAGGGGGTTCGTGGCGCCGATCATGGCGCGGCCCTGCTTGACCACGTCCTTGCCCTCCCACACCATGGCGCACACCGGCCCGGAGATGATGTACTGAACCAGCGCGGGGAAGAACGGCTTCGACGACAGGTCGGCGTAGTGCTGCTTGGCAAGCTCCTCGGAGGGAGTGACGAGCTTCATCGCTGCAGGAAAGAGCGGGCGCGAAGGCGGCGGAACCGCGCGGTCGGATGCTTGATGGCGTGGGCCGTCAAGGGCGAGCAGCGCCCCGCCAGAGCGGGCAAGCGTGGCGCCTGCGCGCCTACTGCGCGTCGTGTGAGGACCTTCGCGCTCGGGTTCTTCTCGGGGCGAAGTGGAGAGCGTGCACGGCCTCTAGCACGCGGGGCGCGGGAAGGGAGGCCTTGGGACCGCAAGCCGCCGCGCGGCGCGGCACGAGCAGGGGGGGCGACGATGTGCTTGCGGTGGCGCGGGCATGATTCAGCACGTGTGCGTCGAGACTGGCAGGACGGGCGCACCGACGAGCTTGTAGCCGCGCTTCTCGAAGCGGCCAATGACGTCGCCGATCAGCCCGCGCTGGACGCCGTCTGCGGGAGGGCAATAAGCGGGGCGGGCGCGTTGTCCGCTGAGATCTAGTGGTGCGCGTCACACGGCCGCGGAGCAGACCCGGAAGCATCGCGCAGAGGCTCGCTCGCAGTGGGGTAAGCACGCACCCGGCTTGATCATGATGTACGAGCGCTCCATCTTGAAGAAGTTGTCCGCGTGCACTACCAGGACGGGAGTGCCGCGAATCAGCACGAGCGCCAGCAACTCGCGCCGGCCACACCTGGGCCCACGGCCCGTGACGGGGCAGAACGCCGGGTTCCGGCAGCTGTCCGGGGGTCCCTGGCAAACAACCCCTGGCGGCCCGTGTCACACGGGCCGTGTGAACGGCTTCCGCGCCGCCCCGGCGTGATTTTGCATCGCATGGCCGGCTGCCAGCGCAACTTCGCGCCCGGCAATCACACTCGCGCAAGAACACGCCCGCAACGACCGCAGCCACGCCACACCAGGTGAGGTGTCCCTGAGCACCAGTGCGGCCCCTGCGGCCGCACCCCACGGCGTCCCGGACGCGCGCAACCTGTCCAATCTGATATGCTGTACTGCTTGCGTGACTTTGCGTGCCGGCGAGTGCCCTTCCCGCGGCGTAGGCGGCAGGCGTCAACGCACGCGCTGCGGACCTCGGCGACGCCCTTGACCGGCGCGCCGCGGCACAACTCCGCGGACAGCACATCCGGCACGATTCCGATGCGAGCCCGGTGCATTCACGTCCCGCGACGCCCCAGAGGAGTTCCGAAGACAGCGGTTGCAGTTAGCTCATGCCCCGGCCCTGACCTGCCCTTCGCCCGGCCTCGTATGACCGCAGGCGCTCTAGCGGAGTCGCTGACACAGTCCTGCTGCGAGAAGAAAGCGCAGGAGCAGCGCGCTGCTCGCACCGTGCTGCAACCTTGCCTCGCAACCTTGACAGCAAGTGCGCGGCCCGCCTCCGCGCATCCAGGCGCGCCTGTGCCCGCCGCCGAGCCGCGCTGTACCCTACGGTCTTGTCTCAGGGCGGCCGTTGGTGACCCTCGCCCGCGGCCCTGGCAGGCAGCTTCTGGCAAGGCCTCCTGCAAGGGCTGGAGCGCCAGGGTCGCTGGGCGGGCCCCGCGGCGCCTGCTGCGCAGCTCTGCCGCCGAATCACTCACACACGTCGTCCCCTGACCCTCGTGCCGGCATTCCATCCACCCTGACGTAGGATTGCGCACTGGGTCAATAAGGTGTGGCGACGCACCCAGCCCGCAGGCGAAGCAGCTGTACCGTCGCACGCTCGCGGCGTTCAACCGTCCTCGCGAGGCCCGACCGCCGCCCACGACTGCTCCAACTTGACACCTCGGGGGCGTCATGAGCGTCCGCTCGGGAGACCTCGACCAGGCACGTTTCCGCCCCACATCGCGGCGCCCCCGCGCACCTCGCCGCTTCGAGCCACTTCTTCTTGCGTCTCTGCCGCCGCAAGCGCGCACGCGGCTCGCAACGGCCGCGCTATGCCATGTGCAAGATTTCCGCCTGGTTGTCGCTGCTGCCTGTGCTACCCAGGACAGCGACGGCCGAAGCCGTGCGATGCCATGCGCAGGCGGCGAAGGAGTTCCCTGCGGACCTTCGCGCGTCGACGAGTCCGTCGCCTGACGGGTCCGGGTCCGACCACACCAAGAGCATGTGCCCGCCAATGGAGTGGCCGGCCGGGGGGAAGAAAGGCGCTCCAGGCGTGCCCGTGGATCAGGAGGCCGATGTCCAGGCGCCCGAGGGCGCGCTCACCGCTCACCGCGATCTCCGCCACCACGGCGGAACCCACTGCGACATGCCGGCCGTCGGGGGCGCGGCGGTGCTGCGCATGGAGCACATTCAGGGCGTGGAGATCAAGGGCCCGCCGCCGACGGTCTCGGACGTGCTCACGATGACGCGCGCGTTTCGCGCCGCCGCCGACAACGGCGCGCACAAGGTCCACTCGCCCATTGCGCACAGCTGCCTTCAGGTGCGGGCCGATCCCCGCGCGACGGCCACCATCAGCCCTGTGGCCCTCGCCCACCCACCGCGCGTGTTTACGGACGAGTACATCTTTCCGCGGCGCGCCCTGTCAGACGTGAGCGAGCACGTCTCCATAGGAGGACTGCGTACGGCCTTGCGAACACGCCTTGCCGAAGCAACCCTGCGTTTTCGCCCCCCTCGTGCAGGCTTTGATGGCGGGTATTTACGTGACGTTCGGCGCGGTGACGGCCATGTACATCGGAGGCAACATGCCAGGTGTTGCGGCAACGGACCCGGGCCTGGCCTCGCTCATCTTCGGCATCTTCGGGTTCCCAACGGGCCTGCTCGCGGTTGTGTTGACGGGTGCGGAGCTGTTCACCGGCAACTGCCTCGTTTGCACTGCGGCGTGGGCTGAGGGTCGCTGCACCACCCCGGAGTTCCTGCGCTCGCTGGCCGTGTCGTGGCTCGGCAACTTGTGCGGTGCGCTGCTCTTCGTTGGTATCTTCACCGGGGCGGGATTCGCCGAAAAGCCCGAGGATCTGCACGCCTTCATGGTGAGCGTCGCGGCGAAGAAGACGTCACACAACTTTGGGCAGACCTTCCTGCGCGGCCTCCTGGCGAACTTCCTGGTCGACCTCGCGGTGCTGCAGGCCGCCATCTGCACGACGTTCGTCGGGAAGTTCGTAGGCATCTTCTTGGCCACATCCATGTTTGCGGCGCTGGGGCTGGAGCACGTTGTGGCAAACATGAGCATGGTACCCCTGGGCATGATCCACGGCGCTGACGTCGGCGTCGGCAAGTTCATCTATTCGAACCTGATCCCCGTGACGCTGGGCAACTACGTCGGCGGGGGGGTGATGATTGGGATGGTGTACGCCCTTCTGTTTGGGAGGTGGTCCCGGACGTTCTCGAACGTGGTGCGGTGGCCGAAGCGCGCGTTCGACGGCGAGCACCACTGACGGATGGTGAGGGGAGAAAAAGATGTATTTTCACAGTGCAGGCCACGCGCACAGTGCATCACGCGAGCTCGGAAGATCAGCGGCTGGTCGGGTCGGGCGAACATCCTGTGCAACAGCTGACCTCCTGAACGCAGTCGCCCCGCCCCAGAGCCTCGACTGATATGGCCCATGAGCAGAACGGGCCGCTGCCCTCCGCCGGGGGGGGGGGGCGTGACACAATATTTCATGCAATTCGTGCTCTAGAGTCATCATGTGACGCCGCCGTCTCGCTTTGTCTACCCTGTCTGCTGTGTGAGTCTCGCCTGCCGTACCATTTCGGTCGCTCAAGCGTCCTCGCGGTGAGGGTGCTTGTAGGTCAGCGAAGAACTATCGCTTGGCCTGCTCAGTGAGTCGGTTGGACTCTGGACGTGCTGTTGGACCGAGGCCCAAAGGACCGTCGTCACCTGGGGTCGTTCAGAGACTATAGCAGCACGCTGTGCGCTTCCCCGCATTGTCTCACCGTCGTGCAGGTGTGTGTACGACTGCATGACTGCTCACATTGTCTACCCTGTCTGCTGTGTATTGAACATGCAGTGTGACAAACGTGTCACACTGTGTGAGTCTCGCCTGCCGTACCATTTCTGTCGCTCAGGCATCCTCGCGGTGAGGGTGCTTGTAGGTCCGCGAAGTACAAGCACGCTGTGCGCTTCCCCGCATTGTCTCACCGTCGCGCAGGTGTGTGTTCGACATGCATGACTGCTCACGTAGCTATTTCTTAGAGTCTTCGCTGGCCCACAGGCACCCTCGCCGCGAGGACGGTTGAGCGACAGAGGCGGCACGGGCCTGTTACAGCTCCTGTCTGTCCTCATCGGTATCCAGCAGCGATGACGGCACCGGTGGCGGCCCGTGCGGCTGCTGCATGCTCGGCGACATCGAAAGAATCAAGTCGATCATCGACGGCGCGGGCAGCGAGCTCTCAGGCCCTACGAAACTGCCCTGCCGCCGAGGGCCTGCAGACACCGACGCACCGCCTGCCGACAGCGGACTCGCGTTCGCTGCGTCCCCGTAAAGCAAAGCCGGTGACGGGCCTGCAGGAGGCGGTGGGGACGCGGAGAGTCCTGGCGGTGCCCCTGATGTCAACTCTGGACTGACCAACGACGTTGCTGTCCTCAGCTGCGTAGATTGGGTGTCGTCCAGCGCATCGCGAGACCCGCGGCTCCCGTCACTGTCTGCGAGGGTGGCGTTATACACCCGGACATCCTCACCACCCACCACACCTGACGCCAGCCTGTCCAAGTCCCCCCGCGGCGTGTCGAGAGGCACGCGTGGAGTCGGCATCGCCTGATTGTTCGCCGGCGCCCCTGCCGCTGCCGCAGGCCGCTCTGCAGCCTCCCTCCGCGGCGTCACCATGCCGTCCGGGTGGTATGTCCCAACCGACATCTTCGCGTCCCCTCCGGCGACAGGCGCTGATGGATTAGCAGCCCGTGCCGACGCCGCCGCGTCCGCCTCCTCCTTTGCGACCGATGGGTTGCGGTTGATCGCCCATGCTCGCCCTCCAGACTGTCGCAGCGATCCAAGGGTGCCTCGCAGGTGCGGGACCACTGGTGGGGAGCGCGGGGACGTCTCGTCGGCAGCGACGCTCGCCGCTGGCTTGCCGCGCTGGCTGTCCGGCGGCGATATCGTGTGCGCCCGCAGCGACACCGTTGAAGTACGTGGCTTGGCGCGCTGTGGCCGCGAGGCGGCCGGGGCAGCCGAGGTGCTGAGTGCTTGCGTCCCTGGTTCGGCCGCGGACTGCGCCGCTGCTTCGCCCCGACTGGCTTTGAGATCGACGCTTGACCGCGCTAGGATGCTCCGGTCGCCCGCGACTTTGACTTGCGCGTCGGAGACGCCCGCGTCATCGGAGATGAGCTCCAACGCCACCTCCGCAACCGTCCGACCCGCCTCGTCGCCCTCCATGGGTGCTGATGATCGCATCGTCGGTCCTGCGGTCTTGTGGTCAGCGACGGACGCGCCGCTGTTCTCCCGGCCCTGACCGACTTCCAGCGATGCTCCACGACGCACTCCGTGGGCATGCCATGCTGACTCCGGCTCCCCTGACTCAGCAGCCCCATTCACCTCCTCCATCTTGGCGTCGCCCGTGCCTGAACTCCTCGACGCCTTGCGTTCTTCCGTGGCCCCGCGGCCGTCGCTGTCGCTATTACTTATACCAGCCGACTCAGCATGGGGAAGCGAGCTCTTGTACCCTACCAGTAGAGGGCCCGCGTCCGACTGTTCGCGGCCCGACGCCGCCGATCTCTTGCTCTTTGGAGCACCACGTGCCGCCCGCGCACCGTCGCCCACCTTCGTGCCCTGCGTGTCCTTCCCTGCCGCTGTTGCACTCCTCGCTGCTTTGCGTTCGTACTTCAGAGTGGCTTGCACCGACGCCGGCGGCGCAACTCCCTTCGCGGCCGCAGCCTCGCGCTCGTGCAGCGTCCTGAGCGCCTTGTGGGAGTCCCAGAGGGGCCGGATGACGAGCACGAACACGAAGAGCGACAGGAGGGTCAGGGAGAGTAGCAGGCACGCGGCGTTGAGGATCGATGACGTGACCTCCCTCCCCACGAATTCTGGGAGGACGGAGTACACGACGCGACTCGCACACAGCACAAGAATGAGGGCAGGGGCTGCCCAGGACAGCACTGCGGCCCTGCGAGTACACGAGGGACGTGTCGGGCGTGTCGAGCGCCTGCGCAGCGCTGATGACCGCGCGCTACATCCGGCGCCACCGCGATCGGGTGGATCGTTCGAGGCGGCGCGGGTGTACATGCCGCGACATGTCAGCACAATGCAGGAAAAGCACCCGGCCATTGATTCGTGGATCCACTGCAGACCCGGCGGCAGGCACGCGAGCTCGAGCAGTACAGCCGAGCCAGCTACGCGTTGGGGCGCACGCGAAATGCGTGGTTGCGGGAAGCAGCATCCCTGCGGGCTCAGCACCTGGTGGAGATGGACCGACTGACCGCGGAGCTGCGAACGGCCTTCATGCGCGTCCACAGCACGATGCCGAACGTCACGAGGTACACGGTGGGCACGACCAGCGCCGCCGCGGGCATGCGGCAGTAGTTGCAACTCGTGGGGTGGTCGGGGTCTGGTTCGCAGGCTCCCTGAAACCCTGTGACCGCCAGGAGGTAGTACACGGCCGTTTCGTCTTCGCGCCACTCGCTCTCGATCGCGGGGGACACCCACAGCACCAAGCACTGCACGGAGCAGAGGGCCGGGCGCGTAAGGACAACTGCTGCGTGTTGGGCGGTGCATGTTCATGTTCGCTGGTGCAACTCCAGCGACCAACCGTTTGACAGGGCTGCCGCGGGCCGTCGCGCTCAGGACGTTCGGGAAGGTGCGCAAGCTGGCCCAACACGACGCTGCAGCTGCTGGGTGTGGGGCAAGTGAATGAAGTTGTTAGTTGGTCTCTCAAAGCGCAGCGCATCGGACGACCGGCGGCTTGATGTTGCGCGGGTCGATACGCGCCTGAAGTGTGAGTATTGGAAACGTCAGGAGGATCGCCGGAAGCAGCACCGCCATGTTCGGGCCGCGAATGGAAAACAGCGGAGGCTTGTCCACCCCGCGCACCCGCGGGGCCGCGTTGCTCAGCATGAACAGCGCGATCAACAGACCCAGTGGTTCTCCAAGGCCTGCGGTATCGCGTTCACGGGCTGTTCGATGCTGAGTCGCGCCTGGGCCGACCGGGCCTGGCCCAGCGCAAACCAGGGCGTGCGGCAAGAGTGTGACGGCGACTCGCAGCACGGCCAGGCGCACCCGTTTCGATCGCGAATGATATGCGGCACCAGAGCCGGCGCTGTGGGTCCGGTAGAACCTTGACAAGGATTGGCCCGGAGCCTGCCCAGAGCCCCGACAACCTGAGAGCCTGACTCGCGGGCACGACCGCCATCGCGAGGCACATGGCCATTCGCGAGGTCCAGAGCATCGCAAGCCTCGCCTGGTGACCCGTCTTGGCACGAGACCTGCGACACGACGGCGGAACGAGCGGCCCTCTTCCTTCATGTGAGACAACTCGCACAGGCCGGACGCTCGATATGCCGAGGCGCGCACTTCACTGAGAGGCACGGTGATCAAGAAGCGGCACGCTGCTTCGACGGATTCCAGGCGCGAGGCCCCAGCTCGAGCTGGCGCGCGCGCGGGGTGCATTTTGCAGTGGTGCGTACCTGAAAGCGACGGCCATGATGCCCGCCAGAAGGAACATTTGGATTCCGAGACCCGAAAATGCGATCGCTGCATAGTTCGCGATCTCGCTCGTCAGTTCTTGCGACGACATCGCTGCGTCAACTGGGCCAGTGGCTTCGCCAGCGCCTGCGTGGTAAGCGCCGCGTGGTCCGAACGGTCTCGCCGATCGCTATTGCGGCATGCCGCAAATGCCGCGGCGAGGAGCACAGCCTCCTCAAAGCAATGTGTCGAGTAACTGAAGAGCATGCAAGTGCAGCGAACTTGGCCGCGTCTGTGGGCGCATTGCGTGCGCGGACGTGCGCCTGCTTGCCGGCATAACATTGCGTGCATGCTCGGCGTGCAAGGGTAACGAGCGCGCGACGTGCGAGGTGGTGTCGCACCGTGCGAAGAGAGAGGACCCTCCCTGACACCTCCGGGGGCAGAGATGACAGGCAAACGTCGCTTGCCCGCGTCGCCGCCCATTGGCTCGCCGCGGCGGCGCGTCCGCGGACAGTTTACAGTGGTGGCGATCTCGTTCTCACTCTGTTTCCGCTGCAGCTTGCGCACACGGGCCTGCGTCGCCTCTCCCTGTTGTTCCGGAAAACTTCCAGGCGTCCCGAACCGAGGGGGCAGACATGACTCCGAACGACTTCATCGACGACAGCGACGGCGACGAGATCACGAGCATCTCCTGGCCAGTCGGAGAGTTCAAGAACGTCACGGCAAGCTCCTGGCCGATCGCCCGCCAGCGTGTCTTCTAGAGACCACCTCCGACAGCCGCGGCCCGCCCGAACGTAGACGAGCCGCGTCAGTTACGGCCGCATTGGATTGACACCTACATCCAGTCGGAGTCACGCAATGCATGAGTTGTCGCATGTTGCATTGGGGCCGCATCACCGGTTGTGCAACACACATCTGTGCATCATGGCTCGTGGGCGCGGCGACCACCACGCCCGCGAGCACACGGCTGACCCGACCTGGCGTTGCCGCATGATGCGCTGCGGCTTTGATTGCGCGGCGGTTTTCGCACGTCTCCAACCCGTGCGATTCAGCCCTGCAACCCCTGTGCAAGTACATGCAGGACGATGGTGGCGTGCAGAAGAAGCTGTTGACCCCGGGCGATCCCGATGCGGGCTCACCGGAGCGCGGAGACGACGTGACGGTGCATTACACCGGCACGCTCACCGCTGACGGCACCGCGTTCGACTCCAGTGTGGACCGCGGAACGCCTTTCACGTTCCCGCTGGGCAAGAACAACGTCATCAAGGGCTGGGACGAAGGTGCGCAGCGTGCCGGCGTCGCCTGTACCGGGCCGCGTTCCAGCCTCAGCGTGCGTCGCGCGTCTCTCCCTTTCTAGATGTCTCTCTCGCCTTCTGCCGCGCCCTCGCGAACAGTTGCAAACGCCCTGCCCGATAACTAGCGACGAGGAAAAATCTCTTGGTGATTCGCCTGCAGGCGTGAAGACCATGCGCAAGGGCGAGAAGTGCGTGTTGCGCTGCAGTGCTGCATACGCATACGGCAAGTTGGGTTCGCCCCCAAAGATCCCGCCGGACGCCTCGCTCGATTTCGAAGTGGAGCTGCTGTCCTGGCGCAGTAAGAAGGACATCAGCCCGGACGGCGACGGGACCGTGATCAAGCACGTGGAGGAAGAGGGCAGTGGTTGGGACAACCCCCGCCCGGGCGACGAGGTCGTCTTCGAGGCGCGTGCCCTGACCAAGGCCGGCACCGTCTGGGCCGAAACGCAGGGCCTGCGGACAGCAACGTGAGTGACACGCCCGATGTCGATTTGTCGCGAAATCCGTGCTCGCAGCCGATTAATGCTTCTGGGTGGACGCACGGCTTGTGCCTGACTTTCGCACTCCCGCCAAGTTGTATCCCACCGCTCCCTCGGGCACATTGTCGGCGCACAATCTAGCGAGCTCGGCTACGTCGGCCCCCGATCGCAGCGCCAAACTTTCATGCTCCACTCTGCGCCAAAACCTTCTCTTGCGCAACGTGACCAACGCTGCAGAATCCCAGCCGAGATCGATGCCTCCGTGGAGAGCAGCTTCCTGTGTCGTGGCGTGTACATCGCGCTGCAGAAAATGAAGGTGGGTGAGCGCGCCAAGGTCGTCGTCAAGCCCCCGCACTACGCGCCAGGGTCCGGAGACGAGACTTCAGCGGCGTTGGAGGTGTCCGTGCACCTGTCCGAAGTGCACCCCGTGTCTGACGTGGTCGGGTCCGCACCCCCTGGGGCGTTGCGGTACAAGAAGCTGCGCAAGGGCGAGGGATACGAGACGCCCGGGGAGGACTCCGAGGTTGACATGAAATACCGTGTCGTCAGCGCGGGAGAGGGCGTTGCCCCAGGGGAGTGGCTCTCGGTTACGTTCCGGCCTGACTCGATTGACGGGTCTCCGGCTGACAAAGTGCCGCTGGGCGTGGCCAAGCAGGCAGAGCACATGAAGCGAGGAGAGGGCGGGGAGCTCATCGCACGCGCAGGTAGCGCTTACTCGGCCGAGGGAGCAGTGTTTGAGTTGGAGATGATCGAGTTTCGAAGGGACAAAAACATGTGGGAGATGGAGGCTGAGGAGAAGCTAGCGGCCGCCGAGAAGGCGAAAGAAGAAGGGAACGCATTTTTCAAGGTGAGGGCTGGCGCGTCTAGGCCCTTGCGTTTTCCTCTTCGTGCCGCACCCACACGTCACGGTGTTGCCGCTGCGCGCTTCCACTTTTGTTCCGGTCCATTGCCACTGTTGGCGGGGCGACAAATCATTGTGCTCGCCGCCCACATTGAGATATCGGCCACTTCGCCTCACGCGGCCTCCCCGAGCTCGCGCTTGCTTTCTTTTTCCTTTTTCCTTCCGTTTCTCACGCCACAACTGACCTGTCACCATCCTCACTGACCGGAGCTCCGCGCTTCTCTGCAGGAGCACCGCTGGCAGCTTGCCAAATCCCGTTACGAGAAGGGCATCCGTCTCGCTGGCGACGAGTCGGGCGGCGCCGGCGGCCCGGGCGCCCAGTATCACGACACCGATGGCACACATCCCGACTTCCGCACGCTGGCGAGGATGTGCCGGCTGAACCTGGCAGCCTGCCTGCTGCGCCTGTCCGACTTCCGCGCGGCGGAGGCGGCCTGCACGACGGTGCTTGACCAGGACGCCGAGAACGTGAAGGCCTTTTTCCGCCGCGCCCAGGCATTTGCCGGGCAGCAGGAGTACGAATCTGCTGCGCGGGACCTCAAGCGCCTGCTGGAGCTGGACCCCTCGAACCAATCCGCTGTACAGGAGCTGAAGCGCGTCAAGGAGGCTGACCGCAAGCTGGGACAGCAGCAGAAGGGCATGTACGCAAGGATGTTCAAGTAAAGCGCAGATGGATGCTGGAGTAGATGCAAAGAGCTGCCCACGGCGGCATCTGACCTCACCCGCAACCACATCGGTGAGGTGCTGCGTCTGCGCGTAGGGCTCCGAATTTGGCAGGCCATCTTCGAAGCAGCGATGTCTGTGGCTGTGATGGCGTTCGGCATCATCAGTGGTTGCCGCTTCGCTCGCGAATCTCCGTCTGTTCGCAGTGGAATGTCACTCACACGCGAAGATTCGACACGCAAGGCGGGCGCGACGGACAGTCAGACCACGTGGGACAGGCAACGGTCAAGGTGTCACATATTTCGCGCCGTCGGCCACAAAGAGCCTCCTACGACTCAGTGGTGAGATGTCCATGTGCACAAGGTGTGAGACTCATGCGTAGGTTCTCTGCATGGATGGCGGGAACGTCGTCACGCGCTCGTGGCAGCGAAACGGCCCGCATGTTTGGGTTATATCAGTAAATATCAACAGCGCGCAAGTCGGTGCACAGGTCGGTAGAGCAGGGGCACGCTTGGGGCTTGGGTACGGTGGGCGCTCTGATTTCCCACGATGCAGTGTCAGTGCTGTGCCATTCGCCCCACGTGGGAGAGAAACGAAGGCAGCCGTGCCGCGTCGCAGCTGCGCCTCGTCCTTGGCACAGGCGCAGGACGAGGTTATGGGTTCCACGAATCCTCCAGCACGCGCCTACGGCGGGGCTGGCATCGCAATTCATACCCCACCGTCAGGCGCAAGAGCGTTGGCGATTCCTCGTACCCACGCCGCCACCGCTGCGGCACCGGGGTCCGGCGCAGACGACAGAGCGTCGACGCTCGTGATGTACGACGCCCGCCCGAGCCGTGCACGCATGCCGCGCGTCGCTCGCGCGCCAGCCTCGGCCGCGTCCGCCGCGCACGCCGCGCATGCCGCGCCCTCCGCGCCCTTCTGCGAGGTCTGGTCCAAAGCATCTATCGCTGGCCCCAACGCGTCCACCATCGTCCTGCAATTGCGCCGGGCGCCGCTGTGCTTCTCCAGCGACGCCAGCGCTGCCCTCCCCGCCGCCGCCACCGCGCCGGCCACCCCGCCGTGCACCAGTCCCCGCCCTGGGGCTAGTGCAACGGCTGCCGCATTCAGGCCAATTCGGTAGACCGCGCCCGACGTTCCGCCCATTCCCGACAGCGCCGCCGCCACCTTGCGCAGCGCGAAGCGCAGGTCGACCTCCCCCCCCGCGGGCAACCAGGACTCGATTGCCTTCTCCACACAGCGCGCGCCCTCCGCGAGCGTTGCACCGCAGTCCCCGTCACCCGTGATGCGGTCATAGTCGTCGAGCGTCAGCCTCGCCTCCCGTACGGCGGCGCACGCGCCGCGCAGGCACCTGCCCAGCACAGGCGCGTCCACCATCCACCCTGCACCATTCCCAGCTGTGCCGTCCTCGTCGCCGCGATTCAAGCCGGGCGACGGCGGCACGGGCACGACGCGATCCTCGACATCCGTCGCGAGGCTCCGCGGCCACGCCGGCGCGTCGGTCTCCGCGTCGAGCAGTCGCGTCAGGCTGCCGTCTGGCGGGAGGTCCAGCACGGTGACGCTGACGCCCGACATGTCCAGGGAGGTCATGAACGACCCAACGCCCACGCGCTCGATGGAGAAACCGCGCTTGCGGGCGTGGAGGACGGCCGCGCGGGCGCAAGCGGGAAGTACCAGGTTTGAGGTTGAGCCAAGGTTGTTCACGAGGAGCGCGACGGAGGAGCCCTTGGAGAGGCTCAGGCGGCCCGCGGGGCTCGTGGCGGTATCTACGAGCAGCTGCACGGCCTGCGGAAGCGCGGGCACACACTGAGGCGGTGAGGAGGCAGTTGCACGAAGAGGGGCAGGTGTGCGAGCCGTGGTGCACCGCGCGGTCCAAGCGAGGACACGCCCGAGTAGCGCACGCCAGGTACGTCGGGGGAGGGTGCTCGGCTCGCACCTCGTCGAGCGAGCACGTAGGCCTCTGTTCGCTGCCCGGTTCTCCGTGGATCCCCAGACCGATCTCCATCATCCCCGGTGGCAGCCTGCACTCACTGACCCTTCAAGCATCGCGAGGGGAAGGCAGGGTGAGGCAGGAGGGGCCGGTGGCAGGTGAGGCCACGGCGCGGCACATGTGTGTCATGGGCTCCTGGGCGCACGGGGCGGGGCGGCGGTCGCGAGCCCTGGGTGGGGTTGCGCGCTCTAACGTGCGGCGCTGGCAGCGCGAGGGGGGGGGCTGACCTTGTTGGAGCTCCTCCAGGAAGGCTGCAGATCGTGAGACCTAGACCCACGGTGGAAGCGCGCTTCGCAGCGTCCTCGGCGCCCCGCAGGACCGTCGTTAGCGTGTGCCCTTCTTCTGCGAGGGCGCCGGCAATCTTGTGGACGAAAACGGCGCCCGCGATGCCTCTGGCGCCCGTGTCGCGGACGGAGCTGTTGAACAGAGTGCCGTCGTCGGCCACACACACCGTCTCGACCGCGTAGCCCTCCGCCTTGGCCATCTCCGCTGCGAGGCCGAAGTTGAGGCGATCGCCTGCGAGAAAGCACCCAGCGAGAGGAAGCATCCCACCGTGGGATGTGAGTGACAGGCCGAGCATGGCGCCCAACGCGACTTCACGAAACTAGTATGAAAAGGCCGGCGCACCCGTGTAGTTCTTGACGATTAGGAGAGCCCCGGAGGGCCCCGTGACGGCCCGGATGGCTGCGAGGACAGCATCTGCTGGTGGCGAAGCAAACACGTCGCCGCAAACCGCCGCAGTCAGCATCCCGCGGCCAACGAAACCTGTACAGACGGGGAATACGTGTAGCAGTTCGTGCAGGAGGTCACTCGTGCAGAGGACGTCTGGCACAGAACGTGCGAGCCATAGCAGTTGAAGGCTGGTTGCCGTTCGCGACGCACCTGCGTGCGCGGGCTCGTGTCCGGAGCCACCGCCGCTGATGAGCGCGACTTTGGCCTTATCCCAATCACGCCTTGTCACGACCTTGATCGCCGGGAACCCGTCGAGACGCTGCAAAAGGACGCCGAAGAGAAGCACTCGCGTTCGGCGGCGGCAGGAGCGACATAGCGCATGAGGCGCAGTGGAACGGATCCGGCAGTTGTGCTCGTGTCGGGCGGCGCATGCAAAGGATCACGGTGTTCCACCGCAGCCGCGCAGCGTCGTGGGGCCCGCCCACCTGGAGGTGGTCGTGCGCGCGGACGAGGCCCTCGATGGACTCCTGCACCAGCGTTCGCGGGCTGTTGAAGAGCTGGGACGACATCTTGTGAGCCTACTTGTGGCAGCGCCGCAGAAGCGCGTGGGCCGGCGCTCGGAAGCTTGTTTGCTGGGGTAAGGACCAACCACGGCTCAGTCGCCGCCCCCCTACCCCACAAACTCAATTTCACGGTGTCGACGGTCTGGATGTCTTTGCACCAAATGCGCGAGTCTTGGCCGGCCCCAGGGTAACCGCGCCGGCGGCCGCTGCGGCGATTGGGGGGGGAGTCCAAGGGGAGGAGTCTGAAGGTGACCTTCAGACTGGCCCTGTGGCCCACAGGGCCCCTGTAGCAGTCAGACCCAGCGTGAGCATCTCGAAGGCCGCGCGCGGCACTCGGTCGCCTGGCAGCTGTGTCGCTATGCGTCTTCGGCGGGCCGCACTGACATGGCGGTGCCCTGCCAGGTGGCGTGCGCGGCATGCTTCCCCGTGGTCTCGACTGTTCTGGTGAGCCAGACATGGCAGGACACGCGACCCCGAGCCTGACCATGTGTGGGGGCTCCGCAGCGGCGTGTGGAAGCGCACAACTTTTGACAAGATTTGCACAGGATGTGAGACCGACATTGGCCCGGCAGTGGTGTGCACCGACTCGTAGTGCAGCGCTATTCTACGGGCAGGTCGACCACCTGCAGGTCCATCCGCGCGCGCCACGACTCCCCGCCTTGCAGCGTCACCGGCTTGGAGAACTGCGCCTTTTCCACGCAGCAAAACTCCTGGTAGCACGCCTCCATCGCCGTCCAAGGGTTCCAAACAACAACGTCGCCCCAGCCATCGCTGCGCCGCGGGTAGGAGGAGCAGGGAACTCGCAGGCAACATGTGCCAGGCAGCAACCACATGCGCCGAGCGACGCCGCCGCGTGTCTTGGCACGGAAACGACTGTCCGCGCGTGAGGCGTATGCGGCACATCAGTTTCGGGGCAGCGACCAGCGCTCCTTCGGTTCGGCCCAGTTCCTGCGCCCAACATAGTGTTCCCGCGCACCTGTCGATCGCGATGGCCGCGCCGGTGCCAACGTCGAGCTCCTGGTGGTCGCCGGCGTCCAGGTACACGCTGTCCGTGGGTCCCTCGAACGTCACGCGCGCCCTTGTCTCCGTCTTGGTCTCCGGGCTGGCAGGGTCCTTTGTTTTGTCGAGATAGGTGAGGCCGTCGAGGCCCGTGACGGCGGCGCGGTCGATGCCGAGGACCTCGAGGTAGCTGTGTAAAGCCGCGGTGAACTCGAAGGGGCCGTCGCCCGTGTTGATCACGCGGAAGTCCGTGCGCAGGATCTCGCCGTGCAGTGTGACGGTGTAGCAGGCCTTGAAGGGGTGCGGCCACATGCCGAGGGTGAAGTCTGACTCCGTGAGCACGAACTCGACCTCAGGATCCTTCTCGTCCGGCTGCGGGTCGACGAAGGACGAAGGAACACTCAGCGCCAAACGATGAAAGTGCACACAAGGCTCGTCGGACACGACTCCCCTGTCTGAATCGTGCCGTACGGGCCCACTATGCAGCTTGCGTTCGACGTGCGTCCTGTCACTGGCGGGCAAACCCAGACCGGCGGCCGCACCTGCAGGTCCGCAGACGTGGACGCGATCTCCCAATCCACGTTGCGTGCGAATCCGTGCTGCTGGATCGCGCCCGGTCCGAACTGTGGGAAGCACAGCGGGATACCACCGGCGATGGGCTTAGTGCGGTCGAACACCGCGTCGGGACGGACGTACAGCACTTCGCTGCCGTTTGCCTGCCGCCAAGACGTGACGCACGCCCCGTGCAGGTACACCTCCGCCGACGAGCCACACACGTGCGTGAGCACCACCTGCGAGTCAGGCGCGCACAGCGCTCGTTGACGCCACCGGTCAGAACCCAGCATTGATGGGTCGCACGTTCGTACGAACGTTCGCGACTCTCGCCTTCAGCACCGACGCGTGCGTGCGATGCCTCTGAGGGGCTCGAGGGCGACGCCATTAAGGGTTGTCAATCGCAGTTTCGGGCGAAGAGAGCGGGGCACACACCTTTGGAATTCCACCCTTGCCCTCGACGATCTTCACGCTTCCCTCGATTCCGAACTCCTCCTCGAGATCCGCAGCGGATGCAGCGACGACCGTGGAGTCCCGCCGCATCGCCGGCCGCATTCGCGGCGCAGCCCCTGCGCCCTGCTTCCACGCACACCAGACAGGATGTTGGCAACCTCCACCTGGAGGAACAATCGGCACGCACGCAGCGGCGCGCTCGCGCTGCGACTAGTTGAAGCCGGTTCCATATCCAGCGTTCAACCGACGGACGCGAGGCGTTGCTTCGGCGCACGAAACTCTGTCGACCTGGGACGCCACGAGCCATGCAGCTTCGCCTCCGCACCGCGAGTGGGCCCAGGCTCAGCGGAAGACGTGAGCACGGACGTGCATATGCGCTAGCGTTTCAAGGCAGGCGAACTGTCGCGACGGCCCGGACGTGAGCGGGCCGTGAGGCCGCGCGGCTTTCGCAGGGGTCAGCCGTTTACGGCGATTTCGCGCCACAAGCCCCCCACCTGCCGGATTGTGCCCCGCACCGCACCATCGTATCTCCGCTGAGCCACCCGCAGCGCCGAACACGAGGCGAACATCATGGGTGCCTGCCACAGCACGATCCAAACCGACCGGGCTTGAGCAGTGCAGACGTGCCGCTCGTTGTACGGCTGTCGCACCGGTGAAGCAAGTGGCTCGACAGTGGCGCTGTCACAGCTTCCGCGCCGCCGCTGAACGCCATGCGGCAGCCACTGCGTCGATGACGGGCCGTTCGCTTGTACCTGGTCGCCAACCCGGTGGCCCCCTCCGGGGTGCGGCACGGTGCCACGGTGGCACCGGCCGCAGCGGCGCAGGTGGAGGGCACGGCTCCCCGGGTTGTTGCACTTCGAGAAGCCTGTATTGCCAGCGAGAGAATCCGAGCAGTGCGCCCCGGATCGACAGGAACGCGGAAGTAAAGGCGGGAGGTGGTTGCTTTCGTGTCAGAAAGCTTCGGGCGCGGCGTTCCAATGCGTCCCGCCCCGAGGCTGGCGCCCTGCCGGGCGATTCTGACACCTGCGGGGTCAGGGCGCGCCTCGCGCGCCCCGCAGTCAAGGCGCATAGCATGCTGTCGAGCAGCTCCCTGCTCGGTGCCCAGGGTGCTAACAAGCGCGCCGGCATCGCGGCGGGGCGTTCATAGCTCACGGGCGACCACCTGCTCTCCGGACCGCTCGGATGGGTCGCGGACGGCGCGGGGGCGCAGCAGTTGGTTGCTCAGAGAGCGCTCGGGACACGGACGGCGGTGCTTGGCGGCGAAATACCGGAACCAGGTGAGAAAACTCGCAAAGAACTGCGTCAGGCGGCGCAAGACGAGGCCGGGGCGGGATCAACGAGCGCCTGCCGCGAGGACCGAGAAGATGCTGCAACCGCCACTGAGCGCGCGCGAGCCGGGGCCTCCCGTCGCGCGATGTCGCGCAAAGCCGCGCGTGCCTCACGACATGCCGGTCTGTTCTTCATCGTTCCACCGCCAGCCAGTGGGTCACCGAGACCCCAACGTCGCGCACGCAGTGCTGTTGGGGGGCAGCACGACGAGCAGTCGGTGGGTTTGTGTGCCCGAGTCACGAATGAACCAGCCTTGCCTCCACCATGCGTGAGGTGCAGGAAGCGACCGGGGCCGCGGACGAGCGGACCGTCGACGATGGCGCGCTCGAGACGGAGGAGGACAACGGAAACGGGCGGCCCAAAAAGGTCCGCACGTGCCCGCAGCCATTCATGCCAGTTACGGCCGGCGTCTTCGTGCGTGTCTGGACATCGCATCTGCGGAAGAGGACGTGTGTGCCCGCTTGCCTCGCACACCATTGTGCCACGAGGACACAATCGTTCACCGACCGACGGGAAAGCGGGAAACCCGCCTCGACCAGCACTCTGTGTCACTGGGCGGCGTGCAGCACAGCCATGTCTCCCCCGCTCCAACCAGCCCCTCTCGTGCCCCCCCCACCCACCTGCAGTCGCGGCGCCGCTCCGGTACCCACTTCGGCCTCACGGCCGCCGACGTGGCCGGGATGTGCGAGCTGCGCGGCTCGGGCGAGCTCTGGGCGAACGCGGCGGAGCACCGCTGCGTGTGCGTGGCCGACATCGCGTCCCGGCTTTGCGTGGACCCGTCGCGGGGCCTGGACGCGTCCGACACGGACGACCTGCGCGCACGGGAACGGCAGTTCGGGAGCAATCGCATCCCGGAGCCCGAGCCGCTGTCGCTGTGGGACGAGATCGTCGCCGCGTTCGACGACCTCACGCTGCGTGTGCTCTCGGTGTCAGGTGAGAGGAGTCAACAACACCCCCTGAGGGGGGCCGCATGCTCACCAATGCTGATTATGCGCGCACATGACACCGTACCCTCTTTTGCTCGGCGGCGGCGTCCGAACGACGCATCCACCAAACAACAGCGGTGCAAACATCATGCGTCAAGGCGTTCGCCCTGATCTGCAGGCCTCCTCTCCCTCGGCCTTGAGGCCTACATGGCGCCCGCGGAGGGCGGCAGCGAGGCCGGCTGGGTCGAAGGCGCGGCCATCCTTGCCGCCGTCGCCGTCTGCGTCCTCGTCGCCGCCGGAAACAATTACCAGAAGGAGGCGCAGTTCCGGCAGCTGAATGCGGTCGAGCACGCGTCCGTCGTCCGCGTCCTGCGCTGCGGCGTTCCATGCGAGTGCCTCGCCGCGGATCTGCTCCCCGGCGACGTCCTGTTCGTCGAGGCGGGGGATGTGTTGCCTGCTGATGGGGTTCTACTGGAGGGGTCCGCAATCGAGGTGGACGAGGCGCACCTCACGGGCGAGTCCGAGCGCGTGCGGAAGGACGTGCACCGCCGCCCTCTGCTCCTGTCGGGCTCGCGCGTGCTCGACGGGTTCGGGAAGATGCTGGTGGTGGCCGTTGGCGACAACTCGCAGCAGGGCATCATCGCGCGGCTGGTCACGGGCCGGCGCGCGGAGCGCGCACAGGACGAGAGCGACACGGATTCGGGGTCCGAGTACGTGAGCGATGCGGAGCACGCCCGACAGGGTCCGCGCGCTGCCACCATTACGCCCGTCATCGCGGACGACGCGGACGGGCTGCGGAAGGACACGAACCTGTCGCGGCGGCTCGAGGGACTCGCGCAAGATATCGGGAAGGTGGGGCTGGCGGCCGCGGGCGCGACGTTCGGGGCTCTCTTGGCACGCCCTGTGGTCCTAGCTGCGCTGGGAGCTGCGGCGGGCGACGCGCAGGGGGTGCTGGCGCCGCTGGGGAGCCCCGAGCAGCTGCGGGAGGTGCTGCACGCGATTATTTCGGCAATCACGGTTCTGGTGGTCGCCATCCCGGAAGGCCTGCCCCTGGCGGTGACGATAGCGCTGGCGTTCAGCGTCACGAGAATGTTGGGCGACAACAACCTGGTGCGGCACCTGGGAGCTTGCGAGACCATGGGATGTGCGACGACGATCTGTTCGGACAAGACCGGGACGCTGACGCGGAACGAGATGACAGTGGTGCGCGCGTGGTATGATGGCTGCGAGGTGGGGGGCGTGCCGTTGGTGGGGCCGGGCGCGGAGGAGGGCGCGGGGAGCAAGCTGCCAGACTGCGTCGACCGGATGATGTGCGTGGCGTTCGCGCTGAACTCTACCGCGACCCCGCAGGTGCGTGCCCTGTGCTGCACCCCCCCACGCCTCGCTGTTGCCGTCCTGCACGGCCGTCAACCCGGGTGCTCGTCAGATCCGAACCCTGGTGGATAGCACGGCAAAGGCTTCGGCCGAGTGGGAGGGGAAACCTCGCCACGGCAGCACGTGCTCGAGCAAAACTTTCCCGCCATCGCCACCCTGTCCTCCAGATTCACGAGAAGACAGGAGACGTCGTGTTCGTCGGCAACCAGACCGAAGCAGGCCTGTTGCGCTACGCCCGCGACCACGGTGTCGATGTCCTCGCGCTGCGCGACACCTATGCCCTCCGCCGCCTGGTGCCCTTCTCCTCGGACCGCAAGCGCATGACCGCCGCCGTCGCCCTCGCCCGGCCGCCACAAGACCTCCCGCATCCGCGCGTGTGGGCGAGCGCGGGCGTCCAGATGGACAGCGACGGCTCCACCGTGATTTTGTCCAAGGGTGCGCCAGAGGCCATCCTGGAACGGTGCGTCCGCGTTCTGTGCCCCGACGGCTCGACGCGCGCCTTGCCTAGGCAAGACAAGCTCGATCTTCTGGAGCGCACGAAGCAGTGCGGCGCGCTGAGGATGCTGGCGCTGGCCGTGCGGGGGGTGCCAGAGGGGGAGGACGTGGGGGAGTGGGACGAGGAGTCCCTCGAGTCGGACCTTACTCTGGTCGGACTGGTCGGACTTGAGGATCCCGTGCGTCCTGAGGCCCCGGCGGCGATCGAGAAATGCCGGCATGCGGGCATCAAGGTTCGTATGTTGACTGGCGACAACCTCGTGACGGGGACTTCGATCGCGAAGCAGTGCGGGATCATCGACGAGGATCGGGGCGCAGCGGAGGAACACCCCGGGGCGTGCTCGTCGGAGCAGCTGCAGCGGCTGATCGAGGGCGGCGTCGTCATGGAGGGGAAGACCTTCCGCGAGCAGGTGCTCGACGGAAACGGCGGAATCAAGGCAAGTTTGAACATGCGGACGCTCGACTCAGAATGAGATACGCCCTGCGTGCGTCGTGGCGTTTGTGGCAACGTCCTCGCACGGAGGCAACCGGGCATGCATCTGGGTGTGGGTCGCGATGATCCGACCACGACGACTTGCGGCTCACGGCCCCATCGTAGCGGACCTGAGCCTCCCATCAGCCTCCGTTCGTATCCGTGGTGTCATCCTGCTGGCCTGCACCGCACCACGAGTTGAGCCTTGTGCGCCGCATTGTGTGCTGACGGGGTGCTGTCGTGTGCGCTTCCGCGTGCAGCTGGATGAGTTCTGGCGCATCTGGCCGAACCTCCGCGTGATGGGCCGTTGCAGTCCCTCCGACAAGTACACCATCGTCACGGCGCTACGCGCGGGCGGGGACGATGCAACCTCTGCGCGCGACATCCGCCGCGAGGTGGTTGCGGTCACCGGCGACGGCACCAACGACGCGCCCGCCCTGCGCGCCGCGGACGTCGGATTCGCCATGAACTCCGGGACCGGCATCGCGCGCGAGGCGTCGGACATCGTCCTCATGGACGACAACTTCGCGTCGATCGTCTCGGCAGTCAAGTGGGGCCGGAACGTCTACCGCGGCGTGCAGCGCTTCTTGCAGTTCCAGCTGACAGTCAACTTGGTCGCTGTGGCCACGGCGTGCGGCGGCGCTATTGCACTGGAGGGCGGGAGCCCGCTGAGTGCCGTTCAGATGTTGTGGGTCAACCTGATCATGGACTCGCTTGCCAGCCTGGCGCTGGCGACGGACGAGCCCACCGACGCACTGCTGGACCAGCAGCCGTTCTCTACAGCGGTGAGCGCCCGGGGGCCGCGGCCTCGCTGGACTCCGCTCGGAGCCCTGTAGTCTGACAAGCCACGTCCTCGAGCTATTGTCTCCGCCCGTCACCGCCTTGCTAACGGCTGCCCGTGCCCTGTGCAGGACCCGCTGATCGGACCCGACGTGGCCAAGGACATCCTGGGTCAGGCGGCGTTCCAGCTGGCTACCCTGACGCTGGCGCTGTCAAACCCTGTGCTGCTCGGCCTCCCCGGCGTGGACCCTGGCTGCCCGGAGCACCTCACCGCGGTGTTCAACGCCTTCGTAATGCTGCAACTCTTCAACCAGATCAACTGCCGCCGTCTGGCCGGCGAGGCTGGCTCGCCCGTCGAGGGCCTTCCAGGCGCCAACCCCCTCTTCTGCGGTGTACTGGGCCTCGAAGCCGCGCTGCAGGTGGCGATCGTCCAGTTCGGAGGCAGCTGGTTCCAGACCGTGCCGCTCAACGGCGCGGCGTGGACCGCATGCGTGGGCCTGGGCGCAACGAGCCTGCTGGTGCGCTACCTCCTTCGGCCGTTGAAGCTGCCGTCGTGGGTCCGGTTCGGTTGAGGGCGAGTGCGGGAGGGGGCACAGGCAGTGACACTTGGCCAGCTGCGCGCGTGGCCAGGATGCGAACGGCTTCGAGGTCGCACGTACTCGGTTGTGTTTTTTACTCTCAGGCTGTATGAGGTGAGGTGAGTGGGTATGAGGTGAGGTGTCACATTCTTCGCGTCGTCAGCCATAAGGCTTTGGGACCTGAAAAGATCATTCGACTAGGTGGCGAGTCATGCTAACCCCCCACCGTTATGGTAGCAACAGGTTCGGCAGCTGTGACAGAGTCAGCCTGGAGCAGATCCTCGATGCCACGAGGCCATATATATATATATATATATATATATATATATATATATATATATGGCCTATATATATATATGGCCTATATATATATGTGATTTGGCGGACGCTCGCGTCGCCGCGCACCCACCGTGTCGGTACTTGATTGAGCGAGCGGATGTACGGAGTCGCAGAGGCGAATGCTGGCAGAGCCATTGATGAGGTGTGTCACATTCTTCGCGTCGTCAGCCATAAGGCTTTGGGACCTGAAAAGATCATTCTTGAAAAGATGTGTGTTGCAGTCCTTGCACCCGAGCACGAAACGTGCACTCGTGTGCAGAAGCATCACATCGGCGGTGCTTGCCCTTTGAGCGAGCTTCGGCCGGCCAAGCCCTCCTGACCACCAAGGACCCCGGGTTTCAGGACCGCGGGCCCGGAAGTCACCTAAGTCTGGTGGGGGACTCCTAGATTGTCAGACATCCAGCGGCCGCTGCGGCCGGGCGGCCCGGGGCCGCCCGTGGCGCTGACGTCGCCGACGGTCGGCGTCAACCGTCCGGCACGCACCAGAGCATGACCAGTCTGCCGCGACATGCACGTCATAGGAGACAGTTACGGCTGCGCCACCCAAGCGGATACCACTGCACTGCACATGGCATCTGTTTAGCCGCGACGATTTCTTCCGCCGTGATTGCCACAGCATCGCATCCCATGCTTATAATTCGCTATTTGGCACTCCGTGGCGCTCGGAAAGCGCATCCTCTATCCGAGCTGCGCAGTGCACGGTGCCACACAGTGACAGCTTTCCTGGGCCGCGCTCTCTGTCGGACAAGTACAGGACTCCCTCGGCCATAGCTGTGTGTGGCATCCGTCCGCGTAGTATACAGGTCTGTCCCGGTCGAAGTCAGCTTTGGAGCTGGCCGGACGCAAGAACGTGCTTGCTGTCATGGACCTCCGTCGCCGCGTCCAGTTGCTGCCGATGGTGACGGCTGTTGCCGTCCGTAACGACTGAATCGCTGTGGAGCGCGTACCAGCCACTTGTCGGGTTCGACCGCGCGATGCTGGGTAGAGAAGGGTGCCTACGCCTGCGTGTCCTATGCTTGCGCCTTCTCATTGCCAGGAGTACCAACTCTGGTGACGCACGCATGACATCTGTGCGACATACGTGCGTATATGCCGCGCATGAAGCTCAGGAAAAGTTCCAGGATACGACAGAGAGGGCTCCCGCCCTTGCAAGCTGTGGTGCAGGCATCGCAGGATGGGCACCGGGAAATGTATCGTAACGTATCGAGGTTTACGGACAGCGTTCGCGATGAAAGTGGCAGTGTGGGTCTTGTTCGCGGCAGTGATTTCGACCTTGGCCTCGCTGGGGCAGGCGGCAAGTCCGGTCGTCGAGCAGTGCAAGTCGGTCGTGAGCGAAACCCGGGACTATGAGACGAATCCTGGGAAGGTATTCAGCTCGAAAAAGGTCACGTGGACGCACCAAGAACGCCTGGCCGTGGTCATCCCCATGGCTCCAGCACAGGTGCGGACGTGGAGGGTGTTTTGCAACCCCCCTCGCTGCGTGCGCAGCCACGACGGGCGGCTGTGTGCAGGGGTCTCCGTGATTCCTGGCAGATGGCCCCTTGCGCCTCGACCCGCAGGTGTCGCGCTATGAGACCCTGATGAGGAGCTTCCAGGAGGTGTCTCCGTGCGACGAGAAGGTCCCGGAGATCGACTTTGTGATCGCCATCAGCGGGGAGGGCTCGGACAAGGTGGACCAGAGCGCGTTGCTGAAGTGGGAGGTCATCGAGCGGTGCTTCGGGAAGGGGTTCGTGTACGTCATCGACATCCCACCGCAGTTCGACGACCGCACGACGGCGTCCACGTACGTTTTCTGGCACCTCTTCGACGCGTTCGAGGAGATGGGCTACGGGCACTCGTTCCAGATCGAGCCGGACGTGACGCCGGTGCGTCCCGGCTGGGTCCACGCACTGAAGGACAAGATGGAGAAGAACGCATGCTGCGGAGACTTCTGGCAGAGCGGCAGCGTGTCCGTGTGTTCGCCGACGTACGGCGACATCGCGAACCGCCAGGATTTCCACGTCAACGGCAACGCGATGTACTGCGTCGGCGACCCTGCCTTCGCGGAGTTCCGCGACCGCACGCGCCTGTATTACCACGAAGAAAAGATCAACCTGTCGGTCGCGGGCGCGGCGACCGGCAACACGCATGAGGACGGCTTCGACCACGCCATGTACCGCTTCCGCACGCACCCCGACAACTACGAATACGGGTCGCGCGTGCTGGACAAGTTCCACGTGGACTTCTTGCTGCTGAACAGATGCGAGGAAGAGTTCAACCCCGGGGAAGTCCGCGCGCAGCACCTCGACACCTACCTCGTCCATTCGAAATGGCACTTTTTGTCCCCCGTCGAGCAGTTCGTGCGGAAAACGTTCCAGACGACCTTCGGCGTCGCACCCATCTCGTGGGAGCTGGCCAAGATCGTCGACATGGTGAGGAGCGCGTGGGAGGCGGGCTTGCCGTTTCCGAAATCCAAGTTGGGCGACGAGGTGTGCAGGCGGGACAAGTTCGACATCGCCCCGGAGCGCCACGAACAGCTGTGCAAGTGGGAAACGCGGTTCGGCGATCGGGTGTACTTGTGGAACGTGGACCTGCACGCTGGGCCGATCGCATGCAACATGGACCTGTTCTACGACATTGGCGTCGAAGTGCATGCCGAAAACGACTTCGGGAACTGCATCTCATTCAACACGTGCAAGGACCGCCTCAAGGTGTTGCAGTTCGACGACTGGCGCGGGTTCTCGCTCGATCCGGACCCCGAGAAGCTGCGCCGTGACTTCTTCGAGGCGTACCGGGACGACCCTGAGATGCAGCGGGTGGACATGGTCATCTGCAGCCACCCCGCGGCGAACTGCGAGCTCTTCCTTCCGCTCAACAAGCCGATGATCATCTACCCCACGACGCGTCTCGAGTTCGGTCGCAACGACGAGGTCGTTGAGTGGCGCAAGCCGTACATTTCCGACAACAGCCCGCGCCGCTGGAAGCAATGGGTCGCCAACATACAGACCATGGCTGAGGACCCGAAGCACATCTTTGCGGCGAACAACCTCTTCGACGCTGCCTACCTTCAGTACCACACGGGCGTCAAGGCGCTGACCCTGCCGTCGTGGTGCGGGTCGCACATCAAGGCCAAGTGGGACCCGGACCTGCGCCTGCCCATCCTGATTGGGCCGTACCGCGACAACCTGGACTTTCCCCAGTTCCGCAAGGACGAGACCTGGGCGCACCCGATCATGGAGGGCCTGAAACATGCCCTGGACGCCCACAACGCGAAGAGCAGCGGCAGCGCGCGAGTCATGGAGCGCATCCGCGACCTGTACGACACGTTCGACTGGGCGCGGATTGCGAAGCACCCGTGCATGATCTGGATCCCCTACCAGCTGTCCGTGATGAGCTTCTTCGAGGCGTACAGGACGGGCATCCCCGTGTTTGCTCCCGCCAGGGCCCTCTTGAGGGAGTGGCACGCCAAGCACGACTTGACTTGGGAGCGCATCTACGGGTACCCGGAGCGTCTGGATGAGTCCTGGGACCTGCCGTACTCCCCGAACTCGGAGGACGACGAGTCGTTCTCCTTCTGGCTCGAGTACGCCGACTTCTACCAGATGCCGCACGTGCAGCTGTTCGAGTCCTGGGACCACCTCATGGAGCTGCTGGACACCGTGGACCTGCAGCGTGTCCACGACGACATGATGGCATACAGCGAGCGCCTCTACAGCAGCCTCAAGATGGCGTGGAAGACGCACATCAACGCCGCCCTTGCGCACGCCCCAAACAGACACGACGTCCCGCGCGAGTATCAGCGCTTCGAGGACGATGCGGCGCACAAAGCTGCCATGGAGACGTGGGAGCGCGGAGCGAAGACACACTTTGCGTGTCCCGAGGCCGCCGAGCGCAGCTGTCCCGGGATGAAATCCCCTACCTACTTTCAGGAGGCCGATCGGGTCCCGGATGCCGACGAGGATGAGGACGGGGACGCGAGCGAGCCGCGGGCCGCTTCGACGACAGCGGTACGCGAAACGCAGCCGCCCACAGAGACGGATGCCCCCGAGGCCACACAGGCGCTGGCACGAGCCACTGAGCCTCCTGGACCAGGCGAGACAGCCCGCGGTGCTGCGAGCGAGCTGGCAGCGGACCAGCAAGCTGCGGACGGAGAGCCATCGGTGACGCACGGGTCTGCTGTCGAGACAGGCGCCGCCCGGGGGCTGGGCGCGCGCACGTGGTCGGCGCTGGTGGTCATCGCCGCGGTCGTCCTGCTGCAGTCGCGCAGGGGGAGGGCTGTGCTGCGGCTGGCCCGCAGAGTGCTCGTGCGGTGCTTCCGGAGGAGGAGGGGCTCGCACCGCGCTGCATAGGACAGCGCAGGTGCACGTCGTCTGCCCCGCGATCGGGTCGGAGCTGTCACAGGCAGCGACTGCACCGGTACAGGGAGCCTGGGTGGGCTGTCCCGCGTAGTAGTAGTGACACAGTAGTCGTTCCTGCGCCATGTCGACCCCCTTGTATATGCATCGAATCACGGGCCGGCGTGGTAGTACCTCACTCCCGCCGCCGCCTGCAAGCGCGGTGCGCAAGTCTTCGCCACGGAGCGCGCGAGCCCAATCACTCCCCTCTCAATCGACGCCAATACACCCCCACTGGCACCCGCACTCCGCCGCCGCACCGACGCCCGCAGACTTCCGGCCTTCCCAGGCGCGCTCGCCCCCGCACTCCGCACGCACGACCACACTGACGCAGCCGCGAGCGCCACGGCCCCGCAGACCGCCAGCCACCCGCGCCGCACGCCGCCCTCGCCCGCCAGTGCTTGTGTGCCGCTCCCTGCCACGTGCACGTTCCCGCCCGCGTCCACGTGCGCCTCCCCCGGCACGCCCGCACCACCTGCCCAAACCTTTCGTGGCGGCTGCTGCGCGTGTACGCCAATCAAGTCCATCGCCGCCCCAGAGACTCCGTAGAAGTCGTGCAGGTAATTGAATATCGCAGTCTCGTCGAAAACCCCGGAAGCCGTGCCCAGGTGCTCGGCGTCGCGCACACGCTCGTACTCTGGCGTCCCGGGCGCCACCTTGTAGCAGACCGCGCAGTCGCTGTAGGCCGGCCAGGTGACCTTGGGGTGCGCGGGGTCGCCCGTCGCTCCGCCGCCCTCCTTCGCGAGCCGGTGATTGACCCAGTTGTGTGCGCGCCACAGCCACAGCGCCGCCTGCTGCTCCGTGTGGACGCCGCGCGTCGCCGAGTCGGACAGCTGCGTCTCGAAGTGTTGTGCGCAACCAGAGCAGCCGAAAAAGCGGCGCACGAACGCTCGCACGCCGGCCACCACCTCCTGCCCCTGGCCGTCCTTGATGTGCACCGACAGAGCGTGCAGCAGCGTCCAGAGCCCACACGTGAACCCGCGTGCGCCCTCGACCTCGCTCGCACACGCCCCCCACTCCAGCTTGCTGAACGCGTCCCCGCACGGCCGCCACGCCCGCCAAGCGCCGGTGTCTCGCAGCTCTGCGTCTCCTGCAGGCCACACGCTGTCGAGGTTGCCCAGCAGCGACCGCGCCCCCGCCGCACACTCCCGCACAGGGTGTGCGCGGGAAAGCAGGTGCAGCCACGAAACCAGCGCCTCGCGGTCCGCCGGCGACGCCGTGTGCACCGCGCTAGTCTGAATGTGTTCGAAGAGCATGATGGTTGCCGTCACGACGTCGAGGAGGTCCGCACTGACGCTCAGTGGGCGCCGCGTCCGCCCAGCGTCTGCACCGGGCGCAAGTGCTGCGCCGGACCCCTTCGCGGCGTGCTCGCTGCCTTCTTCGGTGCCGGAATCGCCGTTGCTGGGCGGCAGAGTCTCGCCGATCTTCTTGGAAGCGAGGTAGTCGACGGCAGGCGCGGAGGAGGGCCGGTTGGCCGTGAGCGCGCGGCTGACCTCGGCGACGATGCCCTCCGTCGTCCGGTCGTGGATCTGCAAGGACGCGAGCCGGCCCGCCTCGCGCTTGTTTGGCCACAAACAACAACAAAAGCACAGGCGTGTCGTCTCTCTCTCGAGACAGCGCGGGCGGCATGAGCGCGCATGGGACGTCCGCGGGCTCGTGCCCGAACTCGCTTTGCAGTCCGCGAGGTCGAGCACAGCGCGCTGCGCACCTTGGTCATCCCGCTGTCCTTCCTGAGCACCCGCTCGCGTGTGCCCAACACAACGTGCGGGATCGCCCGCGCGCCGAAGTCGCTGCACAGCGCGTTGGTGTCTCCGTCGGTCGCACAGTCCATGCGGGCGACGAACAGGAACGGCACAGGTCGCGGCGCCTCGCCAAAGTACCTCGCCACCTCCTCGAAGGTCGGCTTGAACTTCTGGCAGTGCGGGCACCACGACGCGTAGAACTCCACCAGCACCTGCATCGCCGGCGAGGACAGACACGCGCGACGAATTAGGCCTGTATTCGAAGGAACAGGGCCGCTGGGACGAGCGTAGGAAGCTGACCGTCAGTGACGCACCAGACCGGCCGCGGGGACGCTCGAGATGATGCGCTCCCAGTTGTCGGCGCTCAGGTCAACGGGGTACGCGACGGACTTGGTGATGTCCTGCGCCGGCGCCGCCGCGCGCTTCTGCTGCGCGAGACGCCGCGCCGGGAAGGGTCGCGGCTTCGCGTCGTCACGAGATTGGCCGAAGTCGCTCGATCCGACGTTCGCTGCATCGAGTAGCTTCGTATCTTCCGTTTCGGGCCCGGACATCCAGTCCATGCGAGTCAACCTGAGATCAGCGCGACGCTGGAGGGCCCTGGAGTGAGCGCGCCCGTCCGGGTGCGGGCCCACCGCTTCATGCGGCAAACCGTGCCCGTGGACTTCGAGGTTGCGACGTACCTCGCCGCAGCGAGCGATCGGAGCCCGCTCTCCTCGGCCGCGGCCGCCAGGCGAGGACCCGGCGCGTCTCGTTGAGCGCGCGAGCCCAGCGCAGCGTCCTGGCCGGCCGCCGTCGCTAAGCACGTCAACGCGGCGAAGAGAAGGATCCACATCAGAGCGGTCATCCTCTTCGCAGCCCCTTGCCTTTCCCCCTGACCGTCAGTGACGGAGCGCGGCTGCCACTCCCGTTCCCGGCGCTGTTTCCCGCACAAACCTCAAGTTGCGCGACGGGCCTGACAGCGAGTGGAGCGCCCGGGGGGCGGACTGACTGGCTCCGCACGCCAGTCCGGTATCCCGCACTCGCGTACAACAACGCGTTTGCCGGCCCTGCGCCCGCCTCGCATCCGCGACTTGTGCACAGGGCGGGGCGCTCAAGCAGCTCGCGAGGAGCATCCGCGTGGCGGTCGCGTCCGCGCCAAGTTGTCGCGCGGGGCGTCACAGTGCGCCCTTCAGCGTGTCGTACATCACGAACCCCACAGCGGTGGACGGCACCACCTTGACGAGGTTTATACTCATCCCCGAAAACAACCCCCCCCACCCGTGCGCCTGCACTATCCGCCGCAGCCCGTCGCCCACGCCCCTGTACGGCTCCTCGGCGCTCACCCACGCCGCGCGCATCCGCCCGTGAAAACGCTGCATCTCCTCCGCCTCCGTTCCCTGCACACCGCAGCCCCCCATGTTGCGTGCCAACTCTCTCGTGATCAAACCGGGTTCAAGTTCCCCAAGCGCGCATCGATGCCATCCAAGCGAGTTCGCCCGCGCCGTCGGGCGTGCCAGGCTCGTGCCTGACGGTCCTCACCTGGACCTGCATCCGTCGCCTGACCACGTCTAGCGGGTACGTCGCGGTCTGGCCGACCAGGCCCGCCACGGCGCCCGAGAGCAGCGCCCACCACACCTGCGGGGCGCCGGAGCTCGCTGCGTCCGGCGGGTGCCGTTTCATACCCTCGTAGATGAGGAACTTGAGCCCGGCATAGGGTATGATTCCTAGAAGGGTTGGCCACACCCCCCTGCGAGCACGGGGCGCGGAGGAGGTCGGACGGCTGCGTGCTCGGATCTCGCGCCGTTTCCGTCCCGCGGGAGGCGTGGGGCTGGCGTGGGTGAGTGTCGGGAGGGGGCGGGCGGTACAGGGCGCGGCAGCGCGGAGCGGGAGACGAAACGTGGTGATGCGTGGCACCGTGCAGGGCACCGTCGCGTGCTCGGCGAGTTCGCACGCGAAACCACTTTGAGACACGTTTGAGCTGCAGGTCAGGCGGTACCTGTACAGGCCTCGCGCACCATCCTCCCGCACCGCCTGTCCGATGAGCCCGCGGATGGTGTACTGCGCCCCGCGCGCCGCCCCACGAGCGTCGGGGGCGGGCCGCGCCCCGCCTGACGCCTCCGCGCCGCGCCCTGCCTGCGGGGGGGTGTGTTCGATCATGTACGCCAGCCGCGTGCGCGTGACGTCGAGCGGGTACGTCCCGATCACTGCCGTGGCGCCGGCGCCGGCGCCCGCGACGAAGTCAGCGACAGACCGAAACGCAGCGTCCGCGGCGCCAGGCGGCTGCCCTGCGTGCGGCGCGGCGCCAGTAGCGCGGTCCCTGGCGGCGTACATGCCGCGACGGAGGGCCTCGAAAGCGCCGAAGTGGATCGCGCTGTACGGGGCGATGCGAGCCACGCCCGCCAGGTTGCCCTGCAGGTCCAGGGTAGGTCGAGCCCAGCGTTGCGCACCACGCACGCGCGCACGGACGAGGCGCGGGCAAGGCACGGGCGAGGCAGCGCGTGTCGCGGTCAGGGCGATGTTGGCCGGCACACGGGGACGGGCCGTCGACTGGCGCGGTGCTGGGCCACGGGCCTGCTTCGACGTGGTCGGCTCCGTCGCGCGTCTCCGCGCACGATTCTCACGCGTTGCGGCAGCTGCATGTTTCCTCACTTTGACGCAGGTGCAGCCGCGCGGCGCGGCGCTCGCGAGAGGCGTCGCAAAGGGCCCAAGCGGGCACGTCCTCAGCGCCCGGGCGTGCTCACCTTGAAGAGGCCCCTGAACCCCTCCGTGCGCACGATCTGGGCGAGGGCCTGCGGTATGGTCTGGGTCGTGAATCTGCCGGTCTGGTAGAGGATCTTCACGCGCTCGAGCGGCGCGATGAACGTCTTGCCCAGAGCCCCTGCGCGGCACAAACCCGTGCATGCCTCCGCTCGACCTTCCCGCCGTCAGGATGATGTCCGCGCGGCCCATCGGCATGCACACGCTACGGCGAGTCGATCGCACGCTCCGAGCGCCCGCCAGCTTCGCGGTGCGGCCTGCGCGCGCGACTGTGACCCTGGAACACACCGCCGCGGCGCACCTGTGAGCGCGCCGGACGTGAACTCGCGCGCCATCTTCCCGCTGCGGTGTGGCGATGTGCCCGAAGACGACGCGCCCTCCACGGCGCGTCCCGAGCGGCCACGAGTGCTGTCGCCCATCGCCAACGACCCCAGCATCCGCCGCGCTGCCCACGCAGCTCCGGCGACTCCCTCTGCACAGCTGCAGCGCCTGCGCGCACCGTTCGTGCGACTGGCGCGGCTGGTGCCTCCGCGACGGCCCTTGGATCGTCCAGGGCGCCAGCCGGGCAGCCCGGGGCTTGACGACGCATCGAGGCCGTTGCGACTGACCTAGACACGGCCGAGCGCCTGTCAGCGCTCAGGCCGGCGCGGGGGCTCGTGGCGGCCTTGGACGCCTGCCGCGAGCCATATGTGTTGCTAGACGTCGCGTTTGTCCTCCCGAACCGCGGTTGTCGAACGCACGGACTGGGAACATTGTGCCCACAGGCTGGTCGCAGAGTCGCGGCGAGAGACCCCGGACGAGGCCGTCGCGTCGTGCGGACTAGCAGATCGGTGCAGGGGCCGCCGAGCCGAGAAGAGGAGGTTGTCCGAGCGCAGGGCGCTGCCGGATGCAAAGGTCGTCGGAGGTACATCGCGCGCGGTAACGAAGCGCTCGCGGCGGAGCCTGGCGGGCCGAGGGACGGCCAGCGGTGCGAGCAATTGCACCCTGGCTGGGCGGCCGGCTGCAGCGCGCTTTGCGACAGCTGGCGAAGCTCGCTTGCCTGGGGACGATGAAGGAGCAGAGACCTTCCGTTGGGTCGAGGAGAGCGAGCCTGCCAACACGGAGGTCAAGTACAGAGACGTCGTCGTTCTCGCGCCCGACAGTCGTCGTCAAGACGCACGAGAGCGCGATATGGGAGCTCTTGCAAAGGCAAGTGAACTGCTTTGACGGCGAAAGCCGTGACGTTCCTGCGGGTGTATTCCGCCATCGGCATAGGGCATTCGATCAAACTATTCCTCATCCCGGCACCGTCGCACGTTCGCGCGTGGGAAACCTCTGTTCCGACCGGGCGGGAAACGCACGGACTTGCGTCCGTACGCGCTCGCCAGCGCGCTCCGCCGGGCGCACGCGCGGCCGCGCAGTCAGCATACTCTGAAGACCCGCCGTCCGCGCGCATCTCGCTGCAGGGTGGTCGTGGAGGTCCGGATGCACGGCTTCAGCCGTCTCCTCCTTGCTGACGAAGCGTGCATCTTCCTCCTCAGGCTCACGCAAGGCATCACCGGCGCACTGGTCCTCCAGCTCCAGCATGTCCAGGGCAGCGATGCGGCGAACCGCGGGGCAGCCACCGCGGCGCCGTGGACGGCGAACGCGGACCTGGTCAACCTACCAGAGGCCCTCGGCGCAGCCGCGGCCTTCCGCGCGCTTCCAACCGCGACAGTCCTCGCAGGGCTCTTCACGCTCCTCCCACTGTTCGCCCGATCGCTGTTTCCCGGCCACCTGACCGCGGCCCGCGACGTCGCGGCGTGGAGCAAGCGCGCTGGCGCACTGTCCACGCAGGCCACGCTGCTCACGGCTGTCCTGTTCCTGGCCTCGGCGCACCGACCCGGCTGGACCATCGTCGGACTGCTCACGGCCTTGTGCTGCGCGCTGATCTGCGCAGCGGAAGTCGCGATTTGGACGACATTCGGTGTCCACCCCACTGCAACCGTCAACCCTGGAGCCAACGCCGTGCACACGCTTCTCGACTCCCCGATCGCCAAGGTGTACGGCGCGGTGGGCCTGCCGTGGGCTACGGCTGCGCTGTTCGAGGTCGCGCTCAACGGCGGGCACCTGCTCCGGCTCGCGACGCACGTCGTCGGCGCGCTGCTGTGCCTGGCCGGTACCGCCACCACGCACGAGCTCCTGACGAGCCTCTGCGGCACGGATCGGCAGAGCAGGCGCAAGCTGCGCCCGTCGCAGACCGGCGGCGGCGGCGGGCGGGATGACAGTTCTGCTGACCTCTACAGCCCGGTCTCTGCGGCCTCGCCCGGCCCGGCGACGTCGCGCGAGTGCCTGCGGACGATGAGCCGCGGCAACTTGATGGTTGCGCCGGCGCTTCCGAGCCCCCTCCAAGCCTACATGCAGCGGCATCTCTGCGTGCACGTCAGCGAGGGCGTCGCGTGCGTCGCTCTTCTGTCGTGCTCCGCGCTGCTTCTCGTCGCGGCGGCCGCGTCATCGATCGCCGCCACCGCGGCTGGCAGCACCACGGTTCAAATGCCGACCGCGGTGCTGGTGCTCTTCCTGGCTACGCTGCTGCCGGGGCTCCACATGGCCTCGCGGCTCATGTCCGACACCCGCGACAAGGTCCTGTGCAACATCATGCCGCGCCACGTCATGGACGAGCTCCTCGCGCAGGCCGCGGCCGCCCCTCTGCAGCGCCACCTCGGGGAAGTTGGACTGGACGCGAGTCTGCCGTCGCCAGGGCACGGCTTCCGTCGCTTCACGTCGAACTGGGACGTCGGGGCCTCGCGGATGTCGTCGAACTTCGAGGGCTCGAACCCCTCCGGGCCGCCTCAAGGCCCCTTGTCTTCCACGGGAAAGGTCTTGTCTGCGCTCGGCTCGCTCGCGGCCGATGCGAGGCTCCGGCGGACAAGCATCGGTCTGGACAGGCCCGCGAGCATGTCGACACAGCGATCCACCGGGCTGTCGCGCGCGGAGAGCGCCCGGCGCGGGGCCGGGTTTCTGCGCTCGTCGCTGGATGGCGCACCGCACTTCCCGAGCCCGCGCGACGCCTGGGGCGCGCGTCCGCGGCAGTCGAGCGAGATCATCGAGCGCGTGTCCGCGCAAGATCTCTCCGCGGCGCACAGCGAGGCCGCGGAATCCAGCTCGTCCCGCCGTGCGCCTGGCAGGAGTCCTGGCAGCGCGCCGCCGCGCCGGCCGCCGCGGCTGAGGCTCGACAGCAAGTGCACGGGTCTGCGGCCGCGGCCGATCCCGGAGGACCAGTCGTACAAGTCTCCGCTGCCACAGGCTTTGTTCGGGGGCACCAACGGGGTGCTGCTTCTTTCCAACGCTGCTTCGGGGCATCAGGAGTGCGCGGCGCGGCCGACGACCGGGCTCTTGGCGGAACAGGAGAACGACACGGCACAGATGGTGCGTGGCGTGGAGAGGATCAGCGAGGAGCGGCTGGGCAGGCTGAGCGAGTCACCGACCGGGCCCACACGGGCGGGCACACATGCGGGTGAGCGTCCCACCCCCTTCTTTTTGCGGCGGCCCACGCGATTCTGCCCCACTGTATCAGCGCAAACTCAATTGACTGTTTCGAAAGTCACTTTCCTGAATTATAGTTTCCTCTCCTCCCCTGACCGGCCCGGCCTGCTCTCCTCACGTCGACCTCCAGGGCAACTTGTTGCGAGCGTGACCGAGGTCGACAACAGCTTCTCGACGCCCGCAAGCTCGACGAAGCAGCCGCGCAGCATATCGTCAACCATCCTTGGCGCCCTGCGCTCCATTGCCTCGCCCCGCGCGAAGAAGCGTCCCTCTCCTTTTCGGAGAATGTCCACCCGGGCGCGATCCACGGAAATCGTGCCGACGCCTGGGGATGAACGCCCGAACGTCGAAGCGGGCCAGGGGCAGGATGGGCACTGCCGACTGCGGCAGCTGGCGAGAACCAGCGAGCCGAGCCGCCTTGCGGAGGACTCGCCGCGCGAGCAGATCGAGACAGCGCTCGCGGACAGCCGCGGGGCTACGCGCACAACTGGTGGCCTGAGTCCGAGCCACGCTAGGAAGGATTCCACTTCCAAGGACCACGCCGCAAACGACGCGCGGGATTTCCTGCTGAACCAGGACCTGAACGCGGAAGGTACGGCTCGCACCGCCGCCGTCGACGCTTGCAGTGTTGCATTCCTGGCAGCTGTTCATTACCCACAGCTCACGGCAGACTCCCAGCTGCCACGGTTGTCAGTCAGTTCCTGTGCCCTTTGCGACCGGGTCTGCTGACGTGGGATCCACTGCAACTCGTGCAGGCGGCGAGGCATGCGAGGAGGTGGTTCGAACCTGGTATCGGCAGCTCCAGCACGAGCTCGAGTCGTCCGACCATGACGTCCTCCTCGACTCCCACGACGAGCGCGTCACGCAGCGCCCCGACACTGTGCGTTGGCTAAGCGACCGCACCGTCCTCCTCAGCGAGACTGTCAACAGTCGGGGGCTGCGCACCTCGGATGCTACCACAGCCGAGGTGTGGCGCGTCACGGCAGACGATGTCGACCCGCAGGACCAGGACGCCCTCGTGCAATTTGAGCACATGCCGCGGTACGTGCGGGGCCCCGAGCGCCCTCTGTGCTACATGGAGTTCCAAGACACAACCGTGGTGTTCTCTGACATCGTCGGTTATACCCAGATGTCGTCGAGCCTGCACCCCGGGGATGTGCTGGCGACGCTGAACAAGTACTTCGAGCGCCTCGACCAGATGGTTCGCGTCCTGGGGGTGTACAAGTACGAGACAGTCGGGGATGCCTACGTGGCAGTCATCAACATGGAACAAAGCGGGGGCGACAGCGGGGACCGCGCGAACGCCATGATGGACCACGCGCTGACCGCGTTCTCCTTTGCCGAGAGCATCTTCCACGCCGCGGCGACCGTGCTGGTGCCGGGCGGCAACGGTGCACATCTGAGGGTAAGCAACAAGAACTCAGAGAGAACACCCATGTCTTCCTCGCGCTCTCGATCGTGCTGCAACTTGCTCGTGAATCTGCAGCGGCGGTCGATGCCATCCCACAGCGACAATCGCAAGTCGGAACCTCAGGGATGTGGGGTACATTTGTGGCCAAATGGAACCTGTGCTCGCCTCCGGACGGCACATCGGCGCACCATGACGCCATACAGGCTGTTGCCGTGCCACATTCACCGCGCCCCTGACTCAGCGCCCCCCCCCCGGCGACCCTGCAGGCTCGTGTTGGCATCCACACGGGGCCGCTTGCCGGCGCGGTCCTGGGCGACGTCCGCACGCTCTTCACGCTCGTCGGGGACACGCTCAACACCGCGTCGCGCATGGAGTCGGCTAGTGAGGCCGGGTGCATCAAAATGAGTCATGCCACATGGTCCCTACTTCCCCCCGAGATCCAGACTTGCTGCGAACACCAGCGGGAGCACATCAAGGGCAAGGGCGTGATGGACACGTACCTCGCCCGCGTCATGCCGGCGTCCGCCACGCCGTCACAGAGCGAGCTTATCGACCCCAAATCTGTCCAGCAGCCGGAGGTCGCCAGGGCGAGCGGTGGCGACGCGACGCCGGTGCAGCTCAAGGCTCGCAGCGACTCGCTGAAGTTCCTGAAGGACGACGGGTTGCCGCCCGTGAGCCCGCAGAAGCCGGCGGGGCGTGTCCATCCCTTAGCAGGCCAGCAGTCGTTCCGGAGGCGGCATTCGACGGAGGTTGCACCCTGCACGCCGACCGTCAAGGACCAGGCGCTGCTGTCGAGCGTCGGGTACCAGAGCCCTGTCACGCTGGACTCGGGGCGGGGCCGCGACAGCTCCGGCTCGAACCCGTTTGTCATACGCGGGCGCCTCGCACGGGGCAAAACGACGCTGAAGGAGCAGCTGGAGAAGCAGGTGTCACAGCGGTCGAACTCGGCGGTCAGCGGGGCGCTCGTGCGGCTGATGCAGCGCGAGAAGGCTGGGCAGAGCAACCTCGCCACACCATGAGGCAGCACCAGCAGCACTGTGTGGGCCAGACGGAGACGGCCGTCTCCGCGATGCCTTGCCCGCCGGTGCGCAGATATATCGGAGACAGCCAGCCAGGAACCTCACCACGCCCCCTCCATCCCACCGAACCCCCCGTTCCCCCCACCGAATGCCCTCACAACAGAATCGGTCAGATATTGCGACGGACGGATCTGTCCAGGGCATCTCCTCGGTGCTTCTCCACACCCACTTTCCCTCCCCCACACTCGAATGCCAGCTGTCCGTCCACATGATTCATGGCAATGCCGTAGCGTGGACGAAATACTCTCCGGCCCCTCCCCGGATTCCCACCGGGCTCTCGCGCGTTGGTGCCTTCAAGAACGAAGTTTGAACGCCCTTGTCCTCTTTCGTGTCCCCGGCTTTGATTCCCAAAGAAGAACGGAGTTGGAACACGGAGCAGCAAGTGTACGACGTGCGCGACACGTACTTTGGGCGACACGTACATTTCAACAGAATACATAACAGATACAGAAACAATGAAAATACAGCTCTCGAGTCAGGAACTCGGAATCGCCCTCAGTTTTCCCTTCCCTTCGTTGTCGCGGTAAGAATGCCCGTCTGTCGCAGCTGAAACAAAACCTTCACTGCGAACGGAACTTCGGCACCCGCCCAGCCCTCCCCCTCGCCTGTTTCGCGCTTGCGCCGAGCGCTGCAGCTGCCCCCCTACACAGAGTAATTGATCGCCGATCCCACACGTCTTGCGCGCTTGCACCCACGGCGGACACGATGAAGCAAGCACGTCCGCGCGCCGCCCTTCCCTTTCCCGGCACGGGCTAAGCGTGCCGCGCACAGTGCCTCCGCATCGACCTGCGCAGGGCGCACGCTACCTCTCTAGCTCGCTCATTCCTGACAGTTTTCCATCGCCCCTGCGACGCCACCTTTCGTCCCCCCCGCCATCTTGACGGCGTCGCCCTTCAACCTCGTCTACCTCTGATTCAGGCGTCAGGAGCGCCTGTTTGCAACTGTGATGCGAATTTGCGTCGCCGCTGGCCTGTCGCGCCCCCACCGGCCAGGCGCAGGCAGCATCGCTGCAGCAGGCGTCGGTGTCGGGCGCGCTCTGCTCCGCATGTGCTGGTAGAAGGAGTGCCTAGTGTCGCACTCCTGTTGGCCATGCGCGTATTCCGTGGCCGCTAGACCGAGGTATGATCCCTTTTCGCATGACAGGCCACGCGCGGGGACGGCGATGACGAGGAGAGCTGAGTAGCCGTCGGCGCGTCGCCACACAACGCGGACAATGCCGCAGACTCAGTCACCGCTGTCACCCAGCCGGCTGCCGACACCCCCTGGTACAAGCAGCCTAGGACGTGGACCAGCACTTCGGCGCGTCGGCTGGCGGGCGTCGTCCAGTACTCGCGCGGCTCGCCGCGTTGTTGCTGACGACGCCCGCCACTCCCTCTAACTGATTGCAGGTCAGAGCCTTCCCTTGGCACATGATGGCACGCTCACATGGCATTTCGCGCGAGTACTCCTAGCACGCTGCCGCCTTGATCAGGACGATAGCACACCCGCATTTCGTTTCGTGCGCGGGTGGTCAATTACTACTCTGTGTCGCGTTCGTCTGTCGTCGTGCAGGTGTGTGGCATGAGTGCCCTGCTTTCTACCCTGCTTTGCCATGAAACCCTCGTCCGCCGTGCTATTTGGGTCTTCGAGCCGTTGCAGTGAGGATGGCCTTATAGGTCAGTGAACACCAAAGGATGCTGCGTCCTTTGCTGCAGCGGCGCATGCTGCATGCCGCAAGGGAGACACGGCGGCATGCGGGTGCATGAATGATACCTCTTGCGATCTCTCGAGCTATCAGTGACACAGATGCGCACAGACGGGTGTCCAGGCTGGCATCGAAGGACGATTCGCAATCTGCTGCCATGCCGCAATGTTGCCCTTGTTCTGGTGTTTGCCCCGATGCGTTCTGTCTTGTCGCATACGTCTTGCACGTCACAGACCTGCGGCATCACCTACTGGTGGTACTGTTCCTCGTCGTCGTCCATCTGCCCGTCGTGCAAGTCCGCTTTGAACGCCCCTGTCTGGGACCCCTGGAACCGCACACTCTCCGCCCGCCACGGCCGCCCCGACGCAGAGTGGTCTTCATGCGGCATGCCTCCTGGATTGGACACGGACGGATTGTCGCTGTGGTCGCCGCCGATCGACCGCCCGTGCACGCGCATCGGCCCACTGAAGCTCCCCTGCTTGCGAATGGCCGCTCGACGCGCCCCGCGGCCCGCGCCGCTCTCCGCTCCGCTGGCCTCCGGCGACGCAGTGCGCAACGCTACCGCAGAGAACCGCGCGGCGATGTCCTCCCTGGCCGCCTCCGTTGCGCCGCCTTCGAACCCACTCGCACCCAGCGGGGGACGGAACGCACCCACGGGGGGGACAGGCGGGGAACTGCCCCTCTCAACGGCGGACCGCGTGTGCGGGCCGGTCTTCGCAGGCCCCAGCGGAGGGAGCAGGTCGCTCGCTTTTCCGCCCGATTTCGGTGCGGGGGAGCCGCTGCGTGCCGGCGTGTTCCCGCCGCCTAGCCTCGGCGCTGCTGCTGCGAACGTCGGTGACGCCGCGTCGTGGCTGCCCCTCGACGCATGCGAGGCAGGCAGCGGCGCGCCGCCGAACGCGACGTGCTCCGACCCGCTCCCGGTGCCAACCTCGCTCGACACGTCCCCATCCAGACCCCCACCCCCGCCGGGGGCAGTGTGCTTGCTCGGTCCCGGTCCCCCGAAGAGCATCACTGCCGCGTTCTGCACGTGCTCCGAGCTCTCGGGGCTCTCCGGCGCCCCGGGCCCGTCCCCGCCCTGCACAGGCACCGCATACACCATGGTGTGGCGCCCGCCCGCCGCGATGGAGATGACGCGCCAGCTGAGGTTGCCCCCGGGCAGCTCGACCTCCGTGGGGGAGATGCGGTCCCGCGGCCCGCTGCCGCGCCCGCCGTCAGCGCCCACGCCCAGCCGGCCGTACTGCCCCCGCCCCCAGATGAACACCCTCCCTGACTCAGTGAGGACCGCCGAGTGAGAGCCCCCCAGAGCAGCCTGAACGACGACGTGGCCCTGGAGCGCCTCGACCGCGACGGGCCTCAGCTTCGTGCTGCCGGCCCTGTCACCGATGCCCAGGCGCCCGTACTCCCCCCGGCCCCAAACCATCAACTCCCCCCCCTCCAGGATCGCGGCCGAGTGCCAGCCCCCCGCCGCGACGTCGACGACGCGGTGGCCCTCGAGCGTCGACACGATCTCCGGCACCGGCACCGACGGCGCTGCGCCCACGCCGAGCTGCCCGTAGTCGTTGGTGCCCCACGACAGCACTCGTCCGTCGCCCGTGAGCGCCAAGTTGTGGAAGGCGCCGCACGCGATTTTCGTGACGGCCTCGGGGCCGGGATCTGGGAGGCCGGAGAGCTTCCGGGGAGCCTGGTCGACGTTGAGGCTAAAGTCCCCCCATGGCTCCCCCCACTGCAAAATCTCGCCCGACTCGAGCAGGGCGAGCGAGTGCATGCCGCCTGCAGCGACCATGCGGACCTTCGGTAAGTCCGGCAGGCACCTGCGAAGAGCACGGGCGGCGCGACCTGGTAACTCGTCAGGCACCGAAACCATCATGTCTCGAATCTACTTGCCGCGGGAAGGCGCGGCTCGACCGGACCTCGTTGGGACGGGCACGTCGCGCTTGTGCGTGCGGTAGCCGCACTGCGCGTACTCGTTGCCCCCCCACGTCCACAGTCCGCCCTGGCTGTCCAGGGCGATGCAGTGCCACCCTCCCAGCGCCGCTTGCGTGATCTGCACCCCCTCCGGCAGGTGCACGCGCCGCGGCTTCTCCACCGTCTGCACGACACGCTACGCACGGCGCACGAGCGTCTCGCACGCGCCGCTCGCCGTTCAGCACGCGTGGCGTCCCGCAGGTCACCAAACGAGGCGTGAGGGTATTTCTGGGGAAGGCAACGGCGGCAGCATCCGGGTCGCCAGGGCATGGCGGCTGCGACCGCAATGGTCGCCTACCGCCCAAGCGGCGCCTGACACCTGCCGCGCGCTCGCATCAAGACACCCCACCCCCCCGAGGAGAACGTCAGCCTGGCGTGGGCCGCCGCGGTGCTGGGCGGGCGGACGCCCTCCCCTCACCTGCTGCTGGTGGCCCTGTCCGCACGTGCCACGGGCGTTCCAGCCCCACATGAGCACGTTGCCCGCCTGGTCGATGGCGAGGGAGTTGCGACTGCCAGCCACGATGGGAATGCGGATGAATCCGCGACCCTGGAGGCGACGTCCGAGGAGCGCGTCGACCACCTGGGGACTGACGTGGTCGTCGCGGCTGTGCAGGCCCTGCGCGCGGGGGGCCGCGGGCGGCGTCGGCAAGAGCGCAAGAGGTGACCGTCGCGGGCGTGGCGCTGAGGAGTGCCGAGGTGTGCTCGAGGGCCACTGAACGCACAGACTGCGATCTGAGGCGCGCGGCCGAGGGCTACGTCGCGAGGTTCAGCCCACGACACGGGCGCACGCGGCACTTGTTGACGGGGCAGGGAGGAGCTTGGCGGGCGCGGGGCGCGGGAGCTGCGAAGGGCCCTCACCAGCTGTGCGTCTTCGTTGGTGCCCCACCCGAAGATCACCGCTTCGATTGGCGGACTGGACACGTATCCAGGTGGATTCTGGTGCCATGACCCACCATTGCGCAGCCCCGACGCCCACACGTCCAGAACGGTCATTATTCAGTCTCCGGCAAACGTTTCGGCACAGTGTCCGACTAGCGCGCCGGGCACACTCGGACGCACCGACTCGCGCCGCGTCAAGCAGCACCTCACTGCCGGCGGCGCACGCTTGGGTCGATGCCCGGCTGAGGGCCAGGCCGCTTACCGGGACAGCCGAACGGGCGCGCGGCCGGCTGGCGACGTCACGCTTCTGCTTGCGAGAGGCGCGCCCAGGACGCGCTGAGCGCGCACCTGCGGGGCCCGGCCGAGGTGCGCTGCCCTGTTGTACCACAGGGGCTCTCCCGGGGGTGTCTGGTGACGCTCGGCGTCGCTGGACTGCCCTGGAAGGGCGAGAAAGGTCTGCGCTCACGGTCCAATGCACACTCGGCCAGGACCGGCGCCAAACGCGTCGCGCGAGCCGCTGCTGTCTCCAGGACTTGCTCGCCCGACGCAGCCCCCCGTCGCGATCCGAGCTGCTGCGATGGAGGCGATCCACAGCCGGCAGGCTTGCGTGCAGGCGAGCGGCTCGGCCCAGCGCGGCGGCCGCCGTCCCGCACCGGCGCGGCGTTCGGCACAGCACAAGGCCCGGGCTAGCTGCAGGTGAGCGGACGCAGCCCACGGGCAGACGTGACGCAATCGCGACGTCAAGTGATCGACTCCACGAGCGAAGTTTCGGTCACAACATGACCGGGAGCCGCAGCGGCCACCAGGGTCAGCAACGCCGCACCGCGACGTGCCGTGGGTGCACGCAGCCATGGAGGCGCTTGCGGGGGAATCGCTGACGCATTGTCGACGCGCACCTCACACATCGTCAGATATTCGCTGCAGCATAGCGCATTCGTCGCTCTTGCCTGCGAGCCGTCACCGAGTGCGCAGTGCCGCTCGCCCCTGTGCGAGCACAAGCCCCCTGCGCGCGTGTCGACCGCTGGCGGCGCTGCGCGGGGCGCGGTCTCGCGGGTGTAAGGATATGCGCGGTGTTCACGCATCCACGGAGCTCCCTGCGGTGTGTGTTTCCGTGCTGCGCAGGCGGCGAGGGGCGGGGTGCCTGCAGCGGGCGGCGGCCCAGGAGAACGTGAGCACGGCGCCGTCGGACACGATCGACTGGGACTCGCTCGGGTTCTCCATCACCAACGTCGCGCCCTTCATGTTCAAGGCGACGTGCCGCGTCCACGACCCCGAGGCCTGGGTCGGCGGCATCGAGCCGTACGGCCCCCTCGAGATGATGCCGAGCGCGCAAGTCCTCAATTATGGCCAGGCTATCTTCGAGGGCATGAAGGCCCAGAGGAGCCAGAAGGGCAACATCGTGCTGTTCCGACCAGAGAAGTGAGCGCGCAACCATGCCCCGCACCACGTGCCACCCCTCGCCAGCCCCGCTCGGCGCACACGCGCAGCATTCGCGTTCCGCCCCCGTCTCGAGCGGCGCAATGCCACGACACCCCAAAGTCGCCTTTTGCGGGGCCTGTCACGCCCTGACACGGTCGCGCCCGCTGCCCTGCGCCGCGGGCCGCGGCTGCTACGCGACGTACGCCTTCAACGGCGGTGGCCCGCGCGTCCCCCATCGTGCCTGTCCGACACAAGTCCCCCAACTCATCGTCGTTCCGTGGCACCGCAGGAACGCCGCGCGCATGGCGGGCGGCGCGGGGCGCATGTCGATGCAGCCCATCCCCGAGGACGTCTTCGTCTCCGCGGTCGAGTCCGTCGTCAAGGCGAACGCGGCGTTCGTGCCTCCTGCGGGGAAGGGCGCACTCTACCTGCGGCCGCTGCTCCTGGGCTCCGCGCCGATCCTGGGCCTGGGCCCGTCCGAGGAGTTCACGTTCGTGGTGTTCGCGGCGCCGGTCGGGTCGTACTTCAAGGGCGGGCAGCTCGCGCCGATCGACCTGGTGGTGGAGAGCCGGTTCCACCGCAGCGCCCCCAAGGGGATGGGGGGCACGAAGGCGGCGGGGAACTACTCGCCCGTGCTGGTGACGCAGCTGGCGGCGAAGAAGCAGGGGTACGCGGACGTGATCTACCTGGACGCGCGGCACGAGAAGTACCTGGAGGAGGTCTCTTCGTGCAACATCTTCGTGGTCAAGGGCAACACCATCAAAACGCCCCCGACGTCGGGATCGATCCTGCCCGGCGTCACGCGGGCGTCGATCTGCGAGCTCGCGAAGTCGCTCGGCTTCGAGGTGCGCGCTGCACGCGCCCACAGCCAGCATACCGGACCGCGCGGGCCGCTGCAAGGCGCGGCTAGCACGCTGACGCTGCCGCGTCACGGTCGTGGCATAGCTGCGGCGGTGGACGGGCCAATGTGCGGCGCAGCGTCCTTGTGTGCAATGCCCCACAGCACCACCCGCGCACTTGCAGGTATTGGAGGAGGCCGTGTCGATCGACGAGGCCCTGGACGCGGACGAGATCTTCACGACGGGCACGGCCGTGGTGGTGAGCTCCGTGGGGAGTATCACGCACGAGGGGAACAAGGTGGAGTATTGCGACGGCAAGGTCGGCCCCGTCACGATGCAGATGTACGACCGGCTGACGGGGATCCAGAGCGAGCGGTACGAAGACGAGTTCGGCTGGGTCCGGTGCGTGATCGAGAACGCGTGACGCGGATGCGACCCCGCCGGCCGTGTGAAATGACAGCTCAGTGTTAGGGGTTGCCGGCGATCCGCGCCCGCTTGAAGCGCCGGCGTTGTCGCTCGCTATGGAACACGTCGGTCTGGCACGAAAGTACGGCAGGGTGCTCTGCAAAGTAGGGGCTCGTCAGCAAGGCACACTGCAGCTGACCGAAAGGATGGCAGCCGTTCGCAGCGACGCGCCTGGGTTGCGCAGCACACTTCAGCTGCCCCAAAGATTCACATACCTGGGCGTGGCGATGGTCGTTCTGCTGTCGGTTGCGCTCGTGCAAGGCGTGGAGTCTGCGCCAACGAACGCGACGGACGTTCTCGTCAACATGCAGCCGACGCTCGTACCGGGCTGCCGCTGCACCGACAAGAGCCCGGGAAAATACACGTGCGACATGAGGGCCTGGAATCATCGAAACCGTGATTCCAGTCAACGCCTGCGACCACCTCCCGTCGACACGTTTTCATGTTTTGTTTCACGAGCGCGCCCGCAGGTGCGCAGAGGAAGCGCGATACGGAAAGTGCGACGAGCCATGGATGCAGAAATCGTGGTTCTGGAACGCCGGGAGCCCCCAGTACTGCGAGGCTTCGTGCGGCGCCTGCGGCTGCTGCTCGTCCTTCGCCGCGGCTCTCGACGCTCTCACGCGTCCCGTCGATCGTCACGATCGCTCCCTAGGGCACCTTCTGGGGAGCTTCGAGGCGCTACGAGCCGCGGGATACGGCTTCCTGGCAGACGGGGGCGACGGTGCAGCTGGATGGGAGGGCACGGTGCTCCTGCCGACGAACGCTGCGTGGCGGAGGATGCTGGCGGAAAATGGACTCACGTGGGAGCAGCTGCGTGGCGCGGAGGACGGAGCAGCGCTGCGACGGATCGTTCAGGCACATGTGTTGCCAGGTGCGTTTTAAGTGACAGACGATTGCCACAACGAGGTCGACAACAACACCGTTCCGGTGTGCACAAATCGGCTATGCAATGTCATCCCAATGCTTGCAGTTGGGTCGACTGTCGACCAGCTACGCGCAATGGCCGGCTCGGATGGAGCTCGTGTTTCGACACATCTGTTCGGCTTTGCTCTGATCGTGCGGAGAGCCGACGGCGAGGAAACGAAGACGTCGTCGGGCTGGGATCGCGAAGGCGACACCGGGGCGGAGTGGCTCAGCCATGCAGCCGGCAGCGGCTTGTCTGACGTAGGCATCGAGACGCAGGCGGGCACGCGGGCACGCGTCCTGTCGCTGCCCGCGGTTCTCGGATGCCGGTCTGCTCTGCACGCTGTTGATGGCGTGCTGTGGCCCTGACCGACCGTGGCGCGCGGGACTGCCAGCCCAGCGTGCGCAGGCCGAAAGCCCTGACGCTGCATGGCCGCTGTAATGACACCATGCGAGAGCAGGGGGGCGCACGGGTGGTGGACGCGCGAGCCACCGGTCACAGGCATCGCAAAGCAACAGTAGGGAGTATAATACAATGTCTGACTCGGGCACCTTGGTCCTCCGATATATGCAGGGTCTCGAGCTAGAACAATGACACGTAGTGCATCGTCAACTTATCTTCTTGTTATGCGGAGGGCAAGAGACGTCAGTTGCACTTGCTGGTTCGGAGGAAAGCCACACAAGCGGCGTAGACACACTTTTGACGACTCCAGCCGCCCGAGTTTCTGTGACCGAATCGATCTGGTCGTTCGGGAGCGCCCCGCAAGAGCTGAGCGATCAAGCGAGCCCAGCAGTCGCAGTCTTGGGGGCAAAACGCAGGCAGGGACAAGGAGCAGCAACTCAGTCCCGCGAGTCGCTGCGTACCGAGGCAGGCGCCTGGAACGTCTGCGGCTCAGGCGCGACTCTGCTCCGCGCGCCCCCGAGCAGTGACGGCATCTTCCCACCAGGCCCCTGCGGCGCTTCCGCGTGGCTGGAGTGGGCGCCCGCCATCGCGGCGGCCCCGGCGCGCGGCGACTCCACACTGCGCCGGAATATCGTCTCCATCAGGCTCGACCGGCGCGACCCGCGCGGCGCGCCGCCGACGGACCCCACGGGGGCGGGCACCACATCGCCTGGCCGCCCGCCGCGGGACATGCGCCGCGGCCTGCCTGCGCCCCCGACATCGTCGAACTGCGCGCTCGCGCGCCCGCTCTTGCGCGTCCGCCCGTCGCGGCTGCGGCGCATCGAGCTCCTGTGCGACAGTCGCGTGCCGAGGGCCTCGTCCTCGCCGTCAAAGTTCGCCGACATCGTTGGCACGAGCATCTCGTCGCGCAGCGCCGACACAGACGCCATGAAGTTCCCCAGGCGCGACGAAACGTCCATTTGCATGGCCTCGTCGGTGATGGTGCGGCCCTGGCACGATCCCAGCTGCGATTTCAGTGTTCCAGACTCGCCGTGCATCGCCGAGCCGCGCCGAGACCGCGACATGCCGCCGTGCTCCTCGCTGGACGCTGGCCGATTCGTTACGCTGAAACGGGTGTGCTTGGACCCCTTCGACGCCGGCGCGTTGGGGTTGCGCAGTGCACTCGCAAGGCTCTCCGCGTGGCTGGGCTGAGACTGCAGCTCGGTGCCGGGCAGAAAGCCCCCCCCAGGAGCGTCGTCGTCTGCGTTGCTCACCGTGTCGGTCGTGAACCCCACCTCCCGCCGGCTCGTAGCGGCCTTGCTGTCCCCGACACCACCTGCCGCAGTCGGGCTCTGCCGGACGGGGCTGCCGGGCACCGGTACGTGCTCCTTGCCGTTGGTGCTGCGCGTCATCTCGAGGCTTGCTCCCGCGGTGGGGGGATCCAGCTTCCCGCCGGCGACGCCGTTGCCGTCGACCTGCGCCGCGGTCACTGCCGCCGCCGCGCTCGCGTCCTCCGCGATGCGCTGCGTCTCGCTGACGCGGTCCTTTTCGACAATCATCGCCCAGTGTTGGAACGACCGCTCCAGGCGGTCGAGCAGGTACGTGAGCCCGGGCGCGACGCGCGCCATCGCCGACACCCACGGCAGCAGGACGATCTGGATGAAGTCCATCTGCCCCGAGGGCACGTACTGCACGGAGCGGTCCATGATTGGCAGGACGGGCATGCCCAGCTCGCGCTCCTTGTCGCCCTGGCTGAAAAACTCCTCGAACAGCTTCGTGGTCCACTGCGTCGTGATCGACTCGGCTTTGAAGGTGTGGCCCAGGTCGGCCGTGTGCAGTATGCCCTGCATCACCAGCTGCTTGTGCTGGCGCCCGAGCGACTGCGACTGCGCGGGGCCCTGCCCGAACGGCAGCACCGGTCCGTGCTCCTCCACCACCACCTCCAGCTTGGCTATCAGGTTGAAGTGCTCCACCATGTCCGTGGCCAGTATGAGCCCTATGATGCTCTGGCGCGCCCGGGCGTACTTGGCCGGGTCCAGGTTGCCCAGCACGTTGGCGTCGGGGTGCTCCTCGAGCAGCTTGAACAGCGTGGCCGCGTGCATGTTCTCCTGCACCGACTGGTCGTTGTAGGTGATGGCCAGCTCGTCGCGCACGCCCACGAGGTACTGGTTGCTCATCCCGCGATGCCCGACGTCGTGCGCGAGCGCCGCGACCATCAGGCACAGCTTGTCGAGCTGCCCCAGCTGCTCCTGCAGCCCCGCGTCCTTCTGCAGCATGACGTACACGCTGTGCGTCACGTCGACGGCGTGCCGCCAGTTGTGGTACGGGTTGTCGATGTAGCACGCCTCGAGGAGCTCCAGGAAGCGCTCGAGCGTCGCCACGTCCGGGCGCATGTCGTCGCCGCGGTGCATGCGCGACCCCGTCTGCAGGAGGGCCATGTTGCGGAACATGCTCATCACGGACCCGAACAGCTCGTCGGACTTGAGCGACAGCGTGTCGAAGTCCTCGCTGCCCAGCGTCGGCGCGGCGTCCTTCCGGAACGACTTCTCGTAGATGCTGGCGTCGCGGAACTTGAACAGCGCCTCCGACTGCTTGCGCTCCCGCTCCGCGGCGCTCGACCCGATGTTGTTGTCGTACAGCGTGGCCCAGTTGAGCATCCCCTGGTTGATGTCGCGCGCCCCGCTGTCGATGATGCGCCGCAGCACCACTTTACCCCCCCGGTACTGTTTCGTGATGATGTACACCAGCTTCACGATCTTGTCCACGGCCTCCTCGACCGAATCCACGGGCGCCTGTCGCTCCGCAGCGTCCCCCCTGCGCCCGAGGCTCTTCCGGCCGCCGCGGCCGCTCCCGCTGGCGTTGCGCGCCGACGAGGTCTGCCCGAGGAGCTTGTGCCGGTCGACGAGGCGCCCGGCCTCGAGCACGGCACCGAGGAGCGAGATCAGCGGGCGGAGGATGGCGCGGCCCGTGAGCCCGATGATCGAGACCATGAGCAGCAGGATGTTGCCCAGAATGACCGTCTTCACGAGGGGGAACGCGACGTGCGCGTCGAAGCTGCGGGGACGGGTGGGCGGGGAGGGCGGGGCGTCAAGGACCTGCGGGCTGTTCGCGCTTCATCAGCCGATTCGTCGGCAGGAGCATGTAGAGAGGTCTTGCATGCGCTGCCCAAGGCGGGTACGCCCTCCGACACGGGGCAATTACTGCTCCGGTGACGAAGGGTCGCAGTCCCCGGGCACAGTTTCAGGACCGCCGCGCGGGCGAGGGCGACGCGAGGGCGGCCCGCCTATCGTCCCGTCTTTTTCGTGGACGCACGCGACGCGAGCAAGGACTCTCCGGGCGGCGGGGGTGTTCCGTGCCTGCTGATTTCGTCGGACGAAAACAGCGCCCTGACGCGGCCATTGTCCGAGCTGATGTACACGTAGTCGTCCGGCGGCACCAGCGCCTCGGACGGCGGCCCGAACGCCACCTCCCCATCGATCGTCACTTGCGTGAACGAAACCTCCGCCGCACCGAGCCCTTGAACGATTGCGTCGTCTGCACGCGGCGGCCGGATGGAGGGAACGATGGTGCGGCGAGGAGCCAGCGCAGCACGCGCGTGTGTGGGATGGCACTGGCAGGACGTGCTGCAAGGGCCGCGGCGCGAGCGCAGGGATCGTGGCGTGTGCGCGGCACGTCGGAGGCGGTGTGCGCCGCGACGCGTGAGGCGATGTGCGGGCGCTCGTGACCGGGGCGCAGCGCCCCCGGTCTCTCGATAGAAGCGAGCAGGAAAAGCCTCACCTAGGACTCGCAGCGCGTCGGGGCGGTTCTCGATCAGCGAGAGCCTACGGACGAAATCCGGCGCCGTGCGGGATATGACCGTCAGGCGCGGGTCGAGCTGCAGGTACGCCTGCATCAGCGACATCGCGACGGCGGCCCCCAGCGCCGTCATGTGCAGGAACGCCAGCGTCCAGAGCCGCGTGAGGTGGCCCGATGGCCCAGGCGAGGCGCCCCCGGCGGCCACGCGCGCCCTCCGAATCACGCACCACGACCGGTAGCGCCAGACGGACGCGAGGAACTTGAACACCACGGCCGGGAGCAGCAGCGCGCCTGCGGGGTCACGGCGCGGGGCGATGAGTGCGCAGGTGCAGGTGGGGGGCACGTAGGTGCGCATGGGCGGCTGGGGGCGCGGACGCACTCGTGAGGATGTTGAGGCGGATATACCGCTCGATGTCGTCCTGGGCTTGCACGGTTGTGTTCCAGCTGTTGCCGAACTCGGCCACGGGGCGCAGCGCATAGCCCAGGGCAGGGAGCAGGAAGCCCAGCGCGTCGTAGACGTACGGACCGGGCTGCTGACGGGCGCTGAAGCCCGAGAGGTACGGTATGGATCGCGAGCGGAAGCCGAGAGCGAGGTGCACGCCCGTGTCGAGGAGCATGAGGGCGCCTGCAGGCACATTGCCCGCCAAGAGGCCAGCGTCCTCGTCGCTGCTGAGGCGCGCGAACATGTCCGAGTAGTACACGAACGCGGTCGAGATGCCCTGAACGAAGAGCCACGGCAGGGACGAGACGATCTGCGGGCGCGGCGCACGGAGCGCAGAGGTGTGAGAGGCTTGCAGGGGGCCGGAGCGGGCGCCCGTGCACGGGAAGCGCGTCGCACGGTGCGAGGTGGCCGGAGCATGGGAACTCTGGCGCGTGGGGCAGCCGAGCGGGGCCGAGACTACTGCACCGCCGCAGGGGCGGAACAAAGAGAGCGCAGCAGGGGCACCTGGGGGGGGCAGGCGCCAGCCGCACGCAGCTTTCCGGACGAAAGGCGCACGCTCTGGCGAAGGATCGGTGTTTTTGAACGTTTGGGGAGCAGCAGGGCGCGAGTGAAGGAGCAGAGTGAACGGCACAGGGCGTAAATGTTCTCGCCAGGAGCAGGCCCGCGAGCGCGAGCGGTGCAGCGCACTTTCGAAGGACCGCGCGGCGAGGCAACTTGACAACATCGGCAAGAGTGCGGCCATGCGCGCTTTATCGGCCTCGAAGGCTGGAGGCCGCACACGCGCGCCCTTGGACCTGTGCAACTCTGGGGCTTCATGCCGCCGCTCGAGGCGTGCAGGCGTGGCCCCGCGGCTCGCTGGGGCAGGTGAGGAGTAAATCGAATTTCCACGCTGGCTCGAGAGGGCACTTGCCCGCTCCGCGACGACCTCCAGCTCCGTCTGCTGGACCTCCGTCGCCTCCTCGTCCGCCTTGTCCATCCGAAGCGCCCGTTGCTCTGCCATGGCGAAAGCGTGTCACCTTATCGAACGCGTCGCGGCGAAAGCTCAATTCCCGTCGCCAGCGCGCCGTGCGCCCAGAGCCTACTTGTCTCCATCACCTTGTTGTTGCTCCAGCGGCGACAACCAGTCGTCTCTCGCCTGTTCCTCCTTCGACGAAGGCGAGGTTGTGCGGCTGACGGGCGACGGACTCGCAAACAGGCGCGGATTCACATCCGCGAGGCTCAGCCTGGCTGCCTCAGGCACTGCCAGGCTCCTACCAACCTCAACCCTGCCGAAGAAGAAACTCAACCCTGACCTTGCGCGGCCCGCGGCGCAATCATATTGTTACCGACCTGACCGCTCCCAGCCTCCGCGACGGACGCGCTCGGCGCGGCCAGGGTGCCTGGCAGGCCCATGCCGCCGCTGCGTCATCGCGGCTGCTTCGCACTCGACGGTCTGAGAGATCACCGACAGCACGGAGCCGCTGCCCGGGCCCCGACGCCGCCTCTCGCGCAGAACGACGAACGCGAGGACAAGACGTCGGTCGTGCTGGGAGCGTCGTGGGCGACGCTGGAGACTGGTCACCGCCCGCCCCACGTCACCCGCTGCGCCGCTGGCTGCCCAAGGCCGAGCAGAGGCAGCATGCGGCACACGAGCCACACCGAGGCGGGCTCAGCCACCGACCACACCGCGTTCCACACTGTTCCGCCGCGGGAGCAGCCCACCAGCGTGGCCTCCATGCCGTCCTTCGATACCGACGGCAGCAGCCCCGTCATGACCAGGCCCCCCATCTGCGCGAGGCCAGGGAAGCACGAGCTCGGCTTCGGGGTCTCTGCTCGGCTCCAGACCCCTCAAGGCAACCAACCAGTCGCGATCGAGGGGGCAACGGCCGTGACCGCAGGGTGTCGCCATCGCTGGCGCGTGCCACACACCTGCAGGACCCCTCGCGACTTTCCCAGCGACACGCACTCGATGGCTGGCAGCCAGCTGCGCCCGTACGAGGTGGTTTCGGACGGGAACCTCCGCAGCGGCTTCCCGCGCCAGTGCCGCATGACGTTCTCCGCGGCGGCGTCCGCCATGAGGTCCGCCGTGAAGGCGGTTCTCGGGAAGGGGGTGTCGGCCTGGTCGCCTGCGGCGAAGATGACGGGCCCGCCTTCTTGCCTCGTCGCGGTCCGCACGACGAGGCACTCGTCCACGGGCAGGCCGCTCCACCTGCGCAGCAGCGGTGCGTCCGCAGATGAGCTGTTGGCAGCACAGCTGCGCCATGCGGTTCGAGGCATGGCAGCACAAGAGCTGGCATTCAAGAGCAGCGTGATCTGGGGGCGCGGAGGACGCGTCGCCGCGGGACGCGTGCAGCGCACGTCGCAGCTGCGCGCCCCTCGCACCTGCCTGCGTCCCTCTCGTTCGCCACTTCCACGACCCCTCCGGGCGCGACCTGCACCCGCACGCCCACGCACCGCACCACGACGTCGGCGTCCACGCGCGTGCCCGCGTCCGTCTCCAGAACACCTCCCCTCACGCCCCCCTCCACCACGCGCTGCCCCAACAGAACCCGCACCCCTCTGCGCTCCAAATGGCCCTGTGCGTACCGCCCCGCCTTCTCCGGCATGTGCTGCAGCAACCGCGCCGTCGAGCTCACGAGCGTCGTCGTCCCGGGCCGCCGGACATCGGCCAGCTCGGCCGCCAGCTCGACGCCCGTCGTGCCCCCCCCGATGATGCACACGCTCGACGCGTCCCGCAGCTCCGTGCTCCGAGCGCGCCACTCTGCCTCGCGCTGCTCGGCGCTCTGAGCCACAGGCCTGCGGCGTGCACCAGAAAGGTGGGAGATGAGTGGTGCACGGCCTGCGGTCGCCGCAAAGGAGGGAAGCGGCCTTGTTGTGTGATTGTTTTTGCGGGACGCTGGCGAGAGACGTAGGTGGAGAAAAGGCAGCCCGTGGGCACAAGCGAGAGCAGGATCTGTATGGGGGTCGCGCACGCGCCCGGTGCAGGCGGTGCGCAGTGCGTGGCAAGAGGGGGCCACGTGACAGCTCATGCTGCCAACACTGCGTGGCAAACACAGCGCTAGCGCGAGGCGCAGCGTGCCCGTGTCGCCGCGCAGCACGGCCCGCACTGCGAGATGTGTGCCCGGTTCCGAGCGCGGTGTGCACAGAGGACGCGTGGGCATCCACACCCGAGCGGGGTGGCGGGCGCAGCACGTCCACGGGGCTGGCGGAAACCCAGGCGCGCGTGCCGCGGGTCCTCGGCGGCGACGCGGCGAGTACGAGCGCGGACACGCGACGTCTGCCACGCAGCTGTACAGGTGCGTGCAGTTCTCCAGACGCGCACGCGGTGCATGCTCTCTCAAAGTGCCGCACCTGGCCTTGAGCGCGGCGTCCGGGTACTCCGACCCTGCGCAGAGGATGCAGTAGTCAAAGTCCACCTCAATGAGAGCGCCATCCTCGCCAGCTGTTCCACGTCGGACCGTTGCTGTTCCACGAGAGGTGTCGAGCGCCACCACCACCCCACGCGTGACCTGAGTGCCAGGAAGCTCGCTGTATGGAAAGACTACCTTCTTCGCGTGTTTCGGAGCAACAAGACACCTGCGGAGCGTCAAGGCAGATTCCGGGATTCCGCGCTCAACGAGTCGGGTGCACTCAGCGGCCCCGCTTCGCATCGCTACACGTGCGAATGCGCCGGGTGATCTGATTATGCTTGCCAGGCATCAGCATCGCACACAGGACGAGTTCGACCGTCCTGCGTTCCACGAGAGATGCCTCGAGCACACACAGTACTCGCCTTGGCGTGCTTGGAGTGAACTCGAAGTACTCCCTTGGCTCCACGATCGTCACGTCGCACTTTCCCTGCAGCGCCCGGAGCGCACGCAGGCCCGCGAAGCCCGCGCCGACGATCAGCACGCGCGGACGACGTGCCCCTCTGTCGCCCTGGATAGCTACCATCACCACCCGAGCACAGGCACGGCACGGCGCGAACAGTGCCACGTGGCCGCGACGGATGCGCCCTCTGTGCTGCCCCGCCCATCGCAGCACGCCGTGCCACGGGGGGGGGGAGGTCGCCAACTGACTCGAGTGTGGCCCCGCGTCGGCATCAACTCCCCCCTCCGCCCCTCCTCCCCTTTCGACCTCCAGGCCCAGGCGACGGCTCAGCATGACGTGATCGGCGTTGGCCGTCGCAGGTGAGCCCGGGAGCAGTGCCAGCGGTCTCACGAATGCACGCAGTGACGCCTATCCGCGGCGCATTGCCACCGTCAGCTGCTGTTGCCTATGGCGCTGCGCGCGAGCTGGAACCTCTTCATCAGCGGGGCGATCTCGCTCTTCCGCCGCGGCGCCGTCGCCACCGCGGTGGGGACGTTCTCCGGCTGTTCTACCCACAGCTTGTGCTTCACCCCCCCCTCCGACAGCTTCTCCGAGAGCGTCTGCAGCTGCGGCGCGCCCTTTGCCTCCAAGACCACCTGCGCCGCGCGTCACCGCGATGACGGGCTCATCACCGGCACGCAGCGACCGCCACGGGTGCCCGAGGAGCACACACACAGCATGTCGACACAAGCTCTCTGGCCTGGGCGGCTCGCGACCCTGCACGCACTGTAGCACCGGGACATCTGCCGTGGGGCGACAGGTGCGTCCAGGCGCACTCCGCAGCGCTGGAGCTGGTAGGTGACGTGCAGGCCCCGTGCGCGTCTCGACGGCCCGGTTCGGGGCGTCGCAGCGACGCTCGGCGCCATCCCCTGCGACAAACGCCCGCGCGTGCCCGCGCGCGGCGGGCCAGGGCGGCCGAGCGCTGTGTGGCACTATGTTGCGTGCCGCAGCTTGAAGCCCCTAATTTGCGGTGCAAATTTTTGCGGTGCGGGACGGGCTGCACGGCGCAGAGAGGCTGCGAGGCTGCCACGGATGGCAGGGGGCAGGCGCGGGTGGCGCGCACGCTGCGAGTGCCACCGTGTCCGGTCCGTGAAGCAGGCGAGACGGCATGATTCCTGCTGCATCAGATGCGGTTGATCGAGTCAGGATGTCGGGATGGGCGCGCGCCGGTGAGAAAGGACACCGCCGCCGCCGCTCCTGTCCGTCGGAACGACTGCTCCGGTCAGCGACTTCGCGCGGTCGTGAGGAGCACGGGGGGACGCCGAGGCGTTGTTCACGCGGGGCCAGTGGCCCCCCTGCAGGAGGAGGGGTGAATCCGTGGGCGGCCAGGCCGCCTCAGGCGCGGCGAGGCGGGACGTCGTTGCCGCACGAGGATCCAGGGACGCTAACTTTCGCGTGGACGAGCCCGAGGCGACATCGCGGCCAGACACACGCGGAGCGTTGGCTCTCTGCTGTGCAGCACCTCACCAGCTGGAGCGCACGGCGCCGCGCCCTGCACGGTGATCTCCCCGTACGGCTCGCCGCTGGCGCGTCTGCTGCATCCAAGAGCATCCAGGACAGACACTCGGGTGTTTGGTAAGCGGATCGCGCGTCCCTCGCACGGACAATCCCAGGCCTACCCTCACGTACTGCTGCATGACCGTGCGGGCACGGACGTGGGCGTCAGCCGTCCGTTTCGCCCAGTCCCGGTGGCCGACCTGCCCGCCCCGCCGCGGCGTGCCCCCGCTCACCGCGTGATGGGTTGGCTGTGGCAGCTCACTGCTCCTGCGGCATCCGTCGCAAGCGAGTCCTCGCACGGGCTGGAACGCGCTCCGGAGACCCACTTGGGAATTCCCCAACGCTTGACGCGCTCGCCTTGGCTCGTGTCGCTGAGAGAGAAGGTGGCTTGCGGCCGGGGCGTTCATCAAGAGGGCCAGTGCCACGTCGTTGCTGCGCGCAGGCTGTGGCGACACTCGCGCAGCGCCCACTGCACCGGAGTCCGCGTACACTGCCGCCGTGCACGCACTGCGGCCCGCCTGCGGCCTGCACGGAAGCTCTGTCGCTCTGCCCGCAACTGGGGACGCTCGACCAGCCACGCCGCGATGCTTCACCGGCTGGCGGACAACGACCGTCCGGCGGAAGTCGTCATTGACTTGGGGTCGACTGCGCGGCCAGGAAGCAGGAGGCTCCTCACAGTGGGCCGGGCGCGCCAATGCGACCTCCGCATCGACTCCCTGGAGCTCCCGTACATGATCTCGCGCAACCACGCGGAGTTCTGCGTTGACCTCCCGTCCATAAGCGTCGTGGACAAGGTGCGGGCGCCCTCAAATCGACTCAGAGCGAGCTCCGAGGTCTGTGTCAGCCCGCGCGCACACTCTGGCGCCCCGCGCTCGTCCGCGGAGCGAAAGCGCTGCCCGCCTGGTCACATGCCGCGCCCCGCTCGGCGCCCGCCGGCGAGTCCGTCTCTCGCGGCACATTCACGCACGCCGTTGCGCGGATCGGCGCGTTGAATCGCGGCACGTGGGCGGAGTGGACCGCGATACCTTGGTCGCGCTCCTGGCCAGCCACCGCGTGCGAGGTGGCGTTCCCCACGCCCGCCGCCCACCTCCGCCTCGCTCTCGCACTGCAGGGGTCCACCAACGGCACGTGGGTCAACGAGCAGCAAGTCGTGCCGAACACGGAGGTCCTCCTGAACCACGGCGACATGCTCACCTTTGGCGGGCCGTCATCCATCGTGCGCCAGGACCGCGAACACCTCAACCCGTTCCGCTTCTTCTTCGACGGGATACGCTCGCACGTCATTGCGCGGTCCGGCACCGTGGAGCACATGCGCCGCATGCTCGCCACCGCGCCGCAGGACCTATACACGACCGGCCTCGAGAAGTACACGTGCCTGCACGTCGCCGTTACTCATAACCAGGTGCACCTCGGTCGCATGCACTTTCCGAAGCGCGCTCGCACCCGGACGCGCGCTCGCACCCGAGCGCCGCCTCCCACACCCCCCCTCTCACCTGCTGCCCGCGCCCCCTCCGCCCCACCGCAGGAGGACATCGTGGCGTTCCTCGCGCAGCACTGCAGGCCGCTGCTGTCCGCGCGCACGTCCAAGGGCATGTCCGCGCTCCACCTCGCCGCCGACGCCGGCCGCCTCCGCATCTGCAGGCTCCTGATCGACAGCGGGGCGAACCTGATGGAGACGAACAACGTGGGCTTCACCGCCGCGCACATCGCGTGCGTCCGCTCGCACCTGCCCGTCCTGCGCTTCCTCGTGGAGCGTGGCTTCCCGGTCAACGCAAACCTGGGAAAGCACCGCTGCGGGCTACTGCATTACTCGGCGCGCAACGGGTCGCTGCCGGTGCTGCGGTTCCTGCTCGAGCGCGGCGCGGACCCCATGCTCGTCACCGCGCAGGGCTGCAGCCCGCTGCACTTGGCCGCGTCCCGCGAGCATGTGGACGCTGCGCGGTGCCTGATTGAGGAGGGGGGCGCCGACGTCAACCAGCGCGACGACGCCGGCGCGACGCCGCTGCACATGGCCGTGGAGCGCGGCGCCGAGTCGGTCGTGCGGCTCCTCGTCAAGCTCGGCGCGGACGTGACTGCGCGCACCAACAGTGGCATCACGCCCACGCTCGCTGCCACCACGCTCGGACACACGGCGATCGTCAACTTCTTCCGCGACGAGGTCGGCGTGGACGAGCCGGTGAACCCCGGACCGGACCGGGCCGTCGGCTCGCGCCGCCGCCGCGCCGCGTCGCTCTCCGGGTGCCCACAGACGCATGTGGCCGGCGGGGGCGCGCAGGCCACCGACGAGGCGCGCACGGGCATCAGCGGGCTCCCCGGCATCGACGCGCCCGCGCTGCAGGCTGCGCTCCGCAAGTCCGTTAGCAGCGTGACGGTCCGAGTCCCACCCAACGTGCCGCCCAACGTCACGACCCCGCTGGTCAACTCGCGCACGCCGCCGGCCGCCGCCGGCGCGACGCCTTTGATCGTCGGCCGCCAGACTGCGGTGCCGGCCCCCGCCAGTGCTGCCGCCGCGACGGTCTCCTCCTCAGCGCACGAGGCTGCGCCAGCCACCCCCACGGACGCCGCCGCCCCGCAGCCCGTCAGCCGCGCCAGCCGCGGTCCCACCGCCGATGCCGTCGAGGGCGCGTCGCAGCGCGGCACGCGGAGCGAGTCGCGGTCCTCGCAGAAGATGCGCCGCGTCGACGACGACGAAGACGCCGAGACGTGCTCCCCGGGCACCATCGAACGCATGGTGGCGGGTGTGGAGCGTGGGCTGGCGGCGGGCAGCCAGAAGGACGCCGAGGACGTCCTGCGGGGCAAGCCGATGGGCACTCTGAAGCAGGTGCTGCGGCACGCGATCGACGCGGAGAAGTACAGCGTCGCCGAGGTCGTGGTAGGGATCCTGCAGTCGCTGTCGGCCACCAACGCGCAGGGCGGCGCGAACACTCAACCCTGACCCTGCGCGGCCCGCGGCGCAATCATGTTGTTGCCGACCTGACCGCTCCCAGCCTCCGCGACGGACGCGCTTCGCGCGGCCAGGGTGACTGGCAAGCCCATGCCGCCGCTGCGTCAGCGCGGCTGCTTCGCACTCGACGGTCTGAGAGATCACCGACGGCACACCGAGGCGGGCTCAGCCACCGACCACACCGCGTTCCACAGTGTTCCGCCGCGGGAGCAGCCCGCCAGCGTGGCCTCCATGCCGTCCTTCAATATCGACGGCACCAGCCCCGTCATGACCAGGCCCCCCACCTGCGGGATGGCTGGCAGCTCGATGGCTGGCAGCCAGCTGCGCCCGTACGAGGTGGTTTCGGACGGGAACCTCCGCAGCGGCTTCCCGCGCCGATGCCGGGGTGTCGGCCTGGTCACCTGCGGCGAAGATGACGGGCCCGCCTTCTTGCCAGTCGCGGTCCGCACGACGAGGCACTCGCCTTGCAAGGGTGCCGAGTGGCGTGCTTAGTGTAAACTCGAAGTACTTTCCCTGCAGCGCCCGGAGCGCACGCAGGCCCGCGAAGCCCGCGCCGACGATCAGCACGCGCGGACGACGTGCCCCTCTGCCGCCCTGGATAGCTATCATCACCACCCGAGCACAGGCACGGCACGGCGCGAACAGTGCCACGTGGCCGCGACGGATGCGCCCTCTGTGCTGCCCCGCCCATCGCAGCACGCCGTGCCACGGGGGGGGGGAAAGGGGGTCGCCAACTGACTCGGGTGTGGCCCCGCGTCGGCATCAACTCCCCCCTCACACCCCTCCTCCCGTCTCGACCTCCAGGCCCAGGCGACGGCTCAGCATGTCGTGATCGGCGTTGGCCGTCGCAGGTGAGCCCGGGAGCAGTGCCAGCGGTCTCACGAATGCACGCAGTGACGCCTATCCGCGGCGCATTGCCACCGTCAGCTGCTGTTGCCTATGGCGCTGCGCGCGAGCTGGAACCTCTTCATCAGCGGGGCGATCTCGCTCTTCCGCCGCGGCGCCGTCGCCACCGCGGTGGGGACGTTCTCCGGCTGTTCTACCCACAGCTTGTGCTTCACTCCCCCCTCCGACAGCTTCTCCGAGAGCGTCTGCAGCTGCGGCGCGCCCTTTGCCTCCAAGACCACCTGCGCCGCGCGTCACCGCGATGACGGGCTCATCACCGGCACGCAGCGACCGCCACGGGTGCCCGAGGAGCACACACAGCGTGTCGACACAAGCGCCCGTCCGCGTTGACCGCTCGGGCTCTGGTTCGCGGTGCCCCGGCAGGGTTTCGAGCAGCTGAGACCAGGAGCGCGCGTGGGCCGAACCTTGTGCATATGGTCGATGTTCTCCTCGGCCAGGTAGGCTATGGTGTCTGCGTCGTCCCTTGCACTCCATATCGCGGCCGAGGACGCGTGGCACGCCTGCGCCGCGACCGCGCCGAGCGGCCAGCCCTGCTCGCGCCACAGATCCCTCCGCAACACCACGTACTGCGTCTCACGGGCCGTTGCACGCCATCGTCAAGGACGCGGTCGGGAACATGTCTGCGCGTTCAGTCAGGCGGCGATGGGACGCGGCGCAGGCGGGCACCTGGACGAGGGGATCGGGCGCCGGCTGGCTGCCTGGGCTGGCCATGGAGACTGTCCGTTGCCCTCGGAGGCGCTGGGGGACCGCAGGCCTGGCACCTGGGTGCGAGGGGCTCCTGCGGGGGGTCTCGAGGGCGAGTTGTGGAGGCTTGCCGCGACGATGCCGATCTCAGCACGATGGGGAGCGCCAAGGAGGACGTGGCCACACCGAGCAGGCAGGAACGGCGCGGGGAGCGCGACCGACCTGTGGGCACGCGCGGGAGGGACGACGCGGGCGCGCGCGCTGTACGCGGCCCGGGACGTGCCGGCGTTGCTGCGCGCGATCGCACGTGCACACGGAGACAGCATCAAGGGCGCTTCCGAGCGCGCACGGCCCCGGACAGCGCCGTCGAAGCCCGGGGGTGGAAAGGAAGGAAGGCGTGGCTGCTTTTGGAGGCTGCGCCGTGACGTCTGAGCTCGTGTGCATTCGTCGCCTTGCCTGCGGCGCTCTTGCACAAGCGGCGGCGTCACGCGTGTTTACTTCTACCGTTGACAGTGGGGAGGACTGTCCCGGAGTCCGCTCCAGTCACTGGAGTCCGCTTCAGCGCGCCGCCGCGACGGCGCTCGTTGGCAGCGAGCGTCGCAGCGGATGGGGCATTCATCGGCGCCGCGCTCCCCCGGGCGTCCCACCCGCCCGGAAACGCCCGACGCGCACTTCATCACCCTGCAGGTGCAACGACGATCTGTCCAGGCGCAGCGCGGAGCAGCAGGGCGCTCGTGCGAGCCTGCCGCAGCGTGGAGAATCGTTTGCGGCGCGGCCTCGAGCACCGTGCGCCCAGCCTGACCTCAGCGGGGCGCCGCGGGCAGTGCGGCGGCACTCTCTGAAGCCCTGGCAGCGCGCCGGCCCTGGCAGCGCGTTCCGCGACCATGAACGCCCCGCAGCACCAGAATGCCTCCCTTCAAGAGGCGATGAGCATTGGCGTGCCGTACATATGTGGAAGTGAGCACCTGCCCTCCCCCCCCGCGTGCAGCTGCTGCTTCGCCGCGCTCCCCCCCGCCGCTGCAGACGCGGCAACATGGCGTTTCGTCGCTCACGCGGCCATACTGTCACCGAGGCCTGCCGCCCCGGCCTCGAACGTCGACTCAACCGCTTCGCACGGCACGCAGGCTGTGGCCGCGAGAATCGGCTGAAGCCCGCCGACCAGATCATGTGCCAAAAGTGCGGATTCAAGATTCTGTACAAGAAGAGGGTCAATAGGGTGGTGCAGTACGAGGCACGCTGACGTCTGTGAAGCCATCACCGCCCTTCCTGCAACCACTGTACCAACGGTCGCCTTGCAACGGTCGCCTCGCGGCGGGGATGCGGGCCTCAGTTCCGTCCTGCTGCGCGGGAGGGCCGCGCGCAGCTTGCGCTGGCGGCCTGACGTGCCGCCGCGGGCAGCCGGCGGCCGACACCGTCCAGGCGCTGCCGCCGCCCACCCTCCAAACCTCGGCCTGCGCACGGAGGAGGGGCGAGTCGCCCTGGAGGCGCGCCAGCGGGTGCGCCGGCGTGTTGCTCGGCGAGCGCACGGCGCCGCGCGTCGCTCGGCACGCCCCCGCTCGCCGGCTCAACTTGTGTTCACTGCCTGCCACGCGGGGGCTGCTGCTCTCGAGGGAGGGAGGGGCCGTCGCACCCGACGGCGCTCGCTGGCTCGCGGCGCGCCCGGCGCCACTGCCGCGCTGCACGATCTGTGGTCGGGCCCGCGGCTGTCGCGGGGGGTTGTCGGAGACCTGCGACGCAAGCCGCGGCGACCCTCCGAGGGCGCAAGGGCGCTGGGAACGGGTGAGACGCCGTCAAAAAGCGCCGCGCGTCGTAGCCCGCATCTTTGTGTGTCCGCGAGCCTAGCGCGATCCGGGTCCCAGCGCGCGGATGGGTCTGTAACAGCGCCTGCTGGTCTCAGCCGACCACCCGAACCGTGTGCGGCGCAGCGCCGGGGTGGCCGTGGGCGCGGTACCTGGAGCGCCGTGTGGGCACAGGTCTGCGGATCGCGTGGGTTTCTGTGTGCGCGACGAGCGGGGCCGTGCAGAGTCGTGATAGCTCGGTGGGTGTGCAGTGCGCAGCGGGCACCGCACACGCGGCGCCATGGGCGCAAACGGGGCCGCGGAGCCACTCCTCGATCCGTGAGTCCTCCCTCCGCCCTTGTCTCGCCCAGCGACCCGGAGCGCGGACCGTGCACCGCGACACCTGCTCCCGCGCAACCTCCGCCGCCGCAAGCAGCGCCTTCGCGTCACACGTCCCGCCGAACCGGGCGCGAACGCTGTCCTCGCTGAGGGCACGCCGCCGCCACGTGCTGCTCACTCCGTTTCAGACACGGGAACCCGCGCGCAAGCGGGTTTCCAGCGGGCATCATGCTCTCCCCTCCGCCCCTCTTCGCTCCAGCGGCCCGCCCCTCTCCCAGCACTCACGTTCGACCGCCACCTGCATGAACGCCAGGTCTACGGTGGACGGAGCTCATGAGGCGGCCGCCGCGGCGCACCAGCGGTCGCGCAGCTGGGGACGGCCCTCGGTGGGAGGCAGTTCGGCCAAGGGCGGGCACGCCCCGAGGCCCCTGAACGTGCTGGCCCTGATCGCCCTGGTGTTCTACGAGGTCTCAGGCGGGCCGTTCGGCACGGAGGACACCGTCCGGCTCGGGGGCCCGCTCGTCGCGATCGTCGGGTTTGCGGTCCTGCCGCTGGTGTGGTGCGTGCGAGCCGTGCCCCGGACGGCCTCTCCTCTTTCGATGTCGCCGGGCGCGCTTCGTCACGGCTGCCCGCGCCACGATGCGTGCCCGCAGGTCGGTCCCGGAGGCGCTGGTGACGGCGGAGCTGGCGACGACGTTCCCGGAGAACAGCGGGTACGTCGCGTGGGTCACGGCGGCGTTCGGGCCGTTCTGGGGCTTCATGGAGGGCTTCTGGAAGTGGGTCAGCGGCGTCACGGACAACGCCATCTACCCCGTCCTCTTCCTGAGCTACCTGCAGCGCATCTTCCCGGCGCTGGCGGCAGGTGAGATGCGCGCGCAGCGCGAGCACCGCGCGCACGGCCCGCCGGACCGCTCTGCGCGGCCCACCGAGACATGCGCAGATCCATCGACGTTCGAGTCTTCCGCTGCTGTCTATCTGTCGCCGCCGCGAGCGCGCCCATCCCTTTCCGCTCCACGGGCGCGCGCGCCTCACGTCGCGCCTGCTGCGTTCGCCCGCCGCGAAGCCCTGCGTCGCACGCCGCGCCAGCGCGTCCTCCGCACGCCGCGCCAGCGCGTCCTCCGCACGCCGCGCCGCGACCCCTCTCCGGCGCCCCCCCTTCCGCCGCGCAGGGTACCCCCGCGCCGTGTTCCTCTCGTGCTTCACCGCGACGCTGACGTACCTCAACTACCGCGGGCTGTCCGTCGTCGGCACGATCGCCGTGTCGCTCACCTTTGCGACGCTCCTGCCGTTCGTGGCCATGGCCGTCCTCGCCGCGCCCCGCATCAAGCCCGCGAACTGGCTGCGGTTCGACTGGGACGACCTCCGGCTGGGGCAGCTGATCAACGTGCTGTTCTGGAACCTCAACTACTGGGACGGCGCGAGCACGCTCGCGGGCGAGGTGAGCCCGAGGGCGGCCCGTGGGGCGGGAGAAACCGCCTGGCCTGTCGTTGCGAGACGCGGCGGCCCCGTGCGCGAGCTGCGATGCAGGTCAACGAGCCCCGGCGCACGTTCCCGCGCGCGCTCATGGCCGCGGTCGTGCTGGTCGCGGGGAGCTACCTCCTCCCGCTCCTGACGGGCCTGGGCATCGACGACGGCGGGGACTTGAGTGAGTGGCGCGAGGGGCACTACGCCGACATCGCGCGCGCCCTCGGCGGCAAGTTCATGCAGGTGCTGTCTGCCCGCGCCGTCTGCCCGCGCCGCCACCACGGTCATCCCACCGGCGCCGTCGGCCGGCTCGTCCCGCGTCGTCGCGTCACCTCCTCCCCGCTCCCGCCCGTCGCTGCTCCGTTCTCGCGCCGCAGGGCTGGGTCGTGGTCGCGGCGGCGGTGTCCAACATCGGGCAGTTCCAGGCCGAGATGTCGGCGGACTCGTTCCAGCTCCTGGGCATGGCGGAGCGCGGGTTCCTGCCGGAGTTCCTCGCGCGGCGGTCGCGGCACGGCACGCCCACGGTGGCCATCATCCTGTCGTCGCTGGGGGTGGTCGGCATCGCGTGCCTCGACTTCCTGGCCATCATGGAGCTGCTCAACGCCGTGTACTGCCTCGCCGAGCTGCTCGAGTTCGCGGCGTACGTCAAGCTCCGCATTTCAGCGCCCGACATCAAGCGACCCTACGCGGTGCGCGACCCGCCGCGGTGCAACGCACCGCCCGTCGGCGTGCCGCGAACGGGGCCAGGCGTTTCCGCCGTCCTGCACGACCGCGCATCCGACCCCCTCCCGACGCGTCGCTCCCCGTCGCGCGCGCCCCCCGCAGGTGCCGCTGAACGTGTTTGGGCTCATCCTGATGCTCCTTCCGGCCTCCGCGCTCCTCGTGTTCCTCCTCGTGCTCCCGGTCTACCAGCGCAACTGGCTCGTCATCACGTACTGCGCGGCGTCGACCGTCGCGGGCGCGATCGCGTACCACGCGTTCCAGGGCGCCCGCCGCGCGGGGCTGCTCAAGTTCTGCTGCGCGCCGCCCACGGGCGTCGAGGACCTCGCGACCGCGCCGTGGGACACCGACTCGGAGTTTGCGTGGGAGGACGCGGCGGACATGGCTGCCGACATCGGGCTCGTGGCCGACGCGGGGCCCAGGCCCGGGGCGGGGGGGTCCCCCGCCGCCAGTCCGACGGCGGCGGACGTCGAAGCTGGATCGGCGGGCGCGAAGGCGGCGACCCCGCGGGGGGGGCTGCAAGAGGCGCTGCGGGCCGCAGGTGCGTCCGCGAAGCACGTCCGCGAAGCACGTCCGCGAAGCACGTCCGCGAAGCACGTCCGCGAAGCACGTCCGCGAAGCACGTCCGCGCGCACTCTCTCTCTCCCCCCACCCCACGCGCGTACCCCACGCCGCGTTCCGTCGCTCCCTGCGACGCAGACGAGGCGGCGGCGGCGGCGGGGGGGCCCTCGCAGCGCAGCGGCAGCCGCGACCTGGCGCCCGCCCTCGACCCCCGTGCCGAGACAGACCACGAGTTCCACCGCCACTTCCACCAGTACCACCGCCGGGCGCGCCGGACGTCGCGCCAGTCCACGGACGCGGGGGTGTCGTCGTCCGCGGCGGGGCCCGGCGGCCACCGGCAGCGCCACTCCCCCGACACGTACGTCGGGGCGCTCAGCGAGGCGCTGGGCATCACGGCCGCGGGACAGATGGCGGCGAGCGTCGTCGAGAGCGTCGGGAGCTGGATGCACCAGCACAGCGTCACGCACGGCGCGCACAACCGCTCCCGCAGCCACGGGAGCCTCGACGGGTCGGGACGCCCGTCCATGGGGCACCAGGTACGCGAACGCGTGCGCGGCGACCGCGCCCCGAAGCACGCGCCGTGCGGCGGCTCCTCACCGCGTCCCGCGCGTGTCCGCCGCGCCCGCCGCAGCACGCGGACGACTCGGACAGCGATCACCAGCACCCGGAGACCATCCTGGAGGAGAACGAGCTGGCGGAGGAGGAGTCGGAGCAGGGCATGTGGGAGGGCGCGATGGAGGACCTCAGCATGGGGCGCGCGGAGCCGGACGTCGGCGAGGCGGGCAGCCGCGGCGCGGTGTAGCGGCTTGTGAGCCCGTGACACCTCGACACGCCAGCCCGACTGCCGACGTGACACCTTGACACGCCAGCCTCACTGCCGACTGTCGAGTCGTCGACGCGTTCAGAGGAGGGCGGCGACGAACGGGACGGGTCGCTGGCTGGCGGAACAGGTGATGTTGGGCGCAACATGCGTCGGTTTTCGCGGTGCCCAAACAACGCCGCAAACGTCCGGGGCCCGCACGATCTCGCGCAACGGACCAGAACGCGCGCTGCCGGCCGCGCGCAGAAGCACGCCCGCGGCCATGTCGGGGCTGCAGGTGTCTGGACCCTCTCTGGGCTGCCTCGACGCCTCCCGGCGCGCAAAATGCGCCGCTTTCGACGCTGCTGATGGGATTCGAATCTGTCCCCTTAACCACTCGGGCACGCTGTCTGAATTCGCGAGAGAAGCGACGCAGACGCCGCCGCGACGGATGCAAGTGGCCCAGCATGGGGCCTGTCGCCGCGGGCGACACACAACCTCTCGGAGTCGTCGACAGCGGTAGGATTTGAACCTACGCGGCTTGCGCCAACAGATGGTACGCATGTGTCTTGGAGGCGAATATGTAGTCTGTCGAAACGTCAACGTGTTATTACAGAGCTGTCTGAAGTCATACGGCGACCGCGCGCCGTGGCTGCGAGTCCCGCCCTGCGCGGTGCACGCCGCGGCGCGAGCGGATCTCCCGAGTCACTGCCGCGCCCGCTTGCACGGTGCACGCCCGTGTCCGCCCCACATCACGCCCTCCCGCGTTGCACCCCTGCACGCCGGCAGACCCACCCCGGGGGCGCGCACGGGGCCCCTGCGCGCGCTCTTCGCCTCCAACGGCCTCGCCGCGGGCATCCGCAGGGTACGCTGGGTCCAAGAACGCAAAAATAGACCTCGAGCGCCGCACCATGCGACGCGTGGTGCAGGCTGCCAAGTCCTGAGCTCCCTCGGCGGCTCCGCAGGGGCCCCTGGGGGGACCGCAGCCCCGGATGTCGCCTCGAACGCACCGGAGCTGCTGCAGGGTCTGCGCCGGTGGCTGTCTTCGGGGCCGCGCGGCCCTCTCGACGACGCGGTGGCGGATCCATCCCCTTCGCGGGCTCCGGGACGTCCCCGGCGGCGGACGGCGCATCGCCTCCGCCCGAGAAGATAGATGGACTCACGAGCGATGACTGGTGCGGCGGAGCGGCCGCGCGGTACTACGCAGAGGTCGCGGGCGAGGATGCTGCCACGCTGGCGCCCGCAGCAACGTGCGCTGGCCCGGGTCAGGCGCGGAGGGGGGGGGGGCGAGGTGACGGTGTTCGTGAGGAGGCGCTCGGCGGCGTCGGGCATGATTCCTGGGTCCCGGGATCGCAGGTGCGTGCGCGCTGTGTTGCGTGTTGTGTTGTGTTGTGTCGTGAGGCGCACCTGGCGCGCCACGCGGCGCCGGCACGTCGGCCCACCCTCCGACCTCCTGCAGAGACCGCCCGAGCAGCCGGGACGCCGCGCCGGGCCGCTCCATCGAACGGGTCCTCGTCCCCGCGGGCCTCAGCGCGCGCCTCTTCGTCGGGAGGGTGCGGTGCGCGTGACTTGTGCCCGCACCTGTGCACCGATGCTCCTGGTGCGCAGTCGTCGGATGTCGTTCGACGGCAGAGCTGCGGAATCACCGTGCCAGTCCAGCAACAGGGCGCGACCCTTGCTGCGCACCAAGCGCCAGGCGACGTGCTCGAGGGAGTCGATTCCGCCACAACAAGCCCGGTTTCGAGGTCAGCCGATAAGAACGACATCTCAAGAGATCAGCGATTCCAAGGAACGGGCAGGGCGTCCCCCACCGAGTCCGGACCTCTGCTCATTCAGTGGGCTGGCAAGTGCCCGCGTCGCAGGTTCTGGCGGGTTCTCGAGAGACACGGGGGCCGATTCCGCCTCTTTTCATCTTTCGTCGTCACCCGCAGCGCGACAATTCAGCCAAGCAAACACTCGTCCGGCCGGTTCAAGGGCCTGGTGTTGCTGGGGTCAGAGACCTCGATTCCGCGTGGTCGAAGCCGGAATTCGCATTTTCGCAACGCTGAAGAACATGTTTGATATTGATAAAATCCGTTGGTGAAGGGACCAGGGTCATTACGCGCTCAGAGAAACGCTGGGAAACGAATCGGTAGACACGGATCTCACGCTGCGCGCGAGGCTTTGATGAGTCGAAGAGGCAACGCGCGTGACCTTTCAGCCAGTTCCTGCCGGACAGTGGAAGGCTCCCGTGCCCTCCCTGCAAAAGGCAGATGAGGCAGCGAGAAGCAAGAAAGCCACCACTGCTCCCTCATGTACAAAAAAAACAGTGTGACCCACTGCTCTCCGATGATAACACAGGGTCCGTATCGTACGCCGGTAGAGTTACAGTTGGAGCGCCCACGCTCCCGACACGAGCCCACGGCTCGGCCACTCAGGCCTGACAACAAGCGCCCGGCGCTCATGTTCGGCACTCGCGCAGGGGGTCCTGGACGCGGCAGAGCGCGGATGGCGGCTGCATGCCCCCCTCCCCGTGGATGAGGTCGTGGGCGTACCCGTGCATCACCTGGAAGCTCTCCAGGTGATGCTTGACCCGGGTCTTCAGTTCGGCGCCGAGGGGCACTGTTCCGCCCTCGGACTCCTCGCTGAAGGCCTTGTACAGCAACGCGTGCGTCCAGACGACGCAGCCAGTGGGGATCCGCAACGCCGACTGACCTTTGAGGGGCAGTTCGAGCAACGGGTCAAAGGGCGCAACGTGCATGTGCTTCCTGGCGAGGTCCGGGCTGAGCTTGGCAATGTAGCCAGTCAGGGTGCCCATCTCCTGCGAGCAGAGCAGGGACGGGAGGACGTCGGGTGTCGGCCTGACAGGGGTGGTGGTGCACCGTGGCGGCGGGCTCCGACAACACGAGAAGCAGCGATCCCGGCGGCGGCGCGTCGTGCTGTGCCGTGGCCTGACCTCTTCGAAGAACTCGAAGAGGGGCATGACCTTCTCCGTGAAGATGTCCGGGCGCAGGTCGCGCCCGAGCTTCTCCCACTTCGAAATACCTTCAGACGCCTCCGACCTCTCTGGCGCCACGATGCCGCGGAGGAACTCCCGGGCGGGCCCGTCCTCGAGCTTCTTTAGTGTGCCCTCAGCGCGGTGTTCCGTCCTCAGCCACTCCGCGACGAAGGGTATGACGGCATCCCCACGTTGACATCGGGCTGTTTACAACTCAGTCACATGCCACTGTTGCCCGGTCTTCCGGTCGCCCGGTTGCGGGTAGCGGTGTAAACTGTGGCGCCTCCGCGGAATGCGGACTGTGTGACCTGACCTGACCTGACCTGACGGCCTTGGCGACCCTCTTGGGGTTGCCTCGACGGTCCTCGACGCCCCGTTTCCACTTTACGACCTGCGGCGCGGCGATTGCGGGTGGTTCTCCGCGTCAGCCGCGTGAGTGGTGCACCGCAACGCGAACCTCTGGCGGCAGCGGTGCGAACAGCGGCACGTTTGGCGTCGACGCACCCTCCGCAGCACGGCGTCGAATGTGGCCGTTGCCTCGACACTCGCCCGAGCCTCGGCGGGGGTCTCGAAGCCCAGCGCGAGTGCAGTCGCGTTCTGGCTCGCGGCCTCGTCGAAGAACGCGCCGTCTCTGTCAGCGACCAGGTGCAGCGTCATCAATGCGCGCGCATTGGTGAACGCCGTGTCAGACAGACAGAGAGTTACACTCCGGAGACGGTTCCCCGGTCGGCCGGTGCGGCGCGAGCAGAGGCCGAAGCCCCCACCCATGTGCGCCTGTGGCCTTTAAAGGCGCGTCTCAGGATCCGACGCGGAAAGCCTAGGACGGGGCGCCCTCACCCCGCCGAAGGACCGGCGCTGGTCGCCGGGGTGGAAGGGGTGGCCGAGGGCTGGCACGACTTCGTATTTTATGGGAGCGCAGGCAGGGTGTGCCAGCCCAGGACCACCACCACATGACAGACATGACAGGGGCTTGGCTGGTGCGTTGCACCGTGTGTGCTCCGGGTGCTCGATCCTCCGGCGCGCAGGGACCGTAGACGACGCGGGCGTGGGCGCTGATGCCGCCCCCCGTCGCCCTCCGCTTCCCCGGGGGCATCGAGGCACGGCCAGCGCCAGTCGCGCCCATCCCCCGGGCGCGCACGGACACCCCTGCGTCCGAGCGCACCCCCCGACGTCCCTGCCCCGGCCCCGATGCCCCCGGGGAAGCGGAGGGCGACGGGGGGCGGCATCAGCGCCCATGCCCGCGTCGTCTACGGTCCTCCTTGATCTCGGCCAGCCGCGCCTCTTCGCCCGCGCCGGCGCTGGGGCCGGGATCTCCCGTCCGTGCCGACCTGGCGGGGAGCTCTGGACCGCTCGGACCTGCACGCATGCAGCGCGCGCAAACACGCGGCGCTCGAGGTTTGTGAAGTGTCGAGGAGCGGGCCGGAGGCGCGTCCACGGTGGCCGCGATCGGCAGCCCGCGGTTCGAATCGCATTCAACCCACCTGGCGGCGCGTCCTGCCTCTGAGTGCCTGACATCACGGCCAGAGTGACTGTGTCCTGGAAGTGCTTGGTGTGTGATCTGCACGGTGTGTGTGATCGGCCGCGCCGCGCAATAAGGAGCCACCGTGGGGACCCTGCATCGGCAAGGGTGCGTCACGCGCCCGGGCAGCCCCGCCAGGAGGCTGTGGACGGCAGCCAGCGCAAGTCAAATCAGGGCCGGCCGACCAAGGCCCGCACTGCCGCCGAACACCGCCGCTGCGCGGTGGGATCGATGTAAGCGTGAGACATCGCGGAGATGCGCCCCGAACGCCCGGGGGGCGTCCGGCGAGGAGAGGCGGGCCGTTTGTGCGCACGAGCGTTCGACGTCCCCGAGGCGCGGACGCGGACGCGGCGGCGCGCGGGCGGCGTCTTTCTGCTCGATCGGGCCAGGGCAATAGGAAGGTGCGACGGGGGGGGTCGCAGGATGCGCGGGCACCCCGGACGGAGGGGCGGATGGGGGGCGAGGTCGCTTCGAGCGGCCTTGGGCGCGATTCTCCTCACCTGCGGGATGGCCTTCGAGGGGATGCGGTCCAGCCTCGCGCAGAAGTACAGGCGGGGCGCCCTCGCGCGACCGCCTCGAGCCCCGGCCCGCGCAGATTCCTACAGGAGAGAGGCCCCCCCGTGCAACTGAGCTGGCGAGGGGGAGTGCCGCGCGCCGCGGCCGGGGCCCAGCCGCCCGGGGCCGCCGCCGACCACCTCTCCGGCTCCATTGATCGGTCGGTGAGCTCGCGTGCGCGGGGAGGGCGGCCCGCCGCGCCCCTCGCGGACGCACGCGGGCCGCAGAGGCGGTGTCCCTGGGCGGCCCGCCGGCGCTGCTGGCGCCGCGGGGCAGCTAGCTCGCTGCTCGCGGTCGATCGCGAAGCATCGCTGGGGCGCGCGCTCCACGGCTCGGCCGACGGGCCCCACCACGGCGACCGCTGCCGAGCGACGGGGTGGCCGCGGCACGACCACCGGCGACTGCGGCCGCTCCGCGCACGGGCCCGCTTCCTCGTCGATCCACGCGTGCACAACCGCGCGTTGGAAACGTTCCGGCGCCGCGCACCTCGCTACCCACGACCCAGGTGGCACGAGGGGGACCGCAGTGTGCGGGAGGGAGGGAGGCTCCCGAACAGACCCGCGACAGCCGCGAGTCAAGGTGCGGCGGCCCGGGCTCCGTCGCGGGGCCGGCGCGCGCGGGCGTCTCCAGCCGCGCACGATCACTGCGGCAGGGCTGGCGCATCCCCACTCCCCGCGCCGTGCAGAGTGAGCCGCTGACTCGATCTACGTGCGTGCGTGGACGCATGGTGTGGCGGGACGATGCGTCACAGGGCTCGAGGCTGACGGCACGGGCCGTGGCAACCAGCGACGGAAGGACCGCGCGAACGCTCGAGGCCGGTCTGCTACTCCCCACGCGCCGTAGCTGCGGGGGCCGCCCTGCGCGGTGCACGCCGCGGCGCGAGCGGATCTCCCGAGTCACTGCCGCGCCCGCTTGCACAATGCACGCCCCACATATCGCCCTCCCGCGTTGTTGCACCCCTGTGCGCCGGCGGGCGGAACCACCCCGGGGGCGTGCACGAGGCGCCGGCGCGCGCTCGTCGCCTCCAACGGCCTCGCCGCGGGCATCCGCAGGGCATGCTGGCCGACGGGAGCGGAGAGACAGACCTCGAGCGCCGCACCATGCGACGCGTGGTGCGGGCTGCCAGGGTCCTGGGCTCCCTCGGCGGCTCCGCAGGGGCCCCTGGGGGGACCGCATCCCCGGACGTCGCCTCGAACGCACCGGAGCTGCTGCAGGGTCTGTGCCGGTGGCTGTCTTCGGGGCCGCGCGGCCCTCTCGACGACGCGGTGGCGGATCCATCCCGCCCGGGGACACCGTTCGCGGGCTCCGGGACGTCCCCGGCGGCGGACGGCGCATCGCCTGCGCCCGAGCCGATAGACGGACTCACGAGCGATGACTGGTGCGGCGGAGCGGCCGCGCGGTACTACGCAGAGGTCGCGGGCGAGGATGCTGCCACGCTGGCGCCCGCAGCAACCGTGCGCTGGCCCGGGTCGGGCGCGGGGGGCGCCGGCGACGACGGCGCGACGACGCTCGACCTGCGCGCGGGCACCGTCGCGCGCAGCGCGGACGGCTCGTGCCTCGCGACCCTGGGCGGCAACAGCGTGTTGGCCGCGGTCTGGAGCCCCGACGAGGGCGACCTGGCAGCGCAGCGCGCCGGGTCGGGCGCGGGGGGGGCCGAGGTGACGGTGTTCGTGAGGAGGCGCTCGGCGGCGTCGGGCATGATTCCCGGGTCCCGGGATCGCAGGTGCGCGTGCGCGCCGTGTTGCGTGTTGTGCTGCGCACCCGGCGCACCTGGCTGCGCGCCACGCGGCGACGGCATGTCGCCCCCCCTCCGACCTCCTGCAGAGACCGGCCGAGCAGCCGGGACGCCGCGCTGGGCCACTCCATCGAACGGGTCCTCGTCCCGCTGCTCCCCGCGGGCTTCAGCGCGCGCCTCTTCGTCGAGATCACGCCCCTCACCCTCGACCCCAACACCGACACCCTGCCCCTCCTGGTCAACGCCGCCCTCGCCGCGCTCCACACGTCGTCGCACCCCACCCTCGGCCCCGCCGCCGCCGTCCGCGTCGCGCTCACGCACGCCGGCGGCCTCGTCGTCTCGCCCGACGCCGCGCAGCTCCGCGAGGCCGCGCAGGCGCTGCTCTACGTGGGCGCAGCAGGGGCGCCGCACTCCGACGCGCAGGACGGGTGCGTGTACGCGGAGACCATGGCGGTCGCGCACGGCCGCGGGCAGGCCGCCTCGCGCGACGCGCTGCGTCGCCTCGTCGCCGCCGCACGCGGCGAGTGCGGGCCGCTCGTCGCGGCGCTGCGGCAGCTGGGCGGCGGGCTCCGGACGCGCCCGGCGGTCCTGGCGAGCGCGGACGCGGCGGCGACGGCAGTGGTCGAGGCGTGCGCGGGCGGGCTGCTGCGGGAGGCGCTCGTGCCCGGGACGCGGGCCGAGGACCACCGCGCCGCGCCGACGGTCGACGTCAGGATCCCCGACCAGGGAGGCGTGTCCGGCGACATGTCCGAGGCTGCCGCGGACAACCGCCGCCCGTTCTCGGCCGGGGGGGACCTGCGGGCGCCTTCGGGGGTGTTTCCCGCGGGCGGCGTCATCGCCGAGGCCGCCGGGGTGGCGCGGCGGCTGCGGGCGGCGCGCGCGGCGTGCGACGACGCGGGCCCCGCGCGGCTCAGCGCGGCGATGCAGACGCTGAGGGAGCTCCCGGAGGCCGTCAAGTCGTACCTGCTTCGCAAGGGACTCCTCCGGGTGCAGAAGTCGCGCGTCCCCGGCTCCGGAATGGTCAGCGCGGCCGACGTCGGGCTGGCGCTGCAGGACCTGCACAGGCGGTACGTCCTGGACGCGGCGCTGTCGGGCTCGCCGCGCGTCGACGGCCGTGGGCTCGAGGAGGCGGGGTCTCTCAAGTTCGAGCCGCTCCCGCGCAGCGGCGCTGTGCTCGGGTCGCTGGGGGAGAGCGCGGTGTACGCGTCGGCTGTGGTGACGAGCGATCCGCGGGACGTCATGGCGGAGGACGAGGACGTCGCGACCCGCGGGCTCTCGCACGCCGGCGAGGACAACGCCGCGGGCATGATCGTGCACTGCGGGCGCGCGATGAGCGGATCTCGGGGCCGCAGGGCCAGCAGCGCTGCGATCTCGCAGGAGGACAGCTCCGACTCGATGCTGCTCGAGCGCGCGCTGTCGGCGGCCGTGTACGCGCCCGTCGGGGACGGCGAGGGAGCGCCGCCGGGGACGTTCCCGTTCGGGACGCGCGTGCAGGTGGAACGGATGTCGGGCGCGGCGTCGGCGCTGCCGCTGCTCGCGGCGGCGGCGTCCGCGGCGCTGCACTCTGCCGGCGTGCCCATGCAGGGCGGCCTGGTGGGCGGCGGCCGCACGGCCGTGCTGCGAGAGGGCGGGCCCGAGGGCGCCGTCGCGGCAAAGCTGCCGCCGGGGCCGTGCGGGGCGCACGAGGGCCTCGTCGGGCCGCGCAGGCCGGGGCCGGAGGGGTACTGCATCCTGACGGGTGCGTGTCGCTGCGGAGGAACGCGTCTCGCTCACTGCACGGGCCGTCACGCTTGTCCGCACCTGTCCCACGACGACCTCAGCAGCCCTCGTTCTCTCTCGCTCACGCGAGACGCACCCTGCAGATCCGTCGTCCATCGAGGAGGCGGTCGCGGACGCGCTGGTCGACGTCTTCGGCCCCGAACAGGAGATCTCGTCGCTGCGGGTGTCCTTGCCTCGCGCGGGCTGCCCGCCGCTGCCGCTCGACATGCTCCTGGAAGCAGGTGCGTGCACCAGTCCACCGGCACTCGCCGGCGCCGCTGCGCTCACTCGGCACCGCCTGCCATCGCAGCACGCCGCCACGGCCCTCGCTGCCGCAACCACCGTCCGTCTCGGGCTGACATCTCACCCGGTCTGCCCCCTCCGAGGTCCATGCGCAGTGGAACGGGCCTCCGAACACCGCGACTCCGTCGTCGCCACCCTCCGAGACACGCTCGCGCCGAGCAAGGCCTCCTGGCGCAGCCTCTCCGTGGCCCAGGGCGAGGTCCGCCGGCTTTCCTTCGGCGGCATGAGCCTCCGCAAGCGCATCGAGGCAAAGTCTGGCGCCCGCATCTCCATCGCGCCGGAGCCCTCCTCCTCCGTCGCCGTCTACGCACCCGACGCCGCCGCGATGCAAGCGGCCCTCGACGCGCTGTCCCACGCGGTCAGGATCGTCGACGGCGCCGCCGAGGGCGCGGCGGGATCCCCCGACGGGCTGGCGCCGCGGCGGGCGCTCGAGGTCGGGAAGCGGTACAGCATGCGCGTCAAGTTCGTCAGGGACACGTTCGCGGTGCTGACTGAGGTCGACCCCGACGGCCCCGGACACCCCGCGGAGGGGTTGTTGCACATCTCGGAGGTGTCGCCGCGTCGGATCGAGCGGATGCAGAGCGCACTGGCGCCCGGGACGGTGGTGGAGGTGGAGTGCATCCGCAAGCAGGCAAACGGGACCATGGAGGTGTCGCGCAAGGCGGTGGAGGCGAGGCAGGCGCTGGGAGAGAGCGGCAGCAGGAAGGAGGAGGGGCGATAGCAGTGCCCGCTGGCGCGAGGCCGGTCCGTCTCGAGGCGCGCCCCGAGGGGACGCTGAGTCTGGTTTTTTTTTTTTCCGTGCCATCTCTTAGGTTCGGTTTTTCCCCCGTTAGGGGGACGGAGGGGTTTGCCGTTCGGACCGCTCTCTACAGCGGCCCTGACGCGCGTTAGTACGACAACATACCTTCCTGTAATGCACCCGAGCACTCAGACCGAGGCAATGCGCCGCACCGCCGTCGCTGCGATGGGCAGACTCTGCCCACGTGCACCCAGCACGCCGCACAGGTCGCCTGTCCTCGCAGCGGTCGCCATCTGCGAGAGCCTCACTCTGCAGTGCGTCCCCCGCGCTTCTACGCCTCCTCACCCACGGCGCCGCTGCAGAGCGCCTCCCCAGTAACCACGCCACGCCGCAACCAAGGCCAGAGCAGCTCGATCTTCACAGCTCGTGAAAAAAAAAAAACCTCAAAACATGAATGACCTGCTTCACGTGTCGCTACGCCGCCAATACCAGCCAGGTCGTATCAGTGCTCCTCCCCCTCAGTGTCCTCCTCTGCCTACTCCCAATCGAAATGCACGTGCTTCGGCCGAGCACGTCCGTACAGCCCTTGCCTCGCTTCCCGCAACCAGAGACCAGAGTCCTTGGCCGGACGGCTCGCCAGCAGCACGCGCGACACGCTCGGCTCCCGCCGCGCCATCGCGTCCAGCACCGCCCCGACCCCCCTCGCCCCCATCACGTCCCCGCACAGGTCCAGCCTCCGGAGCGCGGCGCCGCGGTCCACCGCAGCGGCGAACGCGGCCGCCGTCGACTCGTCGAAGGGCTCGCGCTGTTGGCCATTTGTTGGCGATTCGTTCAAATAACAATCGGCCACATCGAGCTGGTAGCTCAAGTCGAGCTCCTCCAGCGCCGAGGTCTCTCCCAGCGCGTCCGCCAGGGCAATTGCGCCGCGCCGCCCGATGTGCCCCCGCACAACGACCAGACGACGCAGCGTCGTGTTGTTCTTCAGCCCAGCAGCCAGCGCGACGGCATCCTCGCAGTCCGGGAACCAGGCACATGTGCTGTCACTCAGGTCCAGCACCTGCAGCGCCCCATTGTAGCGCAGCGCTCGCCCCAGCGAATGACCCACATCCCAGGTGATGAAGCACTCACTGAGGTTGAGCTCCCGCAGCGCGCTCTCGCCGTTTCCGGCCAGTGCTCTCACCAACGCCTCAAAGTCCATATAGTCGTCGTCCTCAGTTCGCGACAGGTTGAGCACCTCCAGCGTCCGCCCGAGTGCCCCGCTGCTCTCCATCGCCCGCGCCAGCTCGCGCATGAAGTCAGAGCCCAAGCTGGCTTCTTGGCAGTCCAGCCGCGTCAGACGCGACCTCTCCCGCAACGCACGTGGAACGTCAGCACCATACAGGTCAACGCCCCGCAGGCTCAGCTCCCGCACCGCGCACTGCCCCGACAGCGCCGCACCCAGCTCCTCGCAGCCCTCATCGTCCAGGCCGGTCCACGACAGGTCCAGCACCTCCAGGGTAGTGTTTGTACCCAGCGCCTCCATGAAGTCCGACACAGACACGTCGGTATGCAGTGCTGTCTTGCTGAGGTCCAGCTCGCGCAGGTGCGCGTTCGCACCCAGGACCTCGCCGAGCGCTGACACCAGCGCTTGCGCGAAGATCGTCTCCTCCGAGGTACGTCCCCTTCCTCTCTGTCCGACGGCCAGCCTCCGCAGCGCCCTGCTTCGCCCCGCCACCGCCCCGAGTGCCGCCCCCTCCGCCTCCCTGTGGTCGCTCACCACCACCTCCAGCACCTCCAGCGCCGGGTGCTCCCCCACACTGTCGATCAGCGGCAGCATGTCGCCGCCCGACTTGTACACCGCCAGCTCCCGCAGCCCTCCCTGCCCCCGCACCACCTCCGCCACCGCCGCCAGCCCGTCGTCGTCCACCAACGTGTGCTTCCACAGCCGCAAACACCGCAGCCTCCCCAGCCCCGCCAGCGCCGGCGCCAGCGTCGCCACCCGCGCCCCACGCATCGGACACTCCCACAACGACACCTCCTCCACGTGCTCCCGCACCGTCGCCCGCTCCAGCGTCCGCCGCAGCGCCCCCGTGTACGCTGCCCCGTGCTTGCTCTCCACCTCCTCCAGCCACCACCGCAGCTCCTCGTCGGGCTCCATGTTGCATGGTCGCGCTGGCTCTGCCGCCTCCACGAGGTCGCGCCACCGGTTCCGCAAGCACCGCACCCGCAGCGGCCTGCCGTCTCGCTCGGCGAACGAAACCATGTCTTCGGTGGTTTCGTCTGCGCTGTCGAAGTCCTCCAGCTCGTAAACATGAACAGGCAGGACGGCCGCATCATCCGCCGCGACCGCCACGCGCGGACACTCCCTAGTGTCGCATGTGATCGTCCCCACCGCCGGCAGTCGCCCGCGCTCCATCCTCTCAGCCAGCGTGTCAATGGTGCTCTTCCTCGGGTAGAAGTCGACCCGCAGCGGCGCGTGCCGCAGCGCCGCCACCAGCGCCGTCCAGCTCGTCGCCGCCACGGCGCGCAGCGACGCCTCCGGCAGCGCCTCCAGCACCGCCGGCACTGCGTCCAGCAGCCTCTCGAACGCACACGGCTCCTGCACGGGGCACACAGCGTGCGAGCGGACGAGATTCATGATCACGGCGAGAGCGCGCAGCCACGATACAGACCGCAAGCACGGTTCGGAGCGGGAAGCGCGAAGCGGTTTGGGCGCAGCAGGGGCGAGAGGGCGGTGCGACGCGGAACAAGGGCCCCTCGCGACGAACGCGCCGCCGTTCCGTCGCATGACTGTTCCACCACGTGCCGCGCAGCTCACCATGCTCGACATCACGTACGAAGGGAACGCTACGTACATCGCCTCGGCCGAAGCTCCGGCCGTGGTGCAGAAGAGGAAGCGACAGGCCGTTCCCGCGCGCAGGACGGAAGCTCCACGCGGCAGTGCCCGTGTTCACCAGGTCGCCCGTGATCTAATCCTCACGCAAACGCAGCCCTGCCCGCCCACAACGCAGCCCGGGCGCGTTCGGGTCGGCCAGTTGGCAAGAGCACCGGTTCGCGTCTGGCCGTCTCGAACTGCACTGCACTCAAACCCTTGCACAGCGGCGGTCCAACACGGACCGTGTCAGTGTCCTGCGCCCTCCGCGCAGCTCGAGCCGGGCTCTCCGCGGCTCCCACGCCACGGACAGCGGCAAGCCTGCTCGCACCTCCAGCAAACCAACGGCAACGTCCAGCAAACCACGTCCCGCCTGTTCTCCAGCGCAAACTGGCGATCCTCGTGCCTCCGCACCGCTGCCCGGCGCCCCCTCGAGGCCCGGTCCGACACCCTGCCATCAGTGTGGCTATACCGTACTGGTATAACCACCTGCGTCAGTCGTCAGTCGCTCACGGCAGCGAGCCCCATCGCACGCGTCAGCGACTGAGTCGGACTCGCGCCGTCGCTGCGATGGGCGGACTCTGCCCACGTGCACCCAGCACGCCGCCATGCGATCACAGTACTCCGGCGGCGGCTCGCTATCTGCGAGAGCCATTTCATCGGCGCATCCCCCGCGCTTCTACGCCTCCTCCCGGCGATGGCCTCCCGCCCCGGTGGACCTCCACCACCTGGTGCTGGACTGCTGTGGCCCGGCGGTACGATCTCCCCGGGAACGAGCAGGTCTGGACAGCTACTGCTTCCGCCCGTCGCTGAAGCGCCTCTGCTGGCCACGGCGACTGTGGGTCAGCGCCGCCGCTTCGCTATCAGCCGCCGTCTGCGCCCATGCCTCGAAGTCTTGCACGGTGCTACAGCTCTTGACTCGGAGGTCGCTGCCAGTGCGTTATCTTCTGAACCTGCCGAAACAGCGAGGCATGGCGATATTCGCTCGTGGAACCGAAGATCTGCTACAAGCTGACTCTGTCACAGCTGCCGAACCTGTCGCTGCCACAACGGTGGAGGGTTGACATGACTCGCCACCTAGTCGCATGATCTTGTCAGGTCCCAAAGCCTCATGGGCGACGACGCGAAGAATGTTGCACCTCACCTCAAATGACTGCTGCACGGAACGCGCTTCAAGTGGGGACGGCACTCCCCGAGAGCGAAAGCGCTCCTAGTGAGCGCTGGCGGCCGCAACTTGCGCCGCGCCCTCCACCGCGAAGTAGTCCTCACCCGCGAGCTCCTTGCCCAGCGCGTCGAGCGCCACCAGGCACGAGTCCGCCACGATGGGCTCCGGGTCTGCCGCGAACTTCCTGCGAGCAGACAGACAGATGGGGATGGGGGGAGTGTGTCGCTGGCATGGTCCGGTGCGGGATTGCCGCGTGAGAGCGACTGGTCGAGGGCCGCCCGTGCCCGTGCGACTGGTTCCCTGGCAGGCGGGGAAGCCGCGACGGAAACGGAGCAGCCCGTGCGAGCGCAGCCAGACCCTGGGCACGGGAACATGCAGCACATATGAAATCCTCGACTCAGCGCGGCTGGCAGCGCAGGCCATGCAGCTTTGGACGCGCATCCTTTCCGCACCTCAGCAGGCCAACGCAGCGGTCGTCCGCGACGGCCCCGAGCGCCTCCGCGGCCTCGTGGCGCACCATGGCGTGCTCCTCTGCGTTGCCCAGTGACGCGGCCAGCGCGTCGACCGAGTCCTTGCGCGCCATCTGCCCGAGCACGTACGCGATCTCGTGCTTCAGCAGCGCCGAGGACGACGCCAGGAGCGTCTCCCCGATCGCCTGCGCCGCCTGCGGCCCCCCCCTGTTCCGGAGCGCGAACAGAGCCCGATACCGCCGGAAGAGCGGAGCCTCCTCGTCCGCGAGGAGCGCCGCAAGCTCCGGGAACGGCGTGCTCGCTGGCAACGCCGGCGTGGGGTCCACGGAGAGGTAGGGGCTCTCCTGCGCGCTGGCGTCCGCGTCCGGCCCACCATCCTGCGACGAGATCCAGATCGGTGCGGCGGGGCCGGTCTGGAGGAGCCTGGCGGCCGCAGCTGCCGCACAGCGCATGAGACGGCGGCGCTGCAAGGGAGCGAGGCGGGGCGCAGCTGCAGCTGCTGCTGCGCCATGGTGCGTGGGACAGCGCACCCGCGCGGCTTCGGAGGGCCCGTCGCCGCCGTGCGCGGCGAAGAAGTCCAGGCGCTGCAGGGCGAGCTCGCAGGTCTCCCGGACCTCCCGTTGCGGGTCGCTGGCGCACCGCTTCACTAGGCTCAGGCACTCATCGCCTCCGATGGCGCCCAGCGCCTCGCCTGGGAGCACGGGGGGCAGAGGCAAGGCGTTCGCACGGCGGAGCGCGCAGTGCTGCGGCGCGCAGCCCCCGTGGCAGCGCTGCTGACGACGCAATGACGGTGCAACACGCGCGCGAGGACGTGTTGCTTCGTGTGGCGCAGTCCGCTGGGTGCGGTACAGGGCGGGCTGGCTTTGCGTAGCTCTCGCGCGTGGCTGGTGCGGGTGTGCGAGCGTTGTTTCCCGGCGATGCCCGCACACGGACGCAACAACACGCACACAAGAACACTGGTGCGCGACTCACCTGCTTCGTGCCGCACCATCGGATGGTCCTGCTCGTTCAGCAGCACCCTCTTGAGCGCCGAAACGGCCGTGGCGTCCTGTCGCTGCCCCAGCGCGAACGCCACGTCGTGCCTGCGGGTGTGGAAGGCCCCTCAGACGTGCCGTCAGCGGCGCCCGGCGCGTCGGACGGGAGCCCGTCCGTTCGCGGCAGCATCTCGTTGAAGAGCGGACGGCGAGGCGCGAAACGGGCCAGTTCCGCGGGGCACGACGCGCTGCGAGCGCTTCGGCTGCTGTGCACGGGCGGCGGCCGCGCCTTCCGGGTCGTTTCGCGCACCTGAAGAGGTTCCCGAGCTCGTGGGCGTTCAGCGCAGCGACGAGGGCCTCCGTGGCCGCCGCGTTGCTCGCGTTCCGCAGCGTCCACAGCGCCTGGTAGCGCAGCGGCAGGTCGTGGCCTGGTTCGACGAGTTTCCGCGACAGGGACGCGACGAGCGCCTCGTCCATCTCCCTCAGCTTCGCAGCAACCATCTCGCACCGCCCAGCCGATCTCCCAGCGACCCAGTTCGTGCTGTGAAGAGACGGGTGCCCCGAGGAGGAAAACTCTGTCTTGCGCTGTGCGACACGAGCGAACGACGACCAGTCAACGCGGGCTGCAGCTTGCTGGAACCAGGTCCTTCGTCGAAGCGACCGGCGTCGGAGAGCAGCGTGGCCATTGAGCCGCGGGTCGGTGCCGCGGACCCAGGGACGAAAAGTGGTCCAGAAGACCTTGTGTCAGGGATCACGGGCCACCGGCGCGCCCGACTGATGCCCGGCCGTGGTCCCGGCCCCCCCGCGTTCAAGAGACGTTTCTGCCGCCCGCATGCAACACACACGTCCCTCGCCTTGCCGTTGAGCCGCGATTCGTAGCCCAGACTCGCGTACAGCACGCACCCGCGCCCCCCCGAGCACCCACGCCCGTCCTCTGCTGCCCCCGAGCGTGGCCGAGCGCCCGGCGAACGCACCGCCGTACCGACCCGCCCGCGGCACGCCCGCCTCAGCGCACTGGCACAGCAGCCCGCTCCCGCCTGGTTCGCCCAGTCTACGGCGACGATGAGCAAGTCCTTGGCGTTTGCCGAGGTGGCGCAGCACAACAAGAAGGATGACCTGTGGCTGATCATCCAGGTCGACGGCACGCACAACGTGTACGACGTCACCAAGTTCTACGACGACCACCCGGGCGGCGGCGACCTCCTCACGCAGGCTACAGGCGCGTGCCCTAGAGCGACGGCAGGGACACCGCGCGCCGCGCGTCCCCCTCCCGCTCCGGGGCTCACACGCCCCGCCGATGGACGGGACATTCTCGATGCGTCCTCCTCGCCGCCGATGTGGAGACTTCGGCCGCGTCTGCACCGAACGCGCCCCCCTGCGCGCCAGACAGCCAGGCGCTCTCCGCCGAGCCAACGCTGGGCCCCGCGGCCCGCCTGCGCGGCCGCCCGCTGCTCGCATAGTTTGTCTGCGGCCCGCCGGAGGCCACCCCGCGCGAGGCTCGCCCTCTCGCGCCGCCGCGCCTTCGCCGCGGCCCCCGCCCACGCTCTCCTGATGTCCGCCCGCCCCGCTCATAGCGCACGCGCAGGGCGCGACGCCACGGACGAGTTCGAGGACTACGGCCACAGCAACCACGCGCGGACGCTCCTGAAGGACTACCTCATCGGGACCCTGTCGGACCCGGAATCCCTCAAGGTGGGTCCGCGCGCCCAGCCCAGTGCATGGCAGCGCCGGGCCAGTGCGCTCCCCGGACCGCGAGGCTTGCCCAGCAGCAGCGACTGCATCCGTGATCCCCCGCGCCCCCCTGGGCCTCCCCGATGAGCGTCGGGGAGGCCACGGGGGGCAGCAGGGCTGCATGCGCCCAGCGACGGGCGGGTCGCGTCGCGTTCCCGCGACGCAGTGTGCCGCACGTCCATGCGCGCCGGCCATGCCGCAAGCGGCGCCGTCCGTCCGTCCCGCGCGCGGCTGCTGGGGCGCACCTGCGCAAACAGCGTCGCCGCTTCCTTCCCCCGCCCCGCGAACGACCGACCACGCCGCCGGACTGCCGCGCTCGCAGGGGGCGACGAAGCGGAAGGCCGGCGCGGCGGTGTCGGCGGGGGGCTCCGGGAAGGAGCTGCCTGAGAAGTCAATGTTCACCAAGGTGCTGCAGACGCTGCTGCCGCTGCTGCTGGTGCTCGCGGCGCTGGGCGTCAAGTTCATGGCCGCGAAGGACGGCGCGAAGGCCGAGCTGTAACTGGCAGCGCGTGGGAGCGGCGACGGTCGGTAGCTGTTTGGTCGCGGCGCCCGCTTTTGCACGCCCGGTCCCTACCACACACAGCGCATGGGCGTGCTACGAAAATGCCAGCGATTCGCCGCCAAGAACGTCAGGAGGTGTCCTCCTGGCACGCACGCACGCACTCGCGCGCCGCCGTGCCCTCTACGAACACGACGCCTCCGCCGTGTGTGTAGAGAGTCCGTGCTTCCCAACGGCAGCCACCACTGTCGCTGCTCTCCGCGACCCTCTCTCTGCGCGACCCTCTCTCTCTTTCTCTCAGCGTGGACTCCGCGGACACGGTTGCTCTCCGCAACGCTCATGACATCAGCAATCCGTCATGACTTACATATTACTCTGGGTTAGCTCCACGCGCACACTTCCGCTGCTGGATATGGCCGCTTTGGTCGGAGGAGCAGCGCGTGCCGCGGCGCGCCATCGCCGTTCACTGCGCCGGGGCCCTCCTGTGGCGCGCAGCGGCCTCCAGCGCAGCAAGGTGGTCGCGCTCGTCCGCCTCGCGCGCCCGCTGCCGGTCCTTCGGGTACGTGAAGTGCAGCCCGGTATAAATCAAGAAGCACATTGTCCAGGGCACGACCATGCAGATCAACATTGCGCTCCCCAGCGCTGCAGCCTTCTCCAAATCCTCCTCGCGCGTCGACGCGCCGCCGCCGTCGTCTGTCGGCGCCGGCGTCGTGTCCTGTGGTGCGTCGGTGAGCGCTGCGCGCACCGCGTCCCCCGCGGCGCTGACCAGGGCGCTGTGCAGGTTGCGTGGAGCAGGGACTGCTGCGCCGACGTCGGGGGCGCCCGGGTCGTCGTGGGGCTTGCAGTCGCCCGTGGACGCGTCGCCTGCACACAAATGCAGCTGGGCGCACCTCGTTTGAGACGGGGTTCGAGACAAGCGAGATGTGCGTGCCAACATTCGAGAGCGTTGTTGTGCAACGCTGACGTGATGAGGCCGGGCAGTGGGTGCCGCGTGCGCGGACAAGCACAAGCGCGTGCTCGAGGCATCAAGATGCGCAGCGGATCGCGTGAAGCAGAAAAGCAGGAAAAAGACGTGCAACACCAGTTGTGATCTGTTGAAGTGATGCGCACCTCTGAAGCCGTACAGCTCTGCGAGAGCGCCGACCACGGGCGCTCCGAGCGCGGCGAGGGCGCCCTCGAAGCTGCGGTCGAAGGCGTAGATGAGGTTGCGCAGCCGCGCGGGGACGATCTCCGCGAACACGGGGTTGTTGCATCCGGGCGCGGTCCACGTGTGCACCAGCCCGAACACCACGAGGGAGACGATGTAGACCGCGACGGTGGCGTCAGGAGACGCGGGGGGCTCCGGGATCGGCGGGAGGCCCTTGAGAATCAGAAACGAAAAGGGGATGCCCTGCAAGGAGACGCGATTCGAGGGACGAAATCGAGCTTCTGCATCGCCTGAAGAAAAGACAGCGAGGTGGAAGACGCTCGGTGCGCAGCTGCGGTGACCGGTCGACCAAAACGACGCACGTCGTGGCGCAAGTCCCCGTCCAGGCTGAACGAGAAAGAAAGGGAGCAAGCACTTCGGGTTGGCATGTCTCTCCCTGGCCCCGCGCGGACCCTGCGACGCGGGGCGCCGTGCAGAGCCAGGCGGCGCGAGCGACAGCACAGATTCAGAGGATTGGAAAGGGGGATGGGGGGGGGGGTTTGGGGGGACGTGACGCACCAGGAAGACGGAAATCTGCGCGACGACGACCCTGCCGTGTCGTGGATAGCGCGTGGCTGCGAGGTCGCCCAGGACGCCTCCGAGCAGGCCGCCGGCGCTTGCTCCGGCCAGGAACGCGATGACGCACACCGAGGCCGCCATGTCGGACATGCCTATGAGCTGGAAATAGAGCGTCATGAACACGAGCGCGTTCCACGGCGTGCTCCCGACAATGCCCTGCAGGAGTTGCACGGAACGCTTCCGCCGGCGTCAGACGCTGCCAGGCTGCGCCCCGCGGGCCCAGGCAAAGGACCAGGAACAGAGCTCAGACACGGGGCGCGATCAGTTGGTCGAACACGGCGTGAGGGTGCCGCCCCGCGCACCTGCAGGATGATGATGACGAAGGTCGGCACCAGCATCACCGTTCGCAGCTCCGCCACCACCTCCGCGCAGGAGTGTCCCCCCTTGGGGACGTGCGCCGCGATCGGCCCGACCGCGCTCCCGTCCCCGCCGGCGTCGGCGCCACGCTCCGACACCTCCGGCCCGTCGCTGATCGAGTCGGTCTTGCGGTGCCGCGCCGACGACAGCAGCGCTGCGGACGCCGCGTGGGCGCTCCCGCCCTCGGCCTCGCTCCCCGGTGCAGGCACTGCCCCGGACGGCTTCTGCGCGGCGCGCTGCAGGACGCTCGGGTCCACGGCGAACGCGAGCGTCCCGATGCCCGTCAAGATGGCAAACAGCGAGACGCCCCGGAACGCCATGCGCCACCCTTCCACCCCCAGGACTGTGCCCAGGGAGGATGTGTTGGTGGCGAAGACCTGCGGACGGCGGAGTCGGCGGCGCGGCAACACGTCAGTCGGGTGCGGGCGGCAGCGACTTGCGCTGCCTGCCTGGTCGTCGCGGATGAAGTGCCCCGTTCCACGGCTGCCGCTCGACGGAGTGGCCCGTGCCTAGCGAGGCGACGGTCGCTCGCGCGCTGCCACAGACAGAGCGACCCGCACAGTTCCGTGCAGTCGAATCGAGGTCGACCTGCTGCAGCAACTTTCATGTCGGAGCGTGGCGCTGACGAAATGCACTGCGGCACCTGACGAATGTCCGTCTCCATGAGGAATGCCAGCGGCCGGGCGAACGAGAGCGAGTACCGGCGCGGGCGAGAAGCGGCGAGCAGCGAGAGGAGCGTGCGGGCGGGGCATGGTCCGCGCGGCCCCCGCGGTGCCGCCGACGGGCCGGAGCGCAGGGCAGCTCCGCGGCGCCGTCAGGGCGCGCATAGATGCGCCGACGTTCGGGGACGCACCGCGCCGAGCATGCCCCCGATAGAGCCGGTGAGGTACAGCAGCCCAAAAGCACGGCCACGTGTGCTGTCGCTGTAATAGTCCGCCACGAGCGACTGCGTGCTCGGGATCACCATCGACAGCCCGATGCCGTTCCATGCCCACACGAACATGCCCACTGCGCCGCGGGGCACCACGCAGTTGCAAGAGGTTTGCAACTAGCACTCCTGTTTCCTCGACTCGGCGTGCAAAGAGCTGCCCCGAACACCGCCAGACCACTCGCAGAGCGCAGGAAGCGCACCGCGGTCGGGCGGCGCACGGCACGTCGCGGAAGCGATCGCCCGGACGCGAAACCGAACAGAGATCTACGCGCACGAAATGTTCGCGCAGCACGTCCCATGGGGGGTCGGCGCAGGCGTGGCCCGCAGCGCACCTGGCACGGAGGACGCGAGGGAGAAGAGCAGTGTGCACGTGCCCCAGATGAAGCACCCGGCCGCGATGACGCGTGTGCGGTCCGCCCAGTGCCCCAGGAAGCCGCCGACGGGGGAGGCCAGGGCCTGCATCAGCGCGCGGCACATCGTGATGAGCGACAGCCGCCGCGGGCTAGCGTGGAAGCTGCACCCGACCCACTTGAACACGGCGGGCAGCAGCTGCTCGTCCGCGCGCTCCAGCACCTGCGAAGTGTGGCGGTGCGCGCAAAGCAGCGCTCGGACGAGGAAGGAGCCGAACGCGAACGGCCGGCCGTACGTAAGGGCCGGAGCAGATGACGCAGGGAAGCGACGGGGGAACACGCGGCGCGGAAGACTCGCTGCAGCATCTTCGCCTTCTGCGCCGACGACACGACGGTGCGATACGACGCCCCGATCGGGCCGTTGCCCAGTCGCACATCGGCGGTATCGCCGCACGCGTACGCCGCGGGGCCGCGTCAGCCGCGCGCATCGAGGCGTGAGACGTCCCTGGTGCACAGGTGGTGCGGGGCGGCGAGAGCGCGGACGCGGGGACGCACCGACGCGAGATTGACCATCACGGTCGTCCTCATGCGGGGCCCGCGCAGCGCCGCGCCCTCCCCGGGCCCGACGCGCACGAACGGAGCCCCGCCCTGTCCCGTCCCACTGCGCTCCCCCGACGCGCCGTCGATCAGGCGCGCCGTCTCGCGGACGTCGTCAGACGCCATTTCGATCACGCTGACTCCAGGATCGTGCGAAGACTCCCTCATACACGCCAAACCATGGCAAACGACGCCCTCTTGTTGCTCTCTGATGCCCCTGCAACGTCGTCTCGCGGGAACTGCCTGGGAACCACACGCAGTGCGATCGTGCGCCTCGATCGTCACTTCAACGCCAGGCGGCTGCCAGACGCCGATGTAGCTCAGCTGAGCTTCGCCTCGGAGCACGGCACTGTTGGAGGACGCAGCGCTGGTGCTGATTCGACGAGGCTGCGAGCGCGCGGGGCTGGAACAGCGGCTGCCGCGGCGTGACAGTGTGCCCAGCGCGCTCGCGCGGGCCCTGGCAATGCCCGAGGACGCTGCGCGAGAGTCGGACTCATTTCCGTACGCCCCGACTCAGGACGAGCCCCAGCCCGCGGGGCCGAGCCCCCAGTGGATTGGTGAGTGGTTCCGATCCGTGGGCGGCCTGCACACGCGCGTCGTGACCCCCTCGGACCAGAGTGTCGCGAAAGTGGGCGAAGGGACCGGGCAAGCTTGGGCCGCGTCTTTTTCGGGCTGCCAAGATATCTCTGGGCACCTCGTAGGACGGCGCGAGAGACGCGCAATGGCTCGCAAGACCGCTGCGAGCTTGCGGCGGACATGATGTGCGTGTCCGCGGCCGCCGTGTGCTCACTGACGCCTGCACATAGATACCCCATACCATGTATTGCTTTCCTGTGCGTCTGTGACTGCCAAGCCGAGGCTGCGGCTGGCAACGTGCAGCCCCGGGCGCGCGCGGACATGGCACGGCCGTGCGTGACGCCGCGTCTCCCGACGGGAGCGGCGTTCGCGCGCGGTGGGACGCAGGGGTGCGCCGGGGGTGGGCTTCACAGCCTAGAGCACGAATACCGCGAGCGCAGCGTGCATGGAACGCCGACCGCCACTGCACAGGCCGTTGGTTCCTCTTCCGGTCAGGACTCAACAGGGGGGGTTACTAGTACTTGACTTCACTTGTACCGTCTGGGTCCGACCGTCCATGCGCGGCACAGATGTGTCTTGGGCGTGCCGCGGGACGTGGTGTACGCAGTCTGCGCGAAGTCCAGCGCGTCAGTGCCGCTGCGCGCGGAGCAGCGACGGTCAGGCCGATGCATGTGCGCAGGTAGCACCCCGAGCTGGTGACGCCGCGTCGGCGCCCCCACAGGGGGCGTCCAGCACCCGACACGATGGACAGAGCTCTGAGGATTGTGGCAGCTGTATTTTTCGCATGGTTTGTTGCCTTCCCTGGAGGAGCGAACGCGCAACAGCACAGGCTGCACAACGCCGTCGTGGCGCTGGCCACGCCCGTGCACGGGAGCGAGGTGGACTACAACTACATGATGTCGGTAGTCCGTGCGATGGACCACATCAACGCCAATGTGAGACGGAGCCCGCCCCCGCGGCGCACGCCCGTCGCCTCGTGCGTGCTTCGCGCCGGCGCTCACGTCGCCCCGGCCGCCCGCCCTCGTTCCGCAGGGCGCCGCCCCGGGGATCTCCCTCCGCGTCCTAGGCGTGCAGGGCATCTCGGACGTCGCGCTTGCCCGGGCCGCCGTCGTCGCTGCGTTCCTCTCCCGCCCTGAGCTCACCCACCTCTTGTGGGTCGACGCGGACGTCTCGTTCGAGCCCGAACAGATCATACGGCTCGTCCGCAGCGGCAAGGGCATCGCCGTGGGGGCCTACCCCGTCTCCTCGGGCAGGCACGTCCCACCGCGCGGCACAGCGATGTCACGATGACCGTGCAAGTGGCCTTCGTGCCGCGTCGACTGCCGACGCGCGCGTTCTGTACCGCACCGATCGCGCAGGAAGTGGGACGAGGTCGTGCGGTTCGCGCGGGGGAAGAGTCCGGACGACCCCCCCCCGCCGAACCACCTGTTGAACGGGATGTCGCACTTCCTGAGCTATGCGCCGTTGCCGCACCCGACGCCGGCCTGGGACCTGCCAAAGGGCTACTACCAGGGGTACAACGAGCCGGATGAGCACGGCTTCCTGCCGATCGCGCAGTGAGTGCCCAGACTCGCGCCCCTGCCTGTGGCCGCCCACACCTCCGTTCCTCGCAGAACACTAGGCGTTTGCCGAGTGCTGCTTCGTGAGGAAGTTCCCGACTGAACGCGACCGGCGTGCGTGCCCAGCAGCGCCGCGCCCGTGCTCGCCGTCGTCCGCAGGACCGGGCTGGGGTTCGTTCTCATGGAGCGGGGGGTGTTGGAGGACATGGTAGAAAAATACAACTTCCTGTCCTACCAGCATCCAGTCCTCGGGTCCTTGCCGGGGCTGTTCCGGCAGGACGTGGTGCAGTCGCCCGAGGGCCCGATGGAGCACTCGAGCGAGGACTACGCGTTTTGCGACCGTGCACGTGCAGCGGGGCACGTCCTGTGGCTGGACACCAAGGGCGGGGGAGTGAAGCACAACAAGATGGTGGCACACAACGGACGCGGGTGGTTCGGACAGGCGGGGTCCCGCGCAGCGCCGTTCGCGTGGGCTCGCGCGGAGGACGCGTAGGGCGGGCTGCCAGAGCGGAAGCGTTGTCTCGTATCACTGAGCGGAAGCCCGCGCGGCTCCGTCGCGGTCGTCGGCCCTCGGCGCGCCCTGCTCTGGAGCTGCGACGAGCCACCTGACAGCCATGGGCTCACGAGCCGTGATGTTACACCTCCCGTTTGTGTCTGACGCACTGGATCGGCGCCAGAGGGCCGGTGCGGCCCCCGTGGGCGCGGCGCGTCGCTGACGCATATCGCCCTCCCTGCGACCGCACGCCACGGTCGCTTTCGGCCGTTCCGGCGGCGGCTCCGCGACCACGACACGTGGCGCGTGCGTGGAGCTCTCTCAGCTGTGCGGGGCGCGCCGTGCGGATCGGTGCGCGGTCTGCGCCGTCGGGCGGTCATGCTGGGCGCCGGGGGCCGTCGCGCGCGCCCCTCCCGGAGCCCACTGCCCCCACGTCACGCTCGCGGAAACGACACGTTTGTAGAGTACTCCCCCCTCGACCCCGTTCACCAGAGGCCGGCCCCCGCGTTCGTGCGCACCGACCACTGCGCCCGCACCGACCGCCTGGTTGTCCTCGTTCGGGCCCTCTTCGCGTCACACTGACATATGTACACACATGCAACGACGTCGACGCTATCCCACGCTGCCTGGAATCCGAACCACGTGGACACCTGGAGCACCCAAGGATCGCGATTTCTCATCGGACCGTGGGATGCAAAGTGCCCCACGCACGGCAGGGGTGTCAGTGTGGGGTCTGAGGGGGGAACCGTCCGCTGACGCCGGCTTCCGTTCCCCCGCCGCCGTTGCCATGACCGCCACGGCATACACACGCACTTTGATATTTGTTTGGCGCACATTGTTTGCGAGCTCGGATGCGCACGGCGACGTACGCGGCGAGTGAATCAGTCCACGGCCTGCCGCTGCGTCAGTTGTCCGTATTCGACGCTTCAACGCCTGCGTAGGGTTCACGCAGAGCTGTCATCGCGCACCAGCGAGAGCCCCGCCGACTTCCGATCCGCCCCCGCGGGCGGCTCACCGACGCCATGAGTTCGATGCCCGATAGCAAGCAGGTACGGGCGGCCACTGCCCCGCCGAGGTCCGGCCAAGTGGAGCTCCATTTCGCACATCACGGGGCAGCCCCGCGATGGTGACGCTCGATGAATCTCACGCGGTCGTAGGCGGTCGCCCCCCGTCGGTGAAGATGCTTGATACTTGCCGCCCCGGGGTCCGCTGCAGGAGGGATCGCTGGCGGAGATCACCCAGGACGGCGTCACGTACACAAAAGGCGAGTGGACACCGCAAATATCTCGGGAGTAGGCCCGTGTCACGGCCGCTGCGCGCCGTCCTTGTGTGCAGCGTGCCATGTAATCCGCGCCCGACGTGCCGCGGACTGCCCTTTGTGGTCAACACGACGCTCTGCCGTCGCGTTAGGACACGAGGGTTCAAGAGGGCGAACACGGGCCGTGTGCGCGGGGTTCGGGCAGCACGTGAGGGAAGGGTCACCTTCCGTGCACCCGCCCCCCTTGGCCGCAGGGAGCTACGTCCTGATCAAGACGACCGTTCCAGGCGAGGAACGAGGCGTCGCGCGCCTCGAGCAGCTGCTGCACGGGGACGGGGAGGCCAGCGCGGAGCTGCGGTGAGTGAGCCACCCAGGCATCCCTCCCGCGCCTGCTCCGGGGTTGCCGACGCCGGAACCATGCTTCGTCCGAGCCCAGACCCTGACCGATCGGCGATACCCTGCTCCGTGCTTGCGCTGCGGGCGATCGGAGGGCACATGAGACCAGTCACTGGGTGCTGACAGTCACGAAACAGCGGGGTCGCGACCGCGGCCGACAGCTCGCTCGAGGCACACAAGCACCTCGCATCCCAATGCCCCGAACGCACGCATCTGATCGGGAGGGACGCCCGCTTTATGCGATCTCTGGATCTGATCGCCCCCTCGCTCCGGCTCTCTGCGTGGCTCGCATCCCTCGAGCGTGACGCGGCAGCCCCCTTGTTGGCCTCCGCAGCCTGCTCCGCCGCCCGACGGACCTCCAAGACGTGCGTGTGGCGCCGGGGGAGGAGCCTGCACCCAACGAGCTCGTGCTCTCAGACGACCTTCGCCGCGTACCTCTGTCGAAACTTGATGGCCTCGCCGCCGTCTCGCGATTCAAACATGACAAGGTACGCACAGACGGCCCGCAATCACGTCGCACAGCGCTCCGGGAGCCTTCCGTTCGCCGTTGCCCTTGTCGGCCGCACATGCCCTCCCGCCGCGTGGATCCCGCACCCGCACGACGCCCGGCGGCTGCCCGGGCGACGAGGCCGCGCGAACTCGACGCGATCTGACGCGCTGCCGCCCCGCCCAATCGCAGGACGCCCCGTACGTGTGTTTCCGCCGCTTCGACCCCTCGACGCGCTCGCTGTCCACGGAGGACCACCCCCTGGGCAGGTACCCGCCCACCGTGAGCGACTTGATTGGGCCGCCGTCCGGCAGCGCCTCCGGCGCGACGCCAAAGAGCACACCCAGCTCCGCCACGCCTCCGACAAGCAGCTCTCAGCCGCCCGCCTCGGCGTCCACGTCGGTGCCCGCGAAGACGACGGCTCGCAAGCGCGACCCCCCCGCGGCAGCAAAGAAGACCCGGAACGCCAAGCGCACGCGCACGGTGTCCACCGCGAACGTTGCCTCGGCGTCTGCGGGCTTCGGGCTCGCCCACAGCGCGGCCCCGTCGTCCGACCGCATGCTCGTCCTCCCCAAGGACCTGCGGTCGCGCTGGTCCCGGGAGCGCTACGAGGCGGCGCAGCGGTCGCTGATGGACGTGCTCGTGCGCATGGGCGCGATCTCGCCCGCGCAGGCGCTCGCGCGGCCGAAGCTGCGCGAGGAGGCGCGCAAGCTGGTTGGCGACACGGGGCTGCTCGACCACCTGCTGCGCCACATGCCGGAGGCGTGCGTGATCTCCGGGCTGCTCGTGCGGCGTATGCAAGACCAGCGCGGACACATGGTGTACTGGGCGGAGATCGCGGACCCGTCGAAGCGGACTGCAGGGGTGCTGCCGCTGCCGCCGGCGGCCCCGCAGCCACGCGCGGAGGGCGGGATGAGTGCCTCGCGCAATGCTCCGCGCGACGCGCCTGGTCGTCGCGTTGAGAGTGCGGTGTACGAGGCTCCGGCGCGACCTCCGTGCGGCGTGCAGACCTCGGACGGGACGATGAGCGGCCTGCCCACCCAGTTCGAAGGCGATGAACGCAACCTACAGGCGCTGATGTCGCTGCTGCATCAGGCAGGGGAGATGCCGCCGCCGCTCCCGATGTCGCTGCCCTGCATGTCGTCGCCGCAGCAGCAGCAGGTGCCAACTTCGCCGCTGCCGCCGCGTCTGTTCCCTGCTGGGGCGGGCACGGAGGAGCGCATCAGCTCGCTGGAGCAGCGCTTGCAGGAGTTCGAGCGCGGGTGCATCACCGTGATCGCTGCGTTGGAGCAGCACCTCGCCGCGGTCACCGCCCGCCTGGACGAGGTGTCACAGCAGCAGCTGGCACTGTCCGCGGCGCTGGCGCGCCTGCTGCAGACGCAGCTGGCGCCTGGGTCGACTGGACAGAGCAACGTCGATCTGCTGTCGGCGCTGACCGCTGCGTCCGGGCCGCCCCACCCCACGTGATCCCCCTGCCCTCGGCACACCGGCACCGGCCGACTCAGCACAGCGCCCCCGATGCTGGCGCCCGGGCGTCTGCCAGCTCGACGACAAAATGTTTCTGCGACCCGCCATCCCTGCGGGGGATAGATCTCTGGCTGCGCCGCCGAGAATCGCCCGCTTTGCAGCGCCATGCGACCACTGATGTCCGCGTGGCCGGCCCTCACCATCCTCGGCTTGCATTTCTCCTGCTCGTTTCCGGCATTTCTCGGAAACGATCGTACCGAACCTCGTAGAACATCGCCACGTTTTTTCGCTGCAACTTCCGGGACCCTCACATATCGGTGCCCAATGGAAGGACTGTGCCATTTCGGAGACCGAAAGCACTTGCACTCGCTGTCCCACCAAAGGCAGCCCTCTGAAGCATATACCCCGTCCTCCCGAACCCCACTTCGAACCCCCTCCGCTCGAGCCCCCCCTCCCCCGCATCCCCCCGCCGGGAAGAACGGTACGAGGGGCTCGCCTGAAGCACCGTTGCACGAACGAACTGCACATAAGCCGCTCAAGATGCATGTCATCACGCATGTGTTTCAGTGCGTTGACATTGTGCGGGGGCTTCACGTTTTGCATGCCCAGGCGCCGTCACCGCGTACGACCGCACGGCAATCCCTTGCTCTGCCGCAAATGCTGGTCCAGGCGTCCTGCCCGTGCGTTCTTCCGTGTCATGCGTCGCATCCATAAATAGACGCACATTAGCTTGTGACACGTGCATGCTATCTCATGCCGGCGCAACGCATAACTATGTCGCGCTTCCAGCTATCGCAAACCTCCTTGCGACCATGGGCGTGCAACAGCGGGCCCACACCCAGACCACGGCAGGTCTTGTATCGCAGCTGCAGCCCGCGCGGCTCCGTCGCGGTCGACGGCCCTCGGCGCGCCCTGCTCTGGAGCTGCGATGAGCCACCTGACAGCCATGGGCTCACGAGCCGTGATGTTACACCTCCCGTTTGTGTCTGACGCACTGGATCGGCGCCAGAGGGCCGGTGCGGCCCCCGTGGGCGCGGCGCGTCGCTGACGCATATCGCTCTGCCTGCGACCGCACGCCACGGTCGCTTTCGGCCGTTCCGGCGGCGGCTCCGCGACCACGACACGTGGCGCGTGCGTGGAGCTCTCTCAGCTGTGCGGGGCGCGCCGTGCGGATCGGTGCGCGGTCTGCGCCGTCGCGCGGTCATGCTGGGCGCCGGGGGCCGTCGCGCGCGCTCCTCCCGGGGCCCACGTCACGCGCGAACTCGATCGGAAGACCACCACGATCACAAAATGACTGATCAACTTCGATTGATGACTGATGATCAACTTCGATTGGATTGGTGCGGGTGACGTGCGCGCCCCAGGCGGCGCGCGGCATGGCCGGCGCATGCGCGTGGTCTGGCGAGGCGAGTCGTGTCGGTGCGATGCGCCCACGCGCGCGCCACCGCACGGCCGCTGCAGTGGTGCGGACAGGCACCGACGACAGCGCGTGTCGCGTTGCAGTGCGTTTATCTGCGCCACATGAGCTGAGCGGCGGGTGGAGGTGCCAGATGTCGCGTATTCGGCGGGCCCCCGGGTACAGCCCGACGGCGGCGAGGGTCAACTTTGCGTCCTCCACTGGACTGTCCATCGACAGCTCCCTGATGGACATTGGAACCGCGCGGCGTGCTCGTGCGCGCAGTTCGCATGCACAAGCATCGAAATCATACCTGCTCGCGTCAGTTTGTGCGTTCAGCGCCAGGGCGGCAAGGTAGAGCAGCGCGACGACGCCGAGCGCGTCTGGCCAACGTACAGCAGAGCTTGCGGCCGCGAGCGAGGAGAGGGTGGTGGCCCGTTGGCGAGAACTTTGTTGATATAGGTGCGCGGCAGAGACCCCGCGGGCGCCGCTGGTTCGAGCTGCTTCCTCGCGCGCCGCACACGTCGATGAATATACAGCCGCGTGGCCCCCGCGACGGCCTCGAACCGGGCTCCGGAGTTTCTCCGCACCGGTGATCAGCCATGCAATGTCAGACTTCCCCTCGTCTCGGGCGCGGTTCGCCGGGATGCGGGTTTCGCCTGATCCAGCGCGGAAGCCCGTCAGGAGGCGAATTGAGAGCGAATCTGCGAGTCACGTCCATGGCCCCCACGAGCCTGTTATCTTTTCGCGCCCCTCGCATCGTCGCATGCCCACGGAGGGCGCGCACAACGCACGGTGGGGCGGCAACGCCACGATCGCTTTGCGTCCTCTACGCGCTCACGCAGCGGCGTGAATTCCCGCCTTGCAGGTCGCGCCGCGTTGTACGTTGAGGGAGGCACAACACAGCGGCGACGCTGCAGTCCGTTCCGCGCGCAGGCGAAGCAGGGCCGTAGGGAACCATGGGCAACTGCCTTGCAACCGCGTCGATGCCGGTGCGTTCGGCCCCCCGCAAGCGCCCCGGGCCCCCGGCCCCTTCCATCGCCCGCTGATCAGCGGCGCGCGCTGGAAGGCCGAGCGCGGCGTTCGCGGCGCTCACGGGCATTGATGCTCTCTGGGTGCGCGCAGGGTGGCAAGCCGCGGTGCGAGCACTGCAAGCACACGGCGGCGGTGGCGTGGACCGCCATGACCGACGCCCAGAGGATGATCTGGGTGCGGCTCAGCGACACTGGTTTCGCGCACCGCGTGTGTCAGACCAAGGTCTCGGTGACGACCGAGGCCAGCACGCGCCGGCTCGGCGTGACGCGGGACACTGCGGCGTCCGCGGACGCGCCGTCGGTCCGCGCAACGCCCCGGCCGCCCGAACGAGACCGGCTCCGGGCCGGATCCGCGGCCACGCAGGCGTGCGCGTCGGGTCACTCTGGCCTCGGCGTCTGCGGCTGCGACGAGCGCGCTCCGGACGGCGCCGTGGCTCTCAGCCGCGACGACTCGCTCAGCAAGGCGAAGAGCGTGCCTCCCAAGCGGACCGGACTCACACCCGCGCAAATCGAGGGCCTGCAGTGCCGCCGGATGTTTGGCCTCGGCAACGCACGGCCGCCCGCGCTGTTGCAGGTGGTTTCCACGCCACGTGCCGCCCGCACGTGCATGCCACGGCTCCCTCCTCCAAGCGCGCCCGGCGCACCCGTGCCGCACCGGCCTGCCACGGCCCCGCGGGGCCGCCAAACCGCGGGGAAGCACAGCGGCTCGCTCACACTCGAGTTTCCTCGACTGCTGTGCCGCAGATACCGGAAGACTCCAAGTGGCGCGTCAATTACTGGGAGATCTCCCGCTACCGCAAAAACCCGCGCATCGAGCAGCTCTGCGGCGCCGCGGCGCGCTCCGCGCACTCGCGGAAGGAATTCGAGCGCCGCAAGCACACCAGCGACCGCCCAGCAGGAGCGCCAGCCTCGCCGCCCAACACCCCCGTGGCGCGCCCGGCGCCGCAGCAGCAGCAGCGCGCGCTCACCACCGTCACCAGCGCCCCCGTCGTCCGCCGGGACGCTCCCAGCGCGGGCCAGGCGCATCCGCCCGCGGACCAGGCGGCGCCACAGCGCGGCAGCTCTCACCCCGGCGGCGAGGTGGGGGCGCGGCAGACGGTGGGCGTGCGCGCGGAGCCCGCTGCGCGCGAGGACCCTTGCCCCTCGCCCGGGAGCTCCGTGGAGAACGATTCCGGGCTCGGCGCGGCGGGCGGCGGGAAGCACAGCAGCGGCACCCACGCGCATGATGTCGGCGGCGCAGACGAGGAGGGGGGTGTCTGGCGACCGCTGCCGCTGGAGGACAGCAGCCCGACGATGCCGCGCGACCACGAAGCGGCGGCGACCGACGTGCGGGTGGTTGCGGCTGCCTCGCAGCACACAGCACAGGTGGCCTGAAACGAGGCCGCGCGAGCGGCCGGGAGCGCCGCCGGTCAAGACCGCCGGAACGCGACGTTCCTCTTGCTCTGCGAGCGCGATGGCGGCCGTGCCGCGGCGGAGGGCTTTGCGGCGCCGAGCTGCCATCACGCGACGAGCTGCCATCACGCGACGTGCTGCAGCGCGACGGTCCAACACGGGCTCAGTTCGCTTCCGGTTCCGCGGCCGTGGTTGAGTCACACTAGGTTGAGTCACACATGCCGCGTGCCGGCGTGGGCGTCTCCTGTCGCTCTGCGTTCTGTCGACACGGATGCCTGCGAGTATGCGTGTTGTAATGGACTTCAACTGTGTTGTCTCTGGGCAGCTGTCCCTCGGGTAGCAAGGCACGAAACATGGTTCGCTGCAACAGCCATGCCCCCTGCCGCGGCCTCTCGCCGCCGAGTGCTGCATACGATCTGCTGATAGCAGGCCAGAGCCTCTCCCGGCACAGTTTGCGTGGCGCGAACACTCTCAGGCACGACGACGCTTTGCTCGGGACAACCGCATCCGCATTTCTCTTCGTTTTCGTCTCGCTCTGGCGCGGTTGTTGAGTGACGCATCCAGTACCACCTGTGCGTGTCTGGGTGTCACATCCTCATGCACAGGCACGGACACTTGTACACGCACACCGCGACGCCCCACTGGTTCGCATGCAGCAGCGAGGGTCACTTCCGCGCCCACCGGTCGGCCAGCTCACAATACAGCCGTGCCTGCCAGCGGGCCGCGCAGCGTCACCGCCCGCGGCCCCTCCCGCCCCCCTCTCGCCCGCGGCCCCTCCCGCGGCCCCCGTCCCCCCTCCCACGCCCGCGCCCCCGCCCCCCATCGCGCCCGCCCGGACCGCCACGCCCGCCCCCGCGCCCCGCCCCCGTCATCTGCGCCTCCATGCGCTCCCGGTCAGCCTTCAGGTCCTCCTCGGAGACCTTCTCCACCACGTCGTCGGGCACCCGTAGGTACTTGATCGTGTTGCCACGCACGTAGATCTCAGGCAGGCGCAAAAACTTGTCGCCGTCGCGGGACGTGTAAATGGCCTCGCGCAGGTGTACGTTCATCCACGTGTCGCACGCGACCTGCGTGGGGTGTGCGGCGCGAAGACCGCGGCGTGACACGCCGTGCGCCACCGCGCGGAGAGTTTGGCGCGCGGGCGCCACGGCACGGCGCATGGGCTTGAACGAGCGTCGGCGCGACGGCTGGCATGATTCGAGTCTGGAAGAGGTCGTAGAGCCACGGAGAGGCCGGCAGGGCGCGTGCGCAGGGCGCTGCGGGTGGTGCTGCTGCTGCCGCAGTGATGGCACGCTCCGGGGCGGCAGGGCGCGCTGCTCGGCCGGCGAGCGCGCCAACGAGGACGTTCACGCTGGGATCTGCACGGTCATTGCCGCCACGATCGCCGGCGCGCGCGTGGCTGCACAGCACGCCCGCGTTTCCTCCAGGCGCCCCGCGCGGACGCGGAACGCCGCGCAGGGGCCGCACGTCGGCGCGGGGCGCGCGCAGGGACACAGCTCCGCAGCGAGTCACGGGCGTCGGAAACTGCGGCGCGCACCATGTGTCCGTTGTACGTTTCGCCCGTCTTCAGCTCCACCAGGACCGGGTGTCCCTGACCCGCCTTCAGGAGCGTGAGCGGCAGCATCCTTCCCAGTGCAGCTGCGAGCCACCGCGAACAGACGCCCAGTGGACAGCCAACGCCGCCTCGGGCGCGCTGCGTGCCCCGCGGCGCGTCAAGCAAGCGCCTCGCCTCTACCGCCCGCTGCTGCTCTATCGCGCGTAGACAGGCGGTGAGACGGTCCCCGCGCGTGAGGCCCTTGCGTTGTGCGTGCGTGCGGCGCGCGTCGGATCCACATGACACCGGAGCGACGCTCCCTGGACTCACCACCAAGTTGGTTGCACGGCCCGGTGGCGTGTTCTGGTCTCGGTCCCGGAGCGGGCTTCGAGGGCTGCGCGCGCCCCCCGCGGCCGCGAGACGACGCGCGCGGAAGCCTGTGCAGGTGGTTGCGGCGCCACGGGTACGAATAGAGACCGGGGCTGCGTCGTTGAGCGCGCAAAGTAGAGCCAGCGAGAAGCCCTCGCGTCGCCCGCGTCCGGGGTCGAACGGAGTTGGCGCGGCACAGAATGAGCGCGGCGAAAATCACGCTGATCCGGAAGTCGGACCTGGACCGCATGGAGTCCCGCCTGCGCGAGCAGCCGTCGAGGGACGCGCACGAGCGAGCACGACTCAAGCAGCTCTCCGACGACAAGGTCGCCAAGTGGCCGAACACGATCCAGGCGGAGCGCGCCAGGAAGGAGAGGGAGCGCGAGGAGCGCGCTGCGCGAGAGGAGAAGCGCAAGCAGGAGATTGACCGCGCGCAGGTGCCGCACCGTGCACCTGCACACGCCTCCGCCGCCCAGCGCGCGCCGCCGATCGCCGAGCGCCCGCACGTTACTGCGCACATGCTCCCATGGAACAGTCAGCGCGTGCGAACGAGCGCGCTGCGCACGCGCGCACCGCGCGCGGGTGGCTCCATGCTGCATGACGCCGCGCTCGTCCGCGGTCGCGCGGGGCCGCCCGCCGAGCCGCGCGAGCGCACGCCGGACGCGCACGCAGGCCGTGATGGTGGAGGAGGACCGCCGGAAGCAGATTACCAGGGCCAAGGGCCTGCTCTTCGACCAGCAAGACAAGGTCAAGGCACTGCACTCGAAAGTGCTCCTCTCCGACGTGCTCGCCGAGCGGGAGCTCCAGGTGCGCGTCCTCTGCGCTCTCGACGCCCCACCGGCGCGGAGGCGCCGCGGGACCCCCGCAGCGCGCCGCGCAGGGCTCTGGCATGTAGCAGGGGCCTCACGGGCGCCTCGCAGCGCGTGCGGCGTCGCTCCGCAGATCCAGCACTCGAGGAAGATCAAGGAACTAGATAAGGAGGACGAGCAGAAGTACGTCGCGATGCAGCGCGAGGCCATCGAGATGGCGGAGGAGGCGGAGCTCGCCAAGCTGGAGGCACACAAGGGGCGGCTCATGCAGCAGCGGGAGGCGCAGCTGCAGCAGCTGGAGGCGCTGAAGCAGAAGATCGTCCGCGAGAAGGAGGACAAGCTCGCGGAGGGCCAGATGGTGCGCCAGAAGGCCGAGCAGGAGGCCGCGGAGATGCGCGAGATGGAGAAACGCCGACAGGTGAGATGCGCGCCGCGGGGCGCGTTGGCGCCGTCCCGGTGCCCCGGAGGTCGGCCTGCGCTGTGGTGGCGGATGCAGCGCGAGGACGGGGCGGCTGGGGCGCGTCCGGGGGGCGCAAGCGGCGGCTCCGCACACACGACGAGCTGCGACCCGTGCGCTGCGACGACGTGGGCGGCATGGGCTGCGGCCGAGGCCGTCGCTGCGTCGCGCCGGCCGCAGTCCGCGCCGCACGCACACACGCCGTCGTCGCTCACGCCACCAGTGGCTGTCGGACTGACGACGCCTGCGCACCCGCGGTGCGTTCGCCGTTCGAGTGCGCGACAAGCGCTGCGCGCCGCCCGTGGTCGCAGGAGCGCGCCGAGCAAGCGGCGTACGAGACGATGCTGGCGAACCAGGCCCTCGAGGCGTTCAAGGCGCGCGAGGCCGTGCGGGAGCAGGAGCGCGAGCGGGCGATTCTGGAGTACAGGAAGCAGAAGGAGGAGTGGGAGGAGTCGCTACGGCAGCAGGCCGAGGAGAAGCGCACGCGGCGGCTGCGGGACGCCGAGAAGCTCGCCGAGAAGATGGAGACGGTCTTCAAGGCCGCGCAGGCGCAGAGCCACCGCAAGCTGCTCGCGGACGTCAAGCGGGTGCGGACCGCGCCGGCTTCGTTTCTCCTCGCGCCGATGCGGCTCCTCGCGCGGGCCGCGCGGCCGCGCGCTGCATGCATGCCGGGGGAACCTAAGACCGAGACGCCCCGGGCCGTGAGCGCGGGTTTCAGGCCGGGCTGCGCCTCGACAGCTACAACTCTTTCCGCGACTCGATCGCCCCGTGCGCGTTCTGTGTGCTGGCGGTCCGTGCCGTGCGACGCCCGCGTCACCCGTGTGCCCTGGGTGGGGGCGCCTGCTTGCCCGTCGAGGGCGTCGCGCTGCGTCCTGCGACCGCGCCGCCCACGCGCGCATTTGAATTATCGCGCCGCAGATGGACGAGGCCCGCGAGGAGGACGAGCGTCAGCGCCGCGAGCGTCAGCAGAAGATCCAAGCCGAGATCGAGGCCGCGAACGCGCAGCAGCTCGCCGACAAGAAGGCCAGGGCCGAGGTGGCGAAGCAGCGCGACGTCGAGGAGCGCGAGCGTCTGCAGAAGCGCGCCGAGGACGAGAAGCGCGAGGCGCAGGAGGCGGTGGAGCGCGTCGCAGCGCGCAACCGGCGGCACCAGGCGCTCTTGGTGCGGCAGATGGAGCAGAAGCAGCGCAGGAGGGAGGCGGCGAGGATGCAGGCGGAGGTGGACAATATGCTGCAGACGACGGGCGCGGACGAGGAGCAGTTCGAGCAGTACGCGCAGGAGGTGTTGGGGGAGTTGGAGAGCGCGGGGCGGAACACGCTGCCGGTGCGGACGCTCCTGAACGCGCGGCAGGGCGTGGAGCACTGGGGCACGACGAAGCGGGCGTGATCCGCGGGGGTGTATCGAACATGCAGTGTGACACACACGTCAGTGAACCCGAGACAGACCGTTGCGCGTCCAATGGCGGGTGTCGCCAGGCGCCGGTGCAGAGCAGAGTGCCGGGGAAATCCAACACGGCCGGCTGCGCACTACGTTGTCAGCACATGCCGACAGGGGCTGAGCGGGTTCGCACGGCGACGTCCAGCAAGCTCTAATAGCTGTAGCAAGCAGCTCTACCAGGAAGTTGAGCGCAGCCGCCTGCGTGCGGCTCACAGCGCGGGAGACCCCCCCGCGGGTCGCCGGAAGAAGTCGTTCAGCCGGTTTCCGAACGCCTCGTCCACGAATGCGTACGACTTCAGGTACTGGTATAATCCTGGCGTGGAGGACTCTGTCAGCTTGGCCGCTAAACCCCCCCGCCCGCGGCCGAACTCCTCCACCAACCGCATGTACGCCCAGCGCAGTCCATCTCTCACGTCGCTCCGCCGCGAGCCCCCGGCGCCCTCCGCTCCACCCCCTCCGGAACCCCTCTCGGCCCCACGTCTCCAGGGCGGTACCGGCTCGTCAATGCGCCGCCGCTCGAGTACCCGCCCGCCGCGACGTGGCCCGAGTCGAGGCCTTCCAGGTCCTCGCCGACGCCGCGGCGCGCCCGGGCGAGCCGGGACTGCTTGGTGCGAGCAAGGGAGGCCTCGACGTAGGACGACAGCTGGCCACTGGTCATGTGGCGGCCCGCGACGAGGAGCACGCGCAGGACCTCGTCGTGTACCTGCGGTGGAGCGTTGCGGCGCGGGGGCGGCGTGGGAGCGAGTCGAGGGCCGTTGGGGACGGAACGCCCTGAAACGCAAGACGAGCGGCGGCGGAATGGCTCATGGTTTCGGCATACGATGGCTGCATCGAGCACAGCAGCAGGAGCCATTTCGCGCCGCCGTGTTCGATCGAAACAAGCGACGCGCAAGCATGCATGAGTCAGGAGGAGGGGGGGTGACAGGTATGACAGCATGCCTACCTGCGGGTCCACGCCGATGAGCTTCATCAGTATTCCGTCGAATGCGAGCTCCCAGAACGCGTCCCCTGGCACCACGCCTCCACCCTGCACCGCCGACGCCACCCGCCGCGCCAGCGTAGCAGCAAACGGCGCCCACTCCACCAGCGACCCCGGCGACCGCGCGCACAGCCCCTCGAGCACCCTCCGCAGCACCGACAACATCGCGACCGCCGCAGCGTAGTCCGCGCGCCCCGCCGCCACGTCGCGCGACCGGTCTGCTCCCCCAGTTGCATCGAGCGCGTAGAGAAACGCGGGCAGCCTGGCTTCGGGTGACCGCGTCAGGTGCGGTTGGAGCTTGTTCGCGGCCTCGACGAGGGCGGACGCGGTGCCCGACGTGGCCGCGGGGTCATCCGGTGCTCCGGGGGGGTTGTTGTTGTGGCTAAGATGGATGACAGCACGCAGGAGGGGGTAGTATTCCCGGGTGAGCTCGAGCGAGGGGGACGGGAGGGCGACGCGGGCGCCTGGATCGCCGGTGAGCTCGCGGAGGAGCCAGCGCGCGCTCATCGCGAGCTGGAGCAGGCGGGAGAGGAGCTGGAGGGGGGTGTCCGGTGTGTCGGGGGGGGAGTCAGCGGGCGGAGTGAAGGGCTCGGAGTCCGCGTCGGCCCCGAGCCGCCGGACAATCTCGTGACCAAGGAGGTACAGCGTCGACGGGTCGCGCAGCGCGGCACCTGCATCAGTCATGATTGTTGGAAGTGTGGGCAGGCCGTCAAAGTCACGCCGGGCCGTAGACGCGATGCAACGTCAGATGTACGCATACAGCATCGACGCGCTTGCGTCGCACGTGCACGGTGCAGAAGAGGGGTGCACCCCTGACGCGAGCCGTCAATCAACACCCCCCACCCTCACCTGCTTCGCCCAGCAGCCGCCCGCGCGCCATCTCCGCGGGCATCTCTTCGCCCTTTTCCCGCGCTTCGCGCATCTCTTCTTCGCGTCGTCGCCGTTTCCGTTCCCGCGACTCGTCCCCGATGCCCTCCGCCCCCACCTTGCGCATCCGCATGCGCCCCGGCACGTGCGGTGCCGCGCTCGCGAAGCGCCCCTGGTCGCCGCCGGCCTCCTCAGCCTCCTTCTCGCGGTCACGCAGCGGGTCGAAGAACAGGCGGAGCGCGGCGAGGGAGTCGTCCGAGATGCGGTGCTCGGCCAGGGAGGTGTCAAGGACGTACGCCAGGGGGAGTAATGGATCCGCGGAGGCGACCTCTTTGACGCCGTTGTCCAAAAGCATCAGCAGGAGCTGCACGCGGAGCGTGCAGTACGACGCAAGCCCTGCGGAGGGTGGGGGTGTGGAGTTGTGTCGAGGGGTGTCACCAGGCCTGCGTGGTCGCCGTGTGCGAGTCGGGTCGACGTGGACAGGCAACGAAGTGCTCTTGTGCGTGTCGACGAGAGTGCCTTTGCAAGCACCGAGTTGTGCGGCCGACAGCAGCAGAGATGCACTGCAAGACGAGGGATGTCTAGCATGAAACGCAGGCGGGGCCATTCGCGTGGGTCAAGCGACAGGTGCGCGCCGAGCTGCAGCACAGACGTCCCCACGCACCTGCCGACACGAAAACCGCGCTCTCGGCGTGGAACTTGGTCAGCATCAGGGCTGCGAGCTTGGAATACACCCCCCTGGACTCCCCCACCATCTCCGCGAGCTGCCGCAGGCTCCCGCTCCCGGCGCGCAGCACCCGCCGCGGCAGCACCGGCAGCCGCCGACCCCTCCCTGACGTCAGTCCGCCCGGCGGGGCGCCCAAGTCCATGTCCAGCGCGCGCATGCGCGACGCGGTCTCGGACGGGTACTGCGCGACGACGGGCAGCGCCCAGCGCTTGAGGAGCACCTCGTCGATCTCGAAGACCTGCCGCTGCACCGTGGTGGGCAGCTCTGCGAGGAGTTCCTTGTCAGCAGCCAAGCGCCGCAGGTAGGCCTCGGGAACGGGCCGCAGCCCGCCGAGGGCGGCGAGGGGGACGGGGCGGAGCTCCTGGATGCCGATGTACGGGAAAGAGGCGTCGAGGAGGAGCAGGAGGCGGTCCTGCGTGGCAGAGGTCATTCAAAGGAGGACGCGTGCGTGAGGTGCTGGGTGCAAATGCGGCGTCACGCGGTGTTCGGGCCCGGGCACGGACTTGTGCTCGGGTGCGGTGGTGGCGGGAGGACCCGAATGCGGGGTCGTGCGAAAGCGCCGTCCTGCCTCTCGGGCGTTTTGGGCGGGGAGAAAGCGGGCGGAAGGGAGCTCGCCTGGGACAGATTGGGGATCGCAGCGAGGAGCTCGACGCGGGCCGCGCGGATGGCCGCTTGGCAGGCCTCCGCGCGTGGCACGCCCACGGCGCCCAGCAGGCCCAACACAGCCTCGCACCTGCGTGCCGTCGCGGCGCGACCAGCAATGTTGTGACAGAAGCTGACGCACGTAGATTTGAAACGGTGTTTGGGGGCATGCACGTGTCGCAAGTCATCGGCGGTAGGGCGTCAGAAGCGAGCAAGTGTGGAGGCGGGTGACGCAAGCGTGCGCAGCGTCCGGTGTCCCGAAACGTAAGTTCGTGCGCGCGGTCGGTTCCTGACTTACCTTGCATCCTGCAGGGAGCCGCGGGCCTGAATCTCCTGGATGGCGCGCTGCGGCGCTCCCCCTCCCAGCATCATGGCCACATAGTCGCTGCCCGCCGCGCCGACCAACGGCCCGTCGTACTCCGCCTCTCCGCCCTCGCTGACCTCCCAGTTCATGACGTCCGGTGCGAATCACCTCACCGTCCGCAACGGCGGATATATCCCGCAACGGCCCGCTCCCCTGCGCGCGGCAGCGGGCCGCGTCGCCTCCGTGGTGGGCCGCCGACCGTCGCTGCACCACCACGGAGATGTCGCCACCCACGCTGGAGCAGGCTGCAGAAGGCCTGCGCCGATACAGTGAAGATTGGTGGGTCGGGGGCCAAGAAGACACGTCGGCAGACGTCCAACCACTTTGGCACGGTCACCGCTGCCTTCGTGCGTGCTCGCGCGGATCCCGGTAGCGGGGCCGCCGCGGCCACGGTCTGCCCGACCGCCCGCGCGCCGCGGCCCGTCGAGCATCCTGCAGCACGTCACGACGGTCAGACAGAGTCATGTCCACCGCTGCCGGGAATGACGCCCCCTCGGGGGTGTGAACCGCATTGCGATGCGGGCGCGCACACGGGACCGGCCGAGTGCCACCCGCGGCAGGGAATCGCTGGCTCGTTGAAATTGCTGGCCCGACTGACGCACGTGTGGCGCTGGAAGAGTGCCCAGGAGGCGCATCGTCAAATAAGCAGGTCGCATGCAACGCACAGAGCATGCGCGGACTACACGAAACACTGCTGTTCGAGCGCTGCTTATGCGCGCGACATCCGCGGGGTGGTGCGTTTGTGGCGACAGCGTGATGGCCTGGCTGCCGTGATGTTCAGGCGCGAAAGCCTGGGCAGGACGACGCGCACCTCTGAGTGCTCGCTGGTCTTCGCTCGCAGGCGTGGGCGGAAGTATAAATATCCTTGCTGAGGAGGCGTTTCAACTGTCAGGTCGTCGAACCGTTCGGAACGTCGGGTGTCGCCAACTTTGGGGCCCGGTGCTCGCCGCCGCGGCGTTCGAGGTCGAACGATGCGGTGCATGCGTGGTTACATCGATATAGTTTGAGCAACGCCCCCGCTACTCCGAGCGCTGCCTGGAGCATAGGCTCCTAGCTAGCCTCGCTGAGCGGAACAAGATCGGACTCGGGCTCCCGGTCGGTTACTTCAAGGGGGTCCCGTGCGAAGGCGTAGGTGGCCGTGTCATCTCCACGAGCGGTTGTGCTCTGCTGCGCAAGTGGTACGCTGTGCTAGAGTCGGGGAGAGCTGGACCCGCCATGCGCGGCCTCATGCTGGGCCCGGGCGGCGGTAGACGACGACCAAGGAGCGCGATCGTCGACTTCGCGGCGTGGGTCGCGGTCGCGGTGCTCGGATGTGCGTCCCCCTCCCCAGTGCACTCCACGTCGCTCCCTGGCCGGAAAAGCCGACGCGAGCGCTCTCTCGCAGCCGACCTTCGCCCTTTCCTGCATCAACATGTGATTTGCGGCTGAACGTTTGCCTGATGGCGACGGTGCCCGCAGGGCGCCCGCCCGGGCTGATGGCTTCAATGCACTGCTTCGGTGCTCCGTGCAGGGATGCTGATAACGCGCGGTGCCAGCCCGGGCCGTAAGGAGGCTCGAGAGTCTCTGGTCCGCCTTCGGGACGCCGCCTCCGCTGACCTCCAAGCGCAAGAAGCCCAGCTTTCGGTGTCTGCGGACCTCGGCAACCAGCCTGGCGCACACAACACTCAAGCGCAGAGCGCCCCCGACGAGCCCGCGTCTGCCGGCCGTGACAGCGCGGACCCGCAAGAGACAGCCGCACCACGTCAGGGGCAAAAGGAGACCAGCGCGAGGGGCGGTGCCAGCTCGGACAAGCAGGCAGTGGCGGAAACGGCGGTGTGTGTCGCGGGGACGCTCCGGACGCTGGCGTTCCGCGGCGTGTACAAGGACATCATCCGCACGCTGATCGAGCCGCTCAAGGCGGACGTCTTCATGGACCTGGAGCTCGACCTGCAGGCCTTCGGGCGGTCGGAGGAACTGCAAATGAAGGTCCGTGACGTGACAGTCAGAACGCGTTTGAGACACGCGCCCGTCGACGCACGTGGCCGCGGCCGCAGCGCAGATCGTCGTCCGCGATGTTGGCGGGCGCTCCGTGCTATGCTTTCTGGTGTCGACGCAAGCCTGACATCATCTCCACGTTGGTGCGCGCGCGCAGGACCTGGACGTGGTGCTGGGCGCCCTGCCCGAGGCGCCCAAGGGGATGCGCGTGGACAGAGAGTCGCGGTGGCAGCGGGGCGCGTGCACGCACGAGGGCATGGTGTTGCCTCCCGCACAGAACCACGAGCCCCACAACTGCGAGTGGAAGGACTTGATCGATGGGAAGACGATGCGCGGACACGACCGCGGAGCGCAGGTGCGGGCCCGCTGACTCGCAAGACGAGGCAGGTCCGAGGGCGAAAGCCTCGCTGCGTGACCGTTTCAAGGGACATCACACTCGTTTGTTTGTTTGGTACTGCCCTGGGCAGGTCAGGGGAGGTCCAACGAGCCTGCGGCATGATCATGGTGCCGGGCGTTCGATTTCGCGCAGTACTGGCGCGTCCGGGCGTGTTTCGAGCTGATCGACGCGTACGAGCGGAAGGCGGGGGGGCGTTACAAGTACATCGTCAGGCAGCGCACCGACGTGCGCACGGTGGGGTTCCCGAGCCTGGTCGAGATGCGCGCGCAGCTGCAGAGGGCGATGAATGCGCAGGGCAAGCAGGAGGCGTGCCTCGTGCCGTTCGTCAACGTCCCGCACGGCACCATCAAAGACCAATTCGCCGTGTGCACCAGGCGCGCCCCCCGCAGCGCTTGCTGCCGCCCCGCGATGCGCCAGCGCCGCCGAGGTGCAGGACGTGGAGAGCATGGTGCTGGTGCAGCATGTGCTGATGCAGAGCACATGAAGTTGAAAAGAGAAAATAATCCGTGACGCGCGCGATTCAATGTCTGTGCGGTGCAGGGGCGGCGGGGAGCACTACATGCGCGTGGGGGACGACCTCATGGACAGCACGAACTGGACGGAGCTCGCGTGCCCGGCGGATCCGTGGGACCAGTACGCATGCGAGTGCACGCTGGGCGAGAAGCTGCGGCGCGCCAACGTGGCGCTCGCGGACCTGCAGGATTACAACGAGGAGTGGACGCGCATCTGCGGAGAGGGCTTCGCGCCGCCGCCGTGCAGCGCGAACAACGACTTCATCGTCGACACCGCGCGACAGCACGGCGTGACGCTGGAGCGCGGGCGGTAGGGGAGGCCAGCCGGGGCACTGCACGCGATGATGAGGCTTTGGCGCCGTTCGCAGCTGCGTTGGCGGGCCGTGCGCCTGCTGGCACTCTGCCAAAATCAAGCTGTCAGGTCAGCGCGCGAAGAAGTTTCAACTACCGCTGGCTCCCTCAGGCGTGCGCTGCGCGGAGCTGCAGTCGTGGGCTGCGACCTCCGTGAGTCATCAGGGGCTCACATCCGGGCTGAAGTGCGTGAGGAGACGGTGGGACTGCCAGCTTCGCCATGTTGGCCAGTCGAGCAGTGTTCTTCGACGGGGGGGCGCAGACTGTGCACGATGCGAACCCAACCACGTCACCGCACTTGAGAGGTGCGATTCTGGTAGATTCGTGGGGTTGACGCGAAGCCTCTCGGATCGACGACGGCAGAATATGCTGACACCTTTTCTGTCACTCATTGCGCATCCGATGCGTCGAGTCGACGTCAACGACTCACTTTTCTGTTTCGCGTGCGGATACTCCCCACTTCCGGGTGCTAGACCACCCCTTCGACTGGCCAATGTGACGCCTGGTGAGCCCGCGTTGTTGCATCCACTTGAGTCTGACTTCGCACGACCCTTGTCAACCCGGTTGAACCGCTGACAACGCGCGTTGGCGCGTGATGACCGCTTGAGACGCATCGGGCGTGCAGAACCGCTCGTTCCAGATCATTTCCGCGCGCGCGCGCTCCATCTCCTGACATTTCACGACGGCGCTCACTTGGATGAGTGTGCACGGGCGGCCGCCCTGTCCTCACGTGCCGGGGACGCGATGCGCGGGAAACCCTGCAGTATGTTCATACCGGAGAGCCTTGTTCCCCGCCAGTATCGCCGGAAGGCCTCCAGGCAGGCGACGGCGCGCTGCTGGGAGGGCCAGTGCCATCGATGTACAATGCCGCCGCAAGAGGTACAAGGACCACCCGTCGGCGATCGTTGAGGACGTGATTCCAGATGTAGTAGCGCTTCCGCCGGTGCGGAGCCCGGAGGAGTACGTCGAGTGGCTGTGCGAGCCCAAGTCGTCCGGGCACTGCCCACGGCTGCTGCTGGCCCCGATGGAGTCGCTCGGCGACTATCTCTACAGGCGCGCGATCGCATTCAGTGTAGGAGGTGCGGCGCGAGCGTGCCAGGCCCACACAGTCTTGTACGGGGGCTGCGCGTGCCCGCACGACTTGCTTTCCTGGACTCCTTGCGTGCTCAGCGACCTCCAGGGCACGCGACGCGCAGCGCGTCAGGCTGCTCGTCGAGCCTCGCGGTTCCGTGCCAGCATGGACGCCGCATATGTGGCAACTGGAAACCGCAACGTCTGTATCGGATTGTTTCACGTCCCGCAGGCTTCGACGAGGCCATGACGGAATTCATCCGCGTCCCGGTCTCGTCCGACAACCTCGCCCGGCAGGCCCGCGGGCTCGGCAGGAAGTATCACGCCGGCGAGCTGGCGCCCACGCCCCTGGCCGTGCAAGTCATGGGCTCGAGCCCCGACGCCCTGCGCGCCGTCGCCGCGGAGATGGTCCACCGCCGAGGCGCGCCGCACCTCAACCTGAACTGCGGCTGCCCCGCGTCGTGCGTCACCGGCAAGGGCGCGGGCTCCGGGCTCCTGCGAGACCCCGAACACATGGCGCGATGCCTGCGCGCGATGGTCGAGGCAGCCGAGGTGCGACGTCGCAGCTGCCGGCGCACGATCGTTCGCGCCTAGTGCCCACCGCTCGGCACACTCAATCCTGGCCACGTGCGTCGCTGCGTCGCTGCAGGGCCGCGTTGCCGTGTCGGTGAAGATGCGCAGCGGCTTCAGCGACACGTCGCTGTTCGAGGACAACCTCCTGGCCGCCGAGGCGGCGGGGGCGTCGCACGTGATCCTCCATCCGCGCACGAAGGAGCAGGGGTACCGCGGGGGCGCGGACTGGGCGCTCATTGCACACGCCAAACGGATACTCCGCGTGCCCGTGGTGGGGAACGGGGACGTCACCACTGCCGCCGCGGCGCGCAAGCTCGTGGAGCAGACGGGCTGCGACGCGGTGATGGTCGGGCGCGGCGCCGTCCGCGACCCGCTGGTGTTTTGGCGCATCCGCGCGGCGTTTGGCGGCGCGGAGGGCGGGGTGGCGCTGGGGGGCGACGAGGAGCTGGGGGCGGTGCTGGCGTTCTGGGACGCGTTCGTGGGCGAGATGCGCGGGCGCAGCGGGCCGCGGCACGACGCGGCGCGGTTCAAGAAGATCAAGCAGGTGGCGGGGTACCTGTTCACCGCCGCGCCGGCGATGGAGGGCCAGTTGAAGCCGCTGCTGAGGCTGACTCCGGAGCAGATCGAGTACGAGGAGTACGCGCAGCGCGTGCGCGCGACGTTGGCGGAGACGTGGGTGCCGGGGGGTGTTGCGGAGGCCACTTCTGCGTCCGCGCCGCACGCGTGAGTCAACGTAAGTGTGATTTGTCGAGCTTGTCAACATGCACGAGGGTCTCGCCGAAAATCCTACCAGGAAGTTACTGCTATGTATGTTCATATTATACTGAATCATAATGATTCAGCTACTTATGATCGTGATATTGCCGTTTACAACTCCTGCTTGCCTTGGCCGATGGAGTCGGCCACGTCCGGCTCGATCTTGCCCCCGAAGTCCGTCGGGTCGTCCGCCCAGGGCATGCGCACGACCCACGGCACGCGCTCATATTTCCGGAACCAGTGATCGCCCCGGAAGTCGTAGTATCCTGTATGCGTGATGTGGCTCTTCGTGTCGACCCAGATCGTGCCCCCCAGTCTCTTCCACCTGCAGCCGCCCACCAGCGCGACACGACCGCCTCGGCTTGTCAGGTACAACACACCTGACGTGAGTTGGGTGCCCGACAGGGCGTGCGGCCGCAGCAGTCGTCGGCGAACGTGGCCAGTCGGCGCAGCGTGCACACACAAGCGGTGCACGTCGCGGCAACGCCGTCCAGCGCCTCCAATGTGCCGTTAGGCGGTCTGACAGACAAGCGACACCTTGGATTCACCGCAGGTGAGGAGAGGAGTCGTCTGGCGCACACGTACCTCTCGCAGAACGCGTAGTCTTCCGGGACGTGCAGCCTGGTGCCCGGCGGGGACCCTTCCGGCTCCTCGACGTACGTCATGAACAAGTTTGCGACTGGGGGGGGCTCTCCGGGGCGCTGGCCCCCGTTGTAGCCAACCTCGTGCGCGTACGCCTCCATCATGCGCTCGATGACGTGCCTGCGGATCATCAGCATCGCCGTGCCCAGCCTGCGCCGCACCAATGTTCGTAACAACTGGCTACTGAGCACTTGTGTCAGTTGGGGCGCGTGCGATGCAGGGTCGAGGGCAGGCGGGGGACGCGGTGCGCGGATAAGTATGCGGATGCGTCGAGGGATGCGCTGCAACGCTTGAAAGCGCCAGTGCAGCGGAAACCGCGCTGGCCCGTGTCGACGCCCGTGCGAGAGTGATGCCTGGGCGGGGGGGCGGCGAGCGGTGGCACGCGGCCCTCGCGCGGCGACGCAGGGCGGTTGTCAGGCATCGTCGCGGTTCCGCCGTGCCTGGATATTTGCAGGAAGCCGTTCTCGTCAGGAGTGCGGTGGGCGTAAAACCACCCGTTGGGCAGGTCCCGCTGGCCGTCCTGAAGCGGCTGGAGCGCGAACTCGTACGCCATCGGCTCCCACGACTCCCCCTGCTGCACCCACCCGCTCTCCACGGCCTGCGTGTGCGCGCGTGGTGTCACACGGCACCTGCGCGTCAGTGTCGTGTTGTACGGGCCGCACCGCGGCGACTTGCGTTCGGAAAAGCGTCGCGGTCGGCGAATGTGAGAAACAGACGCCCAGCTGCGAGGTTGGGGGCATCCGCACGGGAGCGGGGGGTTGGAACGCGGGAGGATGCTCACGTGCTTCACGTTGGCCCAGGACACGTGTTTCTTGGCGCAGGGCACCCCGACGACGTCCTTCCCGCTCCGCAGCAGCCGTTCGATCGCGCCGGGCGGGAAGGAGATGTCTTCGTCGACGAACACCACGGCCTTGAAGCGAGGGTTGTCCAGGAAGTAGGACGCCAGCATCGCCCGGGCCGTCGCGACGTTCGAGATCTGCGGCAACGTCTCCGTCGCGGGCGTCGGTGGATCCGGGGGAAGCGTCGCGGTGCAGCAAAGCCCGGGAGCGGCGAGGCGGGGGCCCCCAGCAGAGCTAGCACAGCGCCCCCCGCGGAGTCGCCGTGCGGGCGTGTGAGGCGGGTTTCATGCACGCGCATCATCGCCCATGCGTGACTTATGCAGGTTGGAGGCAAATGCGGGTGGATTGCGCGGTATCGGTGCGTGTGGACGGACCTTTGCCAGGGAGACTTGGTCCACGGTCCATCCTGGGACTGCATTGTCGACTATGAATTGGCGGTAGGTGCTCAGAACGGAGCCCATGTAGCTGCCTTGCACGCGGCCGTCCAGCGTTGGCGTCGCGATGAGAACCGTGCCCCCCGCGTCCAGAAAGGGGTCGGTTCGTTGCGCTGCCGCTGTGGACGTCGCGCCCGCGAGCAGCCACGCGCAGACCAGCGCCAGCCAGAGCATCGCGGCAGAGCGCGAAGGCATGTGGCCGATGCCCCGCCACGCAACACGCCGCTGCGCGCACGCACGCGCCGACCGCCCTGCAGGCGTGGCGGACGCTGCACGCCGCGCTCTCTTCTCTCTGTGCGCCTGCGAGCGCGCCAAAGTCCCACGCACGCGGCGCCGCGGGCGGGCGAAGGCCACGGCGCCGACCGAGCGGCTGAGTCAGCGGATCGGATTCACTGCGTCCGCAAACACCCCCCCCACATGCCCCGACAGTCGTACGCAGAACGCCCGCAGCAGCGTTCCTTCGAGCCCCTCGCTGTCGGCCCCCCCGGAGGACCGCCCGAGCGCGCTCTCGTGGGGCCAGCGGCCTCGGTGCAGCCTCCGGCAACGTCAGCATCGCAGTTGGGCAGGAATGCCGGACAGCGCGCGCGGCAGCGGCAGACTGCGGGCTCGCGTCCCGACTGCGACGTGCATCCGCCGTCGACGCGCGACGGGGCGGCTCCGGGTGTGGCCCGTGGCCCGTGGCTGAGAGGGGTGCTTGCACGACGCGTGGTGCTCGACACACGCGTGGTGCGCGACGCGACTCACACAGAGTAGTCATTGACCACCCGCGCACGAAACGAAATGCGGGATCACGTTGGTGCAGTCCCGCAACCTGGAGGCCGCGTGGTGCCACTGCCACCCACCGATGAGGAGCTGACGTCGGGGGGAGTGCGCCAGAGACGGTCGACGTGGGCGTCGGCGCGCGACAGGCCCCGAGTTCCGCCTTCTTCGCTCCGGACATTCATGCCAAGACTGCACAGCTCCTCTGTGATCTCCGGGACCTTGAGGGCGTTCGCTGCGGACTGGGTGGCTTGGCCGCGGCTGCCCACGAGCCCTTGACAACGCTCGCTGAGGGCCTCGATGGTGCTGATAGCGCGAGGCCTGGCAGAGGCGAGGCAGAGGGTTGGTGGACCGTGGCGTGCCTGCGAGAATCGGCGCTGGTGCCGGTGTGCTCGCCGTGGACGAGGCGACCAGGAATGTCCCAGTTGCGTCGTCAACGGGCGCGAGGCGATGCATCAGATCCGACGAGATCTGATGCAGACACGTCCGACGCGTGTCTCGCATTGATGCCAAGGTGCCGTGCTCATCTTCGCGCTGCAGCGGTTTGTACTTCGCTGACCTACAAGCACCCTCACCGCGAGGATGCCTGAGCGACGGTAAAGCCGAGCAGTCTGTTTGTGATGCGCTTGCAGTATAGGTCGACGTGAGAGTCACATCGACCGATCACTTGTGTGTCATTCGCTTTCTGTCTTGGTCGGAACAGGTTGCCCTTCCTGAGTTGCAGGACGGGGCGGGAGAGGACCAGGGGCGCGAGGGAGGGCTTGAAACAGCCGACCCCCCACGCCCACTCTCCCGGAACAGGACCTCAGCTCCGCGGAGGAGTTGAGAACAGGTGAACGCACTTGCATCAGGCCGAGTGCAAGCCGCATCCCAGAAGGACGAGCCGCCCAAAACCAGTCAGGACGGTTTCGATGGCGGGCTGCCAGGGCCTTCCCAGCCGCCCCGGGGCGGCTGAGAAATGACGTTGCGCGCGGCCATGGCGCAGAGTGCGTTCCGATTGTTGTGCTGCGGACCCAGAACTTCTGTCTGCCCTGAGCTGCAGGGCATTAGAAGGGACCAAGGAGAGGGGGGAGGAAAGGGGGGGAGTTGAAACAAATCCGCTCTTCCACCTGTTGATGCCCGTGACCTGACTGGCACCAGGCCAGTTGGGGACCAACCGGCTCGATGGGCCAGCCCGGCATCATCCCCTCAAACAGGACGTCGACTCCATGTCGCGTAGTCGAGCACAGGGGAGGTGCAACGCTACTGAGTCAGGCCGAGGGAGAGCAAGCCGCATCCCGCGAGCAGGACACGTTGCCTCAAAAGTCGGGAAGATTTCGACGGGGGCATGGGGGGGAGGGATGGGGGGTTGCGGGGGGGCAGCTAGCAGGCGATTCGCGATTTCGGAGGAGAAGCTGAGAGAGTGGCTGATGCCGAACTTCGGCGGACCCAGCTCTGTCACTGGTACCGTGAACAGGGAGGGAACGGGTTGGCTTCGGCAAGTAGCAAGTCCCCCCTCCGTACATGGGACGGGGGCATTGGATGAGGGCCAACAAGACTGCCGCTCCAACTTGAGACCTCTGCGCCGGGTGCCGGGCCGACTGGTGCCGCGACACCACCGTGCTCGGTGCGGAGCTCAGCTGCGGGCTGTCGAGAGAACAGCATCGCAGACGCCAGCAGTGCGCCCGACGCATGCAGCGGTGCGTGGCCGGCGTGTGGCTCGTGCAGAGGCACACGCCGACGAGCATGAGAGCAGGCCCCCGCGAGCACCGCTGCCAGCGCTCGAGCGAGGCCGGAGGTCCGCGACCACGAGGCTCGCGACCAGGCTCGCGACGACAACACAGCCCTGCACGCACAGTACGACAACGTGGTCTGTCGCGCATGCCCGCAAGCGCCGCGAATTGCTTTCCGATGGATGCGGACACCAGCCACGCCGCACGAACGAGGTCGCTCGGGGCTCGACAAGGAAGCACGGACTCACCCGTCCTGACTGAATCGACCGCCGTCGTCCGCACCGGCGCCTTACATTGACCAGCACGCCCTGAAGCTCGTGGTGGGCCTGCAGCAACGGGGCGCAGGGCGATGACGCGCACAATGTCGCTCCGTTCAAGCTTCCTCGGCAGTGGGCCTGTCCAGGCCGGCGCAGGGAGGTGCTGCAGCCGCGCTGGGCAGGAGCAGCCGAACGATCCAGCAGGCTTGTGAGCGTTGGGCGCACCTGGCCGTCATGACCCTGTCCTCCCGCGTCGGCGTGAGTGGCCTGGTCCGAGGACGAGCACTGAGAAGCAGAGTGGGAGCGAGGACAGGTCCCGGCCTCCACGGAACCCAACGCTTTCTTCTGTGCCGCCGGCCACGCTGGATCTAAGCTTCTGCGTGTTGGTGCGCTGATTTCAGCCCGCGAGGTGCCTGTGGCGACGCGCTTCGGGTCGCAAGCGCACCCGCAACCTCTCGTTCCCCTCAGAGATGGACACGGGCACCATTCTTTTGGGGCCGACCGGTGGAAGCTGGCGCACAAATCCTCCTGCTGGACTCGGAACCAGCACACGTAGAGACCACGGCCTGATGGCCGCTGAGATGGACATGCCGAGTGAGCCGGGGGCCCCGCGAGGCCGGCGCCGGCCCCGCGGGACCCGAAGCGGGCACAAACTGAGCACTAGCCCGCCTCAAGGCAGGCCACAAGTGCGGCGCCGGGCGGCCCGTGGCCGGGCTCGCCGTCTGGGACCCCTCCAGCCGCACGGGGACGACCCCCGGCAACCCGGCGCGGGTCCGTCCTCCCCGGCGCCACATTGCCGACCCGCGGGCTCTCGCTATAAGTTCTCCAAGTTTCCTTCGAGTCTCTCACCTAGACGCCGCCCATCCGCTGCGAGGGCGCGAAGGATTCCTCGAGAGCACAGGAGGGGCGAGCGCCGTCGTTGGGAGATCCATCTGCCGAAATACGATGCCGATGGCCACACAAGTCAATGCACAAGAGGAGATGCACCTCTCGGAGAAGCTGGACTTCCTCATGAGCGCCGCTGATGCAACCTTTGTCTCAGGTGCGCTGCTTTCTCCCCGTGGTGCCGCCGAGTGCCATCGCCGACCACGGAGCAGGCGCTATCCAAGTGAATGAGGCCGTTTTTCCGGCGTATGGGCCTGTAGCGGTCCGAACGACCGCTGGCCACGCTGCGAACACTCGCATCCGCGAACACTCGCACGCGCCATTCCGCCCGCGAACGACCCTTGGGCAGCAATCATAACAATCACGGCTATGCCGATAAGGTGCAGGCGTGTACGCGATCGACGTCGCGCTCTTTGCGACGCGATTCGCCGACCCTGCCACCTCTCGCCCATCCGTCCCGCCGACCGCGCGCACCGCAGGCTTCGACAAGGTGCTGGAGGAAGTGGACGCCCACGTTTCGCAGAGGGGGCTCTCCGCGCGCTCGACCGTGGGCGACGCGTTGTCGCCCGGGCGTCGGCAGCACGGGAGTGACGAGGGTAGCCTCCAAGGGCCCTCGCGGATGATGGGCCCTCGCGAACCGTACATGGAGCCCTCCGAAACGGCCGCATCGTACAGGGGCGTCACGTGAGTTCCCCTCCCGGCTCGACCGTCGTTCATTTCCCGCATTGCCGCTGGATGCCAACCCACTCTGGAGCGCGCAACACGTGTCTCCCTCGCTGGCGGGGGTCGACGACGATCGCGTCCATTTGGCCCCGGAGAACAGGGATCATGTCCTTGAAGGCCACACCGTTGGCGCGAGACGTCATCTGTCACGCGCCCTTCCGCGCCCGCAGGCCTGTGCCCAGAATGCAGCCCTCGCGCTCTCCCGCGCGCGTGCCTGCTGGCCTTCAGCTGCGCATGTCGGCGATGGAGTCAGGCAGTTCCGAGCGCAAGATGGTGCGCCCCGCATGAGCGTCGCCCGCCCCGGTAACCGACCGATCCCGCTGTGGCACCCGCCGCGCGTCACTCTCCCGCGCCCTTTTCGAGCGAAAGAAGTGCCCCGCGCGAAGCGCCCGCGTTCGTGCAGTCCGGCAGCGGCACCAGCGCGTGCCCCACACCTCGGAGAGGGCCGAAGGCCGCAAGGAGTTGACCGCAGCCGCGTCACAGGAGACGCTGCCCATGTCCCCGGCGTCCGGCACGGCGCGGGGGAATTCGTCGACCGCGATCCCTCTCTCGGCGCTGCGAGTCGGCGACATGCGCAACGGGATCGTCAAGTGCGTCCCGCGCCCCCGCCGCCTCCCCGGGCGTTTCACGTGCAGCCACGTTTCACTCAAACCGCCGCCCGCCCGTCTCCGCAGGGTCTCCGCGCCCCCGTACACGGTAATGTTCTCGGACCTCGAGCTCATCCGCGACGTCTACGAGGAGATGTCGGGCTGCGCGCATGCGCGGGGCACGGCGGACATCACCCCTGCGGCGTTCAAGCGGTACATGCAGAGGGACAGCGTGGCGGGGGGCATGCTCGAGCGCAAGGAGAGCAGCGACAGCGGCACGCCCACGCCGCGCTTCGCGGCCAGCAAGCAGCGCAAGCAGCGCGTCGCGGAGGTGGTGGCTCAGCTCGACAAGACGCTGTATGCCAAGCTGGACCGCGAGGGCCAGGCGCACGTGACGCTGGAGGACCTCCTCGCCGTGTGGTACCCGAACCTCCCCGCCACGGACCTCGGCATGCTGGCGCTCAAGGTGATGCCGGAGACGCCGGCTCTGCCCATCGACAGACCTCTTGCTGCCAAGTACGTGGGAAAGAGACCCCCCCTCCCCCCTCTTGCACTTGCACCCCTGCTCCTTCGCGAAGGACGCCCTGCGTGGTGCGCGCTGCTCCGTGTGCCTGTGGCGCCGAGCTACGCCGTGGGGGGAGACAGGAGTTGTCACCGTAGGCTGTCTGACTCTGTTGCGCGCAGGCTCGTGGCGAGCCACGGCAACCACCTCAAGGACCTCGGCGCGACGAACCCCGACACTGTGCCGAGCGCGGTGATGATGTCCAGGCTGAAGCGCGACCTCGAAACGCGGCTGCAGCGCGCGTTCTTCACGTGGGCCATCTCCCTCCTGCAGCTGCAGCCGCACGAGCCGTTGTACGCGTCGCAGGTCGACACCGCGCTGAAGAAGGCCATCCGGCTCTGGTGCGACGGCAAGGCTCCCGACGAGAAGCTTTTGCTGGCGGGCGCGGAAGACAACAACTTCAGGTGCGCTGCGACGTCGCCGTGCGCCTCGTGCGCCCTGCGGTAGCTAGCGTCGCCGCGGCCCTCCCGTGCACGTTCCGCGGGGGCTGCGAACACATGCGGTGAGGTACAACAACGCGTTTCATGCCGTCCTCCTCGTGGTGACCTTCCCTGCAGCGACTTCTCCCACAAGGTGGACCCCGTCGCCATGCTGGCCCAGTACTCGCAGCGTCGGGACAAGATCATAAGCCGCAAGTTCTGACGCCTCCACGCACCCATAAAAGGAGGAGGAGCCCTGCTCTTCTCATATCCTAACCAACCCGGTCCACACTACCCGCCCCCTCCGGAGGCCCGCCGCCGTCGAGCGCGCGGGGAATACGAAGACCCACACGTAGCAAACAGCACGCGCCCTGTGCAGCACCGTTGTTGACACAGAGCCGAGAACAGCGAACTCCGTCCACTTTCTCCTTCTCTCCTTGCTGCGCGCTGTTCGACCAGAGCCCCTCTCATCCCCGCCCTTCTTCTCCAGTGCCTGCGCGCTCGCCGCCCTTCGCCCCTGCGAGTTCAGGACGCGCACCGAACAACGTGGGAAACAACGCCTCTTTTTCAACCCAATCCGCCTCCGTCACCCCACAAACTCCGCGTGAACTCTTCCGCCCCGGTCGAAGATCGCTGTCAGCTGCGGCGCCTTTTTTCGTGGCTCCCGCACATCGTAGCGACTAACCACCTAGCGTGATTCTGGGCGAACATAATCCGCAACAAGCGTTAGCTCAAACAAGCCCACGATGTGCGACACCTCCCCCCCACAACTCCTCTGTTGCTCTATCTTTCATACCATGCATGGTGGCCACCCCCCGCCCCCTGACCTCAACGCGGCCCTTCCCCCCGCCCATCTGCGCCGATGGCTGCGTATAACCAGCTGAGTGCGAGCGCGACGCATCGACTTCGCGCAAGCAGCACTCTACGAATCCAAATTGACCTCGGCTAACACCGAGGTAAGAACTGCATCGCGGGACCTCTTTTCTCGCACGGCGTTCAGTGTCTCGCACACCACTGAGCAGTTTTCTGCTACGATTCGCTCGCGCTGCTTCTGACTTCCTCTCCTTACAGACACGCTGCGCCTGCCCACTCGATTCCCCCCCGCGCTTCTGCGCGCCTCCTACCATGGACGACCTGGCTCCGGAGACCCGCACCCGGAGTGGGGGGATTTCGACGTGTTGAACCACGCTGCAAGGATTTGCCGCCGCTGGTTTTGCCCCGAGCGACAAACCCTTGACAAGTCGCACCATCATGAAAACACCCCCCGCCGCTTGCTCACGCCCTCCCCCCTAAAGACGCCGAGCGAGCTTCCACTGTGACGCGTTCACCGCAGCAACAACCGCATTGCACACAGCAGCGCAGGTCAGTCAAACTCGAGTCCTATTTGCCTTTCGTGCCTCTCTGAAGTCCTCTTGAACGACCTTGTACGTCGAACTTGAACGTCATGGCACACCTGGCGCGGACCCGCGGAGCAGGCCTCGACTGCGCATGCACAGCATCTGGGGGGGGTCGCGGGGGGGGGGAAAGGGGAAGGGGAGGGACGCCCGCGTGCGTTGGGGTGCTGCTCGTGCTCGGACCTCGACGAGGTGCCCCCACGAAGCACGTATGACCACATCCCCCCCCCCTTCCTTCCCCACGTCACCAGCGCCACGAGTGGCCCCCGCGGGAGTCGTGCCAGCGCGACGCGGTGACGCAGGACGCTGTAGGTTCTCAGTTCTGGGCTGCATGGCATCACACGCGATCGGCCGTCAGTGTCCGTGCGCCTCGATGGCCGCAAACAGCTTCTGCACGAACTGTTCGCGGTTGATCTGGACCTCCGCGTACTCCTCGCTGTTGTCGCCCTCGTCGAGGAGCCGCGCGCCGGGGCCCAGGATGGTGCGCAGCGCCGCGAGCGTCTGCACCGAACATGCAGGCGTCCGCGTGCACCGTCAGATGGGAAAACTATATCTGGCTGTGCACTGGCGGGGTACATGCGGGCCACACGCGGCGGCCACGCGCCGTCTCGCGGCGCTCGGCCGCACGCCGCGCCCCGGGCGCGGTCGCGGCGTGCGAGCGACGCGGGTGTCGCCCAGCCCGCAGCATGGGGGGTGGGGCCGCCGACCTGCGCCATGGAGACCTCGCCGCGGCGCGTGACATCGAACATCCCGAACATCGTCCGCAGGTCGTCCTCCGAGAACGTCGGCGCCGCGTCCCGCCGCAGCTTCGTGCTCAGCTGCTCGACCTTCCCCCGCCCAGTGTCAGGCGCGTACGGCCCGCCCTGCGCGTTTCCAACGCAATCCGACCGCACATCTCGCCCTTTTCGATACGTTGTGAGCCCGCAGGTGTGGATTTGGAGGCGTGTTGCGCGTGACGTGCGCGCGCAGGCCGTGGCATGTGGGGTTGAGGGGAAAGAGCGCAGCGCCGCAGCAGCGGCGGGCTCCTGCGGCTGGCGAGCTGCGCAGCTGCGATCCCTGGGGACGGAGACGGCTAGCTGCGGCGCAAACTACCGGGGCGGCGGAGGGCGCGTCGGCCGCAGCGCACCTTGACGACGTCGTGCAGGCCCGTCGTGAACTCCGTCTCCAGCGAGCTTTTGTCGAACCACTGCGCCCCGAGCTCGTCCGCCTGCATGCGGAACTCCGGGTTGGGGAGCTCCGCAGGCATTCTCCGCGACGCCCTGCCTCGCTCAGACCTGTGCCATCACCCGGTGTCTACTGCGGCCCCGCGACGTACTTCGATGCCGCGCTCACAAGATCAGGCGTTGGGTGTGTAGCGATACCTCGCGCAACAACCCTGGGAGTGTCGCGAGGAGGTGCGAGCGGCCGGTTACGACGTCGCTCCGCCTGAAAGCCTGACATGGGGTCCTCAGGTTCCGCGCAGGGCCTATACTTCACCAGTATGAGGTGGTGGGGTCGGGGGCGTTTCAGGCGAGACACAGTCGCGAGACGGCCCGTTTTTTCGGCGCGGCGGGTACGTATCGTCACACCGAAGCTACCTGCGTGCTCCCCGCGGTGCACCGTAGTGGTGGCACGTGCTGTTGCGGGCTCTGCCATCACTGTGGCACTTGCTGCAATCCGCGCTACATCTGCCGACCGGGTCCCACTCCGAGCACCTGAAGTACTGCACAGCGGCCGTCATGGTCTGTACGAACCCGTTGGTCCTCCATTTGCCGCACTCGCGGCACCATCGCCAGCCCTCCCACAACTGCTCGTGAGCAGTCGGTCCCCCGATGGCCCTGCGCTCCGCGGGTACGATGAAACGCTCCCCGAGACAGTCGAACGCCTGGTGCCTCTCGTCGACGCGCGGGTCCAGTGCACGCTGGCCGCCTTGTGTCGCGGGCGGCCCGCCTTGTGTCGCTTGTGCTTGGCTCAGCAGCTGGGACCAGTCCGGCGCCAGAGCCGCGGACAGCACGAGCTCCCCTGCCGCGTCGGGGTCTGCCGGCCGACTCCCACCCGCAGCCGGGCCACCGCCACCCCCGCCCGTGCGCTGGTCAGCATTGTTGCCTGCTGGAGGGGCAGAAGCAGTTGGGTCCCCGGGCAGCCGCGTCTTCGCCCTCAGCGCGTCGCGCTCCTCGTTCGCACGCGGCACCCTCCACGTGCACCGCTGCGCCAACGTCTGGGGGTCCGAGTCGGTCGATGATGACGTTGCTGCACCCTCTCGGGAGGCGTCTCCCGCCACGCCCGAGCGCTGATCGCGTCGACGCTCTCTCTTCGACCGCCGCTTCAGAGCGTACACTTCCCTGCGCTTTTTGCTGCGGATCGCGCCGGCTTCCCACTCTATCCTGCAGGGCAAAAGGTTTGCGTGTACAAGTTGTCGAGCGCGCTCGCGTGCATCGGGGCAGATCGCGCCACGACAACCAGCAGCCAACCGCACGTGGTGCGTGCTCCGCGCTCACCCGTTGCGGCCGCTCTGCTCCCAATCTCGGAACGCCCGATAGAGCTTCATCAGGTGCTCCTTGTTGTCGCACGCGTTGATCCCTTCGATCATCCTTTGCTTCGCAGCCGCGAGCTCCGCCTGCCTCGGCGGCGACGCGACCTCCTGTGCTTCAGCACCCGCCCCCTCCGCGGGGTCGCCGACGACAGCAGCGCTAGCGCCTGTTGCTCTCGCAGCTGCGTTGGTGCCCGCGCCGCCCTCCTGCTCCTCGGAGCTGTCGTCCCCCGGGAGTGGCCTCGCGACGGACGGCCCCAAGTGCGCGACAGCGTCCTTGAACCACTTGTACGTGAAGTTGTACCTTTGACGCACCGCAGCCATGTGATGGCACACCCCATGATGATCGCACGTGCACGTCAGCTTCCCCCCCACGAAGTCCAGCACACGAGAGCGACCGTCGCGCGTGATCTCCCACTTGCCTTGCTCGGGCGCGTCCGTGGGTTCTCGCACCCCGTCGACCAATGGCCACATCACCATCAACTGTTGCACGTATTGACGCAAGGCCTCGCCGCCGTTCTCGGCGACTCGCAGCGCTTCTTGCAGCGCCCTGGGCTGGCGCAGACCCACAGCGCACGCCGCCTCCAGCGCCGCCCGCTCCTCGTCCTGGGAGATGCAGTGCAGAAGGAACTGATCAAGCCGCCGATGATGCACGCACCGCACGCCCCGCGCGCTGAGCATGTCCTTCATCCACTTGAAAAGGCACTCGCTGGCGTTGTCCGTCGTGGGGATGTCCGTCGATCGGTAGCGCAGCATCCACATCGCGGTCACCTCAGATGCACCCCACTGAGACTTGAAGTACTTGAGAAACGACGCAGCGCGCCTGTCGCTGGAATACCGCGCATTGAAGGCAGCGATGTCGGCAGCGGCGTCCTCCGCCACCCTGTCGTCCGCTTGCCGCTGCTCGCGCGCCGAAGATGCAATATATGCTCCCAGCACATCACGGCGCGCCTTCCGGAGCATGTCCACGATGTCGCACCAGATTCGCCTCTTCAGGTCCCCCACCCCCGCGCCCTGGCCGATCTTGCTGTGCAGGTTCTTGAGGACCGCTTGCAGCATGTGGAACGTGCACCACACATGCGTTGCACTTGGAAACGTGGTGGCGACCGCCTGCTTCAGCGCCTCCGCGCAGTCCGTCATGAACACCGCGCGCTTGCCCGGCCGCGTCTCGCCCCAGCTCTCCGCGCCCGCCTTGTTCAGCTCCGCCCGAACGCAGTTCAACGCCATCCCAACAGTCTCTGCCGTCTCGTCGCTCAACACGCAGATCGCGATCGGCCGCCACCGACCCGCCGACCCGACGACGTTCACGGCGCAGGTCTTGAAGTTGTAGCGGTTCGTGCCGAAGGTGACGTCGAAGCAGATGTTCTTCACTGCGCCTTCCCTGTTCCAGTGTGCAACTCCTTGGCTGACCATGTTTTTGGTCATCAGAACCAAGACCATCGGCGTCGTCGCCGTGAGGTGCCGGTACGTAGGGTAGATGTGGCGATTCTCGCGCACCATGTTCTCGCAGCTCCGCTGGTCGTCGGCGGCGAAGCCCACGCCATCATCCCCCCTGCATTTTGCCTTCGCGTTGTGGTAGTCGTCACTCGTCGCGAGGAAGTCGCGCAGTTCTTGCTTCTTCAGGGCTGCGCCGAGCAGGCTCATGGCGGACCAGAAGTTCCCGTACTCAGCGTACAGGCTCGTCTCCTCGGCGAAGTCTGCCATGATGTCCTCCCTCAGGCCCGACAGCGCCCGAGACACGGCCACGCCCATCGTCGCATACGCGCTCAGTACTTCGCGCGACTTGAGACTCAGGCGATGGGGGATGCAGCCGCGGATGCCGTCCATGTCGTGCTGCTGAATCGCCTCTCGCAGAGACTCTCCCACGTCGTGCCCCGAGTGCTGCGGCGGCCCTGCCTCCGAGTCGGCGGGGATGTCGTACCGGACCGCCACAGACCGAACGTTCCCTTCACCCTCGTCGAGCGTGGTGTATTTCAGGGACACCTGGCACCCGCACCGCACGCTCGTCCCGAGTTGAGACTTGGTGAACTTGCGCTTCTTGTACGACCCTCGCGCATCGGCGTCCGCCGCGGTCACGTTGTCTGCGACACAGACTCAGAGCAGGACGATATGTTGGGCAAGCTGCCTGCCAGCGGAGGCGCAAGATTGGTGCGCGAGACGGAAGGTGCGCGCCCATCATGCTGTGGCCAGCGTAGGTCCCTCACCTTGGCGTTCCAGCTCCGCGAGGGCCTTCCGCGACCTGCCTTGGAACCGCGCCTGGGAGGCTCCTCCCCGATGATCTTCGGGCCCGCCCGAGCAGTGCAGTTCGCCTCCTGGTAGGCCCTTTTTGGAGGCATTGCTCTTCCTGATGTACAGCGGGAGGCCTGCGACGCGAGCCTCGCCTTCCTTCATGTCGTCCCAGCGCGACTCCGAGAAGCGTGCCATCGCCGCAAACCCCGTCTTGGATTTCGCCCACGCAACCGTGACCCAGTTGAGGTCAGCGAGCGCAAAGGGACCTGCAGAGAGGTGAAATAGGTCGGGTCGGCCTTGGCGGCGCGGGCGTGGGTTTAATGCGCCTTGCCACCGCCCGCACGAATGCGACGCACCTGGAGAAGGCGTAGACACCGGCACCGTGTGAAACACGCTCTTGCTAGGTCGCTTCGGGCCAGTTGCTTGGCCTGCGGGCAAGCTTGCCGCGCCGTTCGGCGCTGCACCGTCTGGTGGACCCTCATTCGCGCCCGCATTCGCATCCTGCGGTGACAAGGATCACTGGCGCAGTCGGGTTGGTGCGCACTCGCATGGGGATTCCGCAGGCGCACGCTCCCGCCTGTCGGCGCGAAAAAACCAAGTCCTGGCCAGGAAGTGCATCACAGCGTGGGCGGTTCGGGAGGAGGTACGGCATACAGGGGGCGTCAATCAACAAAGTGATCGCATAGCGGTGGCGCACGCGTCGGTTCGTACCTCCATGTTGGCGCCCGCCGACACTGAACCTGCTGAGCAGCACGTACCGCAGCCTGAGCGGTCGGGTCGCGGATCCGTCTGCCGCCGCGCCTGCGGCACCGTTGTGTGGCTGAGCGCGCGTGCCTGGTGGCCACATGCCGCGGGATGCACCAGGCACCCCCCCCCGCGGCCCGTGCCTTATATTGGTGATGTATAGGGTCTGTCCTCAGGTTGGCACCCCCCTGAAGTAGGCGACTTCAGGCCCCTCCAGCGCTCTTCGCATCGCACGAGCGCGCAAATCAAACACGTGTGACGAATCTCTTGCACCTCCTCTGTCGATTCGCGGAAGTTCGTATCGTTTCGTGACGTGAGCAGGTCAGCGCAGCCGCTTCAATTAGGTAGCGATCGCCTACCAAAAATCTTGCACGCCGCGGTGCAGTCCGTGGGATATATTCCCGCCGCGTTCCACAGCACCATGAGGCGTTACCGAGCGTCACCGTTGCCAAGCGTACTGTCCATTTTGCTGTATCTCGCGCATGTGGACGAAATGCGCCTCTAACTGAGCGTACCCCCCTTTCTGGAGCTCCTGCGCCTCTGGCGTACAGTTGAGGACAAGACACGCCAATGGCAAGCAACCGGGGAGAGTTCCCCATCTATGGAAGCGAGACGCACGACCATCATGAGAAACGGCCGCGATTCCATACTGCACGCCGGCTCAGAGTCACATATTTCACCCTTGCTCTCAAGCACATGTTTTCTCGCCACGGAAGCCACCAAACATGCAACCCGCCTGTTAGAGTGTACATGTGTGTGGGGGCGCTGGGTCGATTCATGGAGAGCGACGTGCTCTGAGCCCGTGAGCGGCCGATGCTTTGTGCGAGCACTGTGCTCCGGCGCACAGGGATGTGACGGCGAAGCGTGGCCACAAAGCTGCCAATAGCACGATACCGACCATCCAAAGCAGCGAGTAGCAGACATCCCGAGAACAATGTCTACATGTGGCGAGCGGGGCGCCACGGATGTCCGTACATGAAGGTCTTGGCTCCTGGAGGGCGAGAACTGGGTCTCATGCAGAAGTGAGTCCGCGGCATCCGCATGCGTGATCGAGACGAGGGACACGTCAGATTGTTGGCCGCTCTTCTGCCTCAAGTGAAGAGGACGACGCATGTCTGAAGAGCCATTGATTTCATGCGAGCCTGCGCGACGACCGCTGTGCCTTGTCGTGCGCCTCTGCGCGAAAACAGCGTCTCTCAGGAATCGTATGTACAGGAGCGGCCCGTGGACGCCCCCGCATCTCTGAATCGTGATGTGGGCCTGGGGGGCCCGTTGCCTCGGCACATGCACATCTTTGCCGCCCTCTGGAGCCACCAATTGGGGCACGCCGTGTGCGAGTCGCCTTGCACGGCCTAGCCCGACGCATGCGCAAGCGTCTCAACGCATGCTCGCGAGCATGTCGCGGAGGATGCAGTGACCAACGAGACATGAAAGTTTGCAACAAGGCACTGCGTCACACAGCATGTTTGGCCCCGCGCACCCTCGCTGTGGCCTGCCGCACGACCCCCTGCGACGTGGCAGCCCGGCGGAGGCATGCGCGCCCGCGCGAGGCGCAGCGGCACTGGCACGCAGTGACGGCGAAGTTTCGCGCTGCCCGTTTCAGCACATGCCCCGGAACGGCCCTCGCCGTCTCGCAGAGCAGGGCCCCGCATCAGGACCAGGCTTCGGACATGATACAGGTGTGCGAGGGCATCCCACTCCGCTTCCGCAGGCCTCCCAGGCCTCAACAGGGGCGCAGAGCCTCTCAGGCTGTCCCGGTGGTTCTCCCCGATGACTGCGAAGAACACCGATGTCAAACCGCAAACAGAACAAGGAATCTTGAAAGTTTCCAAGGGGCCGCGCGAAACCCGCTCCAAACGCGATTTGCGAAAGGAGCAACGTCGCGCCAACATGGATTGGGTCACCTCTGTAAGCGGCCCCCCGGGGAGCGCGCTGGGGGAGAAAATCGGCACGAATCGTTCTGCAAACTGCACTGGTTGCAGCGGCGCGCCCCCAAACGGTCCCGAGGGGCTCGTCGGGCCCTGACAGCGGTTTCGGCCTGAAGCCTCGTGCGGCGCTCTCGACGCGCAAGCGTCGATTTTCTGCCGCGCGACTTGGAGATTGGTTCACGAAAATCGACCGTGTCGCCCCAGACCACGTGACAAAGCGGCGACAGGACCGCTACGGGCCTTGGTGTGTGGACTTGATGGTGCGCCCGAAACGCGCGATAAAACCCCCTCCGCGCGCAAGGCAACACCGCGGCGATGCAGCCAAGCGTTGAGCATCACCGTTCCCGCGGCGCAAAGCGCCGGACTCGATACCCCCCAATATAGAGGACCCCACTGACAGCGAGTAAAAGCAGCATCGGTTCTCGGCGGCCGACGGCCCGCGGGCGCGTGCGGGCTCTTTGGATCTTGCGGGCCGCGCGCGCCGCAAGAGTCCAACGCAGGTAGTCGGCCCGCGACTGCCGCGACGGTTGTATAGCGCTGCGCTGTCCGCGGACCCGCCCGCAACCACCGGGCCTTTCCGCGCCGAACGACGCCGACCGGGGCCCGCCCCGGAGGCCGCGCACGCTTCCGGCGGCCGCTGCGAGCGTTAGCAGTTCGCCAGGGCCGGTAGACCCGCGCGAGGCGCCGCGCTCGCGTCGTCGGGAGCCCCCCGAGCCCCTCCCGTCTCCACAGCATGGGCGACGAGGAAAAGCGGGATGCCCGGTTCGCCCACGTGGCGAAGCGGATCGAGACCGTCCTCAAGGTCTCGGAGACCGCGGTGGAGAAGATGTTCAAGACGGACGAGTACAGGTGCGGGCCCCCCAGCGCCACAACCTGCCTGCATGTTTCAGCGGGCATCCAACGCGCCCAGCGGGCTGCGCGCTGCCCCCCGCGACGACGTCCGGCGCCCCCGGGACGCCCCGATATTCATTCGTCCGCGGGGGCCGCAGAAAACGCATTGGGCGGCCCCGACGCGGCCGTGCGGAGCTCGGTCGCAGTCCTGGTGTGCGAGCCGCGCCGCGTACGCGCGCAACGCGCGCCGCGGGCCCCGCCGCGCCGCCGCAAGGCGCTCTCCAGCTCTCTGCCTGTCGCGTGGGCGCAAGCGGGCGCCGCGAAACCCCCCGGCGAGGCCGCAACCCCACCCTGGAGGGTCCTGGTGTTCCTGCAGGGAGATTGTCGAGCGGTTCCTGAATGACAACGAAACCACGAGGATGCTCGTGTCCGGCGACAAGGATGTCGCTCCGGTGAGCCGCCCTCCCACCACGCCGCGGGCCCCGCGCAGCCCCCCCGGGACCCGCAACGCCCTCGCACCGCCTCGCCCTCCCCCGGCACCCGCATCCCGCACCACCTCGCGCGCCCGCCCCACCCGCCCTCTCCCGCGACGTCCCTCATCAGGACCGCACTTGCCGCTCCCAACTCCCAGCGGCGCGCGCGCGCGCGCCCACCGCGCACATGACGTCGCCTCATCGCACACGCCCCACCGCGCAGCTCGCGCCCGCGCGCCGCCCCGCGCGCCTCCACCGCCCCCGCCCCGCCCCGGCCCTCCCCGCAGAGCCTCAGCGCCCCCGGGCGCATCAAGAAGAAGCTCATGTACTTCGTGAAGCGGTCGGCGGACGCCATCACGCCGGAGAACGTCGCGACGGCGCTGCTCGACGGCGAGATCGGCGAGGCGCCGCTCGAGCAGCTCCTCGGCATGAGCCAGGAGGTGTTTCTGCCGCTGCTGACCAACACGCGCAACCAGCAGGGGTGGCCCGACGTCATCACGCGCGAGGTCGTCGAGAACGTCCACAAGTTCGTCGCCGAGGTCACCATCACCATGGGCCGCACGCAGGTCAGCCGCCACCCCGCGCCCCGCGCCCCGCAACACCCCCCCGCTTCTTCCTTGGACTCCCCCGCCCAGCCGCGGCGCGCCCCGACCCCGCTCCGCAGGGCAAGACGCTCCTGCCCCTCCCGCCCGTCGACGGCGAGGAGGCCGAGGCGCTCACGTCGGACAAGGACCTCATCCACGTCCTGGAGTCGGAGGTGGTGATGTGGACGCGGCAGATCAAGAACGTGCTGAAGCTCGACCCGGAGTCGGTCTTCGCGTCGATGCCCGCGGGCGAGCACCCGGGACCGCTGAACGAGATCGACTTCTGGGAGTCGCGCGCCGCGGACCTCAACTCGATCCACGAGCAGGTCACGGGCGCCAAGGTGGCCAAGGTGGTGCGCGTGCTCGAGCTGGCCAAGAGCACGTACTACACGGCCTTCAGCCGGCTGCTGCGCGAGGTGGACGTGGCGCGCGAGGAGGCCAACCACGTCCTGCGGTACCTGAAGCCCATCAAGAAGTACTTTGAGAAGGTGGCCATGATGGACGACTTCCCGGTGCTGGTCGACTTCTTCCGCCCCATGATGCACCTCGTGCTGCTCGTGTGGAAGCGGTCCAAGTACTACAACACGCCCAACCGCCTCGTCATCCTCATCCGCGAGGTCTGCAACGACCTCATCGCCCAGTCCTGCCGGTAAGCGCCCCGCCCCGCACCGCACCGCAGTCCCCGCGCAAACGCTTGCATGGGCGTGCCTGTACGCGTGCGACTGTTCGTATGCGCACGTATATGTGTATTTGTACACTGCGTGGAGTGATAGGAGTGTGTTCGTGCTGGGCATGTGTGGCGTCTGACGTCCCTCCCGTGCGGCGCCGCGCAGGTACGTCGACGCGTCCAAGGTGCTGTCCGAGGAGCCGCAGGAGTCCGTCGCGCAGCTCAACAAGGTCACCAAGGTCCTCGGCACCTTCAAGGACGTGTACCAGGAGTACCGCCAGCGCAGCCTCGAGGAGTGCCCGGAGAACCCCTGGCGCATCCAGAGCTCCGCCATGTTCATGCGCCTCGACGCCTTCCTCGAACGCGTCCACGACCTCCTCGAGCTCGCCGAGACCTCGATGCTCTTCCTGCGCCTCGACCGGTGCGCGACCACCACCACCCGCCCTCCTCACCTGCGTCCTTCGTGTCTGCTCTCCGCGCCTCCCGCCACCGCCCGTGTCGTCGTCCGGCGCCGCCCGACGCCTCCCCTTCCCGCACCGCCCGCGCAGGGTCGAGATCGGCGGCACGCGCGGGCGCACGCTGACGGCGACGGTGAAGCAGATCTTCGGGGAGTTCATGACGGCGCTGGAGAAGCTGCAGCAGGTCGAGTACGACCTGATGGACGTGGAGTGCAAGCAGTTCGACGACGACTTCTTCGCGTTCCGCTCCGTGGTCAAGGAGCTCGAGCGGCGCCTGGGGTCGGTCCTGACGCAGGCCTTCGACGACTGCGCGACGGTCGAGTCGGCGTTCAAGCTGCTCGACGGCTTCGAGGGCCTCCTCGAGCGCGACATCATCAAGGCGGACCTGGACAAGAAGAACGACGACCTCATGTGGCAGTACTTTGAGGACATCAAGACGGTGCACCACATGTTCCACGCCGAGCAGGGCAACCCGCCGATCGCGAAGAACAGCGCGCCGTGCTCGGGCGCGGTGGCGTGGGCGCGCGGGCTGCGGCGGCGGCTGCAGGAGCCGATGGAGCGCGTGCAGGCGCTGAGCGGGTGGGACCCGGAGATGCTGCGGGAGGTGGTGGGGATGTACGAGTCGCTGCAGAAGGCGGTGCAGGAGTACGAGGGGAAGAAGGTGCGGGAGTGGTACGACGAGGTGGCGCGGACGTCGGACGACAAGCTGAAGCTGCCGCTGCTGAAGCGGGACGCGGAGAACGAGACGTTCATCACGGTGAACTTCGACCCGGCGCTGGTGCGGCTGCTGCGGGAGGTCAAGTACTTCAAGATCCTCGAGGTGGACATCCCGGAGTCGGCGCAGAAGGTGTACGAGAAGCACGAGACGTTCCGGCGGCAGGTGGGCAACTTTGACTTGATCAGCGGGATCCACAACAACATCCAGCGGACGCTGATGGACATCGAGCGGCCGCTGGTCCAGGACAAGCTGGACAAGATCGGCACGGCGCTGCAGAAGGCGCTCACGACGCTCAACTGGAACTCGCACAAGATCGACGACTACATCAGCGAGGTCATGTCGATGGTGCGCGAGCTCCAGAACATCCTCAACACGATCAAGGGCAACGTCGCGAAGACGTCGGAGATCCTCGCGCGCTGGGAGGCCGACGTCATGTTCGTGCGCAAGGAGGGCAAGGTGTACACGGTGCAGGAGTTCCACGAGGCCTTCCAGTCGACGGTCGGCGCGCGGCACGACCTGATCGCCGCGGGCGGCGAGGAGGTGGCCAAGCTCCTGTCGCTCTCGAACCGCACGCTCAAGGTCTCGAAGGGCGCGCCGGCCTGGAAGTCGTACGTCGAGCACGTGGGCACCATCGTCGTGGACGGCACGTCGCGCGCGATCCTCGCGTCGCTCGAGGCGATGCTGAAGCACATCGACCCGGACTCGATCCGCGAGAACGACCTCGGGCCGCTGCTCGAGGTGCAGCTCGAGCTCCGCGCGCCGGACATTGTGTGGGTGCCGGAGATCGCGAGCAAGGGCGCGGCGGTGTACGACGACGACGAGGACCGCGGGCTGCGCGACCACCTCCACTCGTGGGTCAAGGCCTTCCTCGAGGTGGGCACCCTCATGAAGCGGCTCGACACGGGGGAGGGGAGCTACGAGCAGGAGCTGGAGGAGGACTACTACATCGCGGACGTGCTGGCCAAGGTGTCGGAGGTGACGCTGGCGAACGAGGCCAAGTGCGCGGAGTTCCACGACTCGTACAAGCGCTTCGAGTACCTCTGGACGCGCGACTTGCAGGAGACGCTGCAGGAGTTTTTGCGTGAGAACGCCACGCGCGACGAGGAGACGGGCGAGGTCGTGGGCGACCCGCCGCTGGCCAAGTTCGACGAGGAGATCACGCGGTACAAGATGGTGCAGGACGAGATCGCGGCCCTGCCCACGACGGTCGACATTGGGATGCTGCGCATCGACTGCCGGCCGATCAAGCAGGCGCTGGGGACGTGGGTGACGAAGTGGGTGTTCCTGTTCACGCACTACCTGCAGCGGCACGTCACGGAGAAGATCGACGAGCTCGACGGGTTCATCGGGAACGCGTCGCACGTGCTGGAGATCTCCCTCGACGGGTCGGGCAACGTGGCGGGCCCCGCGGGCGGCGACGGCGAGGAGGGCGAGGGCGGCGAGGGCGAGAAGGCCGAGGAGAAGCCCGAGGGCGAGACCGGCGACGAGGTGCACGACCCCGAGGCCGAGGCCAAGCAGAAGGACGCCGACGAGAAGGCGTCCAAGGCCAAGGGCACGCTGCTGTACAAGGTCATGGCGACGCTGCGCGACATCCGGAAGCGCAAGGAGCGCACGGAGGCCGGGTTCGGCCCGATGAACGAGTGCGTGGAGCTGCTGCAGACGCACGGCATCCAGCTGGGCGAGGCGGTGCTGGCCAAGCTGGAGAACCTGCCGTCGCAGTGGCGCAACCTGATGAAGAAGCTCGACGGGAAGAAGGAGGAGGTGGCGCTCGCGCAGCAGATCGAGGGGCAGAAGATCCGCGGGACGTCGGACCGCTTCGGGAAGGAGGTGGAGGAGTTCCGGTCGTTCTTTCAGCGCACCGCGCCGTTCACCGTGCCGGACGGGAAGCTCAAGGTCGCGGACATCGAGCGCGCGTACCGCGTGCTGGACCAGTTCAACGCCGGCGCGGTCGACGGCCGCTCAAACGTGATGGCGATGATCAAGCGCGCGCAGGAGCTCCGCGAGAGCCAGGACCTCTTCGACCTCTTCGTGGTGGACTACGTGCCGCTCACGCGGTGCAAGGAGGAGCTGCAGTACCTCAAGGAGATGTGGGACATGGTCGGGATGGTCCTGTACACGTTTGAGGACTGGAACAACACGAAGTGGGACATCATCGACACGGAGATGCTGTCGGAGCGCACGAAGGCGATCGCGAAGGAGATCCGCACGCTGAACAAGAACTGCCGCGCGTTCGACGTGTACAAGCTGCTGGACGACTCGATCAAGGCGATGCAGGTGTCGCTGCCGCTGGTGGCGGACCTGCACCACCCGGCGATGCGCGAGCGGCACTGGAAGCAGCTGATGAAGGCGACGGGGAAGCACTTCACGATGGACGAGAACTTCTCCCTCGGCGACCTGCTGGCGCTGGAGCTGCACAACTACGTCGAGGAGGTCGGCGACATCGTGGACCGCGCGCAGAAGGAGCTGGTGATCGAGAAGCAGCTGAAGAAGATCGACGAGACGTGGGCCGCGCTCGCGCTCGTGTTCGAGCCGTACCAGGACTCGGAGGTGTACCAGGTGGTGGTGGACGACACCATCCGCGAGGCGCTGGAGAACGACAACATGCTGCTGCAGAACATGGCGGGCGGCAAGTACGTGCAGGGCAACCCGAAGTTCGTCGAGCTCGTCAACACGTGGCAGCGCAAGCTCGGCGGCGTGGTGTCGTGCCTGGACGTGTGGCTGGACGTGCAGAAGAAGTGGCAGAACCTCGAGAGCATCTTCATCGGCAGCGCGGACATCCGCGTGCAGCTCCCGGAGGACTCGAAGCGCTTCGACGGCATCAACGCGGACTACCAGGACCTGATGCGCAACGCCAACGACATCACCAACTGCGTGGAGGCGTGCAACCAGGAGGGCCGGCAGGAGCGCCTGGACAACATGCAGCGCGAGCTCGAGCAGTGCGAGAAGGCGCTGCAGGACTACCTCGAGACGAAGCGCATGGCGTTCCCGCGGTTCTACTTCGTGGCGCCCGCGGACCTGCTCGACATCCTGTCCAAGGGGTCCAACCCGCAGGCGATCCTGAAGCACCTGTCCAAGTGCTTCGCGAACGTGGACAACCTGGAGTTCCACCACGACGACAAGGGCGCGCCGACGAAGACGGCCATCGCCATGGTGTCGGGCGAGAAGGAGCGCGTGTCGTTCGCGCCGGAGTCGTACGCGCCCGCGTGCCTGTGCGACGGGCCCGTCGAGAACTGGCTGCAGACCGTGGAGGACTCGATGGTCAAGGCGCTGTCGTACGAGTTCAAGGAGAAGGCGATGCCCGGCTACGAGGAGAAGAAGCGCAAGGACTGGATCTTCGACCACTCGGTGCAGATGACCATCGTGGTGAGCCGCGTGTACTTCACGCAGGAGGTCAACGAGGCCTTCAGCGAGCTCGAGGACGGCAACGAGGACGCCCTCAAGGCCGAGTACCAGCGGCAGGTGGACCAGATCTCGGACCTGATCGACATCATCAACACGCCGCTGACGAAGAACGACCGGAAGCGGCTGATCACGCTCTGCACGATCGACGTGCACGCGCGCGACGTGATCCAGCGGCTCATCGACGAGCGCGTCGAGGCCGGGTCGTGCTTCCAGTGGCAGTCGCAGCTGCGGTACTTCCGGCACGAGAAGACGGGCGAGGTGCAGGTCAACATCGTCGACGCGGACATCCGGTACTCGTACGAGTACATCGGCAACGTCGGGTGCCTCTGCATCACGCCGCTCACCGACCGCTGCTACATCACCCTGACTCAGGCCCAGAGGCTCGTCCTCGGCGGCGCGCCCGCGGGGCCCGCGGGCACGGGCAAGACGGAGACCGTCAAGGACCTCGCGCGCGCCCTCGGCGTCATGTGCTACGTGTTCAACTGCTCCGACCAGATGGACTACAAGGTCATGGGCATGATCTACAAGGGCCTGGCGCAGACGGGCGCGTGGGGGTGCTTCGACGAGTTCAACCGCATCCCCGTGGCCGTGCTGTCCGTGTGCTCCACGCAGTACAAGACCGTCCTGGACGCCCTGCGGATGAAGAAGGAGCGCTTCACGTTTGAGGACGTGGAGATCCCGCTGCGCGACTCGATCATGGCGTTCATCACGATGAACCCGGGGTACCCGGGCCGTGCGGAGCTGCCGGAGAGCCTGAAGGCGCTGTTCCGCCCCGTGTCGATGGTGGTGCCGGACCTGGGGCTGATTTGCGAGATCATGCTCATGGCCGAGGGCTTCCAGATGTCCAAGATCCTGTCGCGCAAGTTCATCATTCTGTACAAGCTGTGCGAGGACCTGCTGTCGAAGAGCCGGCACTACGACTGGAAGCTGCGCGCGATCAAGACCACGCTGTACGTGGCGGGCGGCATGAAGCGCATGGCCGAGTCCGAGGCCGAGATGACGGAGGACAAGGTGCTGCTGCGCGCGCTGCGCGACTTCAACCTCGGCAAGCTCACGTCGGACGACACGTCGATCTTCATGGGCCTGCTGAACGACCTGTTCCCCAAGACGGTGGAGAAGGTCCCGCGCGCCATCGACTACGAGTTCGAGGCGCAGATCAAGAAGGCCGCCAAGGAGCTCGCGCTGCAGGGCGACGAGCGCTTCTGCCTGAAGATCTCGCAGCTCCGCGAGATCTTCGTGGTGCGCTGGTCGGTCTTTTTGCTGGGGCCCGCGGGGTGCGGCAAGTCGGCGATCTGGAAGACGCTGAAGCGCGCGCAGAACAACTTCGGCGAGAAGACGGACTCGAAGCCGATCAACCCGAAGAGCGTCACGCGCAACGAGCTGTACGGGTTCCTGCACCCGCAGACGCGCGAGTGGAAGGAGGGCCTCATCTCGACGACGTTCCGCAACATGGCGACGGACGGCGAGCGCGTGTACAAGCACCAGTGGATCGTCCTCGACGGCGACATCGACGCGGAGTGGATCGAGTCGATGAACACGGTGATGGACGACAACAAGATGCTCACGCTGGCGTCGAACGAGCGCATCCCGCTCAAGGACAGCATGCGGCTGCTCCTCGAGATCAACCACATGGTGCACTGCTCGCCCGCGACGGTCTCGCGCGGCGGCGTGATCTTCGTGAACCAGGACGACGTCGGGTGGAAGCCCGCCAAGGACAGCTGGATCGAGGGCCTCGAGTGCGACCAGTACCGCGGGCTGCTGACGACGCTGTTCGAGAAGTACGTGGAGACGAGCCTGGAGCACTGCCGGCGGAACTTCAAGACGGTCGTGCCGCTGGAGCCCATCCAGCAGGTGCAGACCATCTGCAAGATCCTCGAGGGGATCCTGCCGTCGGAGAAGGTGCCGGCGCCGGACGACAAGAAGAAGAAGCTGCTGGAGACGAACTTCGTGTTCGCGTGCGTGTGGGCGTTCGGCGGGTGCATGCTCGTCGACAAGGTCTACGACTTCCGCACGGAGTTCTCGCGGTGGTGGTGCTCGGAGTTCAAGACGGTCGCGTTCCCGGACGGCGGGCTGGTGTTCGACTTCTACGTGGACCAGGAGGAGGGCACGCTGTGCCCGTGGCAGGACCGCGTGGCGGACTTCACGTACGCGAACGACGGCAACTTTGGCAACATCTTCGTGCCGACGGTCGAGACGACGCGGCTGACGTTCTTCCTCGACTCGCTCATCGAGAACAAGCACTACGTCATGTTCGTGGGCAACTCCGGCACGGGCAAGACGGCCATCATGCGCGACAAGCTCAAGGCGATGGACCAGGAGGCCATGTCGTTCTACACCATCAACATGAACTCCTTCCTCGACGCGCCCGCGCTCCAGGTCACCATGGAGCAGCCCCTGCAGAAGTCCAACGTCCGCTGGGGCCCCCCGGGCAACAAGCGCATGGTCTACTTCATCGACGACATGAACATGCCCTTCAAGGACAAGTACGACACGCAGTCCGCGATCGAGCTCGTCCGGCAGTACGTCGACTACGGCGGGTGGTACGACAAGGTCAAGATCGTCGAGCGCAAGATCGCGTCGTGCCAGCTCGTGTCGTGCATGAACCCCACGGCGGGCTCGTTCTTCATCACCCCGCGCATGCAGCGGCACTTCTCGACCTTCGCGGTGCAGATGCCGCCGCAGGAGATCGTGCGGTCGGTGTACGTCGCCATCGCCGAGGGCCACATGGCGCCGTTCGAGGGCGACGTCGCCGCGCTGGCCCCGCGGCTCGTCGACGCCATGACGGAGCTGCACAAGTCGGTCATGAACACGTTCCTGCCGTCGGCCGTCAAGTTCCACTACCAGTGGAACCTGCGCGACCTGTCCAACATCACGCAGGGCCTCACGCGCATGACGCGCGAGTTCTACACCAACCCCGTCCAGGTCGTGCGCCTCTTTGTGCACGAGTGCGAGCGCGTGTTCCTTGACCGCATGGTGAACGAGACGGACATGACCAAGTTCAACGAGCTGCGCGAGAAGGTCACGAAGAAGCACTTCAGCGACATCAGCGCGGAGGAGGTCGAGGCGCGCCCGAACGTGTACACGGCGTTCATGCAGTTTGACAACGAAGAGAACGGGATCTACGTGGGCTGCCCGACGTACGACAAGCTCAAGGAGGTGCTCGAGGAGCGGCTGAAGGAGTACAACGACGCGAACGCCGTGATGGACCTCGTGCTGTTCCAGCAGGCGATGGAGCACGTGGCGCGCATCGCGCGCATCATCAACTTGCCGCGCGGCAACGCGATGCTGGTCGGCGTCGGCGGGTCCGGCCGGCAGTCGCTCGCGCGGCTCGCGTCGTTCCTGTGCGGGTACGAGGTCTTCCAGATCACGGTGACGTCGACGTACGGCGTCGAGAACCTCAAGGAGGACCTGATCAGCCTGTACACCAAGTGCGGCGCCAAGTCGCAGCCGATCACGTTCCTCATGACGGACAACCAGATCGTGGACGAGCGCTTCCTGGTGTACATGAACGACCTGCTGTCGTCGGGCATCATCGCGGACTTGTTCACGCAGGAGGACAAGGACAACTTCTGCAACGCGGTGCGCAACGAGGCGAAGCAGGCCGGCGTGATCGACACGCAGGAGAACCTGTGGGACTTCTTCATCGAGAAGGTCCGGAAGTTCCTGCACATCGTGCTGTGCTTCTCGCCCGCGGGCGACAAGTTCCGCGTGCGCGCGCGGCAGTTCCCCGCGCTCGTCACGTCGACGGTGTTCGACTGGTTCCACTCCTGGCCGCACGAGGCGCTCGTGAGCGTGGCTCAGCGCTTCCTGGGCGACATCCCCGCGATCGAGGACGAGGTTCGGGAGAACCTGGCCTACCACATGGCGTTTGCGCACCAGTCGGTGACGACGGCGTCGACGGACTTCCTCACGCGGTCGCGGCGGTACAACTACGTCACGCCGAAGTCGTACCTCGAGCTGATCGCGCTGTACAAGAAGCTGCTCGAGGAGAAGCGCGGGCAGCTGCGGCAGGCGCGCGAGCGGCTCGAGAACGGGCTGGACAAGATCGCGAGCGCGGCGGCGCAGGTGCAGGACCTGCAGGTGATGCTGCAGCAGGAGCAGATCGTCGTCGAGGAGAAGAAGGCCAAGACGGAGGAGCTCATCGTGAGCATCGGCAAGGAGAAGGCGGTGGTCGACGACGCGGTGGAGAGCAGCCGCGCCGACGAGGAGGAGTGCGCGAAGATCGCGGAGGACGTCGGGCAGATGCAGGCGGAGTGCGAGCGCGACCTGAGCGCCGCCGAGCCGCTCGTCGAGAAGGCCATTGCCGCGCTGAACAGTCTGGACAAGGGGAGCCTGACGGAGCTCAAGTCGCTCAAGACGCCCGGGCCGGAGATCCAGGCGGTGGCGTTCGCGGTGCAGGTGCTGTTCGCGCCGCCGGGCAAGGTCCCCAAGGACAAGGACCTGACGTGGCAGAACGCGCAGAAGTTCATGGGCGACGCGGGGTCGTTCCTGAACAACCTGCTCAACTTCGACAAGGAGAACATCCCCGAGGCGAACGTCGAGCGCGTCGAGAAGAACTACAAGCCCTCGCTCGTCATCGAGGGCACCGACGAGCCCGACATTGAGGGCATCAGCAAGAAGTCGAAGGCGGCCGCGGGCCTCGCGTCGTGGGTCGTGAACGTGTCCAAGTACTTCCGCGTGTACCAGTTCGTCGAGCCGAAGCGCCAGAGCCTGGCCGAGGCCAACCGGAAGCTCGAGGCGGCCAACAAGAAGCTCAGCGGGATCCGCGCCAAGGTCAAGGAGCTGCAGGACAAGGTGGCCGCGCTCGAGGAGCAGCTCATGCAGGCGACGGAGGAGAAGAACAACGCCGTCGCGCAGGCGGAGAAGACGCAGAAGAAGGCCGACCTCGCCGACCGCCTGATCAACGGCCTGGCGGGCGAGAAGCAGCGCTGGGGCGAGACGGTGAGCCGCTTCCAGGTGCAGGAGGGGCGGCTGGTCGGCGACGTGCTGCTGGCCTCGGCGTTCGTGGCCTACGCGGGCCCGTTCTCGATGCCGTTCCGCGTCGCGCTGGTCTCGGAGAAGTGGACGCCCGACCTGGTGGAGCGCAAGGTGCCCATGAGCGACGGCATCACGCCGATGGACGTGCTCGCGACGGACACGCTCAAGGCGAAGTGGTCCTCCGAGGGCCTCCCCACGGACCCGCTGTCGATGGAGAACGGCGCGATCATGACCAACTCGGCGCGGTGGAGCCTCATGATCGACCCGCAGCTGCAGGGGATCAAGTGGATCGTGAGCCGCGAGGAGCCGCACGGGATCAAGGTGATCCAGCTCACGCAGAACAAGTACATCGAGACGGTGAAGCAGTGCATCGAGAACGGCGTCCCGCTGATGATCGAGAACATCGGGGAGGACATCGACGCGGTGCTCGACCCGGTGATCTCGCGCTCGACGATTAAGAAGGGCCGGAACATCGTGATGAAGATCGGCGACGACGAGGTCGAGTACGACGACAAGTTCAGGCTCTACTTGCAGACGAAGCTCTCGAGCCCGCACTACAAGCCCGAGATCGCCGCGCAGACGACGCTGGTGAACTTCTGCGTGACGGAGAAGGGCCTCGAGGACCAGCTCTTGGCTCTCGTGGTGTCCAAGGAGCGGCCCGACCTGCAGAGCCAGGCCGCGGAGCTCGTCAGCCAGCTCAACCAGTACACGGTCACGCTGGCCGAGCTCGAGGACAACCTGCTGTTCCGCCTCGCCAACTCCCAGGGCGACATCCTCGAGGACATCGAGCTCGTCGAGAACCTCGAGCAGACCAAGGCGACGGCCAACGACATCGCGGAGAAGGTCGACCTGGCGAAGAAGACGCAGGCCAACATCAGCAAGGCGCGCGAGGTGTACCGCCCCGTCGCGACGCGCGGGTCGCTGGTCTACTTCCTCATCGACAACCTCGACGCGCTCGACCGCGTGTACCACTACAGCATGGCCAACTTCGTGCGCATCATGCGGACGGGCATGGACAAGACGCCCGAGGTCGAGGAGCAGAACGAGGCCGACCGCGTGCGCAAGCGCGTCGCGGCGCTCATCGAGCACGTGACGCTGACCGTCTTCAAGTACGTCGCGCAGGGCCTCTTCGAGCGCCACAAGCTCATCGTGGCCACGCAGCTGTGTGTGTCGATCCTCAAGGGCCGCGGGGAGCTCGACGCGCAGCGGTTCGACTACCTCCTGCGCGGCCCGCGCGTGCTCGGCGTGGACAACCCCGTGCACGAGTGGGTGGCCGACCCGTGCTGGGCGGCGGTGCAGGCGCTCAAGCAGCTCGACGACTACTCGAGCCTCCCGGACGACCTGGTCGGGTCGGCGAAGCGGTGGCGCGAGTGGATGGAGCTCGAGCGCGCCGAGGAGGAGCTGCCGCCGGGCGACTGGAAGCGCATGAGCGAGTTCGACCGCCTGTTGATCTTCCGCGCGCTGCGGCCCGACCGCCTGACGAACGCGATGCGCAAGTTCGTGCACAACACCATCGGCGAGGCGTACGTCACGTCCGAGGGCTTCGACCTCGAGCGCTCGCTCGAGGACTCGGCGCCGCACATCCCCGTGTTCGTCTTCCTGTCTCCCGGTGTCGACGTCGCGGGCGCCGTCGAGGCGCTCGGGCGCACCAAGGGCAAGACGCTCGAGGAGGGCACGTACGCGTCGATCTCGCTCGGGCAGGGCCAGGAGGTCATCGCGATGCGGGCGCTGCAGAAGGCGCGGAAGAACGGCGGGTGGTGTCTGCTGCAGAACGTGCACCTGACGATCGACTGGACGGCCGGCGCGCTCGTCAAGGTGTGCGACAAGCTCGAGGAGGAGGGCACGCACGACGACTTCCGCCTGTTCATCTCCGCGGAGCCGCCCCCGGCGCTCGAGCGCGGCCTGCCCATCTCGCTGCTCCAGCAGAGCATCAAGCTCACCAACGAGCCGCCCGAGGGCCTCAAGGCCAACCTGCTGCGCGCGCACCACTGCTTCAGCGACGAGATCGTCGAGGCGTCGTCCAAGCAGGCCGAGCTCCGCTCGATCCTCTTCGCGCTGTGCTACTTCCACGCCGTCCTCCTCGAGCGCAAGAAGTTTGGCGTCGGCAACCTCCCCGGCGCGACGTCGGGCATCGGGTGGAACATGAACTACCCGTTCAACACCGGCGACCTCCTGTGCTGCGGCCAGGTCGCCGTCAACTTCCTCGAGATCTCGTCCAAGGTGCCCTGGGACGACCTGCGGTACGTCATCGGCGAGATCATGTACGGCGGGCACATCGTCGAGGACTGGGACCGGCGTCTCGCGAACGCGTACCTGTTCCGGTACTTCAACGACGACCTCGTGGAGGGCACGGAGATGTTCCCGGGCTTCCCGACGCCGCCCAACACGGCGCCGCACAAGGAGGTGACGGCGTACATCGAGGACAGCATGCCCGCGGAGTCGCCGATCGGGTTCGGGCTGCACCCGAACGCGGAGATCGGGTTCAAGCTGCGCGAGGGCGAGACGTTCTGCGCGAGCCTGCTGAACCTGCAGCCGCGCGACGCGAGCGGCGACGCGGGCATGAGCGACGAGGAGCGCGCGAAGCAGGTCCTCGACGACCTCATGGAGCGCCTCCCGGACTACTTCGACATGGAGGACATCCGCGGCCGCATCGACGACTTCACGCCGTACATCATGGTGGCCATTCAGGAGGCGGAGCGGATGAACGTGCTGCTGGCGGAGATGCGGCGGTCGCTCGTGGAGCTCGACCTGGGCCTCAAGGGCGACCTGACGATGTCGGAGCCGATGGAGCGGCTCATGCGCGCGCTGAGCAGCAACCAGGTGCCCGGGTCGTGGCGCAACCTGGCCTACCCGTCGCTGCGGCCGCTCGCGAGCTGGATGCACAACCTGCTGCAGCGCGTGGAGCAGCTCGTGGGGTGGACGACGGAGATGAGCGTGCCGCCGTCGGTGTGGCTCTCGGGGCTGTTCAACCCCCAGAGTTTCCTGACGGCGGTGATGCAGACGACGGCGCGGCGCAACGACTGGCCGCTCGACAAGACGATCGTGGTGACGGAGGTGACGAAGAAGCAGCCGGACCAGGTCGAGGGGCCGCCGCGCGACGGCGCGTACGTGCACGGCCTCACGCTCGAGGGCGCGCGCTGGGACGAGAAGGCCGGCGTGCTCGACGAGTCGCTCCCGAAGCAGCTCTTCTGCGCCGTGCCCGTCATCCAGATCCGCGCCATCCAGGTCGACCGCGCGGACAGCTCCAAGGACGTGTACCAGTGCCCCGTGTACGCCACGGAGGCGCGCTTCCGCGAGGAGATCTTCACGGCGCAGCTGAAGAGCAAGGCGAGCTGGATCCAGTGGACGTGCCGCGGTGTGTGCATGTTCCTCGACGTCGTGGCGTAGGGGGGTGGACAGAAGCAGCTGCGGTACATCGTGGTTTGCGTTTTTGTGTTCAGTGGGGTGGAGTAGCTCAGGTGCGTGGTACGGCCACGTGTTGTGAGACGATACACCGAACAGAGCGAACGTCCCGTCATGCTCGGGCGGTCAGGTGGGTCGGAGAGTCGAGGGGACGCAGGGGCGGCTCAAGGCCGTGACGACACGTGTGTTGCAGCAGGGCGCGAAGTTGCGGTAGGGGACCGGTGCGCGACGCGACCATCGTTGCGCTGTCGCCTCAGTGGGTCGTTCCCTGGGTGCCGCGTGTGGGGGCGCACGAATGCGGGGTGTGCTGCTGACTCGGGAGGCACCAATGCTAAGCGGGGATGTTGGCGCGTTGCGCAGTGCGTGGCGGCCTGCGCAAGGAAGCGTGAAAGGAGGCAGCGAGCATCCGGGGAGCAAACGAGGCGCTGTACGGCCGTCCCGCGGCGCGCTTGTCCTCGCTGCTTCAGCTCGTCACACCCCCCCTCGCGTCACTCATAATACGTCACCCCTGGCTGCCGGAGCTGGATACACGCTCTGTTTGCCAGGTCGATCCCCTTGGTGACCACGAACCGGCGGTCGTCCTGGGCCATCCTCCTCAGAACCATGCTGAAGGTCATGATCCCCAGGTGCTTCATATCCATCTCCTCATAGAGGTCGCAGAACATCAGCGACTGCCTCCCCTCGGCCATCAGCGCCCGCATGACGTAGTCCTCGATGTACCTGATGTCCTCGATCAGCCCCGCGGCCGGCGACGCCCTCAGCGTGACCTGAAACGACAGCCCATCCTTTGACGAGTAGACGTGCGTGTTGTGGTCCACCACGTTCGTGTCTGAGAGCTCGAGGTTGTAGAAGTCCATGTACGACGGCTCGAAGAAGGGCCCCGCGTGCCACGTGCCCTGCTTCATGTTGACGAACACCCCCGGGGGGATCCGGAACACCATCAGGTCCTCGGGCGCGGGGGGCTTGGAGAGGTCGAACGTGGCGTCTGCCACGGCCATGTACCTGCGGCGGGAGCGCGGGCGAGCGGGCGTGAGCCACAACGCGAGCTGACAGGCGATCGGGACCGGGATTGTCCGTGCGCGCGGTCCGCACAGGATGGCGTCCGTTTGAGAGACGGATTGCTGTGCTGGAGGGTCGCGGGGCGGTGGGAGCGTACCAGGGCTGGTCGCCGAGGCACCCGAGGCTCTGGGTGGTCTTTGCGTGGAACGTGATTCGGTCAAACGCGAGTGGTTTGTCGCGCAATCGCATGATGTAGAACCGCGGCGTGCCCTGGTCCAGCACCAGCTGCGCGCTCGTGTCGCCGAACGGCACCATGTCCTCGATCCACCCCACCAGCTGCACCGCAGCACACGGCGCAGGGCCGCGTCGTGAGCGCCCCCGGCAGAGTGACTGTCGTTGACCCCTCACCCGAGCTTGTTCGACGCACTCACGTACAAAACTCGGTTCCGTCCGAAAGAACAAATCAGCAGCATCTGAAACGGGCGTCGTGCGTGGGATCGGTCGAGAACTGGTACCTGTCCGAAGCGTTCAAAGTTCTCATAGGTAATGTCGACTGCCGGGAGCTCAATGATCCTCTTCTCGCCCTCCGCGCGCGCCCGCACCGCTCCACGCGTCGTAACTCGCGCAACCGCGACGCTCGTCTCCCTGCGGAAGCGCAGGAGCCCGCCCCCGCGGCAAGTTGTCGTGCGCGCCCCGCGGGCGCGCGGGAGCCGAGCCGCGCACGATGGCGCGACGACGCGCGCCTGCGCGATACCTGAGCAGGCCATGTAGGCTGTTGGGCCGCTCAGGGGCGAACAGTATGCGCTGGGTGTTCGGTCGTGCCGCGGGATGTCTCTGGTGCGAGGAGTAGGGGCTCTGCGCGCGGTTGCTGGCAGGAGCGGACGACGCGGGACCTGCGATGTATCCGTAGCGGCTCGTGATCGCAGGCCTCGTACTCCGAGGCGTCTCGACCGCGTTGTCTGACTGGCGCGGTCGACACGACGACTGCCCCATTGTCTGGCGGTCGGGTCACTCCTCCCGCCCCGCGGTGCGATTGGCGCGCGCGCGACGGCGACGTCGCTACGCGCTGCACTGTATCCACAGCTTCGCGTGTCGACGACGACGTGTGCCGTCCGTGCCCGCAGCGATTCGCATTCTTCTCCAGCGCCCCCAAACAACAGCATGGTGCGCGTGGAGTCCAACGACGTGCTGGGGCTCAACAGCACCCTCCCAGCCTTCTCGGTGAGGACACCGTCGCCCAGACGGGTCGTGGCGCGCCACGCCACGGCGCCCTCGGACTGCAGCGCGCCGCTGGCACAACAACCGGCCGTCGCTCGCCCTCGAACATCGCTGATTCCTGCTTATATCGCGGATACGACACAACAGAGTCACAGCAGTGCATGGAAGTGCTCGGCATCACGCGACAGACCGCACCTGCGCCTCCTCGGCGCGCTCCTGCATGAGTGTCTCCACCGTCGCTCTCTCCCTCCCCACGCCCAGAAAGCTTCCACCGCATCCGCGAACACGATCCGGGCGTATACATCCTACTGCATCCGCGCCCCACGTGATCCTGTTCCCACAACAGAGAGAGGAGCGCCGCAACAGACCCCCTCCTGCTTCCGCGCCGCGGCGCGCACCCACCGGCCCCCGCCCCGCTCCCCGCACCCCCCCCGCAGCTCCCCGACCCTCGCTCGGGCAGCCAGGTGTCCTCCGAGGACCTCAAGGGCGCTCCGTCGCTGGTGATCTTCATGTGCAACCACTGTCCCTTCGTGGTGCTGCTCAAGGAGGCCATCGCGAGTCTGACCAAGGAATACGCCGGCAAGGGGGTGAAGATCGTGGCCATCAGCAGCAACGACGCCGCGGCGTACCCGCAGGACGGACCCGACATGATGGCAAAGGACGCAGAGGCGCACGCGTACTGTTTTCCGTACGTGTTCGACGAAACGCAGGAGGTGCGCGGCGGTGCCGCCCCCTCCCCCCCTCCCCCCGCGGTGTGCAGCCGCGTGCGCGAGCGGGCGCGGCGCGAGCGAACGCCTCGCGACGGCGGCGACAAGTCCACTGTCGGCTGTGGCGAGGGACGCGCGGGCCGGGGTCTCGCGCTGCGGTGTCGACGGACCAGGGGCGTGCGTGGGCGGCATGTGCGCCTCTCACGCGGCAGTCCTGAGTCTTTCCTGGAAAGCGAGTAAAAGACAAATATGGGTTTCCTTCTTCCGTCCCGCAGGTGGCCAAGGCGTTCGGGGTGATGTGCACGCCGGAGTTCTTCGTCGCGGACGCCGCGGGCGTTCTCAAGTACCACGGCCGGTTCGACGCCGCGACGCCTGGGAACGGAAAGGAGGTCACCGGCGCCGATCTGCGGGCGGCGCTCGACGCGGTGCTGGCGGGGAAGCCAGTGGAGAGCCAGCCGCGGTCGATGGGGTGCAACCTGAAGTGGAAGGCCGGGAACGAGCCCGCGTACTTTGCGCTGCCGTGAGGGCGAGGCGGGCAGTGGTCGAAGTGCGGGCCATCAGTTGGGCTCTCTCGAATGAGAGTGTGTGCCGGAAATCGGTGATGTCGGGGTGCCGAGGTGGCATGGGGACGCGTGTGGATCGTCGCGTCCCGCTGTACGTATCATCGCATCACTGTGCATGTAACGAACACATGAGTTTGTACATGGCAGGCGCGCAGGGGCTCCATGGCGCCCGTCCCATCGGGCACCGACGAGCACTGACCGCCACCGCTCGTGCCATATGGCGGCCTTCATCAGGGGGTTGCTGACACCCGATACAGCTCACTGTGGGGCCAGTGGGTGCTTCTGAAGCGCCAGTGGGTGCTTCTGAAGCAGTGGAGGATCTGCTTAGTGCCGCAAGCGTGGGTCGCAGCGAGCACGCACGCCTGCGCTCCAGAGTCGCGCTCTGCTGCGCACAGTACGTCGCCTGGCACTCCGACACCCAACTGCGCGAGTCGAGACCGCCGCCGATTTCACGATTTCACATTCATGCAAATTGACTCTCTGTCGGACACGGGCATCTGCGCCGACACGCCTCACGGCGTCGCCGGCAGCACGGGCGCCGCGCCGAGGCCTGACCCAGGGGGGGGGTGTCGACTGCATGCATCCACGGGCGGTGCAGCACCTCCGACACGACGTGCACGACACCATTCGGCACGGGGACGTCCGGCACAAGCACCTCGGCCCAGCATCCGTCGCCACACGCCACGAGCGCGGTCCCGCCGGCCGTGCAGTGGGGGGGGTGCTGGCTGCCAGCGTCGGCGCGAGCGCTGAGGCCGGTGTCGGCGGGCGGGGCGTCGTTGGTGCCGCACGAGTGCACAGCGTACGCGGTGCCCTCGAGGGACGTGACGCGGCCGCGGGCGCGCAGCTCGGACAGGGGGCGGCTGCGCGCCGCCACGTGGCTGCAACGCACCAAGGAGAAGGGGGGGGGTGTGATTGCCGCGGAGTCAGACACGGTCGCAAGGCCCGACGAGCTGCTTCGGCTCGCGCAGCGCGAGCGGTTTGGGTGTCCCGGCGCGTTCGCGTGCGCACCTGAACAGCAGAGCCTCGCGGGCCAGTCGGGTGGAGGGGGGTGTCCAGTCAGGCGGGAACGCGGCGTCGACGGGAACGAAGTACGTCGCGCCGCCGCTCGGGCCGGCGTCGCCGACCTCGGCCCAGAACGCCGGGCCCGCGTCCGCCAATACCCCCCCCATCTTCGTCAGGTTGAGCGCTGTCAGGGCGGTGAAGAGGGCCGCCGGCGGCGCGGCGGGAGCGGGAGACGGGGCGAGGGGCGATGACGTGCCGGGGGGCGCGAGGGTCGTGGCGTTGCCCGCGGCGTCGTCGGAGGTCTGCATCGGAGAGAGACGGTCGATGACAGACTGACTCATGTCAGGGGACCGCGGCTGGGCAGTGGACAGAGGGAGGGGCGCGCAGAGCAGGCGACACAGGGCGCACAGAAGCAGCAGAGAGGTGCTCGCAGGCTGCGGTGCGTCCGTCTGACGGGAGCAGGTAGAACAGCAACCAACCAAACCCGATTCGGGCTCCACGATTTTTTGTGATTCGGGGGGCTGGGGCGCACCTCGCGGACCGCCGCGATGTGCGACAGCAGCGCCGCGGCCGCAACGGACGCCATGTAGTCCTCGCCCACCTCGGCGCCGTCGTCGCGCACCACCGCCAGCGGCACCACGCTCAGGCCTGCCACCATGCCGTCAAGCGGAGACTCCCCCCCCTGATCGGCCGGCGCTGCCGGCGCGAGCTCCGCGGGCCCCAGCGCGTCCTCCTCGTCGGACGGCAGCCTGCAGAGCTTGAATCAACGACGCAAGTCGCCATTGAAATTGTTTCTACCAATTACCTGGTGGTGGCAGCGTGGCGGTCTCTGAACCAGACGGGTCGAGCGCCGGAGCAGCCGTTGCAAGGCCCCCGCACCTGAGGAGCGCCTGCACTTCCGCAGCGTCACCCCCCGCAACCTCTCCGGCGTACGCGGCCGCGGCGTCCGACGCGAACGTGCGGAACCGCGCGAGCGGGATGCGCCGCAGCTCCCCGCGGTGGGCGCGGCGCATAAAGGCGCGCAGCATGCCCGCGACGGACCAGCGCCGGGCGTGCCCGGTGGACCCGCCGCTTCCGTCGTCGCCTTCGTCGCCGTCGTGGCCGCCGAGGGCGAGGGCGGAGTACTGAGACGCATCGAAGTCGCTCAGCGAGGCGGCCGAGGAGGGAGGGGTGTCGTACGATCCCGCTGACGACGAGGACGTGCCTTGGACCTGTGGGTTTGAGAGCAGTGATCGATGACGTGGGAGGGGATGCGTTGGGGGGAGGTTTGCGCCAAAGCAACAGCGCCTGCATGTGCGAACGCCGCTCGAGCCTGCAGCCCGCCTACCGGACGCGCGTGGCAACCTTCGCCCGTGCCACCGTCGTCCTAGCAACAGTAAACCCCCCCCTCGAACACAACACCCCCCGCAGCGCACCTGCACGCCCGTGTCGACCTCGCCCGTGAAGCCCTCGCGGCTCACCACGCCGTCGGCCTGCAGCCAGAACCCGTCGCCCGTGCGCCACCGGAACGACAGCGGCGCGCGCGGCACCCACCCCGCAGCCTCCCAGTTGGCACCCCACTTGTTCTGCATCTGCTGCAGGGCCTCGCTGTCGCTGCCGCGCACGCCGATCTCCGCGACGGTCCCGCGGCCGCCGTGCCCGAACAGCGCCACGCGGAGCCACCTGGACGAGCGACGGGGAGGGGGGGGCGTGGGAGGTGCGTCGTCGCATCGTGGTGCTGTCGCGGCACGCAGCGAGCGCCGGTGCGGCGTCGTTCGCAAGCGGTCCTGCATGGTTGCGCAAGCAGCGGAGAGCGCGATGGACAGCGAGGGCCGTGCGGGGTGTTCCCGGGCCGGGCTGTGCCGCAACAGGCGTACTGCCTGCGGTGCTACGAGGGGCGGGACCGGACCCGCCGCTGCCCTGGCGGAACGCGGAGACGAGGAGCTTGACGGAGATGTCGGGCTCGCAGGCGACCTGGCGGTACGAGAGGCTGATGCGGCCGCCGCGCATGGGCGCGATTTGCTCGAAGGTGCGGGCCTGGAGGTCGAGGTGGTCGCTGCCGCACTCGGGGCACGAGTCCGTGACCACGATCTTGACGGAGCGACGGGAGACGTCGGAGTTGCAGCGGCCCTCGAACGGCCAGCGGTCCTGTCAGGGACGCAAGGGGGAGGAAGTGGGGGGTCGTGAGGGCGGGGTGGTCTCGTGCGGTGGCGGCGGTGGAGGTGCGCGGTGGTTGCGGGCTTTGTGGTATATTGTGCGCCGTGTGATCCGAGCGAGGTGGGGTCCGAGTGTGCGTGGGAGGCGAGGTGAGGTTGGGGGGGCGAGGCGGACCTGGCACACGACCTCGAAGCACGCGCCGCAGCCCTTGACGGCGAGGTTGTTGAAGAAGTAGTTCGACGTGGCTGCGGGCGGCGCGAGCGGGCGCGGCCCGTGAGCGGCGCGCGGTCGCGGAATTGAAAATCGATGTAGCTGCGTCGTAGAGCCGGCTCCGTGGACGCCCTGAACCGGCCACTGAGACTCGGAAGGCAAGGACAGGATACGAGACGCAGGTGGAGGGCGCACCGAGCGCTCCCACACGCCAGTAGGGCCACTGGTCTCGAGACAACCTCTGATAACCGCAGCTGCCGATCGACGTGCCGTACGAGGGGCTGTCTGGATCCATTCCGTCGGGCGCTCCACCGTAGAAAGTCCCTGCAGCGGACGAGGCGGAACGCGGCAAGGTCGTTCGGCGAGTCGGAAAAAAAGAGCGGGAAATTCCGATCCGTTTCCGGGCTCGTCCGTCACCGCCGAAGACTGTCGACGTCGCGTCTCGCACCGATGCCATCCCGCCACTCGCTCAGCGGCTGTACGGCGGCCGCGGGGGCCGAGAGAGCGCCGATGGCGATGAGCAGCAGTGTACACAGCAACGCACGCCGCATGGTGCCCTCGACGCGCGAACGCCCGCGAGTTTCGTCACGGATCACGAGTTTCGTGACGGATCTACGATCACGATCGATTCGACGCGGCTGTGCGGCCACGGGAGCCGTGAATCGCAGCACCAGACTGCTGTGTCACGAAAAAACCGGGCGCGGCCCGACGCGTGGCACCACGGCCCTTAAAACCTGCGCGAGCGCAACACCTGCAGGCCAAGAGAACCACAGGGTATCACGCTGGGCGCGTCAAGCGCGGACGGGACGTCGCTGTGCCAGCACTGCCGCCGCAAGTACAGAGGCGAGCTGCGAGTCGGCTTGGAATCGCGCGGCGTGCCCTTCCTCTATCCAGGACACCGTGGAAGTGCTCCCGGTGCACCGGGGCGCCGGCACACGTCGCCCGCGGCGTCGCTCGCCAACCCACTGCAGCTGCACACCAGGTAGAACGCTATCACGGGTGGGTATAATCCGCCGTCGTCGCTTCCAAACCACCGCAGCACGGTGCAGCTGAGCCGGCACGGCCCAGCTGCGCCGCGCAGCGGCCCTCGCGGCGTCGGCGCGCCCCCGCGGCCCGCCCCCCGTAGCTGCGCCCAACACTGCGCAGACGCGCTCCCGCCGCCGGACGGCCGCAGCGTCGCAGAAGGGGTGATTCGCCGCGCAGGGACACCGCGCGACGACAGCCCGTCGGGGAGCTCGATCACAGCTCGCTGCGGCCTCCAGCGTCACGGACATCCCGGGGCCCGCAGCCCAGCTGCGTCCACGCCGTCGAGCACGGCGCTCTATGGGGGGGGGTGTTTACGCCTTGAAGCCGATGGGCTTGTAGCCCGTGCGGAGGAACCGCGCGGCGGCCTTGCGCGACAGCTTGGGCGCGCGCCCGTCCTCCACCTCCTTGGCAACACCCTCGTCGCGCTCCGCCAGGATCAGCTCGATGTGGCAGGGGCTCGACTGGTACGGGTTCACGCGGCCGTGCGCGCGGTACGTCCTGCGGCGGCCCTTCATCGCCTTCTGGACCACCACCGAGCGCACAAACAGGTTGTCCATGTTGAGCGTGCCCTCAGCCTGCGGTGGGAGGGGGAGAGTTGAGAGGGTTGAGAGGCCGCGGGGGGGCGGGGGAAGGTGGCAAGGCGCGGTGGGCGGGCCGGGCGGGTCGCGTTCGGGCGGACGGCCGGCGCGGGAGGCAGGCCCGGTGGACGACGGCGGGGAGAGTAGCGCAGGACGGCTGCGAGGACGCTACGCTTGGCCCGGGGGCTGGGGGGAGAGGAGAGGAAACGGCGAGCGCGGCGACGCGGCCTCGGGGCCGTCCGGGGCGCGGTGGAGCCGGGAGGCGAGCGCGGCGCTTGTGAGGGGGAAACGGGCTCCCGGCGCCTCGGACGGGGGTTTGGAGGGCCGCGGCGGTACGGCGGCGGCTGTGCGGTGTCTGGCATGCGAGCGGGGATGCCGGGGGCGTCGCGGGAGGGGTGCGGAGGGGCCTCAGGCTTTGGCCGCCAGGTGGAGCAGCGACGCTGCCGCGCCGTGCGTGCCCGGGGAGGCGGGCGGCGGGGCGCGGCGGGTGGAGGGAAATGCGTGCTGCCGGCGGGCGTGGCGCGGCGGGGTCGCGGGGCCTCGTGCGGCCGCGCTCACCTCGGCGTTGGCCTCGGCGTTCTTGAGGAGGCCCAGCACGAACTCGACGGACTTCTTCGGCCACCGGCCCTGGCCGTTGGTGGAGCCCTCGTTCTTCGCCTGCGCGGTCCGGCCGACGCCGCTGTTGTACCGGCGGAAGACGATGCAGCGGGTCCCGTCGAGCACCGCGTTCATGTACTTCTTCGCCTCCGCGAGGTCCAGGCCGATGATGGCCTTGGCCGTCTCGCGGGTGTTCTTGAAGTGGGTCCGCAGGTGCGACCCCTTCGCCTGCAACGCGCCAGCACGAGCAGTACAATCGCTCAGGCACTGCGGCACAGGGCTCCGTGCCCCCACAAGGCGCCCTGGCAAAGGTGCGGAGACAGCCTCGCTTTCCTCTCTATCGACGGCATCCGCGCGACGGGTCGCCGCGGACAGCGGACGCCGCCAAACGCGGCGGAGAGCCCGAGGCAAGAGCCGCCTCCTTCCGCCCACTGGGTCGGAAGCCCGCCACGAACGGGCCAGCGGCGAGCTGGTTGCTCGCAACGTCCCACCGCGCGGCGCGCGGGCCCGTGCGCACCTTGGCGACGCGGTCAGCCTTGGAGTTGAGCTCGCTGTAGGACTTTGCCACCATTTTGCCACTGTTCCACCGCCCCAAGCCCCACGGGATAGAAGAGGACGAGCCCCGTCGACTCCGCCGGCAATGCCCCCGCGCAAGCCCGCACCGCCGCGGCGCACCTCCGCCCCCTGGGGCCTGCAGCCAGTCGTACTGGCCGCGACCGCACCCACGCGCGCCGCCATGGCACCCGCGCGGTCCCCGCGGGTCCCAGTCACCCAGGCACACGGGAGTCTCCCGCACAGGCTGCCTCCAGGCCGCCGCAACCGCCGCAGATGAAGGGTGCAGCTGCCCCGTGCACTCCAGGCATGCGCGGCGCCTCCCGGCCGCTGCGCGCCGCTGCGCAGGCCCTGCGCGCGCACCTCGTGCCCTTCCGCGCGCAGTCCTCGGCCGCCAGGCCCTCCACGGCCCGCAGCGCAGGTGCGCGACGTCCCAGTGCATCTGCGCTGGCCACAGCTCGCCTGCCCCGTGCGCGCTCCGCCACCGCTCACCACGCCGCCCGCGCGGCCCCGATGCGTCGCGACTGCAGGCAGCTTCAAGAACGCCGCGTCGTCGCTCGGTTTCGGCCCCGCGCGACGCACCGTCGCTGGAGCCTCTGCAGAGACGCAGCAGGCCACGACTGGGGCCGTGCCGCTGCCGCCGAAGCTGGTGCGACCCCGCGATTTCAATCCGCGCGAACCCGCTGGGACGCACGCATCGCGCACGGACGGGCCGATCGGCGCAGCTCCGCCGCAACGATCCAGTCGAGGTGGCGCGAGCCGCACCGCACCTCCACCGCACGCCCTGCGGCCCGGCCCTGCGCCGCGCACGCCGCCGTGCCGTCCCGTTTCCCCGCCCGCCCGCCCTCCCCCGGCCACCCTCGACCTCCAGGGCTCCGAACGCGGCACCGCCTCCGCCGCGCACGCGCCCCGCAACCCCCCGGCGCACGCACCCGGCGTTCCCGCAGAGCGGCAAGGAGATCCGCGAGCGCTTCCTGTCGTTCTACGAGGCCCGCGGCCACAAGCGCGCGCCGTCGTCGTCGCTCGTGCCCGAGGACCCCACCGTGCTGCTCACCATCGCGGGCATGCTGCAGTTCAAGCCGGTGTTCCTGGGGCAGCGGGAGCGCCCGGCGCCGTGCGCGACGTCGACGCAGAAGTGCGTGCGCACGAACGACATCGAGAACGTCGGCGTCACCGCGCGGCACCACACGTTCTTCGAGATGCTGGGGAACTTCTCGTTTGGGGACTACTTCAAGAAGGAGGCCTGCGCGATGGCGTGGGAGCTCGCGACGAAGGAGCTGGGGATCCCCGCGGAGCGGATCTTCGTGTCGGTGTTCGAGGAGGACGACGAGGCGCTCGCGATCTGGGCCGACGAGGTGGGGGTCCCGCGAGAGCGCATCGTCAAGATGGGCGAGAAGGACAACTTCTGGGCGTCCGGGCCGACGGGGCCGTGCGGGCCGTGCTCGGAGCTATACTACGACTTCCACCCGGAGCGCGGGACCGACGGGGAGGTCGACCTGGACGACGATTCGCGCTTCATCGAGTTTTACAATCTCGTGTTCATGGAGTTCAATCGAGACGCCGAGGGCAAGCTCGAGCCGCTCAAGAACAAGAACATCGACACCGGCATGGGCCTCGAGCGCGTCGCGCAGATCCTCCAGCGCGTCCCGAACAACTACGAAACGGATCTGATGTACCCCATCATCAAGGAGGCCGCGGGGCTCGTGGGGGGGGAGTTCAGCTACGAGGGCGCGGACGAGCGCACGAAGACCGCGCTCAAGGTCGTCGCGGACCACACGCGCGCCGTGACGTACCTCGTGTCGGACGGAGTCAACCCCTCCAACATTGGGCGGGGGTACGTCGTCCGGCGGCTCATCCGGCGGACGGTCGTCAAGGGGCGCCTGCTCGGACTGAAGCACCCGTTCCTGCCCACGCTCGCCAAGGTGCGACGCCGCAGGAGCGCTCATGAGCTTTTGCGTCGCAGGCCTGTCTGCCTGCCCGGCTGCGCAGCGGCTAGATGCGCTGCTGTGCTGCAGTGTGTTCAGGTAGCACGGCCCGTGCGGGAGCGCGAGGTCGTCGCTGTCTGACACGGCTGCAATCTGACTCCCCCCCCTGACGCTGCAGGTGGCGATCAAGATGTCCGGGGACTGCGACCCTGACGTCAAGGACAACGAGGCGCGCATTCTGACGGAGCTCGGGCGCGAGGAGGAGCGCTTCGTCGGCACGCTCGAGAAGGGGGAAAAGCTGCTGTCTGACCTGCTGAGCAAGGCGGGGGAGGGGGGGACTCTCAAGGGCGCCGACGCGTTCACGCTGTACGACACGTACGGGTTCCCGCTCGAAGTGACCCAGGTGAGCACGGGGCGGACGTGACCCGGCGCAGCGAGTGTGCGGCATGGACATTGTTTCTTGATTCCAGTGCTGTCGTTCCCGTATCACGTGCTTGCCTCCGGGGCGAGATGCGTGTGCCGGTTCGTTTCGAGGGAGTAGTGGGACGTGGACAACGTTACGGACGAGCCCTGCGACAGCAAGCGGTCGTGCGACGTTCGTCCAAAGATCCATTGACGTTTTCCCTTCTTTGCGTGCTGTGTCGTCGCGCAGGAGATGTGCCAGGAGCAGGGCTTCGACGTCGATGTCGCGGGCTTCGAGACCGAGATGGAGGCGCAGCGCCAGCGCGCCAAGGACGCCCGCGCTGACGTGGACCTGACTCAGGGTGCCGCGCTCAACGCAGTGCGCGACCGCGCCGGCGCGACGGCCTTCACGGGGTACCACCACCTGCACGGCACCGGCACAATCGTGTCGCTGGTGTGCGGCGGCGAGGAGGTGTCGGACGTGGGCCCGGGGGACAAAGTCGACGTGGTTTTGGACACCACCCCCTTTTACGGGGAGTCGGGCGGGCAGCGCGGGGACGTGGGGGTGCTGCGGACGCCCGACGGGTGCGTGATCGAGGTCAAGGACGTGACGAAGGCGGCCGGCGGGGACCTGTTCGTGCACCACGGGGTGGTGGTGGGCGAGGAGGGGGGTGATGGGGACGGTGCCGGGGGAGTGCGGGCCAAGGTGGGGGACTCTGTGGACGCCATGGTGGACGCGCGGCAGCGCGCGCGCGCCAAGGCGAACCACACGGCGACGCACCTGCTCCAGGTCCGCACAACACCCCCTCTCTTGGTTATCTGCTTTCTGGCCTCGCAAAGTCTTGTTCTCTTGTCTACTACATCGTCTCAGGCCATCATGTCATGGACGAGCTTGCTGTCATTGCTACTCGCTGGCCTACGCGCTCCCAGCTTGGGCGCCCCAGCACCCACCAACCAACACACACCGGAACAAATAAGGAATAGACCAAGACTGCTGTTCCTCCCGACTCAGTGCTGCTCGGCCACGTCTGGGTGTCCGCAGAGCGCGCTGAAGCAGGTCCTCGGCGATGACACCGCGCAGCAGGGCTCGCTCGTCGAGTTCGACCGCATGCGGTTCGACTTCAACGCCCCGAAGCCGCTCACCCAAAAGCAGCTGCGGAAAGTCGAGGCGCTGGTGAACGAGTGGAGCAGCGAGGGGCACGTGCTGGAGACGGCGACGATGCCGCTCGACGAGGCGAAGAAGGCCGGCGCCGTCGCCATGTTCGGTGCGCGCTCCCCCCCCCATTTTCTGCCCTCTTGTACCTCTGCATGGTGCCCCCCCACACTCGACTCGTCCGGCGCCCCGGCCTGCGCAGGCGAGAAGTACGACGACGTCGTGCGCGTCGTCGACGTCCCCGGCGTGTCGATGGAGCTCTGCGGCGGCACCCACGTGGCGTCCACCTCCGAGATCCGAGGGTTCAAGATTCTGTCCGAGACGGGGATCGCGTCCGGGATCCGGCGTATCGAGGCCGTCACGGGCGACGCGCTGATCGACTACCTCGTCGGCGTCGACTCGGTCGTGCGCGACATGACGGGCCAGCTCAAGGTGAAGGCTGAGGAGCTCCCGGGGCGCATGCAAGCCATGGCGAGCGAGATCAAGGCCGCGGGGAAGGAGATCGCGGACCTCCGGGCGCAGCTCGCGGTGGCCAAGTCCGAGGCGCTGCTCGGGGCGGCGAAGGAGGTGTCCGGGGGGGAGTTCAAGGTGGTGGTGGCGCAGCTGGACGGCGTGGACGGCGGGGCGCTGCAGACGGCGGCGGCGGGGCTGCAGGAGAAGCTGGGCGACGGTGGCGCGGTCGTGCTGGGCAGCGTGGCGGCCGGGGGCAAGGTCGGGCTCGTGGCGGCGTTCGGCAGCGCGGTTGTCGGGAGGGGGGTCAAGGCGGGGGCCTTCATCGGGGGCGTTGCGAAGGCGTGCGGCGGCGGCGGCGGCGGGCGGCCGAACCTGGCGCAGGCGGGCGGGAAGGACGCGGCGGCGGTGCCCGGAGCGCTCGAGGACGCGGAGAAGGCGCTGATCGCGGAGCTGGAGAAGGGGGATTCCTGAGTGGCTGAGGTGAGGTGAGGTGTCACATTCTTCGCGTCGTCAGCCATAAGGCTTTGGGACCTGAAAAGATCATTCGACTAGGTGGCGAGTCATGCTAACCCCCCACCGTTATGGTAGCAACAGGTTCGGCAGCTGTGACAGAGTCGGCCTGGAGCAGATCCTCGATGCCACGAGCAAAGATCGCCATGCCTCGCTGATTCGGCAGGTTCAGGAGATAACGCACTGCAGCGTTGGCAGCGGCTTCCGAGTCGAGTGTTGCGGCGCCGTACAGGTCCTCGAGGTGCTGGCGTAGCCGGCGGTTGAGAGCGAAGCGGCGGCGCTGTCCAACAGTTGCCGTGGACGACAGGGGCGCATCGGCAGCAGGCGGGGGTGGCAGCGTGAGCTGCCCAGACGAGTCCATGGCCAGGCCCGCTCGTTCCCGGAGAGAGCGTACCGCTGGGGCGCAGCAGTCCAGCAGCAGGTGGCGGAGGTCCTCCGGGGCGGGCGATGCCGCCACGTCCGCGCAGAAGCGGCAGACTTTCGACGGGTGCGACAGCGGTGTGTGTTGCCACTGCTGCTCCTGGTCCGCCATGGCCATCGTGGAGGTGCGCAGCCTCGTAGCTCCCACACGCAGGCGGGACAGGGCACGGCGGTCCGCGTGGTAGATCGCGGTGTCGAGCAGATGTGGAGGGATGGTGCGCGGTGGTGGCTGGCACCACCAGCTGTGAGGCCGGCGTGAACTCGCATAGCGCCTGTCACAACAGGACCGCAGCGCGCAACGGCGCGCTGGCTGCACTCCCTCCACTGTGTCAGCTCGTCTGGAAGATATTCTGCACCATTCCCTTGCCCCCGCGCGCCGCCGCGCGCTCCAGCTCCTCCACCTCCCCGTCAGAGAGGCGCCACCCGCACGCCCCGAGGTTGCTGCGCAGCTGCGCGACGTTCCGCGCCCCGGGGATCGGCACCGTGCCCTTGCACATGCACCAGTTCAGCGCCACCTGCACGAGCAAAACAACCGAACAATAGACCTGATCTCTCAATTCAACTGCAACTCTTCGGCCATCACCGGCCCCCCGCCGTCTCTCTCAGCCGCACTCAACCTCACCTGCGGCACGCTCTTGTTTCGCTCCGCCGCCACGGCGTCCAACACCCCGTATAACTCCCCCGACCCCCCCAGCACCTGCTTATACAACCCATTCCTGGGACCCTTCGGATACGTGCTGGCGTCGCCCGGACGGTGCCGCCCCGTGAGCATTCCGAGCGCCAGCGGCGAGTACGCGATCGGCAGGACGCCGAGCGCGGTGCACGCGTCCAGCACGTCCCGTTGCAGCGGCCCCCACGAAAGCAGCGAGATCTGCACCTGCGCGGACCCGAGCGCGACGCCCTCCTTCGCGAGGAAGTCGCAGATCTTCACCATCTGCTTCGGGCCGTAGTTCGAGAGTCCGACCTCGCGGGCGACGCCCCGTTCGGCGAGCGCGGCGAGACCCGACCACAGGGCGCGCTCCTGCAGCGGCTGGTAGTTCGCGGTGCTCCAGTGGAGCTGCCCGACGTCGAGGGTGTCGAGGCGCATGCGTTGCGCGGAGGCTTTCGCTGCGGTGAGGAAGGAGCCCGTCGTGACGCGCCAGGGATAGGGCGCGAGCTTCGTGGCGAGGACGAGGCTCGAACGCGGCTTCTTGCGGTCTGCGGCGTGTGATGGAAGACGCGAGGGTGTTGGTGTTCCGACACCAACATCGGGGGGAAGAAGGGAAGCGGCGACGGCGTGGCAGATACCGAAAATCGGTTCTTGTTGTGCGCACACAAGCTTATGCCTGGCGAGGCTGAGCGCGTCCAGCAACGCAGTGCGCTGCCGCGTCACGTCGGCTCGTGCACATATCGGCAACAGCAACGAAGACAAAAGCAGCCCCCACCATGAACATGAACAAGAACATCTCCTTCCTCTTCTTGGCCGCACCTGCGCAGTACTCCTCGCTGAACTCGCCGAGGAGCTTCTCGCTGCGGCCGTCGAGCGCGCCCGTGCCGTAGCTGTCCGCGGTGTCGAACAGGTTGATGCCCCGGTCGCACGCCTCGCGAAACACCTCCCTCAACTCCCCATCCATGTCTTCGGAGTACCCCCAGAGGAACTGATTCCCCCACGACCACGTGCCCAGGCCCATCTCCGACACCTGCGCCGCGCGCTCGGCCGCCCGCGTGGATCTCGGTCGTGGGCGGAGCGTGCGCGCGGGAGATGCTGAATTTCGACTAGTTTCCGCGCGGTGTGGGTTCAGATGGCTGGGACAGGGCCGCGCGGGCAGGGGTGTGGTGCGAGGCACGGCGTCGACGGCGGACAGCGAGCCCGTCCACAGCATCGATTCTTTGCCTAACAGTGGGGCTGAGACGGGAATTCTCGAGTGCTGGTGGTTCGTGTGACCAGGGCGTGCCTTGAGCTTCCCCAAACGCTTGTTCTGCCGCGCCTTGCTGCCCCCCGTCACGCTCAACAGCGTATCCCGCGCCGCATCGGCCAAGCCATGCGCGACGTGGCTCTGCCTCGGCATCAACCGAGGCCCAGGCCTGCACAGACCACACCCGCCTTCGTTGCGCCGGACGAAGCCTCCACACGCGCCCCTACCAGCTCCGGTGCCTTGAACACCCTTCAAAGCCCCCATCGCTGCGTGAAAATGCAGGTCCAGCGTTGTTGCGGCGCAGCGCAGCGCTCCTGAGGCCTCTGGGCCAGCAAGCCCGGGCCCTGCGCGAGGATACAGGGAGTTCGAGGTACCCCCGTTGGAGCTGTGGCAGAGTGCTACCTCCCCGCGGAGATCGCGCCCTTGTGCCGGCGCGTTCCGAGACGGGCCCGGCCGGCGGAATCAGGCCCCTCCTGAGCGAGGGGTCCGCAGCGGCGCCAACAGCGCCGCTCAAGGTGCGTCGGCGCTGCCAGCAGGCAGCGTTACGCAGCAATATCACGTCGCGGTCGATTTCGGCGCGCGTTGCTGCACGTATTGGCTGCAGAGGCATCTTTGAAGATTTGGATCTCCCGCGCGGCGGCACGGAAGTCCCGCGAGGGTTCTGGCGTCTCAGGTGACTCCAAGCTCGCTGCGCGTCCACCGCAAGCGCAGCCGGGCACGCACAGCGGTCACGCCGAAGTGCCTGCTGCACCAACGTCCACCGCCTCCGCGCCCGCCGACCGCCATTCTCCCTCCGGACGCGCGCAGCAGGGCCACCACTCCCTATCCACTCCGCACCCGCCGCACGCCGGCCCGCCGCGGTTCTGGCCCGCCGCACGGACGAGCGCTCACTGCAACTGCCTCCTCCCCGTCGCCGGCGATGAACGGCACCGCCAACGGCCACGCGGCCAAGGCGCACCTGCCGCTCTCATACGTCGTCAGCCGCTGCGCCGAGACCCCCGACGGCCTAGCCTTCACAGACGCCCAGCCATGCCATCTGCAGCTTCACGGCACCGCCACCGGCCTGCAAATCGCCGCCACGGCACACGCCGCGGACCCTGAGGCCCCCGACGGCGACGGCGCGGGCCCCGCAGTCGTCTTCCGGTGCGAGGCCAAGCAGCTCATGCGCGCCGGCCCCACCACGGCGCTCCTGTGCGTCCCCGGGGGGGAGCTGTTCGCCCTGCGCGGCGACGACGCGGCGAGCATGGACGTCCTGGTCGCTCGGGCGGAGCAGGCGACGAAGGACGCAGCGGTGAGCCCCGTCCTGCCCCACGGTCGCGTGGCTGCCGGACGTGCATGCCTGCCATGCGCCACGAGTGTGTGCGGAATCGCGCGGCGTGACGTCGGAGCGCGTGCAGGGGGCGTCGCCGTTCGAGGCGCGCACGGAGGGCAGTTCTGCGGAGATGTATTTCCACTATTATGGAATGCTGATGCACCAGCAAAACATGTTGCAAGACTACACACGCACGGGAACGTACTACAGCGCAGTGCTGCAGAACGCGCTGGACTTCTTCGGCTCGGCCGTCATGGACGTCGGCGCCGGCAGCGGCATCCTCTCCCTCTTCGCCGCCCAGGTGCGACGACCCCCAAGGACTCCCCCCAAACACACATCATCCCTCTTCGACCTCAAACCCCCCCCCCCACTCGCCATCCCGACCCCCGACGCACCGGCTCCGAGCGCACCACCAACGTCCGCACGCCCCGCGCCGACTCCCCCCCACCTCCGGCGCAGGCAGGCGCGCGAAAGGTGTACGCCGTGGAGGCCTCCGACATGGCGTTGTACGCCGAGCGGCTGGCGCGCGCGAACCCGGCGATCGGCAGCCGCGTCGAGGTCCTGCACTGCATGGTCGAGGACGCGCGCGTGCCCGAGAAGGTCGACGTGCTCATTTCAGAGCCCATGGGAACCCTGTTGCTGAACGAACGAATGCTGGAGTCTTACATCGCTGCGCGGGACAAGTTCCTGAAGCCGGGGGGCAGGATGTTTCCGACTTTTGGGCGCATCCACGTGGCGCTGTTCCGCGACGAGGTGCTGCACGCGGAGGTGGCGGCAAAGTCGGCCTTCTGGGCCAACGGGTCGTTTTACGGGGTGGACATCAGTGCGCTGCTGGGGGACGCGACGGAGGCGTACTTCGCGCAGGTGCGTGCGCTCGGGATCGGTGGTTTGATGACTGCTGTGTTCGTTGGTTGCTATTTTTGCTTCTTCTTTTGCTCGTTACGACGATGGTTGCATGTCGCGCCTACTTTCGCGGGATCCGTTTCGAACTTCCCGCGTAGGATCTTGGCATTCTCGTCGTGCCCGCTCGCCGCGGCCGTCGCGGACCGCGCTGTCACGACGCCGCGGTGTCACAAACCTTCCCCCCACTTGCGCAATTTTCCCCCCGTGCGCAGGTAGTCGTGGACGCGTTCTCGCCCGCGGTGCTGTGCTCGGCGACTGCGACGCGCACGATCGACTTCCGCACCGTCACCGAGGACGAGCTGCACGACGTACACATCCCACTAGAGGTTACTGCCACGTCCACAGGGCAGTGCCACGGTCTGGCCTGCTGGTTCGACGTGGCGTTTGACGGGACCTCGCAGCAGGTACGCAAGCGCCCGAGCGGTCCGGACAGCGCAGCAAGGCAGCGGAGGCGCCGCCGTGATTGGGCTGCTGTTGGAGGTCTCTTGCTTGCTGCGCGTTGCGGGCGTTTTGGCCGAGAAGCGGAGGGCCCAGGTCGTTTTCAAGCGCCATGACTCGTATGTCGCGCCCCTTCACATACGCAGACCCTCCCGACCCCCCCCACACCCCGCGTTGCAGGTGTGGCTGTCAACGGCGCCCGGGCTGCCAACGACGCACTGGTTCCAGCTGCGATGCGTACTGCAGCGGCCAATCGAGGTGCAGGCCGGCACCGTCGTGTTCGGGTCCCTGCGCCTCGTCGCGCACCGCAGGCAGTCATACGATATCCATGTCAGACTCGTGGGGTGCGACGGGGGGGTGTCCGAGGGGAAGCTGGACCTGAAGGAGCCGTACTACCGGCAGATGACGCCGCAGGGGTGGGTGGGGGCCGCGGGCGGCGCGGCGGGCGGCCCTGCGGCGGGTGACGGCGGCTGGGGGGAGTTCGCGAACGAAGGGGGGGAGTGAGTCGGGACCGGGGACATGCGCGAGGCGCGGCCGTGATTCAGCGCTGCAGTGCGACGCGTGTGACTATTTATTCGTTGCGAGGCGCGGCTGTTGGTGTGCTGTACCATGTGGTGTCAGTTTCGCGACCGCTGGTTGAGCACTGGCGACGTCGCTTGGCTGAAGGTCTTGGGGTCTTTCCGTTATTCCAGGCGCTACATCGACGACAATTTCTCTCTCGCGAACGCACTGTACCGCTACTTCAACACCCACCCCCGCCCCCCCACCCCGCCCCCCGAAACCCCGTCGTCGATCGTAGATCTCATCTCTGGTATACATAACATGTACCCCCCCTGTCTTGAGGTCGAATTTGACGCCCCAGCGAACCCGCTCGACGGTGTCTCCTTCCTAGACCTCCGCGTGCGTCCGCATCCCGAATATCAGGGCTTCCTCCTGATCTCGCACTATGACAAACGCGGTCTGTTTCCTGAGAACATTCACCTCATACAGTACCCCCACGCTTCGTGTGCGCTGCTGCGCCGACACCTTTACAACATCGTCCGCACCGAACACATCCGCGTGTCCAGCGAGGTGACTGACCGCGACAGCTACGTAGCCAAGATGTCGGCCATGATGCGCTACATGCGTACGCATCGAGGTTACTGCATGCGACAGGTCCTGGCGATCCACCGCGCCGCCTGCCGGACGCACCCGAGCCCGCATTTTGGCCCTGCCACGCCGGCGGGCCTGGCTGACCTCGTGCGTCGCCACGTGCAGTTTGCAGACCATAATGGCCAACCTGCTGACAGGGCGTGCCCGGCGCCCTGCAACTCGTCACCCTCATACATGATCCCGGCGCTGCGAAGCTGGCTCGGAACTATCCAGCCATGCCCGCACACATGACGCACTCTGTTACCCCCCCGATGTTGACATGTTGGCCATGCGCGTATTCCGTGGCCGCTAAACCGAGGTATGATCCCTTTTCGCATGACGGGCCACGCGCGGGGGACGGCGATGACGAGGAGAGCTGAGTAGCCGTCGGCGCGTCGCCTCACAACGCGGACAATGCCGCAGACTCAGTCACCGCTGTCACCCAGCCGGCTGCCGACACCCCCCGGTACAAGCAGCCTGGGACGTGGACCAGCACTTTGGCGCGTCGGCTGGCGGGCGTCGTCCAGTACTCGCGCGGCTCGCCGCGTTGTTGCTGACGACGCCCGCCACTCACTCTAACTGATTGCAGGTCAGAGCCTTCCCTTGGCACATGATGGCACGCTCACATGGCATTTCGCGCGAGTACTCCTAGCACGCTGCCGCCTTGATCAGGACGATAGCACACCCGCATTTCGTTTCGTGCGCGGGTGGTCAATTACTACTCTGTGTCAGGGGCTGGCAGGACGGGGCTCCGTGGGCCCGACTGCGTGGCAGCGCGCCCTGTCACCTGCGCAGGACACCAGCGTGCCCTTCGCTGGCCGGCACGTCTCGACAACAACCATCTCGCACAACTCACAAGACTCTATTCCTCGATTGATTCTCCCACGCCCGGGAGCCCCGATCGCTGCGGCGGCTCCACGCGCGCCTTCACGCCGCGGGCTTCTCCTTGCGGACGATCGACGCCGGCCGGAACGCCTTAACAACGGATTCGTGCGTAACAATGTAGGGACCATCCATGATTTGAATGCACGTCGGAATCGACACGAACACCTCGTCGATCGTCTCCCGGATGCTCTTGGGCTTCCCGGGGAGGTTCATCACCAGCGACCGCCCGCGCAGGCCCGCCGTCTGACGGGACAGCACCGCTGTCGGGACGTACCTGCGTCCGGCGCCGGGAGCACGCGCGGGCGCGTCGGTGGCGCGGCGTGCGCGTCGGGGCCGGTTCGAGGGCGTGAACCGGTGGCCGGGTGGCCGACCGTTGAGGCAGCATGAAGACACTCGCCTGTCGTGTGTGACAGGCGAGCCGGGGGGTTGGAGGGCGGCGCAGCACTCGCTGCGTGTTCAGTGGCCCATGGCCTGATCGATGCGGCAAGTGCATGCGGGGCGGGGGAGTATTGAACCTGAGTGATATGGCTCGCATTTGTTCGCCGTAGCCTGGCATCATGCGATCGCAGACGGCCTCCGTGGCCTCGGGCGTCACGTCACGCACCGACGGGCCCGTCCCGCCCGTAGTCACGACCTGCGGATTCATCCAAGACCCCGGATTCCCTTCTTCTCTCCAATCTTCAGAGGCCTGTGTCTGTGGTGCTTCAGGGGCCCGGCACGCGGCCGCAACCGGCCGAAACGCGGCGCGGATGGCGGCGGTACACATGGGGCGCAGGGGTCGGCGCACCAGGCAGCAGCCGACGTCGTCGACGAGCTCTTTGATGGCTTTTTCGATCATGGGCTGTTCGTCGGGGATGAGGCGGTAGTGCGCCTCCCAGGGCGACGCGATCGCCTCCTTGAAGAACTGCGCAGCGAGGCGAGGGACGCGGGTGCGGGGTGGTGGGCCGCTGCACGGAACCTGACGCGGTGCGGAACGCGCCTGCCGCTCCCCGCGTGGCAGCAGAGGGGCTCTCGGCACCACAGTTGCCCTGAGATACGCGAACCATGCGTCGCGACCGTGAGGCAATTCTACGATCCATATCGGTTGGGGCGATTTCGAGGCTCCATGTGGCTAGTTCCGACGGTACGTTACCGTCTGCTCCCTGCGAGGCTGTTGGTCGCCTCCACGCCCGCTGAAGCGGCCCCCAGGCCCGTCACGCAGCTCTTCCGCATGGACACGGACCATGCCTCATCGGAAGCGTCTACGCATGCGCGTGTGCTCCCGGGAGCGCCCGCCCACGGCCGCCCCTGAACGCACCTGCAAAATGGCAGGCCCGCTCTCGTCCTTGTAGACCGCCTGCGAGGCCCGGTCGCTCACGGTGATCACGCCGAACCTCGCCGCGTCGCCGACCGTGTCCCCCGAGCCCCCGCTCCCCGGGGCCCCCTGCGGAACCTCCCGGATCACCGTCGCCATCCTCCCGCCACGACTCCGCCGGAACGACGAACTACAGTGCACGCGCAGGGAACGTGATCGGCAGCCCGGGCGCGCCTCGTGCGCTGCGTGCGGAATGTGCGGGCGGCGGAGGCGGTGCGGCGGCGATGTCATCGCCCATGAGGAGAGCTGACGTGGGCGGGGTGTTGCTGCGGCGTGCGGCGCACTGCGCGGCGGTGCCGGTCGCAGGGCATGTGCGGCCCGCGCCGCGCATCCCTCGCACAGCCAGGTAGCTGTTCGTGGCGCAGGGGTCGTCGTTGGCGCCGTTGCGGCGTCGGCATCCGGAGCCAAGTCGTGGTGTGTGTGGGTGCGCCGCCTGTGCGGGTCAGCGCGATGTTTGCGACGTCGAGGACGGGGAAGCTGCGCATCGACGCGTCGAGCGCCGCGCCGCAGGGCGAGCTGGCGTTCGAGCTGCCCCCGGCGCGGACGGGGCTTGGTGCCACGCCGTTCGCGAGCATCTCCTCGCGCAGCTTTCCCGGTGCGTCAGCGCTGATTCTGCGACGCTCGGAAGCCGCTGCGCCCCTGATGTGCTCCTCTGGGGTCGTCGAGGCTCCTCAGGACCGCGTGACGGCCGCGTAATCGCTGCCGTGGTGGGCTGCTGCGTTTTGTGGGCCGGAGCCGCACTTCCGTGACTACTCCAGCGCGATAGCGGCTCGGACACGCCCCTTGTGCTCAGAGGTAGCTCCTCGCGGCTCGATGCGGCGCAGAGTGGAAGGACCAGGCCGATGTGCACCCCCGGGCGCCTCAGCTGGTGTTCACGACGGCGCGCGCGGCCACGAGCGAGCGGTTCCGCGTGATCAAGATCATCGGCGACGGGCGCTGCATGTTTCGAGCGATGGCGCACGGGCTCGCGCACAACAAGGTGCGCCGCGGGCTCCCCCCCGGCTCATGCACACGTACACCCGCTCTTGCGCGGGAGGTGAACGCGCGATTGCGGGGCGTGCCTGCGCATATCCGGCCGGCCCAGAAGCTCGCCGAGCCCCTGCTGCTGTGCGAGGCACCGATGACGTGGCATGGTGTGTGTGTACGTGTTGCGCTTTCCAGCCGCGAGATGGGTGCCCCGCGTGCGCCGCGCCCGCTCGCAGGGGATCGCGCTGAACCCGAAGGACGAGGAGCGCGAGGCGGACGAGCTGCGGATGGCCTGCGCGGAGGCCCTGTGCACGTCCCAGAAGCGACGGGCGCAGTTCCGGTGAGTGACGACCGGCCCCGACGCTGCCGCCGGCGTCGACCGGGCGAATCCTTGGTGCATATATCGAGCTGCGTGGCCAGCTCGGCGGAGATGCGACACGGCGCGCCTGCGCGCCCGGCACGCCGCTTGAAGGCCGTCGAGTTGGGACTGCGCGTTTCCTCGCGCGGTGGCGGCGCACGCCGCTGCCGCCCGCGCCCCGCGACGCAGCGAATATTAGGGGGGCGCCGGACGACGCGTGCGTTCCCGTCCGCCGCGCCGCAGGGACGCGATGGAGGCCGTGCGAGCCGAGGGAGAGGAGCTGCCCTCGTACTGCCGGAAGATGACGTCTCCGACGTTCTGGGGCGGCGAGCCCGAGCTCATCACGCTCTCTAAGATGCTCCGCGTCCCCATCTACGTCTATCTGTCCGAGAGCGAGATGGGGGCGGACAGTACGGGATTCGTGCCAGTACAGAAGTACGGCGAGCAGTTCGCGAAGGCCGCGAAGGACGGCTCGCGGAAGGCACGGAGGCCCGTCAGACTGGTGTTCACCGGCGGGAACCACTACGACCTCCTGTTGAAGTGACCGCCGCAGTTTGCGGGGCGCGAGGCAGACCACGACCTGCCGGGGGCAGACGTTGTGACCTGACAGGAATGGGCGCGCAACACCCGCAGCGATGCGGGCCGTGCAGAGAGGGCCGGGGTGCGGCGCTGGACGCGGAGGCGCACCTGCGCGTGCTGCAGCTCGCGCCAGCTGCAGAGGCTCGGCGCAGCGGGGCAGGGCGTGGCGTCGCGGGGCGCCGCACGACTTGAGCTGGCTGCGTCGCGCGCTGCGCTGTGGCTCGCGTACCTGCCTTGCAGCGGTCAGTCGGACCAAGGCGGGCGCAGAGAGGGCAAGGCATGGTTGCAGTTGGGCTGTCACGGCCTGGTTCCGCAGCGCGCAGCGCAGCGCCCAGCGGACGCGAACAGCCTGCGGATCGCGCACACGGTCGCCAGACGTCCGGCGAGTCCGAGGTCTCCACCGCACCGCTGCGCAGCGCAGCGCAGACAAGTGGAGCCGCATTGAGTGCCTCGTCCGTCGCGCTGGCCTAGCCTCGCACTGTTCTGCGTTTCCAGCCACGCGCAGAAGCAGTCCGCTCGTCGGCCGCGTCGTGGCACGCGATCACAGCCTGCAGCTGCGCTTCCGTCGACTCCGCAGCGCCAGCGCGCCCGCGGCCCCCGGACCCAATCGCAGGCGCCGCCACTACCTGAGCACGCACCGCAGCCGCGAGCCCGCGTCCAGCTGCGCGGGGGGCGTGCGCTCAACCCGCCAGCTGCACTGCACCCTGCTGCACGCAGCAACGATCGCGACCCGCAGCAGCAACGAATCGCAGCGCTCGCCCGCGGACCCACAACGGGCGGCCTCGTGCGAGGCGCGCCCGCGGACACGAGCAGCGACGTCGTCGCAGAGCGCACCCTGCCAGTGCAGCTCCGCTGTCCTCCGAGCGCGCGGGTGTCCCATAGGCGGGCAGACAGGGGCGAGACCGTCTCGGCTTCACGTGAGCGCACAGTTTGAGTTACACGACGCGCGAAGCGGTAGAAAGGGCACCCTGGGGCAGCACGCAGATGACGTATGTAGACGAGAGGCACAGCGCTCCAACGTTCCAGACGGGACACTGCCGGGGTAGTAGTGCTTCGCCGGACGGGCGCAGAATGGTTCTTTGTGGGTTGAAGTCTCGATGTGGCGCCGGCCGTCCGGCCAGGAGGCGGGGCGGGCCGCAGGCGCGACGTTCGTGCGCCATGCGAGCCGCGCCCCCCGCGACGCGCGCTCCGTCGCGCCAGGCCCCGAAAAGCGCGCCGCGCAGCACGCTGGTGGCGTGCTGGGGCTGCGGGGAGCGTCTGAGCGGCGAGCGGTGGCTGGTCCGAGCCGGCACGGCGGTCGTAGGGGTGCGATGCTTGGGCAGCTGCCTGGGCGCGGAGCCAGGGGGTGTGGGGGCCGCCTGGTGCCGCGTCGGGGTCCGGTGGTGTGGGGGAGGGCGCGCGGGTCCGGAGGATCCGGCGTGCGGGCGAGCTCGTTCGAGCGAGGAGTGCTCGAGCCTTGAAGAGGAGCGAGGCCAGGTCGTCGATGCAGTTCATGGGGTGCCGAGGGTACGTGGCGCGGGCGTCGCCGCGCGAGTCGCTATGTAGTCCGCGTAGGTGCGTGGGAGGGGCGGGGCGGGGCGAGAGTCGGCGGCACGAGGCGCTCCGACGGAGAGAGCGGTTGAAGCCAGCTCGTCGACGCTCGCGAATGCGAGGCGCGCCGTGCGCGTCCGCAATCTCGAGCGCGTGAGCGGCTCAGTTCGATGCCATCGGGCCGCGCGACTCGGGCCTAGAGCTCGTCCTCGTCGTCGTCCTCGAGCAGCCCAGCTACGTACAGTTCCATCTGGTTCTCCTCCGCGGCCTGCGACCGGTGTAGCGGGGATATCGCGTCATCGCTGAGCTACGCGACAGCGGAATTCGCGAACGGGCCGGTTTCGAGGTCGCCGAATCGTCCGGACGAGCGGCGACGGGCGCGTCCGGAAGCGCCAGGTCAATGCGCTCGCGCGCGCTCGAGGGGGCGCGGGCCGCACCTGCATCCGCACCCACGCGTCGATGGCCTCGAGCTCGTCCAGGTCCTCCTGCGACATGTCGAAAGACCCGTCCTCGGCGTGGTAGACCTCCTCGTAGCCCACGGGCAGGAACGGGACGGCGTTGGCGTTCAGCGGCGAAGTCATTCTCGTTTTTCGTCTCATACAGTTGCGAAGTGCCCCTGCGCGCGCCCGGAGCGCCCGCCGAGCCCCCTCGCCGCGGCCCGGCCGTGCGTCAGGGCCGAGGTAGGAGGCTTGAGGGTCCAGCTCAAGCGCCCCCCCCCGCCTCGCGCTCCTGGGGGCCGCGCGCGGGCGCTCCGGGGCACACACGTCGCCAGTGGGACCGTCTCTGCCTCGGGTGCTTGGTTTCGCGCCGCAGGAGCGTAGTCTTATTCGACCCGCGTGAGAAGAGGAGGAGGCAAGATGCAGATTTTCGTCAAGACGCTGACGGGCAAGACCATCACGCTGGAGGTGGAGTCGTCGGACACCATCGAGTCGGTGAAGACGAAGATCCAGGACAAGGAGGGTGAGTGCCGCGCGCTGCGCGCCCGGGTCGCCTCACCACACACCTGGCGGGTTTTCGCGGCCAGCGCTCGTGCTGCGGCGCTCGGCGCCGCGTTCCGCGCCCGCAGACGAGTCGAGAGCAGCCTTGCGCATCTCGTCGTTTCGTTTTCGGGGCTCGGCGCGGCGCGCGTCGCGCAGCTGGCGCGTGCCTCTACGGGTCACACGAGGCGCGGAAACCTAGCGCTCGCGGCCGCGCGCGCGGGTCGACGCGACGCGGAATGCCGGCTCACATTGCGTGTGCCACGGTTCTCGCGGCGATGCGCCGCGGCCGGGCCCCGCGGAGCGGTGCCGAACGAATAGCTCCTCGACGCTTCCTATGCTGCACGCGCTTTCTCGTGCGGCGCCCCCGCGGTCGCGCGGCCGCGGCCCTGGACAGGATCTGTTGTGGAGTAGCCGTTCTGCGGAACGAACGCCCGCCTCGCGGCCTCGGCCGCTCTGGTGCGCGCCCTCATGGTGGAGCTCAACTGAAGCGCTCCCCGCGCCCTGTCCCGGCGCAGGAATCCCGCCGGACCAGCAGCGGCTGATCTTCGCGGGCAAGCAGCTGGAGGACGGCCGCACGCTGGCGGACTACAACATCCAGAAGGAGTCGACGCTGCACCTGGTGCTGCGCCTGCGCGGTGGCATGCAGATCTTCGTCAAGACGCTGAC